CCTCCAGGGATGACTCTGCCCTACTGACGGATGGTGAAATTGATTCAGCGAAAATTTCAGATACAGATCGGCAAAATGATGCGATGGTTGTTCAACGAGCGTTTGCTGCAGCTAGAAAGGTCTCAGAAGCTTGTGTAAAATTTTTGGTTTATTTTTTGTTGAGGGCCTTGAGGTAGTTATAACCTTGTTACTTGGTGCTATGTAGGAATCTGCTGCTACTAATTCAAAGGGTCAGTCGTACCTGACACAGTTAATTGCAAAGTCACCTGTTGTTGATAAAAGTGTAATGCTGCCTCGTTTTCCTCAACCTCAAACATCCCAAAGGGCTTTACCATCAAGAGTAGCTGCAATGTTAAACGTATTGGTGAGCTTGAGTTACTATAGTGTGAATTTTTGTAAACTAGAAAACAATAGGCAGGGTTTTCTCAGCTCCATACATATATCCCTTTTTTTCTCTTCCATTCTCCCGTGCATTTCAGTGCATTTCTCTAGCTTCCTTGGATGGCCAATCTTTAGTTCTGCAATTTCCACTTCTTACTTCTCCAGCCCGCTAATATTGATATTATACTTCTCAAAATAGCTGACCACTTCACTGTTACACATTTCAGATACCCACTATATTTGACAAACAAGGAGCACAACTGCTTGCTGTTGCTTGCCTTGTTGTCTCAAGAACACTGATCTCTGACCGAATAGCCTCTTTGAATGGTAAACATACTCCATGGTTTTACCTGGTCAGTTTTATTAATATAGCCCCGTTTCTAACAACCATGATTTTTTCAGGGACCACTGTGAAGTATGTCTTGGAGCAAGATAAGGCAGCCTTTGTTCGTTTGATTGGTTTAAGTGTTCTCCAAAGTGGTGCATCTTCTATCATTGCTCCTTCATTAAGGTAATCTATCCTTCATATGCACGTTTAAATGTTCGAAGTCTCGCCAGCTATTATCCCCGTGTCATGATTTACCTGATCGTGTTGATTTTTCATTTGTCTGTTTATAAAGTAAGCAAGTTATGTAATTTATTTACGTTAGATTATTAGTTATTTTTATAAAGCACTTGGCTGGTATGATTTTAACTAGCTCTTAATGTTACATTCTTCAGGCATCTAACCCAAAGGCTAGCGTTAGGGTGGAGAATTCGTTTGACTCAACATCTGCTACGGAATTACTTGAGAAATAATGCATTTTACAAGGTCAATTCAAATCTATAAGGCTCAAAGATATTATGTAAATATGTGCTATTCATGCATTGTGGAATGTGGATGATGACTATGAACTTGTGTTATTCAGTTCAATTTGGCCTATGTTTTATGCTTCCTAGAGGCTATTTTTCTGTTAGTTTCTTGTAAGTTGATGTCGCAAAGTCAGAGACACTAAATATCTCATTGGGTTCGTATCTATTCAGGTTTTCCACATGTCAGGCAATAGTATTGATGCGGACCAGAGACTCACTCGTGACCTGGAAAAGTTAACTACTGACTTGTCTGGACTTCTTACTGGAATGGTAAAGCCATCAGTTGACATTCTCTGGTACGTACAGTTTGTTGGAAATTTTTTTTTTCTAATATTTGTTTCATGGTTCTTGGTTTGAATTATAATTATGCAAAAAAAAATATATATATGAAGGTTCACCTGGAGGATGAAACTATTGACTGGTCAGAGGGGAGTTGCCATACTTTACACATATATGTTACTTGGTCTGGGTTTTCTGAGACGTGTTGCTCCTGATTTCGGTGATCTAGCCGGTGAAGAACAGCAGCTTGAAGGGAAATTTAGGTAAGTTTGTATGCATTGTCCAATTTGCAGACGATTGTGTTATAGCAACTAACAGGACCAACTTCTTCCTGTTTATGTAGGTTTATGCACGAAAGGCTGAACACTCATGCTGAATCTATTGCATTCTTTGGAGGTGGAGCCCGAGAAAAAGCTGTAAGTGTCTTATCTTCCCTATCTCTAGTTGTTTGATTTTGGGATAGTTATTAGTGAAGGTTACTTGGAAATGTTCTATCAATTTATGATGGCCTTTTCATGTCAAATGCGGCTTTACTTGTGTGTTTGGAGCTTTAATGTGTCGTATAGGTAAATTAATTTTCTTTTCCATGGAGCAGATGGTTGACACAAAATTTAGGGCCCTGCTGGACCATTCTCTCATGCTCTTGAGGAAGAAATGGTTGTATGGAATACTTGATGATTTTGTGACAAAGCAACTTCCCAATAATGTGACGTGGGGATTGAGTTTATTGTATGCCCTAGAACACAAGGGAGATAGAGCACTTGTCTCCACTCAAGGTAAAGATCTGTCACACTTCATTGTTGTACAAACATCAGTCACCACTTTTTCCCTCCCAACACTATTTGTCTAATTAATCACTTTATTGAAAGTGAGCCAATTAAATGTATACATGTCATCTCTGTAACGCTTTCTTGAATGGTGCCTTTGATACCAGGTGAATTGGCACATGCATTGCGGTATTTAGCTTCTGTTGTCTCCCAAAGCTTTATGGCTTTTGGCGATATTCTTGAACTACACAAGAAGTTCCTTGAGCTATCTGGTGGTGTTAACAGAATTTTTGAGCTTGATGAGTTTTTGGATGCTTCTCAGTCAGGTACTACAGCATGTATAGGTTTACACTTTGGCAAGCTGCTACCAAATCTTGGTGCTTTATGTACATATATATACATAGTCAAAATTTTGTGATCTTTTCATGCACTTTTATCTTGCTAGATGTGTTCATATATTCTTAGGAATTACTAGGTTTGTAGACAATGTCTGTACTTGAGTTGATCATGTTCGTTTTCTCTAAATATTTTCAGGTGTTACCTCAGAAAATCAAACAAGTCGTTTGGATTCTCAAGATCTACTTTCCTTTTCGGAGGTGGATATCATTACCCCTGCTCAGAAATTGATGGCTAGCAAGTTATCATGCGAAATAGTTTCAGGGAAAAGCCTGCTCGTCACAGGTTGGTGAATTAAACTTCGTCATTAACGTTACTGCATGAGCCCAGAGCTAATACTAGCAAAAATTTCAGGTCCAAATGGTAGTGGAAAGACTTCTGTATTTAGAGTCCTTAGAGATATCTGGCCCACTGTATGTGGAAGACTTGCCAAACCATCATTGGATATCAAAGAACTTGGGTCAGGGAATGGCATATTTTTTATCCCGCAGCGACCTTATACATGTTTAGGGACACTGAGAGATCAAATTATATATCCTCTATCTAAAGAAGAGGCAGAGAAAAGGGCTTCAAAGTTGAACAGCAATGGTAAGTTCAAAAATTCATTTACTTCAAAAGGTCTATTTGATTTCAAATCGAATGAACTATATCTCTTACCACCCTACAAGAATTGAAGTGGAAGTTGTTTGATCTTCCTATCTCTCATATGTGCGGAATACTGGTGAAACTAACAGGAGAAAGCTCAACAGATGCTGGAAGCACTCTGGATGCTCATTTGAATACCATTTTGGAGAATGTTCGGTTAGTCTATCTTTTGGAAAGAGATGTAGGTGGTTGGGATGCTACTACCAATTGGGAAGACATATTATCTCTTGGAGAGCAACAGAGACTAGGCATGGTAAGTCACTTGTAAAGCAACAAAGACTTATAGTTTCGTAATTTACGTGAATAATCCGAGTTGTTTGGTATTGCAGGCACGTTTATTCTTTCACAGACCGAAGTTTGGAGTCCTTGATGAATGCACCAAGTAAATGATCTTCTTCCCCTGCAATAACCCTGTAGTTTTACAGTCACCTTCCCTTCTCTTTATATGTCTGCTCCTTGATTTGCAGTGCGACAAGTGTTGACGTTGAGGAACAGCTCTATAGGGTTGCAAGAGATATGGGAGTCACTTTCATAACCTCATCACAAGTAAGTCTTTTTCCCGTACACTATATCCCATGCAACCATATCAAACCTCTTACTAAATTCATCTGTGTTCACACAAACCTCAGCGGCCGGCTCTAATCCCGTTCCACTCTGTGGAGTTGAGGCTAATTGATGGAGAAGGAAACTGGGAGCTCCGTTCGATCGAACAAACAGCAGAGTAAACTCAGCAAAACAATTAAGAAAGGTCTATATAGTTTAAAAAAAAAAATGAAGTAATAAAGTTAAAGCTATAAGACAATGCAAGCAATCTTTACAACAAGCTATATGTGGCTTCTTGATTCTTCCTCCTGGAACGCAAGGGGTGGAAGAGAATGCGTCGGTGCTACTGCTTTTGTTAGATATGGAGGGTTAATTTGATTCTAGATGATATAAATGTAGGTGATCGAATTGGTGGAGCATTTTGAGTTCTCCTATGGAGTATGGTGTTATAGCTTTTGAAGAAACAAAAAAATATAGTGATAACTCTCAAATAATGTACAGTTCCATTCATATTCCTTTGTTGGGATTTACTATATCATTTTAGTTTTCTCTGTTTTTAATGAAAAGGAAATCGAAGTAATTGAATCTCTTCCTCAGTTATTTTGTTACCAATAAATGTGTTTTAAGCTTATTCCAGACAGCACAGTAAAAAAGTAAAGAACGAGAGAGAGTTTATGATTCTTGCAATTACATGCTCTGATTTTAGGTTTTTTTATTTATTTATAATTTTTTAGGTTTTTTTAAAATTTAAGTTTTTGTTTAAAGCTATTTTTTCCCAGCTTTCAAGTTCTTATAATTTTCTTATAATCAAGAGCTAGAAGAATGATGATAAGATTTTTTTTTTTTTTTTTTTTTTGTCGACAGATTCTTTATTAGAATCGCTGAACAATATCTAGATTTTGCTTTCAATAAAGTTTTTGATATATTTCTATGTAAAATTTTCTTTTAAAACAATCTATTCAAATTTAATGCTTCAATAGCTTTCTTCACTCGACTGATTCGGATGATATTGTTCAGTATTATCAAAAATTAAATAAAACTCTATTTACTATTTTTGCCATGCAAAATAAATAACAATTCTATTTCAAAGCTTAAATTGATATGTCACTTGTGCAAAGCTTTTTTACACTAATCTCTTTTCTATTTTTCTTTTCTGATTTAAAAGTTTTTTTTTTTTAAAGAGAGAATCAAAAAGATATTTTTGTTCATTGAAGTGTCTCAAGAAAAACCTTTTCACAGTCTCTTTGGAATCAGGAAGAAAGAGAAAAATGGAAAGAAACACGCCGGTGAGAAACCCTCACACTTCCACCGCCGATCTGCTTTCTTGGTCGGAAACCCCTCCTCCTGACCACTCTACAACCCCTTCCGCCGCTCGTTCTCACCAGGTCCGTTTCCTCAACCAATGTTCTCACTTTTGCTTTTTTCTATTGAGAAAGCTGAACCATTTCGTCTCTCTTCTTTTATTTTACAGCCGTCCGATGGAATCAGCAAGGTTCTCGGCGGAGGTCAGATCACAGATGAGGAAGCTCAGTCCTTCAATAAGCTGTAAAAGATCCTTTTAATCTCATCTCTCATGCAAAATCTTTGTTTGACCATTTTCATTACCAGATCTATTTGAGTTTTGCATTACTGCCAATAAGGAATTAGTTTAAAAGCTTGATCTTGCTCTTGAAAGTGATTGCCTTTTGTTTTTAGTTTTTCACAAAATGGTTCCTTTGTTTGTTTGAAGTCAGTTCTTTTTCTTTGTGATATCATTTGAATGATGAACTTATGAAAAGGATTGGTTAATGCTTTTTGGCTTTTCTGAGGATTTTTAGTTTTTTATATTTTATTACATTCTTTGTTCATCACCAAGCCCCACCATTTATTACATGTCAATCTACTACTGTTCATTATCTGTTGAGGAGATCTTTGTGTCAATTTTTATTTAGCTTCCTTGCTTCAGTTTTTTACCTAACCTGCTTATACTTTTCATGATCTGCAAGTGTTAAAGGTTGAATCTTTACTGGTTTTTAAGGCGATTTTTCGATTTCTTTTTACAGGAAGAATTGTTCAGGGTACAAGTTAAAAGAGATGACTGGGAGTGGCATATTTACTGATAAGGCAAAAGTCGGGTCTGAATCCGATGCTACCGATCCAAAGACTGGACTCCGTTACTATCAGGTAACATACTTGTCTTGTCTTATGTTTGTTTCAACAGATTTTGAAAAGTCTATTTCGAAATTGATAGTTAGGTTAATGTACTCTTAATTTTGCAGCAAACTCTGAATGGAGTGAGTCAGATATCATTCAGCGCAGACGGGAATGTTTCCCCGAAGAAACCTACCACTTTAACCGAGGTCGCAAAGCAAAGAGAGCTGAGCGGAAACTTGCTCACAGAGGCAGACTTAAAGAGCAACAAGCAGATATCGAGTGCTAAGATCGAAGAGATCAGTGGTCATAACATCTTTGGACCTCCACCTGAGATTCAGACTCGGTCTTTGGCTGCTGCACAACAAGAAGCTAGAGGAAACAGAGACATGGGAGAGCCTGCACCAAGGAACTTACGTACTTCTGTGAAAGTTTCCAATGTAAGTAAATTTAGCCTTTGAAAGGAAACTTGCTGCCCAGATGAGTTTATTTTCTATTCGACTGAGATTTTTTTTTCTTAATTGCCAACAGCCTGCAGGAGGACAAAGCAACATACTATTCAGTGAAGATCCTGTTGTGAAGACATCAAAAAAGATACATAACCAGAAGTTTCAGGAACTCACAGGGAACGGTATTTTCAAAGGCGACGAATCACCTGGTACTGCAGATAAGCAGTTAAGCTCAGCTAAACTCCGGGAAATGAGCGGAAACAATATTTTTGCAGACGGGAAGTCAGAATCCCGGGACTACTTTGGTGGTGTGAAGAAGCCTCCCGGCGGTGAAAGCAGCATTTCATTGGTCTAAGACTGGGGACTTATTTGGTATTAACCGTGATTACGTTTCAGGTTCTTTAGAATTTAGTTTCTTTAGAGTCTTCATCTATGTGTACGGATCTTAAAGAACTTTTGGGTGTTGTTGTTTCTACTTTCTAGTCTTCATCTATGAACTTATATATATCTGATCCTTGCTGTTGTACCAATCTTTTTACTACTCCCACTTAAAAGCAAGTATGGTTAGATACGTCACCTTTTTAATCGGACAAACAAAAGTAACACAAAAAAGAGAACGACTCCACTGGGGATCGAACCCAGAATCTCTGGTTTCGTAGACCAGCGCCTTATCCATTGGGCCATGGAGTCTTTTTTGGACAAGGACCTCGTATAAGACATATAATCACATAAACTAACAAAAAGGTGTTTTATTTTATTTTCTTTTTCTTTTAGGGTCGTCGTCGCCTTCTCTCACCGAATATGATCATCTTATTAGTTTTTTTCTTTTTTTCCTTTTTGGACAAAGGTCGTCTTTTTAGTTAAGCTGTCTCAAAAAGGTTGATATCCGAAACCAAAACCTTTGCCATAAAAATAATTCAGCTCTCAAGAAAACTAAAGGCTAATTAGATAAGATTAGACTAAGGAAGGAAAAGAATAGAGAGAGGGAGAGAGATGGTCTTCTTGTTTAGAACAGGTTCTTTCCAAATGTTCTAAGTATGGCGTTTTAGGTAAATGATCACAGCTTATGACAGATTGGAGGAGGAGCTGACTCAATTTGTGGTGTAGATTTGTCAAAAAGGATTTTGTGGAATCTGGGAGTTTTTAATTTCACTAAAAATAGGGACTTAGTTATAAAGGAAGACGGAGGCAACAAAAAAAATGGGCAAACACAAATCTTTCAGAAGCAAAGCAGTGAACTTCGTCACCGATCTCACCGCTGGTCTTCTTAATCCGATCTCTGATAAACCCTCCTCTGCTGCTCCTCGTCCGGTATCCAAAAAGTTTTCATCTTTTTCTGTTTGACGATTCTTCTTCCTTGTGCTTTGACATTAGAGTCTATCGTTGTTCTTGACCATTGCTTCTGGGAATTTGCTTTAATGCTTAGTTGCTTTGAATATTGTATTATGAGTATTTTGATGGATTGAGTGCTTCTAGGTAGGACTATCAATTTCATGGATTCAGTGATCATTGAGCTCAGGTTAATTTTCCCGTTTTCTTAATTAGGATGAGGAAGGTGAGTCTAAGAGGAATCAACTAGATTCTATCACTGAGGAGCACCAGCGTAAGGATTTGGTTGACGAGCCAGACACTTCTTCTTTCTCTGCATTCCTTGGTTCACTGTTATCTTCAGACCCCAAAGACAAAAAGAACGATCAGGATCAACACGAAGAAGGCGAAAGAGAAGAAGAAGATTCTGAGGCAGAAACAAGTGATACATCATCATCTTCTGTGAATTCTATTAGAAAAATGAAGGAAGCTACTACTAGTGGTGGTGCAAAGAAGAGCCTGTTGTCCAAATATAAACAGCATTTGAAGAATATCTACCAAGCTGTTAAGTTTCCGGGGGCCAAGGAACGAAAGGGAAATTCTGATGTGAAACCAGATGATGAAGACACTGAATATGCTGGCTTGGAGATGAAGCCGATGCAGAATGATAATGTCAAAGAGGAAGCAAAAATAGTTCAAGCAATTTTACCAGAAATTTCAGAGCCCTCTTTGCTTTTATCGGACCAGTCAAGACGTTCCTTATATACTTCACTTCCTGCGCTTGTTCAAGGGAGGAAATGGATATTGCTTTACAGGTGAGAAACTCATTCAAAACATTTGGAGCTGATACAGAAATCTTAAGAATGGTTATTTCATATATTCTGTTGCTGTGTGTGATTCTTTTGTTGCAATTTCTAGTACATGGAGGCATGGCATATCACTGTCCACACTGTACAGGAAAAGCCTCCTTTGGCCTGGTCTCAGTCTACTGGTAAATGAAATTCCAGTTTCTAATTCAAAATATTGGTATCCTTTGGTAAAAGTGTGAATTTTTTATGGAGCTATGTGGAAACCTCCTCTGTTTCAGGTTGTCGGAGACAGAAAAGGTTCGGTTTTTGGTGGTCTTGTCGAGGCACCTTTGATTCCAACTGATAAGAAGTATCAGGTGTGGTGCTAAAAATCCAATTTTTATATAGATTCCATCTATCAAGTTTTCTTTCATTGCACTATAAATTTGACTTTCTTTGTTTGTCAGGGAACCAACAGTACATTTGTTTTCACAAATAAGTCTGGACAACCAACAATATACCGTCCCACAGGTATCATTAAGCATTTCTTTGACTTTGATACATAGTAGTATAGAACTTCTCGGAGTTGTTTCCTTATTCACTTGTACTTATGGATCAGGCGCAAATCGGTTCTACACTTTATGCTCCAAGGAATTTCTAGCTCTGGGCGGTGGTGGACGGTTTGCCCTCTATTTAGACAGTGAACTGTAAGATTTCCTACCAAACTCTTAAACATCTGATTACCATTGCCATCATACTGCAACGGACAACAAAGCATATCTCCTCAAATCAATTTGATTGATCGTGTTCCTATAGGCTAAGCGGATCAAGTGCTTACTCAGAGACATACGGTAACTCTTGTCTCGCAAACTCTCAGGACTTTGATGTGAAGGAAGTGGAGGTAGTTGTTAACTAAATTTATCCCTCTCCTAAAAAAGAGAAGGAAAAGATTCATTTTTTATTGATTCAAAAACATTATACTGAAACAAAGAATCACACAATTGATTGATACTTGCAGCTATGGGGATTTGTGTATGGCTCAAAGTATGATGAGATTCTGGCTGTGAGCAAAACAATGGAGCCTGGTATTTGCAGGTGGTCATGATCGTGCGTAATGAAGATTTTGGAAAAAAATGAATTCAAGTGAGATTCACTTTTTGTAAAAATGTGTAGTAGTAACAGTAATGTTGACATGTTGTTGTCAACTCTTACCTTTGTAACTGGCTAAAAAATCACATCTCTGTTACTTACTACTCTCACTTGTAATTTTGAGACTGGAATAACAAAATAAAACTACCCATTAGACTCATCCAGCCCATTAAAGGCTCATTAGACTCATCCAGCCCATTAAAGGCCCATTAAAGCAGGGGAAGAAGAAGAGACAGAAACAAAAACAAAAACCCTCACTTTCATTTTGTGACCTTGAGAAGAAGAAAAAAACTCAATTTTGGAGGGGGAGAAATGGGGAGTAGATTGGGAGGACGAGTGGTTCATTTCGCGAATCTTCCGATAAAGCTGCTGATGCCTGCGAAGCTGACGAACATTCACGAATTCGCGTTGAGAACGATCCCTTCGGCGTCGAAGATCGAGATCAAGCGAGTCCTGGAATCACTCTACGGATTCGATGTGGAGAAGGTGAATACACTGAACATGGACGGGAAGAAGAAGAAGCGTGGAGGCCTGTTGATAGCCAAAGCTGATTACAAGAAGGCTTACGTCACTCTGCGTAGCCCTCTGTCGATTTCTAGGGATCTGTTTCCGGTGAAGTATATCGAGGAAGATAGGAAGAGTAAAGTGAAAGGATCTAGCTTTGTTGAGGAGGAAGATGATAAGAAGAGCCATTGGCTTGATCGGAAGGAGAAGAGGGAGATCGGCGGTTATGGTAAAGGAAAAGGTCGTCGTGGCGGTGGAAGGGCTGATTCTCCGACGAGGGCTGGTGCGGCGGCGGCGGGGACGGCGAAGTTTCCATGGAGCAACATGAGATTTGTTGGTAAGTAGGGTTTTTCAGAAAAAAAGAACAGTTTTAAATCCCAGTCAGGGTTTATGAATTGGGTTGTGTTTCTTTAGCAATCGGATTTTGTTTCTGTTGGTTGAGGTTTATGAATCTGAATCCTACAAATGTTTCTGAGATTTGGCTAATAATAACATCTGAATAGAGTTATCAGCTTCATTTGCTAGAATCTGTGTCTAGCTGATATTGTTATGGAACACATTGGCCATGTTATGATATTTGCTTACGAATCTACAAGAATTATTAGTCAGGTGATGGGGTGTTTTTTAAGTGTGAGGAAATCTCTATACAGTCTGTGGATTTGGATGTGTGTATGTTCAAATGTTTAATCACATTAGCAGAGAGCAGACACGTTTGATAAAACTTGTAATAATTGGACTACCTTGGTCACTTTTATCATCTCCGATCATCCAAAATCCCACACCAAGCTTGGTGTTTTGTAGTTTTTACGAGTCTCCTCCGGTAGGATTCTTCGAATTGCAGAGAAAACTTCAAACGGTTGAGAGAAAAAAAAAATACAATTGACTCCCAAAAAAAAGAAAGAGATAGAAGAAGGCTATATTAGCAAATAAGTAATTTTTATTTATATATCAAACTAAGCAGTTCTTTTAATTAAATTTTCATCAAACATTTGATATAATTAACCGGAAAAAAATAATTTATTGTTAAGATTAATGAAGATAACTTGTATAATCATCATATCTAGAAAACAATTATCTTATCATAAAAAAAAAAGCGTCTTCGAGAGATATAAGTCCCGGCGGAAATCGTTGAATTATATATTTTGTCTTGTCTCAGCTTTGCGTGCGACCGAGTCTTCTTGGTCGTCGTGCTCTCCTTCTCTTTCTTCTTCTTCTTCTTCGAGACCTACCTTAAGATAAGAAACAAGAAACTCTGAATCTTCGGATCGATCGAACGAACATGGCGACTGTTTCACCTCTGGCCAAGTTTAAGTTGGTGTTCTTAGGTGATCAATCTGTCGGAAAAACCAGCATCATCACTCGTTTCATGTATGACAAATTCGACACCATTTACCAGGTATGTCCGTCCTCTTCCTATAATAATAATCACACACAAGGTTCCTTTCATGATCTTTACCCGTGGTTAGGTTGGTAGTTGTTTTCATCTCTCATTACATTGATTCACTTGCTTCAAACTTCAAACTGTTTTGTTGCTGTTGGTCTTTAATTAATTATCTACTTACTCTGACTTTTGGGATCACCATGGACTCATCGATTCTTAGGACTTTGTTTTGGGCGTAAACTCTTGTTGTTAGTATACGACTTGATTAGTCATTAAGCCTTAATTCTGCTCTCTGTCTCTCTGCAGCCTACCATTGGGATCGATTTTCTTTCGAAAACAATGTACCTCGAAGATCGAACAGTTCGTTTGCAGCTTTGGTAAGAGAACTAAGAAATTACTCTGTTTCTCTTTTCTTTCTTAAAAGTTAAAACCAATCCTGTTAGTTTAGATGGGTGTTTGTTGATTCCAGGGATACGGCTGGACAAGAAAGATTCAGGAGTCTCATCCCAAGTTACATCAGAGATTCTTCTGTTGCCATTGTTGTGTATGATGTTGCCAGTGAGTCTGCTTTTTACTTTGTTTTGTTTCTGTCCTTGGTTCTTTGATTCCCCGGTTGTGTCTTTATGTGTTCCAAACTCTTGTGTGTTGCAGATAGGCAAACATTTCTGAACACCTCGAAATGGATCGAGGATGTACACAGAGAAAGAGGTCAAGGCGATGTTATTATTGTTCTTGTTGGAAACAAAACTGATCTCGTTGATAAAAGGTATATATAAACCAAAATCAGGCTTCCGTTCAATGGGTTTATATGATTCTCTCTTGTCTTATGTGTGTCATTCTTGATATTATGAAAACAGGCAAGTATCAATTAGTGAAGGGGAAGATAAGGGCAAAGAGTATGGAGTGATGTTCATCGAGACCAGCGCAAAAGAAAATTTCAACATTAAGGTATATTAGAGCAACTTGAGTGAGTGTTTTTGTTGTTGTTGTCTTATTTCTCTCACAAACACGAATGGTTATTACTTTCGCAGGCTTTGTTTCGGAAGATTGCGGCAGCTTTACCGGGGGTGGACTCATATTCATTGGGGACAAAATCAGAGGACATGGTTGATGTGAACCTAAGGACCACTTCGAATTTATCTCAAGGTGAGCAACAAGGAGGAGGAGGAGGAGGTGGTGGAGGAGGCTGTTCTTGTTGATTTCAAAATACATATTCCATTAAAGAAATTTGTGAAGCAAACAAAAGGGATAAAGATAGTTTTGTGATTTTCATCTTATCAGACATTAACAGACACATAATATACATCAAAGAAACAAGGATCACGAAAGTGACCTTTTCTTCTATCACTGCTGACTCTCTCTCTAGTTGATCAGTTTTAGACATTGACAGAAGCAGCATACAAAACCTCAACCTCAACTCTAGCAAAAGGAGCATGTTCAACTGTAATGACAGCTTCTGACCACTTAATCGTGCCCCAGACCTCACCTTCTTCCTTGCGTCTCTCCAAGGAAATCTCAGCACACCAAACGTCCCACCGAGGCCCAACCCAAAAAACGACAATGTTCACACCAAAATTGCTCAGCTTGCTGACACGCTTTTCGAACAGAGAGGATCTGCGGGAGACCCGACTAGAAAAATTCATGCGTAGAGCCTCCAAACCCTTCACTTGATTCCATTCCAATTCCTCTGACTCACGCCAAACCAAATTCCCCAAGCTATCACAACCGTACAACATACCCTCTATCACACAACAATAACGTAGTGTTTCTGGCCTTGTCCTTCTTCCCCATGTAGAGTCACTGGGGGAGTAGAAGAAGGTTCCGGCGTAGAGCTTGTCCTCCATCACTAGGGCCTCGCCGATTAAATTATCACTTTCATTCCGATCAGGCAAAGGCAGCAAAGTATCCCAAGACTGGGTCACTGGGTCAAATACCTCTGCCCAGTTCGAGCAATCCAAGTCGTCGCAGCCTCCAAACACGTAAATCTTCCCACCTACGACGCCAGCTGCTGGGAGAAGTCGAGCCACTCCCATGGAAGGGGCGTGGCGCCATGTGTTAGTCCGACAATCGAGGAGCCAGACATCGGACGTGCGAGTGTCTTTTGTGAAGCCACCAATCACATAAATCCCCCAATCCAGCACCACAAAAGAAGAAAAAACTGGAGGCTGAGAAGGGTTTAAAGGGATCGGGATCGGGATCAGCCTTCTCTGCGCGGCACGGCGGAGGATGAACCCGCGAGGGGTTGTGTCAGGCTTGATGCTTAAGCATATGTAGAGGCACGCTTCGGTGAGACCCATTAGCGATCGTGTCTTGTAGAGCTCAGATGAATTTACGAGAGAGCGGTGTTTCTTGGAGACGAGAGATAAGGCTAAGTGATCTGATCTTGACACTCGAGCCAGGTAGCTCACGGCCATCGAATCTGGCAACGAAGATATCGGAGACTTTTCCTCCTTGGCTACAGAACTGGACATCGTCGTTTCTTTCCCAAAAAGGATCTTGCTGTCCAGCACCATCACTGGACAGTGTATACACTACCAGAGAGAGTGAATTACAAAACACCTAAATTAACAAAATCATCGCTAAATATATTTTTTGCAATCAGGATATACAAATAAATCGCTACCCTTACTATTATTTGTTCTTCTTTAGTTTTCTACTTCTGATTTTTTTTTTTTTTTTTAAGTTACCTAAAACATTCGCTAGTGTTATCAACTTAACTTGGTAAAACTTGTAACACACAATACGAAAACTTTGTTGTGCTTTCATCTTTGACATTCTGATTAACATAATGGATTGTTAAATCTTTGCATACAATCATTTGTACTTGGTTCTTTTAAAGATTTAACAAATCCCTGTTGTTGTTCTGGTATAAATTGTATACTAAACGAGAAATTATGATCATGATGCTACGCAGTACGCACTGTTTGTTGATTCTTCTCTTGCTTTACCTTTTTAACCTCTTGTTGAGTTCACACGTTAATCAGGCCTTAAGCATTTGCAAGTGTTATGCACAGAGGAAATGTTATTATCGACATTATGAAACTTGGAACAAAAGACGAGTTTGGGAAAGAGAGATTCAAAACAGAGACGACCAAGGAGTGGAAAAAAAGGCCAAAAGAGATGTTACAGTTTACATGTGACTGAAGCTGTTGTTGTCTCCGTTTTGCTTCACTCTCAACGTCAAGTAGATCAATATCAATGTTCCCACACTTGATCTGCAATTCAAGTCATTTAAAGTTAATATCGTGAATGCATCATCGTAAGTATATTTTTATACGCATGAAATACGTAGAGGTATTTACTTACAAGATGGAGAATAAAATGACGATTTTTCTTGAATCAAATGACGCTGCACGCTTGTATCTTCTCCACCTGTTCGTTGGTGCATCATGGCATCGCTCGGAGATTGTTTTATCTGCAACAGAAAATTTTCAAGATTTAGTGGCTAAATACAACAGACAAAATCTTAAATTATGCGACTTCAGTGAAAATTTTGTTATCTTACCAGTGCTCAAGCTTGCTTGTCTCTGTAATACCTTTTGCATATGCTGTGAAAAATACCATAGGAACCGCATAAGAGTCAGAGATTTGGATATCATCTTCTCGATATGGACAAAAGGAAAGTATATGTTGTTGTTGTTGAAGAACTTACTACACTCTCAGATTTTACGCTTCCAACAACTTCGTCATGGGATGTAACAGTCTCACCACCATTTCCTTTCTCGACGTTTATATCCACAACGCATGATTGGTAGGAATCTGTGCCTCCCAGTAGCACATTGATGCGGTTCTGCGTTTTCTGACAGTTGAGCTGCGCATCGATCAACATCTGATTTTTAGATGGAAGCAGAGCCTTGACAAAGCTCAAGAGAGTAAACTGTGAGGTACATTGCGGGATTGTACTTCCTTCATCAGGTAAGACAGATATAGTACAGACGTCTTGGACCTATACAAATATGGCAAGAGTTTGGAGGACTTAGCTCGCCTTATCACAGAACACCCACAATGGTAATTCTGAACATCTATTTAGTTCTCGGATGTACCATTGATATACTGATAGTCCTCATTCAAAGTGTAACAGAATTGAGCAAAAAAACATACTATCATCATGTTCCTACTCTAAGAAAATCAGAGAAATAGTCAAATGGCTAGGGGTAATTCCATTAAGGACTTGACAACTAAAAACAGAACTCACCAATGAAGAATCGATGCTACAGTCTTCTTTCAAAGGGAAAGCAGCCTCCTTGACAAGAAGCGGGAAAACATCTGCAACGCAAAAAAACAGAAGGGTCATTTTACACAGTGGCAAGCCTCGAAAATCTATTAATGATACTGAATTAGAACAGCATGATCCTATTATGTAGTATATACCAATGGCGCTATGTTTGCCACCATCGGTGAAACTCGACTTAGGTGGCTTGAAGCTTGGATACTTGACAGGTGGTGGTGCATTCCCATCAGCGACAGTAACGAATTGCTGCTTCCCCTGTAGAATATATTCAGAAAAACCTGTGTAAAAATCACAGCATGGAAAGCTAGAACAAAAAAATGATCCCAAAGACTAGACTTGACCAAAACCCAACAAAAGATACCAAAACAGTAATAGTGTACACACTACACAACTTGAAATAGTCACTTGGATCTAGAGACGTGACTTCTTAAACTGATCGTTTGTTTCACTATTTATCTTGTCCAAAGTAAGTGACCGACTACACTAAACAGTTCCAAGGATAGTAAAATTCCTAAAATAGTCTTCTCTCATGATCCATCTAAAACAAAGAAAATGGCTTTAATTCAGGAAGAAAACACTTCCAGAATCGAATCTGACGAGCCATCGTAAGTCTCATCTTCTTCTCAATAATATTCCAAATATCGAAGATTCGATTTCAACCCAACAACACCAAATCGATAGGAACAACAAACACTAGAAGGAGTAATTCAACAAACCTCATCGAAGAAATCACCCATCGGAGAGAGAGAGAGAGTGGTGAACCGACGGTGGAAATTAGAAGCGGTGCTTCTTCAAAAGGGGGAAAGACGAAGAGCTTCCTGAAGACTTAGTTTATACAAACAACAACAACAATGCACGTATGTAGAGAGAGAGAGAGAGTAGTGTCTTTGAAATCGGAAGCTTCAGCGTAACGGCAGATTCAGAGAGAGAGAGAGAGAGATTGAAGAAGAGAAGAAGAAGAGGCTGTTTCTCCGGGCCCGGCGCGATTCGCCTGTGAATGGCTTTCTTCAATCCATCTCTGATTGCGACATCCCCAATTTACAAACCCAATTAGGATAACGACAAATCCTCATTCTCCGCCTCCCTCTCTACTTTTTTTTTCTTTTTTAATATTCCCAATTTTACCCTTTTACTTTTTCTTTCTTCCTCCTGGATCTCGTTATTAGTAGTAGTAGTATTAGTTAAACTTGATTAGTACTATTTGAGTGATTACATTAATATTATGATTGATAATTTATTACGACCATATGGGATCATCAACATAATGACATTTACTGACAAATAAATGCATGTCTGTACTCTCTCTCTCTCTCTTTTTTTCTTTTTTCTCTGTACATTTCTGTTTGTTGTTTGATACTACTACTCCAGTATCAGTCATAATTACAATTTACTATTTATGAGCTGTCTACTACCTTTTTGTAATGCACAAAACAATCATTTTTATTTTTTTTGGGGAAGCAACAATATATGGTATTCATTATTCAAGAATCAAGAGAGACATTATAAATTTATAACCCAACCATATATTACTATATAAAATCCATCCATGCACTTCTTCTTTCCTTTTTTTTGGTTGTTGCTGAAACTCATATGCCATATGCTTCAATTCTCCCTTTCCACTGCCAGCTTTAAGGACTCTTGATATTTTATTTATTTGTGGTTTAAATTTTAACGAAATATGTCATAGACTCATAGGTGTGGAGCTACTAACTTGTTGAATCCATAGAATCAGAAAAATGAAAACATTTATGTTTCAGAAAAAAAAACAAAAAAAAAAAGGCACATAATAGTAGCTCACGGGTGATCCAAGCTTCTCTGTCTGTATCTTCTTCGTCAACTTCTCCCGTGAGCGAAACTTTTTGAGTTTTGTCTCTTCCCTTTTCGGTATGAATATGTTTACTTGTTTGTTTGTTTTATAGTATAAACTTATTATTCTCACGACAAAACTGATTATAGCGAGTAGAGGCTCCTGTCCTAATTTCGTTATCAGCCCAATCATTCTTAATGGGCCGTATATAACACTTATATATAACACAATTTCATATTCTGTTTTGTTGCTCATTCATAGAAGAATACATTTGACAAATCTGAGACCATTTAAAGGAAAAAAAAAGTAGAATAACGATTGTAAAATTTCAACATACTGTAGCCTTCTTCCTTGCATTTTTCTTTGACTGAAAAAAATGCAAAAGACAAGGGAGTTATTTGCCATAATAAACTGTACATCATGGCCTTTCAAAGTATACAAATTTCAGTTATAACATTTCCAATTTTAAACTCACCAAATATCTTTGGGAGAGACAGAGAGAGAGAAAGAAAACCCCCAAAAAAAAAAAAAAAAAAGGTTACTGTCAATTGAGTTGACTTTTAAGATAAGCATATACCATTACTAATAATAGTTAAGAAAGAAAAAAAGAAGAAGAAAGTCCCTTTTTGCTGCTTTCTCAGCTTTTACTTGGTTGGTCCAAGGCTCTCGTAGAACAAGATGTAACCATGATCAGTATTGCTCGAATACTCCTGAGACGATCCAAAGAACGTCTGAACTGCTGATTCTTCAATCATCTCAACATTCTCATCATCAAAGAAGAGCCAATGGTTATGGCTTTTCACAAGGCTGACGTAATGGCCATGGTTTGGTCCACTTCCGACATGCACCACCACTGCAAAGAGAGAGTACTCCACATCTGCGTATGGTTCCACCGTGTTGCTCAGTTTTAGCTCCAAAGGGAAGACAACTCGATATGAGAGCTTCTTGTAGCGGCCTAGCTGTTCGATGTATTTGAATCGTTTTAGATGGATGACTAAGATGTGTGGTGGCTTCTTGATCTTCATCCTCTTTTGTGCTTCTTGTAAGCTGCAATAACAAACATAATTTGGTCAGGTCACTAAGTATTTCCCATTGCACATAATAAATCATGCAGAGAGGAACATGGGAGCTCAGCGACTAATATTTAGTTGCAGTTATCAAAGCAAAGCTGAAGAATTTAGATTCGAAATGCGATGGGGTAAGACTAAGAACCAACATTTTACCTGCAGCACTTGTCACAGAAGAATTTGTCTTCAGCGTGAAGAGTCTCTGTGGAGCTGAAGTTTTTCAGACAGCTGGTTATCGAACTGTTCTGTTCGATATCAAGGCTTAGGTCTAGGAATGTTTCGTCTCTTGCTGTCACTGTTTCACATCGCAGACACCTTGTCTCGTTGGTAAGTATGCCCTGTGTACATTATCCGGAATTTATATTTAGCCAAAAATGTAATACATAGTCAAACCATAGAAGGAAAGATGAACCGTTTCATTAAAAATAACGAACCTGAAAAATATTGTGCACCCAAGTAACAATAGGCTCTTTGTGCACAATACCATTTGCCTGAGGAACTTTAAGTCCATTTGCAATCTTTTCGGGAGACGATGATGATGAGGTTTCATGTTCAGTTTTTGTAGCTTTTGCCTCTTTCTCCAGTATGTCAACAACTTCATTCAGCAAATAATTCAAGAATTCATGTGCATCCTACATGAGTAGAATGGCCAGTTTAATCAATGATGCATATTGTTTTTCTCAGATCTGCAGTAAAATAATGCTCTAAAAGATGAAGAAATCTGCAAAGATCACCTGGTGCATATAACTCCGGAACAGCTCATTCTGTTTCTTCAACCTCTGTACAAATCGCTTAGGTGCAATAACACCTGTTTTCTTTTTCTGGGAACTTATCTGCAGAATGAATTACAATGAGTAAGCTTATGATAACGCTTTTGTTTTCCTGTAGAAATGACTAGCACACGATAATCAAATGATGATGACAGGATATGACAGGCTAAGCCCTACGTCAAGCACTTCAGATTATTGAAGATACCTAACAACAGACACAATAGTATTGAAATCCTGCTATGTTGACTTTGTGCCTTTTAATAAGTGACTTCACCCATTTATAATGTCAAGTGAGAATCAAGTAAACCAAGCTTGTACAAGCAAAATGCTATCAGCGAAGGAAAGATGGTCACTGGAGTTAAGACCGATTGAAGTGATGACTAACATGAAACTGAAAGGAAAATTAAACTCTCAAGAAAAAGATGGCCAGATATTATAACTACCTGCGAAAATAAGTCTGCCAGGCAGGTCATAAGATTCTCTTCAGCATCTACCACGCTTTTATTACTGGTATAGTATTCGAGCAATTGTTCACGAAAGGGAACACAGAAATAAAGAGCCTGCACAAAGGATAAAGAATCAGCACATTAACTACTATAGTAGAGAGCAGTAGCCAATGATAAAGTTAATCACCAAAAGCCTTTCTCCAGACCAGAGAACTCATTCATATATATAGCACACAGAGATATCCAAAAATAAATAGAGCGGATACACAATTGCAACTACACGAGTACTTATAAAAAGCTCTAAATGCTCTGATTACACACCCTTCCTCAGAAAAGATTCGTAGGATTCACAAAAAAGTATTAACATATTTGAGTATCTACAGCAACCTATGGTTTGAAACTCCAATTCGAAAGAGCAAAGAACAATTCTGAGAAATCTGAATGCAACCAAATCAAATTTGAATATTTAGAAACGAATTTGACAAAGTAAGGTCAAACCCAGATACGATTTAAAATGGAGAAACCGTCCATAGATTGGATTGAAACACATAAATTCAAAAAACCCAGAAGAAATCGTCACAGGAACACTTGGAATTCGAGAGGAAACTAACAAGGGGAGAGATGATAAGAGAGGTAGAAGAAGTGGACCTGCAAAACGCTGTTGCAGTAGCAAGTGTTGCCGAAATTCTCGAATCCGAAGTAGCGTTCTCCTTCGGGGAACTGGTCGCCGAGAGCTTTCTCGAGTTTGGAGCCCGCGGCGCCCATTAGCCCTAGAACTAGCTTCCGTATCACCGTTTTTTCTGATCCTGACTCGTCCGATTTGACTCGGAGATTCTCTCTCAGAGGAAGTATTCTCTTTTAGGGCTTAGCCTCTGCGATTGTTCGATTCGATCCGATAAATTCAGATTTCCAAGGAGCCTCTCTCTTAGTGCGGAGAGAAGAGGATCGACGATATATTTTTCTTCTTTTTTTTTGTTTTAAGCGAAGCGACGAAGGAAGATGTCGAAAAGGAGCAAGAAAGAGAGACTAGACAAGAAGAGAGATTGATGTCAAATAACAGAGTCAGTAATTTGCATATTACTCCTCCAAAGTTGAAGCTTTATGAATATGACCTTTAATTTCTAAAGTATTAGAGTTAGGTTTGGCAAAATTCTCGAATCCATGAAATTTCGAATTTGAACTAAACTGTATAATATAACCTAAATGGATTAAAAATAAAATTAAACTGTATTAGCCAATCCCGAACCAAAATATAATATAATTTGTTTAAAAAACTAATATTTTTAATTAAATATATGAACAAATCTATAATATCAACATTTTTATGGTGTGCGGTTTCTGGTGCTTAAGCGACGATTACAATGGGCATGTTCGTTTGGTCGCCGCAGATACATGCGGCTGCGGCGGCAGCAAAAATTGTTGTTTGTTTGGTTGCCGCAGCGGCGAATGCAACGTTATGTGATTAAAAATTTTGAACGTCGATCTGACTTAGCGGCTAAAAACGTTGCATTCGCTGCAACCGCCTGCGGAGACCAAACGAACATGACCAATATCATTTTCTTTTGGGTCCTCTACTATAAAACACACGTTATTGGATGTCCAAACTACCCTACTGCTCGTTAGGCCATGGTCATCGAGGAATGAATGAACTTGCGGATAAACTCTTTTCTTATGCTAATTCTATGAACTCCTTGTATGAATCATTTACTGTACCGCTTTTTTGGCTTTTACAATCATTGTAAAAACTTAATATCAATATAAGTCGGATGTTAAAAAAAACAATCTACAATATTAACTAAAATCAGTTAATCATTGGTTTTACATTATAATTTGTTTGTTAAAACAAAACCCATATATAATTTGATTATGAATGAGCCAAATTTATCTTCTGTAACATATTACATAAAAATGTATTTATGAGAAAAAAAAAATCAAATATTAGTCTTTTGTTTTGTAAACTTAATCATGTGCTGTAGAAGAAAAAAATATCTTTAATATCACATATAATTAAATATAATATAGAATTTATGTTTATCGCATAACATATCATAACTTAGTTATATGCTATAAATTATATGTATATTATATTTGCTATAAAATAATTATGTTACTTAAAGTTTAAATTTTTTTTTTCATAAAAAGATATGATATTCTTTAAAATATGCCTTAATTAATAACACTTTCTAGAAAACATCAATATCTTTTTCAATTTAACTTATATTATCAAGTTACTTTTTGAAATATATATCTCCTTGTAGATAATCAGAGTTAATATATGAAATATCTATTTCCTTATAGATACCATTATAATTATTGTAAAGAAATTTGTTATATGCCAAATTAAAGTCTACATATATACACAAACTCGTGTTTCCTCATCCTAGATTTAGTTCCTCTTAATCCACTAGGTGATAATTTTTAGTCAATTTTGCAAGAAATCAGTTATAGTAAAAAATCTCAAGAAGAATAATTTGATTCAAAGTATCTTTCTTTTTGAAATTGTATTCATGAATTTTCTGTCACCAATCAAACTATATAAAGCCCTATTAAATCTCACAAAATCCATCAACATCAAGAAATAAGAAAACACTTACAACACGAAAAAAAAAATGGCCAAGATCAAATCTTTAGATGTTGTTGGTACCATCGCAATAATTTTGTTGTTGCTCGTTGCAGGTTAATCAAGCATTCTCAAATTTCTGAGTATCAATATTCTCAATTATTTGAAATGCTTGCTTAGCTATGTTAAAGCTTTCTTATGTATACATATTTTTCCGGGTTTACATGCACATTTTGTTTGTTTCTAACCAGAGAGTCGTCTTATTGTTTTGATTTGTAGAACAAGCAAACGCATTCACCGTTGATGCTGATTGTTTTGGACCGTGCACTCCCAACTGCCAACAACTCTGCATATCGAAAGGTTACAAAGATTGGACTTGTGCATCTTTTAGAATGGGGACAAGCTGTTGCTGCAAACCACGAAAGCAGCAAATGTTTGAACAAGCTTCTCAATTGAACAACTAAAACCATTTTTAATATTATATTGTAACTTGTATCACTAAATAAGTATTTTACTTATATAAAAAAAAAAAAGAGAATAAATCGATATTTTTCTTGTTTTTTCACTTATCGTAGTGCATGGTGATAAAAGGTGGAAAAATGATTAAATTTCCTCTTTATCATAGTTTGCTCAAACCTATTACGCATAAAAACTTTGTTAACAATTATGATTTTGGGTTATCGTGTAATTTTATAGATAATCTGAGGTTTATGTCAGCACACTTGACATCATTTAGGACCAAAATTGCAATATCATTGTTTTTGTCATATTTCATTGGAATTGCAAAAGACGGCGACGTTTAGAAGGTTACCCTTAAACGCCGTCACAATCACTCACACAATTGGGGGTAAACGATTATGGAAGACGACGATCCGAGCTTCGCTACCGAAACCCTAGATCCGGCACTGCAGAAGAAGCACCATGACATGCTTGAGCGTCTCTCTGCTCGTCACCAAGCTCGAAAATCCGATTCACCTGATACTTCCTCCTCCTCCTCCACTCTCGAATCGACTTCCTCGTTTCTCGCTAAATTCTCCGATGCCAGGCGATCCATCGAGTCCCGAATCGCTGAGTCACGATTCGTTTCTTCCTCCTCCGCCTCCTCGTCTACGGATCCGTCAAAGCATAAATCGGATCTTGCTGACATCTCCGTCGCGATTAACGATCTCGAGAAGCTTCTCGCTGAGAACTCGTATTTCCTTCCTTCTTACGAGGTCCGATCGTCTCTGAAAATGGTATCCGATCTCAAACAGAGTCTCGAAAGTCTCTCCGCGGAGTTAATCCCGAAGAAGAAGTTCTCGTTCAAGAGCAAATCAACGAACAAAAAGCCGGAACCAAAACTCCCGGAGATTCAGAAACCCGACGTCGTTTCACCTCCGAATTTCCTCGTACCCGTACGCGATTCTCCGGGATTGAGGAACAAGCACGGAGAGACTCTGGTGAAAAGTTTCAAAGGCTCGTCGATCGGAGAGTTCACATTGTCGGATCTCGATTCATGTCAAGTACAATTAACAGGAACAGTTAACGCTCTGTTTCTTCACCGGTTGAAGAACTGTAACGTTTACACAGGTCCAGTGATTGGTTCGATTCTGATCGACGACGTAGAAGATTGTGTGCTAGTGTTGGCCTCGCATCAGATCAGAATCCATTGCGCTAGGAAGAGTGATTTCTACCTGAGAGTGAGGAGTCGTCCCATAATTGAAGACAGTAATGGTGTCAGATTTGCTCCTTACTGTTTGGATTACAAAGGGATTGAGGAAGATTTGAAGACGGCAGGTTTGGATGAGGAGACTAACAACTGGGCCAATGTGGATGATTTCCGGTGGCTTAGAGCTGTACAGTCGCCGAATTGGTCAGTTTTGCCGGGAGAAGAAAGGGTTTCTTCGGTTTCCATATCCAGTAATGCAGATTCTTGATCAGTTTCAGATCATCAGGTACCAATTAAGGTTGGAAATTTCATACCAAACACTCTTTTAAACAAGTCTCTTTGTATTCAAAGAACATAATTGTTTGTTCCATTCCCATGGCTTGAGGTGCCTTGAATGTTACTCTTTTCTATCATGGTGATGAAGAACCAAGCGAGCCAGCTTTCTTTACATCATTGCTTGTTTTTCTATATGTAAAACATGGAGAGATAAAAGATATTTGATCTTGTGTTTAGAGAAAAGCCAATACTAAAGGTGTACAATATATTTGTTAAATCAACCAAAATTTCTGGCATGCTTTGGAGTTGGAGTTGACAACAATGACAAGGATCACCGATTATGGCTCTGCTCGTTAAAAGAGCAGCGACTGATAAAAGAAGAAGCCCATTTCACACACAAAAAAAATAAATAAAAAATTGATAGTCGTTGTCTTATGAATTCTAGTCATTGTTGAGATGAGTCTGACTCAAAGCATAGTATAGTTGGGCTAAAAGGCCCAATATAGATGTAGTAAGACCCATAAACCAAGAGGGAACCGCCTGCTTTGACTCTCTGACTGTTGAGAACAACTTGCTCTCAAGTCTGATTTTCTTCCTTGAATATAGTAATTAGGATCAAACAAGTACTGCAATAGGAAAACGTAGTGTTTGTTGACTGATTTTGAAGATAGTGTTTGAACTCCGTTCTTCTCTTTATATATACACAGTCAAGCATAATAGTAGTAGGGAAAACAAAAACACTCATGTAAAGATGATAAAAATACTATAAAGCTTATAAATCACATGGGCATTGCTAGGTTACTAGGTTGGTAGACGCAAAAAGACAACATACGATCATTTTCCCAAAAGATTGGCCTCCAACAGTAGTGACCCATGCACACATACCAAAACCACTCTACTTTTCACTAAAAAATCTTCCAAATTAATTTACAACAAAATTAAACACCAGTAGTAATTTTTGTTTTCCTTCTTTTTTCTTTATTTTTTTTCAATACTAGTAACTTTGTTTTGACTTTTGATTAGTAAAAAACTTAGTATATGTTATACTTTTTTGGAGTATACATAAAATAAGGGTTTTAATGATGGAATATGGTCATGTGTTTTTTGTGGAAGAACATATGTCAATATTGTTGGTACTCTTATGACTCTCTCCCCCCTTCTCACCTGTTTTCTTACTCTCTATATATATCTTTCTTACACGTAAATTTATACCTTCATAGTTTTCTCCTCCTTGTATTGTGAAATTAGACATAAAACTATAAACCCGACTGCCACCTTTTGGGATCTGCAAACTTCTTGATCGTCGGGTACAAATGGAAGGTTTAGCTATCAGAGCATCGCGACCGTCCGTTTTCTATTCTCTTCCAGGTCTCGGTGGAGATTCTCAGCGACGACGACCTTCAAGTGACGGTTTCCTCAAGCTTCCGGCGGAGAACCGCAAAATAATAGCCAACTCTGCTTCTTTTCACCCAATCTCCGCCGTTAACGTATCTGCTCAAGCTTCTCTCACCGCGGATTTTCCCGCCCTTTCAGGTTCTCCATATTTCTCTGTCTCTCTGTTTCGTCATATAACAGATGGTTCACTTTTTCAAAACAAACAAAAAAAACGATCAGCTTCTTCTCCACAAACTTGTTGAAAATTTCCAACTTTTGTTACTTTGTGTGTTGGGGCAGAAACGAGTCTTGAAGAGAGGAGAATTAACGGAAAAGAGAAGGCGGAGAACATCGTATGGCACGAGAGTTCCATCTGCAGATGCGACCGACAACAACTTCTTCAACAAAAGGGTTGTGTCATCTGGATCACTGGTCTCAGCGGTTCAGGGAAAAGCACTGTTGCTTGTGCACTAAGTAAAGCATTGTTTGAAAGAGGCAAACTCACTTACACACTCGACGGCGACAATGTCCGTCACGGCCTTAACCGGGACCTCACTTTCAAAACAGAGGACCGTACCGAAAACATTAGAAGAATCGGTACGTTACATATCATGATCTGTTTTATTACTAACTTATTAAACCAAATTTTAAAACGTGTTATATATATGGTTACAATGTGGAAACTTTATTCAAACTCGATATGGGTTATGATATTGATCTATATAAATTACATATGTATATCAGGTGAGGTGGCTAAGTTGTTTGCTGACGTTGGCGTCATTTGTATAGCAAGTTTGATTTCTCCGTACCGGAGAGACAGAGACGCGTGCCGGTCCTTGTTACCTGAGGGCGATTTTGTCGAGGTATAGATTACTTGCTACTACTTTACTTAGATAGTTCGATCCCATATATGATATTTGACTTACGCATATAATTTTCTATAATCGAGAAGATCCACTGCTAGTATATTAAGAAAAATTACATTGTTCTAGGTGTTCATGGACGTTCCTCTTCATGTATGCGAGTCCAGAGATCCAAAGGGGTTATACAAGCTTGCACGTGCCGGAAAAATCAAAGGTAGATATTATATGTAAGACAGAGTTTGTGTGACTCATTGATAACATTGTATTACACAGTCTACGTATGTACATTTTAGACCATAATTAACTAACTAGGGTTGAACCCTTGTAAGAGAATAACATAGGAAACCTTTAGTTATCATAAACTTGTTCTTATCTAACTGTTGAGTTTTCTTTATGTAGGCTTCACTGGAATCGACGACCCTTACGAGGCACCACTGAATTGCGAGGTTCGTCAATGCGTATATTCAATAATTAGCGTAACTGAATATTTATTTGGAACGTAAAACTTTTGTATTTATGTATGTCTGTGTACGTAATTTCTTGCAGGTAGTGCTGAAACACACAGGAGACGAGGATTCGTGTTCGCCACGTCAGATGGCTGAGAACATCATCTCCTACCTACAAAACAAAGGTTACCTTGAGGGCTAATTTAAGTTTTTTTTCTTTATTTTTTTTTAACTCGGAAAAGATTAAAAGGAGAACCCAATTTGTCGAATCGATTCGATATATGGCTTGAAGATGGCTCTCCCTGGTTCGATCAGAAGCTTGAGACCTGATACGATGTCGTCTCGCTTCGTCGGACTATTATCATTTGTTTCTTCTTCTAATTATCATTTAAGAGTTTTATTTGCTCCAATGATGTCGACTGTGTTTGTTATCTAATTAACGTGTATCAGTAAAATGCATTCGTTGTGTTTAAGTTATAGTATATAGTTTTTTGTTTTTGAAAACAATGTATCATATATATATAAGCTATATACAAACAATTAACTCTCTCTTTTTTTGGTTAAAAAAAAAACACTTACAATTTATTAGATTACCTTAGTGTACAAAAAAAGTCCCCGTTCGGTGAATATGATCAATTAAAAAGTCCAACACATAATAAGGAATGTTATAGATGAATCATAATTAAGGCTACAGCCCAGAACTGAAAATTAAAACCTTATAATACCACCAAGCAAAAAAAAACTCAGAAGGCATCTCTCAAAATTGCCAAGAGAAAATCCAAAACTCAAGAGGCGACAACAAGCATGCACTGATCAGGATTTATGATCACATACGTACGTACGGTAGAAGATCTGTCGCTCGATCGTTCGATACTTGAAACTGCATGCAGTCAAAAACATATGAGATTTTTATGGATTCCGCGATGGTCTTGTAGAGCTATGCCAAACCAATTGTATCATATATGAACCAGTAGTGTACAGAACAAATTTAATGTATAACTTTAAATCAGATATATTACGAAGAAAAACGAAAGTATATATCATGTAATTTGTGAAAATTTTGACAGGTGAGATTTGATGGGGCACGTTTTTATTTATTTCATGCATACATATACTAAAAAAAAAAAAAACTACATTTGGTTGGCAGGGACACAAAAACTGATAAATATCCTCACTCCTCAGAGTGGGTACGGTGGCACTCTCCTCCGAATGCTATTTTTGGTTTTACTTTAAGACTTTGATGACACCCAAATTAAATCTAAGAAAAAACTATTCTGGAAATAATTTATATCAATCTCTAGAAAATTCGTACTCGATTGTATTTCCAAAATACACCCAATCCCTGTTGAACTTTTGTTTCCGTTGACAAAAAAATCCCAATGAAGTTAGAAGACTTCATTCATTCGTATTCGTGGGAAACAACCAAAGATTCTCGTTCAAGTGGCCTTACTCGAGAGTATTCAAATCTCAGAGAGTCAGAGTATATATATATAATCTGATGAATAGTCAATCATTTTTAATTTAGCTTTGAATACCCGAACTTGACCAGTATATATATTTGTAATTTTAAGGAAATATTCTTAAAAATAACTGATCATAGATTTCGATAAATAGAATATGACGTAAACCTACCACGTCATTATTGAACTGGTCTTGTTAAAAACTACGTACGTACCTACTCTTTAATCTGATGAATTCAACATTTTTGAAATCACTGCATGATAACGCGGTTACGCGGGTCTGTTAGAAGATATTGTTTTGTTTTGCATGCATCACTAATATATATTGTCATCACGAGCATTCCTATTTCTTAGAAATGAGCAATTAGTCATAGTTCAAAGAAACGATTTCAGCTGGTGAACCTATAATATAATTTGATTTCTCATTTCACAACATATTTAGCGGTTAACAACGTAGCCCTCTATATTGTTCACCAGAACCTTGTATATGAAAGAAGCAGATAATTCTACTGCGTAAACTGTCTCAAAAACTTACCAAAAAGACCTAAAAGGGATATATCCTGCAAAGTATATATATTGTATATAAAGTTACTATTCCCTGCAAAGTATGCAGACCAATCCTTTGTCGCCAGCTTGTTACGTATATAGTTTTAAACCCTAGATTTCCTTTTCTCAAAAACTGTATGATCAATCATTCATTTATGTCAAAAGAAAAGGAAAAAATAAAAAAACCCAAAAATATATATACCAGGCAAACAATAATAGAGAAGAAATTAAATATCTATACAGTCTTTTTGGACTTCAACCCTAATTAAAAGAAAAAAATGGATTTTTGACTATATTTTATGTACAAGTCTAGATTTAAGAAAAAAATAATTTGGAACTATATCCAGGATCTCTAAAGTCTTGTGATATTTTTGAAAAGTATGGTGCTTTTTTAAGTATCATTGATAAAAAAAAAATACGGTCCATATATACATAACATGCATGGTAAAAAATGAAATGATTGATTTTGCTAAAACGAAGAAGACAATAAATTTTGAACGAGTTCGATATTAAGGATTTTGACCATAAAAAAAGAAGACCAGAAAGTATTTTGAATGAAAGACATTTTGTATTATTACTCATAATGAATCCGTTTGATCTTGAAGCATATATGTGTCAGATACAATTATTAGTCAAATTACATTGTAGCTTCTCCTTTAAGGAAAAAAATCGACAACAACTATTTAGAGAAGAATTTGAGTATTTGACTATAGACTTCGTCGGGGTCATATCGGAAACGGCAGAAGTGAAACGGCGTCGTAACATGGAAGCACAAGCCTTGATTTTTGTTGTATATATTGACTGACTTAATATATATATTTTGTTTAGTAGTAGTAGTCAGTAACTTTGACTCTTCCCACATCTCCCATCTTAATTTCCACGTGGCTTTTTGGCAGGTGTACTCTACTCTACCCAAAACAAACAAACGAATTTCCTATTCATATATAGAACTTTATTGATTATTCTTATGATATTTTTCTTACACTTTCAATATGTAATTTTTTTTTATCATGCATACATTATTATTAATTAAGAGAGGTTATAAAAGGATGCAAGTGATCATTTCATTGAAAAAAACGCGACATCTGGTTTCGGTTCAGAGAATATATCCAAAAATTAACAGATATTATATATATTTAGTATATATATATATATATATGTGTGTATTTGTCATGTGTGTCGTTCCCATTCTTCTACATTTTTTCTCTAACCATACCAAACCAAACCATATATATTGTTCTATATTCTCAAGCTGAGACAAACAAGTGCCTCTCTAGACAAAATCAATTTTGACCCATACGATATCTTGAATATTAACCCATTCTAAATAATTTACAAGCTTGCGAAAGATCGCTAGCTAGAATTGAATATTACAAGTGTGTCATCATACATATAGAGAGTTTCACTAAATATGGCGGTCCAGTTACAATGATCTCTCTCATGAGAATATATATATATATATAAATTTACATGACTAATTTACATATATGTATATATTCCGTTAATGTGTAAGCAATCCATTGTATATATGTGTTAAGCTGTTAAATTTTTATATATGTTCCACGTACGTTAGCGATTCTGCTACTAGCTACGATAAATTACACATAAAATGATGTTAACGCGGTTGTCCAAAAAAGAGTTAGGAATGATGTTAATCAACGCACATAGATATTAAGTAATATATAGTCGACATATTCAATGACACTAAAACAAGGGAATAAAACATCTATCCACAACTTTGGATATTTAGTTACAGTTGTGTATATGCCAAAGATGATATGTTTTTAAGTTCTATATTTTTTATTTCATAATAATTCACTAGTATATAATAAAGCTCCAAATAAAGACCGTAAATAATATGTTGTTCGGCTGGTTTTGAAGTGCATAAATAACACGAGGAATTTTGGCAGGTCACCAACAAAACATCTTTATTTTTGAAAAACTCTCGTCCATAATAGAAATTAATAAACAATATAATAGTAAAGAGTGACCGATATATACTTTGAAACGTAAAAAGGAATAATCATTATTTTGTTTTGTTTTAAATCAATGTTCAACAATGGTGGTGGTACTCATCAAGATGGACCCGATCCCACACACACACATCCCTCCGACAGTTTCCTCACTCTTTCCTTTTAGTCCTCTCCACGCATGAGGGCACGATTTGGTCATTTTACGTATACCTACCAACGACCAACTAAAACTTATATAAATAGGAAGGTGAAGCTCTCTCTCTTAATATCATCCATGCAGAGAGCACACAACAACACACAAGAAAACTCAACAACTTAACTTTTGAGTCTTCTCTCTCTCTCTGCTTCTGCTAGCTTACATACAAACATGAACACTTTTACCTCAAACTCTTCGGATCTCATCACTCCCACTTCAATGGAAACATCGTCCTTCAGCACCTTGTATCTCCTCACAACACTTCAAGCCTTTGTGGCTATCATCTTAGTGACTCTACTCAAGAAAATGATGTCGACCACCACGACTGACCCGTCCAGTGCAAAGAAACCGTCTCTCCCGCCGGGTCCCACCGGATGGCCGATCATCGGAATGATTCCGGCCATGCTAAAGAGCCGTCCCGTTTTCCGGTGGCTCCACAGCATCATGAAGCAGCTCAACACCGAGATAGCCTGCGTGAGGTTGGGAAACACTCACGTGATCACCGTCACTTGCCCTAAGATAGCACGTGAGATGCTCAAGCAACAAGACTCTCTCTTCGCCTCGAGGCCTTTAACCTACGCTCAGAAGATCCTCTCCAACGGCTACAAAACCTGCGTGATCACTCCCTTTGGTGACCAGTTCAAGAAAATGAGGAAAGTTGTGATGACGGAACTCGTTTGCCCGGCGAGACACAGGTGGCTCCACCAGAAGAGATCAGAAGAAAACGATCATCTAACCGCTTGGGTATACAACATGGTCAAGAACTCGGGCTCTGTCGATTTCCGATTCATGACTAGGCACTACTGTGGAAATGCAATCAAGAAGCTTATGTTCGGGACAAGAACCTTCTCTAAGAACACTGCACCTGACGGCGCCCCGACCGTGGAAGACGTAGAGCACATGGAAGCTATGTTTGAAGCATTAGGGTTTACGTTTGCTTTCTGTATCTCTGATTACCTACCCATGCTCACTGGGCTTGATCTTAACGGCCACGAGAAGATTATGAGAGATTCGAGTGCGATTATGGACAAGTATCATGACCCAATCATCGACGAGAGGATCAAGATGTGGAGAGAAGGAAAGAGAACTCAGATCGAAGATTTTCTTGATATTTTCATCTCTATCAAGGACGAACAAGGCAACCCATTGCTTACCGCCGATGAAATCAAACCCACCATTAAGGTAACAATCACGCTCCTTAATTGCATGCATCTTTACATATATATATATACTAAAAGATCTCATGAAACTGATAATAATATTTGATTAATATAGGAACTTGTAATGGCCGCGCCAGACAATCCATCAAACGCTGTGGAATGGGCCATGGCGGAGATGGTGAACAAACCGGAGATTCTCCGTAAAGCAATGGAAGAGATAGACAGAGTCGTCGGGAAAGAAAGACTCGTTCAAGAATCCGACATCTCAAAACTAAACTACGTCAAAGCTATCCTCCGCGAGGCATTCCGTCTCCACCCTGTCGCAGCCTTTAACCTCCCACACGTGGCACTTTCCGAGACAACCGTCGCAGGATATCACATCCCAAAAGGAAGCCAAGTCCTTCTTAGCCGATATGGGCTAGGCCGTAACCCGAAAGTTTGGGCCGACCCATTAAGCTTTAAACCGGAGAGACATCTCAACGAATGCTCCGAAGTTACTTTGACTGAGAACGATCTTCGGTTTATCTCGTTTAGTACCGGGAAAAGAGGCTGCGCTGCTCCTGCGCTAGGAACTGCGCTGACCACGATGTTGCTCGCGAGACTTCTTCAAGGTTTCACATGGAAGCTGCCGGAGAGTGAGACGCGTGTCGAGCTGATTGAGTCTAGCCATGATATGTTTCTGGCTAAACCATTGGTTATGGTCGGTGAGCTGAGATTGCCGGAGCATCTCTACCCCGCGGTGAAGTGAGATGAGAACGACGCCGTATATACATATTTTTAATGAAATTTTTATAATAATGGTTTACGTTTAACGGCCAACCCAAGTTTGGTAAAAATCCCGGTTACCAAAAGATAATTGGGGTAATTTGCGAACAAACTTGTGTGTTGGTCTTTGTTCTTTTGGGGACACTTGATTCCTGTCTCCTCCTTTAATTACCTCTTCTTTTGTTTTTTTTCAATAAAAAATAAATAAACGTTTACTATTTAAATAAGAATATTATCCAAATTATTTCCAAAAAGGCCCATTAGAATTAGAGATATTGCAAAAAAAAGCTAAAAAATGTTGTTGAGACGAGCCATAGGAACAATCGCTTCTTATCCTTCCTCAAGCTACGTTGATCGTCATATTAGTGTGATTCTCTGCGATCAGAGCTTGTGCTTAGAGTCTCTGCGTAAACTCACAGCTCTTATCATCACCGGAGGAAACTCGGATAATATCTTCGTCGCATCCAAGCTAATTTCATCTTACGCTTCTCACGGGAAACCCAATTTGTCTTCCAGAGTCTTCGATTTGGTTAGTAGTCGGAGAAGAGATGTGTTTCTTTGGAATTCTATCATCAAAGCACATTTCTCCAATGGGGATTACGAGCGAACCTTGGGTATCTTCTTCTCAATGCTCTTTTCTGGCCACTCCCCTGATCATTTCACTGCTCCCATGGTTGTCTCTGCTTCTGCGGAGCTTTTTTGGTTTGATGTTGGGAGTTTCCTTCATGGGTTGGTTTTGAAACACGGACGTTTCGACAGAAACACTGCAGTGGGAGCCTCCTTTGTTTATTTTTATTCAAAGTGTGGGTTTTTAGATGATGCGTGTCATGTGTTCGACGAAATGCCTGAGAGAGATGTTGTTGCTTGGACTGCCATTATATCTGGGCATGTGCAGAACGGGGAGAGCGAGAGAGGTTTGGGTTATCTTTGCAAGATGCATAGTGTTGGTTCTGATGATGAAAAGCCGAATCCCAGAACATTGGAATGTGGATTCCAAGCTTGTGCAAATTTGGGAGCTTTAAAGGAAGGAAGGTGTCTACATGGTTTTACGGTGAAATATGGTTTAGCTTCTTCCAAAATTGTCCTGTCTTCGGTTTTTTCATTGTATTCGAAATCTGGGATTCCAGCTGAGGCTTATCTTTCATTCCGAGAACTTGGGGATGAAGATATGTTTTCATGGACTTCTATTATAGCTTCACTGGCGAGATCAGGTAACATAAAGGAAAGTTTTGATATGTTCTGGGAAATGCAGAACAAGGGAACACAGCCAGATGGTGTTGTCATTAGTTGTTTGATCAACGAACTAGGTAAGATGATGCTTGTCTCTCAAGGTAAAGCCTTTCACGGGTTCGTTGTAAGACGTTGTTTTTCTTTAGACGCTACAGTTTGCAATTCGTTGTTGTCAATGTACTGCAAACTTGAGCTTCTGTCAGCAGCTGAGAAGGTTTTCTGTGGGATACCTGAAGAAGGAAACAAAGAAGCTTGGAATACAATGCTTAAAGGGTATGGTAAAATTAAATGTGACGTGAAGTGTATTGAGTCATTCAAAAAGATTCAGAATCTTGGAATTGAAATTGACTCTGCTAGCGCAGCCTCTGTCATATCAACATGTTCCCGCATAGGAGCGGTGCTACTAGGGAAGTCGTTGCATTGCTATGCTGTCAAAACTAGCTTGGATCTTACCATTTCAGTGGTCAATTCCCTCATTGACTTGTATGGAAAGATGGGAGACTTGACTGTTGCTTGGAGGATGTTTTGTGAAGCAGATACCAACATTGTCACTTGGAACGCAATGATTGCGTCTTATGTTCATTGTGAGCAACCCGAAAAAGCCATGGCGTTGTTCGATAAAATGATTTATGAGAATTTAAAACCCAGCTCAATAACTTTAGTGACACTGCTTATGGCTTGTGCAAGTACTGGATCTCTGGAGAGAGGGCAAATAATTCATAGTTACATCACTGAAACAGAGCACGAGATGAATGTTTCTCTTTCAACTGCTCTGATTGACATGTACGCGAAATGTGGCCACCTTGAAAAGAGTCGAGAACTGTTTGATGCAACAAACCAGAAGGATGCCGTTTGTTGGAATGTGATGATCTCAGGTTATGGAATGCATGGACATGTTGAATCGGCCCTAGAACTTTTTAATCAAATGGAGGAGTCTGATGTTAAACCAACCGGACCTACATTTCTTGCCCTTCTATCAGCTATCACGCACGCAGGTTTAGTTGAACAAGGCAAAAAACTACTTGTCAAGATGCATCAGTACGATGTGAAACCAAACTTAAAGCATTACTCTTGCCTTGTGGATCTTCTTTCCCGGTCTGGTAATTTGCAGGAAGCTGAGACCACAGTCATGTCTATGCCATTCTCACCAGACGGGGTCATATGGGGAACATTGTTGAGCTCATGCATGACTTATGGGGAGTTTGAGATGGGAATACGAATGGCAGAACGTGCGGTTGCGAGTGATCCGCAGAACGATGGGTATTATATAATGCTTGCAAACATGAACAGTGCTGCGGGTAAGTGGGAACAAGCAGAAAGGGCACGAGAGATGATGAGGGAAAGTGGAGTTGGGAAGAGAGCTGGACATAGTGTAGTCTAATTCATTCTTTGTCTTGTGATTCCTCTTTTGGCCAATATTTTTATTTTTAAAATCTCTTTCGTTATTTTTGTTTTTGGTAGAATACTTTGTGTATGTAAAATCAATATCATCCTAATGTTATTTATACAGATGATAAAAACAAAATATAGATGATCAGTTTTCAATTCTATTCGTAAAAAATTGGCGTCCGTAATCAAATGCCGATCAAATGTGAAAAAAGAAAACAAATTAACAAACGGCTATAAAAGAGGATGACCTCATTAATGTAAAAATCCCATCGTAAGATTATCGTGTTTCCATACCATTTTTTTTTTTTTTTGTTTAGTATAAATTCACCACTTTGGAACTTGATGTCAAATACTATTTTAGTATTCACCTTTGAATTGACTCGAGAAAACAATAACAATCATAGTACGGCCAATAGATTATTTGGGAATTCTAATATTGTTAGTATTACAAACCAATAGTATTAATTTTTTTTTTTGAAAAGTATAGTATTATTATTAATTAGTAAGGACAAAAACCGAATAACAGTAGTGTAAAAAAATTACTATTGGTAAAAAACTCGACAACTAAAATAACAGAATAAAAATATGATAACTAATGGTTAATAGCTGTTGTTTAATACTCCCAAGTCCGAATCCGATGACCAAAAAAACTTCATGACAGATATAGTTTTTGGATTTTTTGCAATTAAACTTTGGTTACCAATAAATTAATTACGAGTCGACTACGACCACTTTATTTTTTGGTTTTTTGTTACACCCAGCCAGATATTTGATGATTTGCGTTGAAAAAAAAAACAATTACGTAACAATACAGAAAAAAAAAAAACCTTTCCTATTTTTTTCACTATGAAATTTTTCATTTAAATATATATGCAAAAAAGGGAAGGAATATGTATATATGTATGTTCTGTACTAAAAAAACATTTATGTTATAAGAATTTTTTTTTTTTTTTAAATTATTTTGAATTTGTCTCTATCACATAACTTAATTATTTTGCTCATAAATAAAGTGGATATAAAAAAATTTCAAAGGCAGAAATGGGAAGTTCACAAAAATATTGTTATTGCAACGAATCAAAACAAGTCACGTAATCACTAAGGGGGAGTTATTGGGAGATTGATTTTAAAAGAGTTTGTGGATTTCAAAAGTTTAGAGATTTTAAGATTCTCAAAAAGATTTGTTGATTCTAAAATAATGTTTATCCAGATTTGTAGAGTTTAATAGATTCTTCATATGATAGATTCTACAAATCCTTATGATAATTGCAGTATTTTGAAAGTTGTTTTTAATGACTAAATAGGTAAGAAATCATTAAACCAATAACACTAGAATTTGATAGAATTGGAAAATCAATAAATACTCAACTTTTTGAATAACAAAATATTTTAAATAGAATTACAAAATACATACACCAATAACAAGAGATTTTAGTAAGAATCTAAAAATCCGTACACCAATAACAATAGAATCTTAAACTCTAAAAATCTTTAAAAGTCATTCTCCCAGTAACCCCCTAAATGAACTTTATTCTTTAAGTTTTTTAAATCTAACTTCTATTAATTATTTCTTTTTGTTTTGTTTTGTTCTTTTATACCATGATTATCAAAGGGCTGTTAAACAAATCTTAAGCTAAAAAAAAAAAGAAAAGCTAAGAAAAACTAAAAAAAGTTAGTACAAGTCTCTTGTTTAAGAGACATTTATTAACTTTTCTTAATTTATATTAGCTTAAGATTTTGTTAAGAATCCTTGATAATGATGCTCTTACACATTATCTTAGCTTATATATTATTTTAAAGTCACTTGGTCTGTCTCTGTGTCTCTCTCTCACACACAAGACAAGAAGGAGAAGAGAATCAATGGCGAGTTGCTTCAGCTACGTATCTTCTCGTAACAAATGTTACCAATACAGCTTCTCTCGCGCTGGTCTCCGATCATCTACCTCCGATCTTGGCGACGGCACCGTCCTCCACTGCTGGATCCCGCAGACTCACATCGACAGCAAGCCCACGCTCCTCCTCCTCCACGGGATCGGAGCTAACGCTATGTGGCAGTGGGACCGCTTCATCGACCGGTTTATCCGTCGGTTCAACGTCTACGTACCGGACCTCCTCTTCTTTGGCGACTCCTACACCACTAGGCCTGACCGGACAGAGTCTTTCCAGGCGAGTTGTGTCATGAAGGCCATGGATGGTTACGGTGTTGGGACCATGACCGTTGCTGGCCTCAGCTACGGAGGCTTCGTGGCCTACTCGTTGGCCGCCCAGTTTAAGGAGAGGATAGACCGGGTTGTGCTGATATGCGCGGGGGTTGCTCTGGAGGAGAAAGACGTGGAGGACGGTATGTTTAAAGTGAAGAGCCCGGAGGAGGCGGCGACCCTTCTGTTTCCTCAGTCTCCTTCGATGCTCCGCCGCCTCCTCCAGTTATCTTTCTACAAACCCCCCATTTGGATACCTTCTTGCTTTGCCATGGACTACATTCATGTAAGTCTTTTTGTGTGTGTTTATGAATTATGATGTTGAGTTCTTAGTCAAGTTTAAAAAAGCATCAAACTTGGATGTTTACAAGACTAGTAGGTTTCTTTGTTTGATTGAGAATGTCGATTGATTCAAAAAGGGTTATTGTAGACTGATTTTGTGAGAATTTGTTGCGAAAGGTGATGTGTAAAGATTATCTTCAAGAAAGGAAAGAACTTGTGGAAGCTCTGCATAAGGGTAGAAGATTCTCCAATCTTCCAAAGATAACACAGGTCTCTCTCTCTTGACTCTGTTCATAATGATCATCTGTATAAAATGCAGCCTATCTTGGTTTAATTTTTAATGCGTAACATTGATATATGCAGCCTACATTGATGATATGGGGAGAGGAAGATCAAGTTTTCCCAGTGGAATTAGCTCATAGATTGAGAAGGTTTAATTTCTGTTTTCTTCTTCTGATTCACACTATCATTTTTTTCTCAGTTATAATATAAATAATGTGAACAACTTTCTTGTTTCAGATATTTAGGGGAAGACAAAGCACAATTGGTGTTACTAAAGAAGACAGGACATGCGATTAATGAAGAGAAACCAAAAGAGATGTACAAACACATGAAATCTTTTCTTTGCACTGACGCTATCATTCATGATTCCTAATCCAAATGATGATGACAGTGCTGCTAATAGACTCATGTTAGCCAAAAAACTTGATATCCCCAGACCAGATCAACAAGTGATGTTGTGCACTCGCCAAAGTGTTGCTTATTAGTAGTTAGAAACTAGGCATTAATTAAATCATGCTCAGGCTCAGCTTGTTAAGTGTGATTAACTGTGTCCCTTTTTATCTTTTACTGTTAAAGACATTGCTTCAAGTTGGACTTAGGTATATACTTTTTTATCTCAAGAATAATAATAAGCTCTATGTTTCTTCTTGAAGCTTGCCTAATTTTTATTTTCTTGTGTTACTATAATTTAATCATCAATTTTATATAATTTGATTGCCTAATCTCTCACTGTCTACAGTTACATGCCGGTGACCTACTTCTCCGCCTCCGGTGGTTTTTATTTATTTAATACTAGTACTAAAGTAATAATGAATATAAATATAAAAAATAAATTAAAAAACGAAATTAACGAAATTAAATTGTAATAATAATAAATAAATAAATTTGAAGGGCTAAAGTTGGGAGAGTGAGTTTCTCTTCTCTCATTTCATTGGAGTCTACTCGTTTCTTTTTCTTATCTATCGAGAGCTCTCACAACAACTCTCCCGTCGTCACCATTCGATTACGGTATGATTCAGCTTCTCTTCTTCGATTTCAATCATCCAAAACATTTCTTTCTGTGATTATTTTGCACGGTTTCCCTTCACTCGGGATGGTTTTATTTGGTTCACCCGCAAAGATTGAAAATTTTGCGGCAGGTGACACGAAGTTCGTGTTTTTGAATGATTCTTCCCTCGGATTTCTTTAGAAAAGCTGAGTCTTTTTGGCTCAGTGGTTGAAGTAGGTGTACGTTTTGTAATGGGTGCAAGCTTATTTGGGTGAAAGTGAAACTCTTTTTTTTTTTGTCTCCCATCTGTTCTCGGGTCGAAAGATTTCGTGAGAATTGTATAATCTTCTTAGGTTTTAAAAAGCTTTCATCTTTTGGTTTGTTTGTTGAAGAAATTTGGATTTTTAGTTAGGGTTTATGTTAGCTGAATTGAATCTACTTGCTGTGTTGCAGGGAGTGTAATGGCTCTTATACAATTTGGAAGTTCATGTGTTGCTCAATGGGGGATTCTGCGTCCTCAGTTTGCTGTTAAAGCTTATTATCCTAGCAGATTGGAATCTCACCAAGACAAGTACGAGTTTACTTTGCCTTAATTGAAGATATTTGATTTGTTGAGAGTGACCCATCTTTGCTATGGTAGAGTTATATATCTGAAAGGCTAATCAAGTGGTTTTGCTTTTGATAACCTTTTGCAGTTGCATCAGCCAAATAAATTGTTTGGGAGCTTCAAGGTCGAGTATGTTCTCACAGGGCTCCTTGCCATTCTTGTCTCTGAAAGGACTATCCCGAAATACACATTCTCGTAGAGGAGCTCGTTTCACTGTTAGAGCTGATACTGTATGTTTTCATTCCCTTTCTTTAGATTTTGAGTGATGATTCTCTTCATTTGGTATACACCTTTTTGCAGAATTAAGTTTCTTTTTGCTAAAACGTGTGTGTGTGTGTTTAATTTCCAGGATTTCTATTCTGTCCTAGGAGTCTCGAAAAATGCAACCAAAGCTGAGATTAAAAGCGGTATGTTATTTCATTTCACTGAGTTTTCCAATCAGATAAATGCAATAATGATGTGTAGTTCTTCTCTCTGAGCTTCATGTGTTCAGCTTTTTGAGTTGTGAACTTGTGATCTTCGATAGTTTGACAAGGAAATTGTTTTGTTCTGCACCTATATTCAGCTTATCGGAAGCTCGCCAGGAGTTACCACCCAGACGTGAACAAGTAAGTTTAAATTACATTGATATTAGGTGCATATATGAATTATCACCTTCCAGCACAATATTGGTGTGTCTCTTGTTAGAACTTAGCTACAATATTTGAGAAACGCTAAAGAAAGAGAATTAGTGTAGATTTTTGGTTAACCTTCCATATACACATATAACCATTAAGCACCAAACTTCAAAATTATGATTAATATAGACTAAGAAGATAAAATTTTCTGAAACTGCTTCTAAGGTTTCTTCTGCTTTCACTTTGATTACAGGGATGCTGGGGCTGAAGATAAATTTAAAGAAATAAGTAATGCATATGAGGTGAAGTCCATCTTCTTCTTTAGATTCGTTTAGCTCTTCTCTTTTTTTTTTGAATGATTGTGCTGATACTTAAAGAGCCTAACCATTGTTCTTTTACTTTTTTGCAGATCTTATCAGATGATGAAAAAAGATCTCTATACGACAGATATGGGGAGGCAGGAGTTAAAGGCGCTGGAATGGGAGGCATGGGGGTATATATATTCTTCTCTTAGACACTTGAATCAGCATCCTGATGATCAGAATCTGATCTGAAATTGCTGATTTTGCTGTTTTTTTTTTAAAATTTAATTTTGCAGGATTACAGTAATCCATTTGATCTATTCGAGTCACTATTCGAAGGAATGGGTGGGATGGGAGGAATGGGCGGTGGAATGGGTAGTAGAGGTTCAAGGAGCAGAGCTGTGGATGGTGAAGACGAGTATTACTCACTAATCTTGAATTTCAAAGAAGCAGTTTTCGGTATCGAGAAAGAAATTGAGATATCTAGGTTAGAGAGCTGTGGGACTTGCAATGGTTCTGGAGCAAAGGCGGGAACCAAACCGACCAAATGCAAAACGTGTGGTGGGCAAGGACAGGTGGTAGCATCGACAAGAACACCACTCGGTGTATTCCAACAAGTCATGACTTGTTCTCCTTGTAACGGAACAGGAGAAATTTCAAAACCATGTGGCACATGCTCAGGAGATGGACGTGTGAGAAAGACGAAGCGTATTAGTCTTAAAGTTCCTGCTGGTGTGGATTCTGGAAGTAGGTTAAGAGTAAGGGGAGAAGGGAATGCGGGAAAGAAAGGCGGATCACCAGGAGATCTCTTTGCGGTTATCGAGGTGATTCCAGATCCAATTTTGAAGCGCGACGATACAAATATACTTTATACGTGTAAGATATCGTATGTAGATGCCATATTGGGAACGACTTTAAAGGTTCCGACTGTGGATGGAGAGGTGGATTTGAAAGTACCAGCTGGGACACAACCGAGCACGACTCTGGTGATGGCAAAAAAGGGAGTTCCGGTTTTGAATAAGAGTAAGATGAGAGGAGATCAGTTAGTGAGAGTGCAAGTTGAGATTCCTAAGAGATTGAGTAAAGAAGAAAAGAAACTTGTTGAGGAGCTTGCTGATATGAGCAAGAATAAGGTAGCTAATAGCAGGAGATAAACAAACACACAAATAGAGAAATGTGGTGTTATATAGATTCATCATTCTCTGCTTGTCTTCTTTCTTATGGTTCTTCTAATGATGGAGAAGATAAGCAAGAGAAAGAAAAAAAAGACTTATTAGGTGAGAGGAAAATTGAAGAACTCATATTTTTGGGTTTTCCTCTTCAATTTTTGTGTTTTACTTTTGAAACCATTTTTATGGATTTATCAGGATTCAGGGTAGGTCTTGATTGTATTGTACTGCTATTTATACATTTCAATCTTCTTCTTCTCTTTTTTTTTTTTTGAAATTCAATGAAAATTTATTAAACAAAGACAAATGTACAGTTGCAGAAGAACAGACAAAAATGAAAAGGAGACAAATGTCTCAAGCTGCAGTAACAATGGTTTGAAGCAGAGTTTCCAGGTCTTTCAATCTACAAAGAACATGGAAACACCATAAGTTAGCTAATGGGTAGGAGGAAAAAAGAGAGAACCATTTGGCAAATCTCTTGTGAGATACTTGAAGTGGAATTGATGTATGATCCTACTTACTTCACATTACTGAGATCAGGATATACAGCGATAGCATCTTTGAAATCCTGAAACCCAAGTTTTTGACTGTTACTAAACCAAGTAAAAGAGAATGGAAAAGAGGGAAGAAGAAGATGAATATGTTGTTGACCAGACCTGATCAGACGTTGAAGAAGTGTATGTGATCACACATGACATCCCTGCTTTTGTAGCAGCCTGTACATTGAAATTCAAAAGCCATTTGAACAGTGCTTCAAGAACCAAGCTTAGATGTTTCGAGGTGTAATAACAGCTAAGATGAGCAAATGATTAGATTTTTTTACCTGCAGGCCAATCACACTGTCCTCTATGACCAGACAGTCTTTAACTGAAACACCTAGCTTCTGCAATCAACAAAACACATAAATTGTGAAACTTGGCCAATTCTTCTTAAGTTATATAAAGTTATGTTTTCTTGGATAGACAGTACCTCTGCAGCAGTAATATAAATCGAAGGATCGGGTTTTTTCTCCTTCACATCATCCCCTGCAAAGCCAAATATACAACCAAATGGATTCACACTTGGAAAAAGTGTTGAACACAAAAAAGCCAAGTAAGTAATTCTTAAGAGAGAAAGTGACGAAATCACCTGCAAGGAAGCAATCGAGTCCTTGGAAACGCTCCTAAAATGACATAAATATAACCGATAAAGAAGAAAACTCGAAAGAAGCACAGCCGATGATAAGAGATTGGCGAAAAGAAAACAACTCACGAGGTCGATGAGATTCTCGAGACACATGACAACCGAACTCTTTGTAGCTGCAGAACAAACAGCTAGCTTTTTCCCCTGTAGTGAGTATTTCAAGAACCTTTTCATAAATAAAGAGCTAAAAAAAATTCCAATATAAAAAAGGTTTTGAAAGAAGAACTCATTACAGCAGCTTTTGCTTCATCCATTAGTCTTATTACACCAGGTCTTGGTTCTACCTGAAAGCACAGAAAAAGCATAGTGATTATATAGTTTCTCTCAGAAAGAAAAAAGATCCAAAACTAAGAAATCAAAATCTCTCGCAACTTACACTTCCTGATTTAATGATTTCTTTATACCTCTCAGTTTTCCAATCCTGCAAAAGATAAAGTTGGAATCTTTTAACATCAAAACTAGAGATAGTAAAAACATTAGAGATATAGTGAGTGAGTGAGTGACCTGAAGAGTATCGATCAGCTTGGCTCGATCATCGTCATTCTGAGGAGGTGAATCGAAAATGGTGGAGGTTGGCCATCCATGTTCTTTAAAATACCAACGCATTTTGGGTTTTCCACCACCGACTAGGTTCTGAAACTTATCGTAGAACTCGAGGCTCCAGTCGAGAGACGCAGAGGAAGAAGGAGGACAACGAACATCGAAATGCGAGAAGGCGTCGTTGTAAGCTTGACGGTGCAGATTCTCCGATTCGAGGATCACACCGTCGCAGTCGAAAATCAAAGCTTCCAGAGACCGTGATGAAGGCTGTAATGCCGAGACAGGAGAAACTCTGGATTTCGAGTAAAGGCTTCTGGATTTGAAAAGCAGCGTTTGGAAGCGAGGGAAGCCGACGAGCGACGAGGAGGAAGAACTGGCGGTGGATGGAGAGAGGAGAACCGCCGAGTGGTTGCAATAAACCGCCATTGATGAGTCTTACTTACTCTGTGAGTGTGTGTGGTGTGGTGTGTTTACAGAGACGAGTTTTGTGACTTTGTTGTGAGATAAAATGAAAACAAATCTGTGGCTCCTAATGATTTCTGTAAAGCTAAGCTTCTTTAACGGTCATTAACTAACTTTTACCGCTCTTTTGTCTTTTTTCTTATTTTGGTTCCATCATATGATATGAATGTATATATTCACATCCAATAGCCCTTCAAAGACAGATTTTAATTGGAAAATATTTCCAAATCTATGGCTCATTAAATTCCCTAATAAATTGTAATGATTTTGGTATGGTTTGTATTAGATTTTTCATTCCATTTCACTGCTTTAATAATAAAAGAGGAAGTAAAGTATAAAGATTTGTTAGAAAGGGGCGTCGACGTGGTCCATGAAATCAAATCCAAATCTTATAAAAAGGATTTGGGTGTGTGTGTGTGTTAGGTGATAATAACATAATTAATCCTCTATTGGAGATCATATACATATGCAACTTGAATGATGATCATAAATACATGTGTGTGATGGTGGATTTGGTTGGTGAAGCCCTATTTCTGTCATTAACCCCAATTCCCTAGTCTTCCCCTTCTTAATTTTATAATGTTTTATTGAGCTGCTGCTACCTAACAAAACAAAAATACTACGTGTCATAACTTTAACTTACCAAACTAACATATATGAATATCTTTTTATTCCCTTAAAAAATGTTTATTTGGGAATAAACATTTTTATCGATCGGTTCAATCAAATTGAAACAGTCTTTACTTACTTTTATTTTGACATGACAAAACGTTTCGTTCTATAGCGGTGGCCAAAGAAAGCTTCCACGTCTTCAAAAAAATAGAAATATCTCAAAGGACAACATTTACGAAAGTACCCTTCGACGGCTTCAAATCCAAAACTTGTCCCAACAACCCTCGTTTTTTTTTTCTTCGTCTGAAAAGTCCAAACCAAACCTCTCTTCACTATAAATATAAATCCACAGTTTCTTCTCTCTCTCTCCTCATATCACCCGCCTCCATTCTCTCTTCAGACCAAACCAAATCAAATCAAATCCAAGAGAGAGAGAGAGAGAGAGTCAGAAACAGAGAAGAGAAAGACTAGTATTTTAATTTGATGGCTATTTCAAACGCCGCCTCCTCTCTCTCCACCAGATCTATCTACGTTGGCGGCGACGCTCGTCTCTCTCACCGTCAAACTAACCGTCAATCTTCCTTCTTTACATTTCATCACGCCGTCAACTCCTCGAAGCCTAATTTCGTCAAGGCCGTTCACGCGGCGGAGCCTGCTAGAAACGCTCTTTCCGTTGCTGCCCCTTCCTCCTCCTCTGGTGCATTGAAATGGAGTCCCGAGAGCTGGAAATTGAAGAAGGCTCTCCAGCTTCCCGATTACCCTGACGCTAACGAGCTTGACTCTGTCCTGAAGACGATTGAGGCTTTCCCTCCTATTGTCTTCGCCGGAGAAGCTAGGAATCTTGAAGAGAGGTTGGCCGATGCTGCTGTTGGTAAAGCCTTTCTTCTCCAAGGAGGTGATTGTGCTGAGAGTTTCAAGGAGTTCAATGCTACTAATATCAGAGACACCTTTAGGGTTCTCCTTCAGATGAGTATTGTTCTTACCTTCGGCGGCCAAGTTCCCGTTATTAAGGTCATCTTCTCCTCCTTTTGCTTCACAAGTTAATTGTTTCTTTTTTTAGCGGAATTTGAGATTCTTTTGTGTGTTTAGGTAGGGAGAATGGCTGGTCAATTTGCTAAGCCTAGATCTGATCCGTTTGAGGTGAAGGATGGAGTGAAATTACCTAGCTACAAGGGAGACAACATCAATGGCGACACTTTTGATGAGAAATCTAGAATCCCTGATCCTAATAGGATGGTTCGGGCTTACACTCAATCTGCAGCTACTTTGAACCTTCTTAGAGCCTTTGCCACTGGAGGCTATGCTGCTATTCAAAGAGTTACTCAGTGGAACCTTGATTTTGTTGAACAAAGTGAGCAAGCTGACAGGTACACACCATAATATAAACCTTGGTGATGTTAATTTTAAGAAAGCATATTACTTTGAATATGGCTTGAATAGAATGCGAAAGCAAAGTTTTCTGGATGAATTAGTGATGGTGATAGCAACTATCGTAGGTCATGTTACTCGGCAAGGCGCTGAAGGTTTTGCTGTTTACCTCTGTTTTGTTGTACAGGTACCAGGAATTAGCTAACAGGGTTGATGAGGCCTTGGGGTTCATGTCTGCATGTGGACTTGGCACGGATCATCCACTCATGACTACAACTGATTTCTACACATCCCATGAGTGCTTACTTCTCCCTTACGAGCAATCGCTAACAAGGTTGGACTCAACTTCTGGTCTCTACTATGATTGCTCTGCACACATGGTGTGGTGCGGGGAGCGTACCAGACAATTGGATGGTGCTCATGTCGAGTTTCTCAGGGGGATTGCTAATCCTTTGGGTATCAAGGTACTTTACTTTTTCAAACTTTACATAGTTTAACGCATAGGTAGAGCGATAATATGCAGCTTGTTACTGAAATACTTAAACTAAGGATTAGGTCACTTTGGTTTATGATATAGCAAAACAGAGTAGCAAATGAGGTTTATGCTTGGTCTCGTGGCTCTTATTTTTCCTTTTAAGTGATAGTTGATGTTAGTTGGCACTGAAAAATCAGAGCTATTGGCGGAATTTACTGAATTTACTGAATTTCGAAACACTTGAACTTGATGCAGGTGAGCAACAAAATGGATCCCAATGAGCTGGTCAAGCTAGTAAAAATCTTAAATCCTAACAACAAGCCTGGAAGAATCACCATAATTGTGAGAATGGGTGCCGAGAACATGAGAGTTAAGCTTCCCCATCTGATCAGAGCAGTCCGCAGATCAGGCCAGATTGTGACATGGGTCTGTGATCCAATGCATGGAAACACCATCAAAGCACCTTGCGGTCTTAAAACACGTGCCTTTGACTCGATCCTGGTAATAAGCTATACCTCTTACAAGCATAACATATAAATTTGTCAAAACAGTGATTAAAAACGTCCCGTCTATTTCTACAGGCTGAAGTCCGAGCATTCCTTGATGTGCACGAGCAAGAAGGAAGCCATGCGGGCGGTATCCATCTCGAGATGACAGGGCAGAACGTGACAGAATGCATTGGAGGTTCCCGCACTGTGACCTATGATGACCTCAGTTCTCGATACCACACACACTGTGACCCAAGGCTCAACGCGTCACAGTCTCTTGAACTGGCCTTCATTGTAGCTGAACGCCTCAGGAAGAGAAGAACGGGTAGCCAGCGTGTGTCTTGAGTGCGATTTTTTTTTCTTTAATATACCACTTTTTGATTCCAAGAACTCTCGCCTCTTTGTATTGTGAGCTGGTGCCTTTATGACTTTAAGGTATAACCCCAAAAGCCTCTCTAGGAGTAAACATGTTCCTTTATGATGTGTGTGTCCCGTGTCTAGGCTATGTGATGTCCTTTGTTCTTTATGTTAACTTAATGTTAAACCGTGTGACTTCCTAGTGTAAATTTCCCATTTATATACCCGAACATGAAACTAGTTCGGATTAGTCTATTGGCTATTATTCACAAGCAATGCAAATGAATAGATCTTAAGAACATGATGTTACAAAATGGCCCATTAGCTCAGTTGGTTAGAGCGTCGTGCTAATAACGCGAAGGTCGCAGGTTCGAAACCTGCATGGGCCACTACAACCTTTTTTTTGGTTTTTATGTGTTTCAATTTCAAAGATTTTAATTAATGAAATCAAACATTTTAATAAAAAAATACACCCGAGGGAAGTAAAAACAAACAATCCGACGCCGACGCTTTCGGGACCCAATAAATCAATATCGTGTCCCGCTCACTTAATCCAAATCTGATCTCATACGTACCTCTTTACTCTACTCCAGTGCTCCCCACCAACCATAATCCCTAAAAGTCTTCTCGATCCCAGCCACGTGTTCTACCCCTCTCTAAATTCCACGTGTCATGATCTTAGGTCGTCTCACTCTCAGTTACAAAAAGGACTCTCCCACGGTAGATCACTCTTTAACCCAAAAGCGATTTCAAAATCAATCAGTGAATAATAATCACCCAACCCAACTAGCTCTTTTTTAATTTTTCTCTCCGTCGCTCTCACTAAGTTTAATAACAGCTACAGCAAATAAAAACTGTAGGAGTTAGCCACGCTTAACATAATTCAAAAAAGTTTTCTCGATCTCTCAGAACCGGAGAGAGAAAACAAGTGTTTCAACAGTTCGCCGTCAAGATGGCCGGAGGAGGCGGATACGGCGGCGCATCAGGGAAAGTTGATTACGTGTTCAAAGTTGTTCTAATCGGAGATTCCGCTGTTGGTAAATCGCAGCTACTTGCTCGATTCGCTAGAGACGAATTCAGTATGGATTCTAAAGCCACCATCGGCGTCGAGTTCCAAACTCGTACCCTCGTTATTGAACAAAAGAGCATTAAGGCTCAGATCTGGGACACCGCTGGTCAGGAAAGGTACGATTTCTGCGTTTCTCTGTTGGATTTACTCTGGATCTGTTTACTTTTCCCGAAAGCGACTTGAGTTTGACTAGAAATATGTGTTTAGATTTTGTTTGCTCTTTTTATACTTGTCATGAATTTACGCTAGTTTAGAGAACTTACGGATCCTCCTTGGCTATAGATCCATATACTATTATAGAGTTTGATCCGATCGTACAAATAGGTAAGCTGGTCACATGAATCAATGGTACATCTCAGTTTTAATCAACTTTACTCGTTTAGATTCGACATTTCAAGGAAATTGTTATGTATAGCGCTAATTGTATAATTCTGGCCTCATTTCTATTTTTGGAGCACAATATTTTGGGATTTTGCGATGATGTAGTGACTTTGCTTTTGTTGCACTAAGCAGATACAGAGCCGTTACAAGCGCGTACTACAGGGGAGCAGTTGGTGCAATGCTGGTTTATGACATGACTAAACGTGAAACCTTTGAGCATATCCCTCGTTGGCTTGAAGAACTGAGGGCACACGCTGATAAGAACATTGTCATTATCCTTATTGGAAACAAGTCTGATCTTGAAGATCAAAGAGCTGTTCCCACAGAAGACGCTAAAGAGTTTGCTGAGAAGGAAGGACTCTTTTTCCTTGAGACCTCAGCTTTAAACGCAACCAATGTCGAAAACTCCTTCAACACTCTAATGACAGAGATATACAATACGGTGAACAAGAAGAATCTCGCCTCCGTCGAGAATCAAGGCGAGTCAAATAACCCGGGTTCCTTGGCTGGTAAGAAGATTGTCATCCCAGGTTCTGGACAGGAGATTCCCGCTAAGACTAGCACGTGTTGTAGTTCTTCTTGATCTGTCTTCGTTACAAGCAAGATTCATTTTTTTCCTCCTGAATTCTGGTGATAGAGAATGCTACTTTCATTGTATATTCTTTTGGGATCTGGCTTGTTTGCTGGTTCATTAAACATTGGTGAGAAATTGGACACCAATAGGGAAAAAAGTATTGGAACAATAGCTTTTGATTGAAATGTGAAACAACACTCTTTGAGAGTTATGTCAGCTTCAATCTGTCTCAGCAGTCTTGAAACAATTCTCAGCATTTTCTACTTCTTTACTTCTATCAGAAAGTCTCTGGATAAGTTGGTGACAGTCGAGTGTTGTGACCATGACGGTTAAGCTAGCTTTACCCTTCCAGCATCCAATGGCTATTGTTGATGAATTCACTTTGACTGGTTCTGACCCTAGCTGAGTATCTGTAGGGAAGTAAAAGCCGTTAAAGCCATAACCCACATGACCAACCAAAGTATCTTATATAAAACTTAAAATATCAATACAAACCATCAACAAGAACCATAACGCAAGATCCCAAGGCGAGTTCTGCTGCTTTCTCTCCGATCTGTGGATGGATGAAATCTAGGAACTTGATTGATTTCTGTTGCAAGAGATTCTTGAAATCCGCCATTGTTGCATAAAGTATTTGCTTGGTCATGTACGGAAGGATCACAGGCAATCCCTCTGACGTTATTCGGAATGAGCAACAGTTGGCTTCACATTCTTTTGCTGATTGTTTCTCCTGCATTTTTGGTTGGTTATATAGTTAATAAATCCCGCCTCTGCTATTTCGTAGAGAGAGATATAAACCTTTATTGTACTTACAAACATCTTGAGGCCAACAGAGGAGATCTTGAGCGGCTTCCCAACTGAAAAATTTAGTTCAAGAACATCCTTAACTGCTTTTGAAACATAGTAAATCCTTTTGACGTTTCCATGGCTGCTTATGTCACTGTTTCTGGTCACGAGATGACCATACAGCGGAAACGATTCATCTTTGATGCCATAAAATGTCTTGATCCCGTTGATCACTGTTTCATCTCTCAAGAAAACAACAGGGTAAAGGCCTTTCCACTTTCCTTGCATTGCTGGTACTTCTCTCCTTACTCCCATATCATCAAGTTTTTGAGCCAATTCTACGATTCCTACTTCGCTGATGTTATCGTTCTCAGGGTGCTCAAAGCCATTCTCTGAAACTACTTCTTCTAAAATTGTATCCTCCTCTGCACCCTCTTCAGGTTTAGTAACCACAGTGCCAGATACTGCTTCACACGAGTTGATGTTCTTTCTAGTAGAAAAATTCCTTCTCTGATTTATTTTCTCCTGAAACTCTGCAGGAAAATGATCCGCAAATCGTATTAACGAATCAACTAGAGAGGTTATGCAACAGAAGTTCTTCAAATTCACCTGGTAAAGGTGAAACTTTGTGAAGGACTGCAATGAAAAATCCCCCAGTGTTTTGATCATGAGGCAGTATCCTCATACAACGTTCAAGGGGAAGATCACAGACTTCCTCGGCTGATTCATCAGAAGAGATAGAAGTCATGTCTCCGTATCTGTCTCCGCCACCTGTTGACTCTTTATCACTTTTACCAGAAGGAAACATGCTCTTAAGAACTCCGTCTCTCTGTGACTTTGGAACATCTTTGTAAGATCTATACCAGCCACCTCTATCATGCACCTAAATCCACAGAGATACAAAGCAAGATTAAAACTTCATTACTCTTTGTCTTATTTCAAAGTACTATGTATTTTTTGCACCTTCCATTTCTTAAGACCTGGTCTTCTAATAAGTTCAGGAAGCTTATGTGAGACATCTACAAGCTCAACAGAGCATCCACACCTCCTCAGAATCTGAATAACACTAACAATGTATCAGCATCCAAAAGAATGGGTTTATGGCGAAAGAAGAAAGATAATAGATTACTTCAGCAACAACGGCTTCATCTTCAATCGGGTTCATTGAGCAGGTTGAGTATATCATTCTCCCACCAACTTTTAACACAGATAAACCTGAGACCACCAGACAATGCAGATAAACATCATAATATAAGATTCTGCTAATCAAACCTTCTTAGGAAAGAAGCTTACCTCTCATGGCCAGCACAACCTGTAGACTATGAAGTCCATTGCCAGATCCAGAATTCCTGTACAGAAATCAAAGTAAAAGAGTAAGAATATTGAAGCAACTGGAAATCAACATATGTCAATCTAAAAGCTCATAAATAGACAAACCATCTTCTCCATATGTCTGGTGCCTTGCGCAGAGTACCATCACCACTACATGGGACATCGCATAGGACACGATCAAAGAGAAGCTGGTCAATGGATTGATGATTAGTGTCAGATGCTTCTTTGGTTTTGCAGTTAGGGAAATGTTGACCTTCATTGTTAGTGACCATCAAGTTGGTTGTACACGTTCTTTTCGTCTGGTGAATAAGAAGGTTACATCTTTTATAATCAACATCATTGGCCACCACCTGATTCAACCAAAATAATTTAGAAGCAAAAACATTATCTATAAACCAAAATGACTGGAGATGATAGAGTATAACGCACCATTCCATTAGGTAGAGATCCTGGTTCTGATGATTCATGTATTATTTCAAGCAGCTGAAATGTCTTGGAACCAGGTGCAGCACACACTGTTCAGACAAAAAGAAGAGAAGAAGAAAAAGACAAGTGAACCGTTACTCCTCAAGTCCATAGCTTCTCAAAAAATGTCGAATAAAAATCACTCACTGTCGAGTACAAAATGATCTGGATGTACATCAAGGAAGAGAGGTGGAACCTGCATGATCATAATGTCAGCCACGAAAACTACAAAATGTACCCGATTAAAGAATGAATGTAACACTACCATACCATGCTAACTGATTCTTGCCTGGTCATGTTCCCAACTTCAGTTTCTAACTTTAGGAACTCATGAAACCTGAATAAGACCTCAATAAATAAGTAGAAGAGAGCATGAACCCAAACAAGTAAGGGAATGGAATCGAATACATGTTTTGAAGCAACTGGCATGAGAAACAAATTTGTACCTCTCAAGTGTCTGGTTTTTCCTAATCTCCTTGCGCGAAAAATTAGAATGCCAAGCAAGATTCTTAGGATACCAAGGCAAAGGCTTGATAGCCTCTGATTCACCACTCTCTACAGCCTAAGTATAAGGCAACGAATCCAGGATTTGAGAAGTGACAAAATACTATATAGACTTTCAATAACGAGACAATACAAACAGTTATTGAATTTACCTCAGCCTGAAGAGATTCCATGAAATCATTCTCCAACTTCAGTCGAAGATCATCGCAAAATTGGCCACTAAAAGAATCATATAAACAGAGACCAACAAAACAGAACAAAGTCAAAAACACTTTAACCAAAGTATACATTTTAACGATCCAAGAATGCAAATAAACAAAGCATACATACTTGGAATTAACTCTAAAAGCAGCAGGCAATGGCTTACGAAGAATCTCCATAAACGAATCCCACTCTTTTGCTTTCACTATCCTTTGCTCCTTACACACCACAGCAAGACAATACGACATGTTGTTTAGAAGCAAGATCTGAGAATCCATAGAAGCCATTGGATTCTATAAAGTACCTTGTAGTACTCCTCGAAATCAAGATTTGACGAGATTGGCTTTTGGAAGTTGGAATCAAAGGAAGCATCGGATTTGAGGGGTCTTTGGACATTCTCTTTACTCTTCTCGATCTGGTTCCTCTTCGAAGTACCTCTGTGTCGTCTCCCTCTTCCCATCTTTGTTGTTTCCGTCGCCGTGTTTTCTTTTTTCGCCGGCGGCGTCGCAGCGATGGGTTTTATGGGGTTTATTACAGTAGATTTGTATTTTACATTTTAATTTTAAAGGAAAACATATGTTTGAAATTAATCATACGCGCAATGTTAGGCGCGTCGCCCGTGGTTATATTTGTATTGTGTGTCATTATTATTTTATAAATGGTTATATTTGTATTGTGTGTCATTATTATTTTATAAATGGTTATATTTGTATTGTGTGTCATTATTATTTTATAAATGGTTATAGAGTTTACGAAATAAAAATAAAATTTGGAGAAATGAGCTCTTATTTTGAATTTAAAACCTAATTTACTTTAAAATTATTAGATTTTAAAGTAAATTAGGTTTATTAAAAAAGTACTTAAATTTTCAGAACTGAGCTTTCCTTTTCTCTCAGATTGATTACTGTGAGTCAAATTTTGAATTATTGACTATTTAAAATTTGATTTGATTTTTTTTTTTGTAAAATTTTGAATGAATACAGAGGAGATTATGTTGTTATGCCATGTAAGGTAAAGATTTGAGAATGAATAAAAATGTGTTTTGACTAATAGTAGTCAAAGTCAATATAGATATTAAGAAACAAATTGAATTACTAATGGAATAATAACTCTAGCAATTCGAGGAATGTTTATATATAAAAACATATAGAATTAGAGATGAAACAAGATTATTACATTTTAGCATCCAAAATTGTAATTCGAATCAAAGGAAAAAGAAATATGAATCTAGTTCCAAATCTCTTCATGTGCCTACTACTTCTTTTCACGGTGGTGGCCGGAGAAACTCTCCAGCCAGCATTCTACGGGAAGACATGCCCAAAAGCTGAATCCATCGTGAGGGAAGAGATGAGAAAAGCTATGTTGAAAGAAGCTCGAAGTGTTGCCTCCATTATGCGTCTGCAGTTTCATGATTGCTTCGTTAATGTAAATAATTTATTAACCACATGATTTTAATAGTTCAATTCAGTTATATATATATATAAATATAACCATATAACGTATTTGTTTTGTGCTTTGTAGGGATGTGATGGCTCTGTATTGCTCGATGACACACCAACATTGTTGGGAGAAAAACTCTCTCTTGCAAACATAGGCTCTTTGAGATCGTTTGATGTCGTAGACAACATCAAAGAAGCATTAGAGAAGGCTTGTCCTGCCACTGTATCTTGTGCTGACATTATCATCATGGCTTCTCGTGACGCAGTTGCCCTTGTAAGTTTTAAAACACCTTACATTAAATGAATAATATGAGTTACTGATTAATTCGGTTCTTTGATAATCTCAGACAGGAGGGCCGGACTGGGAAGTAAAGCTAGGGAGAAAAGACAGCTTAACCGCAAGCCAAAAAGATTCAGACGACATAATGCCAAGTCCAAATGATTCAACCGCCACATCTTTGATTGATCTCTTCCAAAGATTTAATCTTTCTACAAAAGATATGGTGGCTCTATCTGGATCACACTCTATCGGGGAAGCTCGATGTTTCTCGGTCACGCCTAGACTCTATAACTATTCCGGTTCCGGGAAATCTGACCCGGCTTTCGAACCGCTTTACCGAGAGAAATTGACCAAACTGTGTCCCATGGGAGGAGATGAAAACGTTACAAGCGGTATGGACGCAACTGCTAAAGTGTTTGATAACCAATACTTCAAAAACTTGGTTTCTAGGAAAGGGTTTCTACACTCTGACCAGACGCTGTTCACTTCGCCGGAGACCAGAGAGTATGTGAAACTGTTCAGTGAGAACGAAACAGAGTTCTTCAAAGCTTTTGCTGAAGGGATGGTGAAGATGGGTGACTTGCAGTCTACGAAACCTGGTGAAGTTAGGTTAAACTGTAGAGCTGTTAATCGAAAGAGCTATTAATCTACTAGGCAATCGAGAGTACTGTTGAATACAAACATGGTTGCCTTATACATCCAATAATATACTAACTACATACGAATATTATCATTTATGAGAACAAACAATGTATGGCGTATACGATTAATAATTACCCCTTAAACACCTAATATCATCTAAACACCGTATTGTGAACATTCTAAGCAAAAGGGTAAAAACAAAAGGAAAAAAATTCACCGAACCTAAGGTTTCCTTTTCCCATGGACTCTCCCAAATATCCAAATCAAAACCAAAATTTACCATTTAAGTTTTTTTTTTTTTAAATACATATAATTTATCATATATAAAATAAAAACTTGAATGCTAAATTTTCTAAAAGAATAATATGTTTGTTATGTTATCATATAATGAGGTATTAGTGTATATTTAAAATGTACGAGAGTAGAGTAACGTCATCATGGACCTAATTAATGTTGGTCGTCGGTATGGTTGATATATATATACACTATGTCATGGAATTATTAGTATTGAGCCACTCAATTTTCATCTACCATATATATATATATCAATTGGATTTGTTAGCCACTAGCCCACTACTATATGTATATATTAATTGTAACGTTTTAAGGATATGCATGTGAAATGTTATATTTTTTTTTATCTTTTGTAAAGTAGTTATAAAATCAGACGCTCTATTTGACCATATAATATTAAATATTGTGTCTTGACTCACATACATACAGTAAAGAAAACGAACTGTTAAAAAGAAAAGTAATTACGACCCTTAAATCTTATACTTTATTATATAACTTGATTAAGGGTAATTATTTCCACTTTTTAATACAAATACATGCAACACAATATTATTATCGGATCGGATAGTCTCAAGCTGCATTCATATGAAATATATGCATGCATGTATATATATGAAATCATAGAGCGCATACAAAATCACCATTTCTCTCGTCGTCATCATCAACATCATCATAAATATCGGCATCATCAATATCATCAAGATCCAAGCTCCCATCTATTAACCCTAATCCACCATTATTATTAGTACCATTCACTCCCTTTCTTGCTTCTTCTATTATCTTCACTATCTCTTCAACACTTTGTCGACACTTTTCTTCTTCTTCTTCTTCTTCCACTCCATTATTACAGTTCTCCTCCAGTGGCATAACCAGAGTATCCTTCAAGAACCACGGGTGCTTTTCGATTTCCGGTACAGTAATTCTCTATCATGGTTTCAAAATTGCAAAACATGTGTGTTTTAAATCATATGAAACAGCTGTTAAACCAATCTGAACCTGCTGTATAGTAATTTACATAACTAGTTGGTCAGGGTATTATTATTACATTACCTTATCAGGGTCAGCCACGAAGATACGAGATAAGAGATGCTTGCACTCGGAGGAGATCCTGACGTAGTCCGGTATGGTGTAATGTACACTTAATATCCTCTGTAGTTAACGTATATGACAATATTGTAAAATTTTTACTATTGACAAAAACAGGTTATAAAAGCAAAAATAATTAGTGGAAAGAACGTTTGATTAATTATAAATTGTATAATCTTTTCAGTACCTGAATTGTTTTTCTAATGTTTCTTGGATCTTCGGGATCTTCAAAAGGATAAGCACCAACTAACATTACATACAAGGTCACCCCACACGACCACACATCTGAAATCTACAATGATATTTTAAATCATATGTTATATAAAAATGATATGACTTTTTTATCAAACAAGTTGAAGTTGTTAATTTGTTTAATCAAACTATTAGTTTAAGAGCTTAATTAATTTATAATTTATAATATGTACCTTTCCATTATATTCTTTCCGGGACAAGACCTCAGGGGCAACGTAAGCCGGCGTTCCCACGGTGGATTTTGGCTGAGAGTGTAAAACTGATGACTACAATATTTACGTTTGAGAAAAAAAAAAAAAAAATAATGTTAAAATCTTTAAATTTTGTTTTTAACAAACGAGATTACTTAAATCAAATGTGTAATATTAATTATATTACCTTGGAATACCCAAAATCACATATTTTGAGCTGCGACGACGGGCTCCCATCCAAGAGTGTATTCTCAAGCTTAAGGTCTCTATGACATATTTGCTGCAATAATGATTAAGAAAACTAACATAAAGTTCCACTTACATATATATAACCACTAAAAGACTCATTCGGATAAGAGTAAAGCAGTTAAATAGTAATTACCATAGCGTGACAATAGCTAACTCCCGAGATAAGCTGTTTGAAATAATATCTTGCCTAAAATAATAATGAGCAAAAAAGTACGTAATCAACACTGTATATAATTAAAAACGAGATTAGTATTAAATCATCGCAAGCTAAAGATGAACTAAAAGTAATACTTCGTCTTCGCTGAATCGACCGGCATTGCAAATTCGTTCAAAAAGCTCACCACCTGCTGCATACTCCATTACTATGGCAAGATGTGTTGGTGTCACAAAAACCTTCCAAAGATATATATAAAAAATTAGACAAATTATAATCCAACACATAACGATTGAGACGACCTACCGATTTGCTTCTATTTTTTTTTTATAGATATAATCTTGATTCTTGTATTTGTAATCGAAGAATTTTCAACGCCGTGTGACTATATATCTATTATAACATATGGTGTCATATCAAACTCGAATTTGGACCGTTGGAGAAAGTTAAAATCTTTTTTATTAAAGCAAACTAATACTGTACATTCTCTAGGAAGAGGTCCAAAGTCTAATTACCCATATGAATTGGTACGCATAAATTACATATGACCAGAAATATCCAATATTTTTTTGTTAACCATGTGTCGGAATTCAGATGATCCGATCCAAACTCTACTAAAAGCTGTTTTGAATTAAATTCAAAACTCGATTATGGTTTTATTATGGTCAAAATGGTTTTGATCACAAGTATATACAAAACATATAATACCTCTTTGAATCGGATGATATTAGGATGCTTCAAGTCTCTGTGGTTTATGATCTCTCTCTGAACATGTTCATCAATCTGTATAATAAAAACCCGTTCATAAAAAGAACAGAACAAATAAGGCAGACGAGACAGAGTCAGAGACCATCTACATATCATCAATCTTGTGTGTGATATAAACAAAAAACAAAACAGAATTTATATAGAGGAAGGTTGAAAAAAGGAAAAAACAAAAAAAGAAACCTTAAGGCCTCTCTCGATGTATTTAACGGCGTAAAACTCTCCGTTGGCTTTGTCTCTAACAAGCTTAGCAACTCCAAAGTTACCGGAGCCAAGATCTCTTAAGATGTCGTATCTCTCCATTTTGATCAAACTAAGAACAGAGAGAGAATGAGAGAATACTCTGTTTGTTCTTCTATGTCTCTATCAAAACTATTGTCTTTTTGCTTCGTCTCTTTTTTATTATTCTTTTCGAGGTTTATAAAGGCGATATGCTTAGAGGATTTAAGCTTTCTTTTCTTATGGTTCAGTCTCTCTTATACCATATTTATACAAAAACGGGATACAGAGGATACAGTCAGCAGCAACTACCTTTATTGGGTCCACGAGACTATTGGGCCTTCAATAATACTGTCGAGCATAGGCCCATTGACACGTGGCATCTCTTCAAGAAAGAACAACATGAACAATAAGGACAGGATCAAACGTCTCAGTTCAGTTGTGTCTTCTTCCTTCGTTCGCAAGTATTTTTATTATTTGTCAAATACATTTCACAATGAAATAAAGTTAATGATTCCATCGCTTATAACTAACAAATATTTTGATCACACTATCAAATTTATTGAAAAGTTAATAGACCAGATTGAGTAAATGCGATTACCCATTTTTAGTATATATTCTCTCTTTTTAAAATTAAGTATTCTACCAAACTTACCTGTTTTAAATACTAAATTATAAAATACCTAATTTTCTTAGCTGGGAGAACTCAAAAAAAAAAAAAAATGGCCCACAAATATAGATTTGTAATCCTTTTCCGCAACCCAATAAACAAACAAACTCATATAAAAATGATTAAAATACAAATATACTGTTTAAAATTATAAAAACAAATCTTCTTCTAGTATTAAAAAAAAAAATAGATGTCGACTGGATTAACAGGTCAACGGCTAAAATAATAAGCTAAAATCCAAAAAAAAATTAAAAAGAGATATGTTGCTTAAAAAAACTACAAGTCTATTAGAAAATGTAGGGACTCGATAACTCTTACGTGTGCGTTGTTGATGATTATCTGATCCTTTTGTGTTATGTTATGTGTGTGTGTGTGTGTGTGTGTTTGTTGTGTAATCCTCTTATTGCTTAAGCGTCTTGCCTTTCTCAAATTAAGCATAGTTTTTTAGATAACTAGAAGAAAATAACAAAAAAAAAAATCGTTTGTAGTACAAGCATTATATTTATACATAACATAGAATGTGTATATTTGTATATAGTCGTATAGATTTCTCTTTTTCAGATAAGTTTAACAAGCCCTCTCCAATGATCTCTTGTGATACGATACTCCAGGGAAAAAAAAGTAGCCAGCATGGACATATCCTTCATTATTATAATACATAAATGATATTGTTACGTCTTGAGATGTGTTAATGTATTGTAATGATTTTTAGATCGTTTATATGGAAGACATTTAAAAAAATAAAATTACAAGGTCAAGAAGTCAAGGGCCTTGAGAAAGCGAATAACAGAAACGTGGCCGCATAATAACCGTACACGTGGGAAATAGAAAGCAAGTGCACAAAAACTAGATGACAAGTGGAAGTGGTGTTTGTGCGTCAGACGTAATGTTACGTGGAAGGCCACGATTGGGCCTTGATTTGAAAGACCATCACCGTTGAGTGGTTGGTTGGGTGATAACAGTGTATTGTCCCCACATTTGGTTACTATAATTAGAAGGCTATTATTATGCATTTCAAAGACTTTTGTAAAATACATTATGATTTTTCTTTTTAATATTACTTTTTTCTTGATTTGTTGGAATCTTGCTATACTTTTTTCCCCACAATGTGCATTACATTTTTCGCTTTTTGTAATTTGGTTAAATGCGAAAAAGAGGATGTCAATTTTATCAGCATGTATAGAATTATAAAGCTACAACCACATAACATAAGGTTTACACAGATTAATTTCTCAATGGGTTGACAAAATGGCAATTAAAGAATTCGCACTAGAGAATTTGAGAGTTATATTGGCAAATAATTCATTTCAAAAAAAAGGTAATATAACAATACACAATGAAAGTTGAACAAACAAAAAAAAAAATGAAAATGAAATGCATGAATTGAATTTCACTTTCTGTATTCGAATATAGTTGGGTTCTTTTCTTGTGTTTTAAAATTTTTTTGTTGTAAGTTGCTTGCAACTATGACCACCTTTACCACATTATCTTGCTCAGTTTATTTTTGGGTTTGTTATATACTATAAAAAAATCGGAAAGGTTTCTCTTACAAATACGGCCCATATTAATAAATAGATTCTAAACAAAGATAAGCCTAGTCAGGCCGAGTAAAAGGCCTGCTAACGAGAAACTAAAACATAATTCGATTTGTGTATCATCATTATCACCAACCCGGGAATTCAAAATACCAAACCATATCAACCGGTTCGACCAGAATGTCAATTTTGATTTGAAGAAAGACAAGACACACACTACGCTTTGTGCACAAAACAAAACTGATCAAACCTTTTTTATTACAAAGAACAAATTCAAACGTTTGTCTCTCTATGTACAAAACTCAAATCTGCTGTAGTAGAAAAAATACACAAAAATGGCGTATCACAGCAAAGTTATATAAAAGCAAGGCACTTCAGGGCTCCGGAGACATCGGTGGAGACGTCGGAGTCTGTGGTTGCTGCTGCTTATCTTGTGAATCGGTGGAAGACTCTTTCTTGTGTGAGAAACTCAAGCTTTTCCTTCTAACCAGAAGATCACCAAATCTACGAATAAACGCCTTCTTCTTCCTTGCTACTGCTCCTTTGTCGTTCAACTCTCCTTCTTCTAAATGGTTCCCATCCAAATTCTCCAGATCCTCTGGATTGATCGTCTCTACTTCTTCCAAAAACGTACACGATGATCTCCTTTTGTGATGCGTTTGCGCATGTGGCGTCTCTGCTACGTCAAAGATCGAACCTTTGAATAGATAAGAATCTGAACTTGGAGAGCTTCCCTCACCACTTTCCTCACTGTTCTCTTGTTGATGATTCCCACCGTTTGCGTTTGAGGCTTTTGTCTCTTCCTCTATTGTTGTTTCTTTGTTGTGCTTGTGGTTGTGGTTGTGATGACCGAGCTTCATGATGCTGAAACTACAAGTTTTCCCAATCATCTTCTTATCTATGCTCTGATGTGTCTGCTCTTTCTTCTCCTTCTCTTCCTTCTTCTCCCCATGTTCTTTCTTCTCCTTCTTGCTCTCTTTCTTCTCCTTCTTGTTCTCTTTCTTCTCTTCCTTCTTCTCCTTCTCCTCAATCTTCTTCTCAGCTACTTCTACATCCTTCTGCATTGACCCTTGCCTGCTCAAGCTTCTGTGTTTCTCTTCCTCCATAGCTACCTCTATTTCAGACAACAGCTTCTTCAACTTCTTAACATTTTCATTAGCCAAAGCTTCATTCACCTTCACTCTCTCCATCTCCTTCAAAGCAAATTGCAGTTCATCTTCCTTATCCAACAAGGCATCTTTCAAATTGGAATTCTCAGCTCTGGCGATCCCGGCTGCTTCCTTCGCAACATTGGCTTCGTTTATGGCTTGTTTAAGTATATCTCTAACCTTATGATTCTCTTCTTTAGCCTTCTTGCTTTGGTTCTCAGCAGCAACAAGAGCTTCAAGCAATCTATTGTTCTCATCAAGAAGTGAATTCTTCTCGTCTTCTCCTCTCTTTATGCAACTCACAAACACAGATTCTTTCCCATTCCAAGCCAGAAGTGATTCCTCTGCTTCAATCCTAAGTCTCTCGCTCGTGTTCTTGAGCAATTCAGCTTCTTTCCTCACCTCCTCGTGTTTCTCCTTCCATTGCTGAGACTCCAACCTTGAAGCCTCGAGCTCTGTTTCCGCAATCACAAGCTTCTCCTTCGTTTGGCTACAATCAGTAGCTACCTCTTTCAAGGCCAATGCCAAATCATCCATTGCTTTCTTGCTCGTCATCTCTGCATCACTCGCTGCTTTAAGCTCGTTCTTAACCGATTTCATCTCTTCCATCAAATCAGATATCCTCGAAGAGGAAGCGTCTGCAGCCTCATGAGCCTTTACGAGACTCTCCTTGGTCGATTCCATTTCATTCTTCATAGAATCAATATCAAAATCCTGAACAGAACTATCATCTTCATCTTCCTCGCTCGAGTCTTGGCTATTGTATGATGCATCTATCCTCTCTTTCAAAGAAGCGATCTCTAGCTTCGATTCTTGGACCAGAGCCTTGGTTTCTTCTAACTCTTTTGATTTCTCTTCAAAAGAATCAACAAGTTGCTTCTCTAACACTTTACCATTCTCCACCTCGGCTTCAAGAGTCTTCATCAACGTGTCTTTCGACAACAACTCGGCTTTTAAAGAAAAGACTTCGTTTTCTCTGCTCTCAAGGGAAGCTTTCATCTTGCAAAGCTCTGTATCGATATCCGCAACTTTGTTAGATGAATACCTCGGAGAAGCTACATCCATGGACGGTTTCTCATCTACTTCTCCCATTGATGATGATGAATGTTCTTTTACTCTGACAATTGCAGATAGACAAAAAAAGACGAAGAAGCTTTGGGTAATGGGTTTTATTTGACTAAGAATATATTTAAGAGGTTGACAAAAAGGGAAAAAATCTATTGGTCAAATTAAGAAATCTTGGTTCTCGATGTTTTTTTAGGAACGCAACTTCCTTGTTTTAGCGGTTGGTTTGTTGAGGGCCGTCCATTTTAGAAAGATTCAACAAATCCACAAAACTTGTAATTATAGAAAGAAAAAATCAGCCATTAATAAGACCTTTCGAAGAGAAAGGAATGGTAAAAAACTGAGTTAAGGAATCATAATAATTCAACAAAACTTAAAAAGAGTTTGCAACACACTTAAGCTTTAAGAACACAACATTCTTAGATTATAGACTTCTTACTAGTGTACTATTTTGATTTTTCCTACTACATACCCGAAATTAAGAAAAGAAAAAAAAAACACAGCAATTGAGAGCTTGCTTCCATAAAAGAACAGAAAAAATTAAAAACTACTTGACCAATCTTGAATGGTTTCTTGGTAGGCCTAAGCACGTTCACCTCTGATACGACGAGCAAGCTGAATGTCTTTAGGCATAATGGTGACACGCTTGGCGTGAATGGCGCAGAGGTTAGTGTCTTCAAAGAGACCGACAAGGTATGCCTCCGCAGCTTCCTGGAGAGCCAACACAGCATGGCTCTGGAAACGCAAATCAGTCTTGAAATCTTGAGCAATCTCACGGACTAGCCTCTGAAATGGGAGCTTCCTGATCAGCAACTCCGTACTCTTCTGGTACTTACGGATCTCACTTAACACCAAAACATGAGGAGAACTTTAGCACACAATGTTTTTACATAGCTTCACAATAAGACAAAATGTGAGGAATCAAAAGGAAAAAAAGAACAAACCGGAGAGCAACAGTTCCAGGACGGTAACGATGTGGTTTCTTCACTCCACCAGTGGTTGGTGCGGATTTACGAGCAGCCTGTGTTCAATACATAAGAAGATCAAAACTTGATTAATGACAATTAAAGGCACAGCTTGAACACACACACAAAAAAAAAGACCGAGAAGGAACAAAAACCTTAGTAGCAAGTTGCTTTCTTGGAGCTTTTCCTCCGGTGGACTTACGAGCGGTTTGCTTGGTACGAGCCATCTCTACTCATTCACAAGATTTGAAGCAGTCAATTAGGGATTTTTATTAGACACAAACTTATTTGATGAAGAAATTAGAGAAATTAAAAACCCTAATAATGATTAACTGTTTATCAACCCAGATAATATATAGCTAAAGGGGAAAAATTTGAATCTCAAACCCTAATTTACAAAACACAACTACGCAATGACAATAACACACAGACAGATCACTAACATAGAGCCACTAAGCAAGAAACAAACGAACGATTAAGTATTTGATCGATCAACAAAATTACCAGAGTCGATCTTCACGTGTTTATATCTATGCAGCAAATTTGAAAGACGGATCTTTGATTTTCATATAGGAATAGGACAAAACCCAAGACTCAATTGTCGTGAAAATCAGATCACAGAGACAGTAACAGAAAATTTAAGGAACGAGCTAATACCCTAATCCCAAAACATACCTCTTCTTCGATTGAGCTGACTTTTGTTTCGTGTTGCCTTTTTCTTTTATTTTTGTCTTTCGTCACAAAAGAAGTAATAGCGGATGATTGAACTAGTAGTGTGGTTGTTGTGTCCACAAGGCCGTCGAATGTGTTATTTATAATACCAACGAAAGGGTTCTCACGATACGCTCCTTTGTGCTTTCTTACATCTTTCATCCGACGGTTAAAACATTTGCACATTGTGTTTTCTCGTCTCAAACCGACGGCTACGATTGAAGAATTTTAGTTTCACGCGGATTACCAATTTCGTGAATGTCAAAGTTATTGAACTAAATCAAACTTTGTAACGCCATGCTAATTTATCAAACAAAAATTTAATTGAACAGAATCAACATCACATGAAACAAAAGTCAGAAACTTTAACATATCAATATGTCTCAGAGTTGCAATTCAACAACAAACGGTGTTTTAGTATTGCCAAAGAAGAAAGCAATACACACCACAAAACGTAGCTAAGAACATAAGCAATTCATAAAACCGAATAGACAAGAAATAGAGAATTAAAAAACCAACCACCATTGTATTCAAGTCACCTACAACCATAAGCTTTTAAAGCCATTATCTAATTCCAACTATCTATTTAGAAAACCCCACATTCACATAATCCAACCAGCTTCCCCATTACACTTAAGCACGCTCTCCCCTGATCCTGCGAGCAAGTTGAATGTCTTTCGGCATTATGGTGACACGCTTGGCATGAATGGCGCAGAGGTTAGTGTCCTCAAAGAGACCCACAAGGTAAGCTTCAGCAGCCTCCTGGAGTGCAAGCACAGCATGGCTCTGGAAACGCAGATCAGTCTGCACAACACAACAAAAATATGATAAGCACACGGGTTACTATACAGTAAAAATAAATCAGTAATCTCAGGAACAAGAGATACAACCACATTACCTTGAAATCTTGGGCAATCTCACGAACGAGCCTCTGGAAAGGGAGCTTCCTGATCAGCAACTCAGTACTCTTCTGGTACTTACGGATTTCACTGTTAATCAAAACCAGAAACAAAGAAAAAGAGTTAGGTCAACTAAGATAACAACCAAGCAAAACCCAATCACATTTATGGGAAAACAGAATGCATACCGAAGAGCAACAGTTCCAGGACGGTAACGATGGGGCTTCTTGACTCCTCCAGTGGTTGGGGCAGACTTACGTGCAGCCTGAATTTTTAAAAAAATAACCAATAAGGATAAATCCAGATATGTCTTCATCAAATTACTTATAGATCACATGTGAGAGAGACTAATTCTTATTACCTTTGTTGCAAGCTGCTTCCTAGGGGCCTTTCCTCCAGTAGACTTACGAGCGGTTTGCTTAGTACGAGCCATCTGATCATTATGAAAACAAAATTACGAGCCATAAGTATTTGAACTGCAGTAATGAATCGAATAATCAAGAAAAGCGAAACCCTAATCAACACAAGTGTCGAATGTGAATAAGCTATTTACACCGGTGAAAACAATCAAGAATTACAGAGAAAGCAGAAGATTCCAGCTAAAGAATCAATCTAATACTCAAATCTAGCGAATCGTTTCATCTTTAAACCTAAATCCTAAATCCTAAAGATTCAACGGCGAAGAAACAAGAAAATGTCAAAGAATAGAAACTAATCCCACCTAATTTCATTCGAACTATCGAACGGTAATGAACAAACGAAAGAAACTTTCCGGGAAAATCAAAGACAATCGAAGAATCGTACCTCAGAAACCTCTCTAGCTTCTCCGAATTTTCAAAATTGAGCTGCGATATCGAAAAAGATTAACAATGACTGCTTTCACGCGTGTACGGCTCTTGATATTAATTTATAGGCAACGATGGCAAAAGCAGATTAAATGATCGGACGGTTATTATCGCTCGTCAATGTGTTTCTGATGTTTCCTAATCGTACGGGCTAAAATACCACAACATGTGCTTTCTTGAACGCAATCAACGGTCCAGATATAGCAGTACATGTTTGACGAGGATCGCCAGTGCTACATACTCGATTGCGATTGGTTGAATACGAAACGTCGGGGATCGTGGTAATGAACCGTTCCGATTTAATTTTAGGCCGCCACTTCAAACTAATGGGCTAGTAGATAAGGCCCAAGGCCCATTAATTACGATAATCCGATGGGTGCGTTACCTTAAACTGGTTGCATTTAGTCAACTTTCCGGTTTAGTATTAAACCGATTTGACTCGCTATCTTCTTCTCCCCCTAAACTCTTCCGAGAGAAGAAACCAGATTTTTTTCAGAGATTCAAATCGTCTCCATTCTTCAGGTATAAGGATTCTACGACGAGATCGATCTGTTCGATTCAAATTTTTGTTATATCTGGATTTACCAGTTCGAACAGATCTAAATCGTGATGTTGTTATTTTTCAGATATGGATTGGCAAGGGCAGAAATTGGCGGAGCAGTTAATGCAGATCCTGCTTCTGATCGCCGCCGTTGTGGCTTTCGTTGTTGGTTACGCAACGGCGTCGTTTAGGACGATGATGTTGATCTACGCCGGAGGTGTTGTCCTCACGACTCTGATCACTATACCTAATTGGCCTTGCTTCAATCGTCATCCTCTCAAGTGGTTAGATCCTAGTGAAGCGGAGAAGCATCCGAAACCACAAGTTGTTGCTGTTAGCTCCAAGAAGAAATCCTCTAAAAAGTAGTGTCCTTTTTTTATCTTTATCTTCTCTAGGGGCTTTTGATGATATAAAGACATGTTCTGGTTCGTAAGCTTAATAATAGTCTAAATAAAATAACTTTGATTGATTCTCGTCACTGTGTGTTTTGGAAGAATTTTGAGATATCAATGTGTATTGTAGAGTTGGATCATAAAAGGTGTTAATAACTTTGTGGTTCTTGAGACATTCCTCAGAGTTTCAAGAAGAGAGTTTAAGCGTTAAATGTAGAAAACAGGCAAGGAACACAGTTGGAATTCAAACCTCTGATGCAAGAAAATTCATACGTTTATACCAAAGCCCAAGTGTACATTCATGTCGCTGTACTGATGTATTAATGGTTCAAGATCACAATAACAAAGTGCAATCTGTAACGCTGTTGGTACAAATTTTACCAGTATCAAGAGTTATGTATTCAATCAACCAGTAAACAAAGCATAAGCTAGAGGAGAGTGACGAGAATGAAAATGAGAAGTGCAGCTATAAATGAATACTTGAGAGCAGCGACAAGGATGGCGAAAGAGATGAAGAAAAGCTGAGACAAGACTTGAAGGCTAGCCCAAGTCAACACCCCGGCTAACGCGACAGCCACAAAGTTATCTTGATCCGGGTTCAACAGCTCGCCCCACTTGAAACTGAAACCACCAAACTGGTCTTTCTTGGAACCATTACCATCATCGCTACTAACCGTTCTGCTTCCACCACTAGTAGACTCGTCGCTGCCACCATTTTGAGCATATGTTCTGACCTTTAATGGGGATTTGAAGAAATGGATTCGATGATGGTGCGGAGTTGTATATGAAAAACGAGGCTTTAATGTCAGAGGCACAAAAGCTCTCAATGCTATCATCTTGGATTAGGGCTTTTCAAATCAAGAGGAAACTTTCTGGGATTCACGGAGTTAAATCCATCTGCAGTTGAACAAAAACAGAGGTCAAACATAATTAAAATTGTACAGAACATGTGAATTTACCCAGAAGAAGATCTAAACATATGGCACAAGCGAACGAATAATACCCAGATGAAACAATCGAAATTCAAACGGATTCATCCAAATCTCTGCAAACTCACCTCTATATCTCCATGTTTCCGAACTAGAAGACAGCGCAAAGAAAATTGGAATCGATCGCTACGATTCAATCATATGTTAGCCCCTTCGGCCTCAGTGTTTTAGTATTTGACGGCTAGGATTTAATCTGGTATCTTTCATATTTTGATTAAAGCTTCAATCTTTACTCTTTTAACTCAAATGTTGAAATAGATAATTACGAAAATGCGAAAAAATAATGTCACCACACTTTCTTTTATGCAATGCACAGATATTGTTAAATCTCTCCTCGTACACAAATCAGTAAACAAACCTTAAAGAAGAGACTAATGATTATTACCTTGTTCTAATCTTTTACACAAGGACCAAAACTAAAGAATCATCAAATCAAAATAAATTAAAATCCCCAAATTACAATTCTCTTTTCTTTATACCCTAAAAAAAATACAGACTTCTATATATAAAAAACGAACAAACAACCTAGGCTCATGGGGTTTTCTAACTTTTTATGTGTTGGTGAAGTGGAAAGATTTGGCTACACCCAAGTGATCAGCTAGTCGTCGTACTGAGGACTGCACCGGTTTAGAAACCGGTGAGAGCAGCTCTGGGAGGCTCGGGTGGCATTCAGGTAAATAAGGGTCATCATCCTCTGTGCGGCTCAAGGAAGTGAGTACAGACCGGCAGAATATGAATCTACACAATAAGGAGGCGGCCACATTTAAGAATGAGTCCATGCTTTGTGAGGATTTGATTCAGAAAACATTGAGAAAACACGCACCTGAGAATCAGCCGTCTCAAGAATGGATCGGGCAAGACCTGAGCCCAGACGAGATTCAAGACTTTGGAAGTCAAGAGAATCGTTTCCCACTCTGAGAAGCAAGCAGAAAGTATGCTCTCTGCTTCATCATAAACTTCCTGAAGATTGTAAGCAAAAATGTTAAGGAGGCATGCCGCATAAGTTCATTTACGGTATTTCGCATGTGTACTTACAGGGTCAGGATTTGAGTTTGAGAGACCCAGCATTTGACTGAATGCTTGTAAAGGAGCTGTTAAGAAAAAGGTAAACTGACTTCCGTTTAGTGCGTCCGTATCATCGGTAGATTGGTTCTCGAATGATGGCTTCAGAGGTGAAAGAAGCATGGCAACAGGCTCGCCTCTCTCTGCGCCACTCAAAACCTGGAGAGTTTTTTAATTTTATACCAATCCATCAGCAAATATGGCACAGTGACTTGAGAGAAACTATTAGACTCTCCAGAGAAAATGAGGCTTTAAGTTATGACAAACCTGCCTTGAATGCTCGGCTAGTGTCACTATCAATGATGAAGAAAAGCGGTTTCCGTGTAAAAGGGATTAGATCACCAGGGTAAAGGTTGTTTGAACCTGAACAAAAAAGAGACATTGAATTAGAAAAGTTTGCTCTTTGGAAACATACTAAAATGATATCCCAAAGAAAACGACTTACCAGAACCTCCTCTAGGACCGAACCAGAGATGATCCTCATAATAATCACCAGACATCATTTTTCCATTGCTATGTGGTTCTGACTTGTAACTTTTCTGTTCTTGGGAGGCTCGAGCAAGTAGCTTGCTTTTTGATATTCTGCTTGAACCAATAGAGTTCTCTGGTTGCGCAACATTTTCGCGAGCAGGACCACCTGGATAATTATAACCAATATCATTGATATAACCAAATAAAAATTTACCAACCTTCAAAGTTCCAGTGATAGCATGATAAAAACTAACCTGAAGCTGACAAATATATCAGCATCACGCTCTCTGGAGAGAGCTCATCACAAATCATTGCTAAGACCTGCAGATATATCACGAGTAAAAAGTTAAACATAAGGAATGGACACTCTCCTGTTAAACAAAATGAATGGACATATAAACTCACTGCTAGCAAGTGGGATACTGTGGGACGATAAAGAATTGCTTTCCTAGGATTAGGAGGTAATGATGGATCAGCCATATCAGCAGCCAAGTTCAAATCTATAAGCCCAGAGGTTAAAGTGTGATCAATTACAAAACCATTCTCCTTCGTTTCAACAGGCTTTTTTTGGTAAAATGATCCACTAGGTTCCCATTCTAAACACTGCATCATTCTATACGTATCCAAGGTGACTTCAGCATATTTCACCTGAGAATCCAGCTCCATATTATGATTATGAAGGCAACAGAAATCTAGGTTCCACAAAAAAAAAATTAAAAAAATACTGCTTGTTCACCTCATTACGGTGATAGCTTGCCAAGAGAGCATCACGGAACTTGAACAATTTCTTTGCGTGGAAGCGAGCAAGATACGTTTGAGAAGCTGGATAAGAATCAAGCATTGCACAGTAACGAAGAGGCCTGACATAAGTTAACTCTGTATCAGATTTTATAAACCGAGTGATTTCTTGCACAACCAGCCTCCACTCCTTAAAGTTCGTCTCCTACACGATTAGAATATCCCCAAGTCAGAAGAAACACACAGATTTCGAATAAAAATAGAGACTTTCACCAAACGCATCAGAAGGAGAGATCTAAAATTTACCCTGAAATTAGATTTGGTGTCATCAAGGAGAAGCCTAAGCTTCTCAGCTAAGTGGAAAACCATATCTTTGCGATCGACAATCAAGGAGACAAGCAAAAACCTGGCATAGAAGCGTAGCTCCTTGAATCGAGCACCAAGATCTTTCCCCTGAGCTTCTTCAAAGTACCTCCTCCTAAGAATCGCTTCGTAGAAGACATAAGCCTCAAGAAGAAACCTAGCTTCACTAGTCCTCATGTACTGACTAAAGTAAAGCTGACCAATCCGGCTCGCGATCTCGCCGATTTCCCATCGGTTTAAACCGGACTCGACCAGCTTGGACCGGTACGATTGCTGATAATTCCATAGTTTCATATAAGCTTTGAAAACCTTGTGGAAGTAGTGACTCTGTGCTCTTCCAAACGCCGGGAGATCGCGAACTCTGGCGAATTTCCGGTCAGCGTTCTCCACCAAAGCTCGGAAATTCCTCGATACATCTTCACCCGCCATTTTTCCCTCAGTTCCGGTGATTACCGCCGTCGTTTATCATCGGCTCTGAAGAGAGAGAAGAGAGCGAGAAAAGAGTAATCAATGCCTACGAACGACGGTGGAGAGAGAGAGAGAGAGCGAGATGGTTTTTTATCTCGTTTTTATTTAATTTAATTTTGTGTTTGTCACAATTTATAATTTTATTTTTTATCCTCCTTATTTTATTTTTCCAGCTCTGAGTTTATTTTATTATTTTCATCTTTTAGTTGTTGATCACCTTTCTAAAAGCAGTTGAAGAAAAAAAAAAATTGGGTTTTTGGGATTAATAAATAGTTTAAAATTATTGTCCAGAGTCGTCGTATTGGTACCTATAATTTTGAGAAAAAAAATCAAAAGAGATTCTTTTGTTTCATTATTATGAATATGAAAATGTGTTTTTTTAGCGTAATATTCATTAATAGGATGATCAGTACAATGCAATTATGTGACCGTAAGTATCATTGTTTGTTTGTTTTTTCATATTCAAAATTTGACATTTAGCTAAATGTAAACATTGTTAATTTTACCTGTATTAATAGTATTGTTTATTTATATAATTATATAGGAATAACTAATAAGCATCGTAATTAGGAAAAACGCATGTGAGCACGAACCCACAAAAGAATTTTGCAGAATCATATAATAGTTAATACTAGTAATCTCGTTTTGTGTTGTTCTGTGGTAATCATCGTGAGACGAGCTAGCATCATCTACAAATGTATATTGTTAGCACATGTCCGTAACGTACGTACATTACTTACACGAAACATTGTTTAGTCGCTCCACGAAGAAACTAGCTCACGAAGAAACATTGTATATACGAACTCTAAACATAGAACAACAATTTAAATAAATGCTCGTTTTATATATTTTGTTTGTTAGTTTTGTACATTAAATTATCAGTTTGGTATAAGAAATTAATGATGGCATAGCAATAAGCAACTTGCACATGATTATTTTGTCGACGTACTGTGTGTGTGTGTGTGTGTGTGACGCTGAACCCTTTTTGAATATATGATTCCTTTATAAATTATATAACTATGTTTAATTGTTTATGTGTCAAACCCTAAGGATGATTAGATGATTTGGTAATCGGCAGCAACATATCTCTATAATTATTTTAGAGGAATCCTAGGGAGGGGAAAAGTGTTATAAGACTAAAATTTGTGATGATTTTAAAAGAAACCAAAAAAAGGTAGGTATGTTTTCGTTTGGTTGCTTTCGACTTTTAAAACACAGAAATAAGATTTACAACTATATGTGATTTACTTAGAAAAACAGAGTTGACTTTATCGCTGATTAGTAGTAGTGGGTCTTTTTGCTTTTCGGGTGTTGTTCTAAATTCATCCTAATGGTGTAATGTAATCATCACATCTAGTACCAATATTTTTACTTTAGAGGTGGACCGACGTGACATATCACGTCGCTAATTGCCTCACTGTGTGTATGTGTTGAGGGCATTAGAAATGATAACGAAATCCATCTTTTAGTGCTCTCGAGTTTGATGATATGCAATACTTACTACAACATGATAGCACAAATTATAACCATATTAAGGTGCTATGTTTTATCTCTAACTATAACAATTATTATGTGATTATCGACTCAGATGAGAGAAGCTTTAGGTTGTTGACACAAGAAAAGCAATAAAAACAAATTGAATAAATTGGAAAATGTCATAATACATAATTTGTCTTTACATCTGCAAAATTAAAAGACCAGTGGGTCACATTTCCATTTAACTTATTATAGTAGTAGTTAGATGTTAGTTGTCTGAACTCTAAATTTTTCATTTATTTTATATTCTGGATATTCATATTTTAAATTCGGTCGTATTCTTTGTTTGATTCATACGGAATAAAATAAATATAAAAATAATTATTGTCCATAAAAGTCTAAACTATAGTATCATTTGCTTTCGTAAGATCAAATGGTACGTCGCCCATTTTCTATACATATAGCTAAAAGCTTTATTAGGTGGGAAATTTAATATGCTAGCTACAAAATGTACCTCTCAATTTTGGTCATCTTTTAGTTTTAAATATCTTTATCACATGAATACATTCCTTTGGACTAGAAAACAAACATAAACTCCAAACAAAATATATATAAATAAAAAATTAGAAAGGTAAAAATTATAAATAAAAGATGTTGTCTTATACTATGTTGGAACGTTCAACATCACCGTCGCACGAATAACCGAGAGAATAATAAAAGCTTAATAGTGTATGTTTGTTTCTTATGAATATTCGATAACCTCAGCTCGATTGACTGACTTAGTCGCAGACGGCCACCAGCACAGCACCCATATGACCAATTTTATCTGAATCTTTGTGACAACTAAAGAAACAATCTAAATGAGTTTTCCAAGAAAAGATGGGGCAAAAAAACATAAGAGCAAAAGGAGAGAATGTGTGACTCCCAAATCAGTGAATGGAACCTATTTAGTGTCAAAGTAGACGAAAAAACAAGAAAAGGCAAAAAAGAAAGAAGTAAAGATTTGTTCTTTAAGAAAAGAAGAGTCTTTTTTATTGTCAACAGATTTGTTTGTGTGTGTGTGTTGAGCACAAAAGGGGGATTGTGAAAGCTTTTTGCATTACCAGATAAAAAGAAGAAGGTACTTAGTGGATGAAGGTACTTAGTGATGAAGAGAAGAGAAGAAAAAAAAATAACACTGTGAAGGAAAAAAGTAATAATGTGCTTGCCTTTCCTTTTTTAAAAAAAAATCATATTGGGTCTTTCTTTGAGCCGAACGGCCTTTGTAATAAAAAAATAATAATAATTGGGCCGTTTGACAACAACAAAAAACAAATTGGGCCGCTTAATTAAATGTCAAACATATAACATGTCCATTCTGATAGTATAACATAAAATTGGGCCGGTTTGTGTTTTTTTTCTTTTCTTTTTGGGTAAATTTTTGTTTTTTAAAACAAATGACGCCGAATAATTTGACTTTTAAGTCCACCATTGCTGACTTATGCTATTGTTTAGGAGCTACGACCACTGGTTAGATGACGCGTGTCATACTCTTTATAACGAGACAAAAGTTGAGGAAAAGCGTAGTGGCTCTCTCTCTCTCTCTCGTTAAGCCGGCGCGAGCCGTATACGAGCTGTCTCCGGTTTTCGTAATCGTATTCGAATCTTTATCGCTGTGTTAACATTTGTCTATATTGTTAAATATTTAATCGCACTAGTGGTGATTTGTTTACTGCTGACCTGATTAATTTGTAAAATCTCTTTTTTCTTCTACGAAAAAAATTTAAAGAAATCAATGATGATGCACCAAAATGATCACTAACTAATTTAGATGTTATTATAATTGGTACTTCTTTTTGGAATTTTAGTTTTTATATATTAGATTCGAGTCATTCGACCTTCCCCGAGTATAGCTTGGTTAAGGTTATTCATTAATTAATATTATGTAGTCATGTAATGAGAGTGTGATTTATAATGCTTAACTGTGATTTATATCCATGTCCGGTCCTAATACTTTAAGAAGCCTAACAATAGTTAAGATGTGTTTCTAGTTTCAAAGTTTCCATCGTTTAGTTATAAACCAATAGTACGCAACAAATCTCTTTTTCCCTATGTTAGAGCAACTCCATTGGTATGTTTAATGGGAAGCTTAAAACATTGCCTATATTTATTGCATTATATTTAATGCAAATCAAGCACTTTTCATAAGTTTTGTTGTCTAAATTAATTCTTTAAACAAAAGCTAAAGGCCACTTATGAATTTATTTTTAAAAAATTAATGCAAAAAAATGAATAAGCACCCTCCAATGGTTAGAAGGTCTTACAAAGCTAATATTTTTTCTTAAATTTTGCTATAACAATCAAAAAATTTATTTATTTATTTTTAGATGATCTGATGATCACATCAACTAATTAAATATTACCAAATTTAGAGAGTATTATAAGAATTTTCAGAATTAAAGACTTGAGAGGGACCTTTCTAGATGACCCACACACCTTGTAATTTATTTATAGTGACAAATTATTTTCACTGTTTAAAACTTTAAACCCATTTGTGTTATTAATAAGAATAATTTCGTTTTTCATTAATAATATTTAAATTTAAAATAAATATATGGCTTTTCAGCCTTTCACCATCAAAGCACATACTGTATAAAATATTTGAATGTTATACAAGGGTTCCCCGGGATACACGGGAGTGTTGAAGAACATATAAACCTATCCGGATTAAATTAGTAAAAGAAGGCGATATATATGCTTTTAATATAGCAATAGATTCTATCATTCTAATCAAAACATGACTTCGATTATATTCTCGAAATAAAATAGAAATCGACTGTCTTTATACGCAATACCAAAAAAAAAAAAAAAAGGAAGAAGAATAATAATCTATGGTTTAAAAGAGACAAGAAAAAGTCTTTGTAGCAACACTACATAACATGATTAACTTCTCTTTATTTTTGCTAATTTGTAGCAAACAATATCCACGATTATACTACACAAAGTAGAAGAAAATGTTTACACATTAAATAATGATTTAAAAACAACAAAAAGGCATTCATAATAATGAGTTCAAAGTATACAAAATTGGATGTTTTTTTCATAGTTATTGCGTGTAAAAAAAGAGTACTAAAAACGAAGGATTTGCAACAAAAAAAAAAAAGATTGTAAGAAACCAATGTGATATTTGCCAAGAGAATGTGAAGCACATAACACAAATGTTCGCCGCCCGGAATCAAATGGAATAATAAAAAACTTGACTGCTAGTAAATTAGTACAACCAGGTTCTATAATAATAAATTGAAAGCATATCGACGTACACTAATTAATCGAAAACAAATGCGCAAAGCCCATAATGTTTAATGTACCATATGAGTTTTCAGAGGTGTAAACATCACTAAACCACAACCAAATCTAATCTAAAAAAACCCTTTGTAATTGTACCGACCGGTGAACCAAACCGGAGTCACCCATCTTTAGTAGTGCTACGTGTCGAGACATAAGTAGTTAGATAAAGCAGCGAAATAGACGGCTGTGAGAGGTGAGACGTCGCGAATCGGACGGCTAAGTAATAGAGAAATACTGTACACGTGTCTTTCTATCTCCCTTCAGCGAATAAATAATAAAATGAGTATATTATTTGTTTTATTTAGTAATATATTTTCCGGCGATAGTGACAAAATGATGAGAACGACATCTTCTTTCCTGTTTGGCCCCACAAGCACATGGGTAGGCAGGTCCCACTTGTTTCGTATAAAGGCTATTACAATTTTTTTATTACAACTAAATGTTAAATTTACATTTTCTCCAGTCCCGTTTTTTTTTGTCTTGGTATGAATTGTCATACCTTTTTTTTTTTTTTTGGGGCAAAAATTGTCATAACTGTTCTATGGTGGTGCTTTGCACATATTAAGATTATAGAAACCTTATTTGTCAAATGAATTTGAATTGTTTTAACGTTACAATTTGATCAAAGATTTATAGCCTAAAACATTGAATACACACATATATATAGTGGTATATAAAAAATAAATAGTGTAAAGTTAGGGGGTCAAATATTAAAAAACAGTAGTCTGTGACATAATCGTTGATTTTTTGAATGCCTCAAATTCGTATTCACACCCCCGATCCGTGACAATGGTAAAAAAAAAGCTTCTGTTTCTCTGACAGTGTCAGAGTGAATGAATGATTCACTAAATCCGATGTCCCCATGCTTATTCCAATCTAAACAATCGTGTACGCACAATCATGGTTACAAAAAGCAAGACCACCTTCATCATGTCCTCCTTTTCGCTTTTTTCTTTCTTTTCTTATTATACGAGTAATTCTTTATTGACTTTCACCATATACAAATTTCATATCGAACGTCGAAAAAAGTTTTTTTTTCACGTAAATACAATCAATTAAATGACATAGATAAAAGTTCGTTGTTGCTTTCACTTTTATGAATTTGGTGTTCCAGCAAAAAAAAGAAAGACAGAGAAGTCGTGGTCGTGGGATTATTAAAGAATAGATGTTAAAGGTGCCCGGGATGGAGAAAAAAGTTGCTGCTATGTTGAACTTGAAAGCATAGAATTAGAGATGTTACCCTTTTTCATCCATCTCAGAATATCTTGATTGGATCAAGATAAGGTTATACGAGTCAAGTGGAATGTTTATGGGTAACATCTAGAATGAAAACAAACCATTTGGACTTGACGAGTCAAAACGTAAGTTTTATTCTTTACATTAAAAGCCTAATAATTATTTCATCTTTGATCCCTTGTTTATCGATTATTTCACTTTTGCCCCACTCTGTTCTGTTTTTTTTTCCCATAGAGAGTAATTAAACAGAGCATGATTCGATCATTCAATCTCCATCGGATCAAAACGATTATCAAGTCCAATGATCCGAAGCTGAGTACCAATGAAGTGACGGCGGTTGTTCATCGGAGAAGAAACCACACGCTTCTTCGCCGCTTAGAAAATCGTCGTGATCCTCTGTTTGCTCCATTTTCACAAACTGTAAGAAACTCCCGCCGGTAACCGTCGCCGGAGGCGTTAACCTTCCGTTATCTGAACTTGTATCTTCGTTTAGAACGGCGCTTGAATCGCAGCTATCGGAAGATCCAGCGTCTCCGACTGCAGTTGAATTCGGCAGAAGGTCGCGGAGGTCAGTGAAGCTTCGCCGGTAGTTAAAACCGGTTGAATGTTCTAGAAACTGCGGAGGAGACGACGGAGTCGAATCAGTCTTGTGGGAACTCTCCGGCAATGAAACTTCTTCTTCTTTAACACTCTCCGTCGTAGCTTTGTTGTTGTTGTTGTTGTTCTCTTCTTCTACGCTTATCTTAGCTTTGATTTTACTGATCTGCAATTAAAGATTTATGAATATCAAACCTTTTCGCATTTTCGAATCATAAAGTTATGTTGTTTAGTTCTTTTATTACCTCTTGGAGAAGAGAATCGTTGTCACGCCGGAGGGTATCGAAATTGTGGCGGAGAGAATCGTATTGGCTCTTAAGAACGCCGTAATCTTTCTCAAGCTGTTTTGTTTTCCACCGTGCGCGACGGTTCTGAAACCAAACCGCTACTTGACGAGGTTGAAGTCCAAGCTCTTGGGCTAGTTTCGTTTTCCTCTCTGGTTCGAGTTTGTTCTCAAGCTCGAAATTTTTCTCAAGAGCTTTGACTTGGTCAACTCTTAATCTTCTCTTCTTCTCCGATAGACCCATGTGGTGGTGGTGATTGCCGGAATATTCCTCCATTAGTGTAGCATCTTCGTCGTAACCTTCAAGCATAGATTGGTAATTGCTTCCGTATCCTCTTGGACTCTGTTCATCTGTTTTTGTTATAAACCAAATGAGTCTTGTCAATAAAAGATACAAGTAGAAGAGAGGATCACAACATTGAATCTTTGTCTGAAATTAGCAAAGAAAAAGAGAAAAATGGTAAGGAAACCTGTAGAAGTGGAGATTAGAGCACACATTGAATCTGAGCTGCTTAGTCTCTTCATGATGACACCCAAACTAAAAGAGTTACAAATCCCTTCGGGATTTTTAAATTTTCGTTACAAGTTACAACAACATTGTTGTAAGAATAATTGAGCTTCTTTTACGGTAGAGGAACAAATTAGAGAAACAGAGAGATATGGAATGAGAAAGTCCAAAAGAGGAGAAGCTTATTGACAGAGGAAGAGAAGTGAGAGCAGCAATGGTTCTTCTTTGTTTTCAATATGAACAAGTTGGTTTCACACTTTCCCTTTCTTTAAATAAAACCAAACTTGGGTTAAAAATGTAACCAAGGTTAAGTTTGAATCAGAGCTATATGGCTCAGCTCGGCTCTGCAGCGGAATCTGTGATACCGTATAGGGTTTATTATAATTTTTGGTTTTGCTTAATTAGGGTGTAATTATTTTGAAAACTTATAAACAGTGAAAAGTATATACATACGTAAGAAAGAGGTATTTTAAAATAATATAACATCCTTTGAAAAACGTCACAAGATACGTCACAGAAGATTTGATGACAGAACGATAAACTATTATTTGTTTAGTAATCTCCTAATGCCTAATCAAGTTTAAAATTGGATTGGATAAGATTTTTAAACTATAGGGATGGTATATTTTAATCCCATATGAATACATTTAATGTATGAATATGTTATCGTTGGCACAACGCAGAAGAGTGGGAAAAAAAGGCTTGCGGTTTGGGGAACAAAGACTGACAATTTGGGTTTTGGTTCATTGAATTAATTATCCAAAAACTATGGGCTCAAACGGCACCGTCAAGATGACAAATGAATTAATACGGTGAGATAACGTACACATGAAAGTTTAAAATGGTATGGTGGAAAATACAAAACCATAACATATGTTAAAAAAAAAATGAAGCTTTTTAAAATAGGAAAGTATAATGAAATGTTGCAAGAACAAGATTAAAAAAAGGCTTTGGGTCCATCGCTATTTTCAAGAAAGGTTAGACTCATTTCATTTGCGATCAGTTTTCAACTTTTAAGAAACCATATCTAAAAGGGATCAAATGAAATATGGTATAGAACTTAAGAATAAAGAGATGGCAATGTGACCCAGTCTGAGTCAGATAATGGACCACAAAAACTGTATTTGTTCTTATAAGGCCTGATCCGTTTACTGTTATATATATTTAGTTTTTTTTTTGTTTTCGTGGTTGTTATCAGATTTTAAATTAAATAGGTCGAGTTGGACTGAATCTGGATGACACAGCACATGCACTTTCGAAGATATACTAAAAAATACACATTGAAAATATCTTGATGGAGAAAATAAAATAAAAGAGAACGAAGGAGATTTGGATTATTTTATGGTAAAGTCTCGAGAATCTGCAGTATTCTCATATATTTATCCACATTTCAAGTTTGTGTCTTCTTATCTTTACTCGTAAGCCATAAATGTCTACAACTTTTTTAGCATTAGACAGTCACACAACCAAAACCATTAGCTGTTGTTAGCTAACGATCGATCACTCGTATTTGTTGTTGTTGGTGTGGCCATGTAGAAGACACACCACTTTATGTCCCATCCACTAGTGTTGTTTGTGATGTTCAATTTCTTGTCTGAAATCAAGGAAAAGGCATTTTTGTACTATGAAACATTCTGACCTCTAACCATTGATTAATTTGACCCTATCGAAGAGACATAATTTTGTGTGTATATTGCAACGAACAAGTGGATAAACATGATTGACATATATATACTTAGCACACGGTTTAGCGGATATAGACTTTTTCATTTTAACAAGTGGACCAACCTGACTAATTACAATACAGGTATTTTATTATATACTATAGCTATATCTCTACCCTCAAGCAATTTGACGAATATTTTGCATAATTGTCCTTTTTAATAAACTTTTTTTATGCTAATCTAAAAGGCAAAATTACTACTATATAAGTTTAACGCTTTTGAAGTTTTATTCGAGACAACTCTTTCGCTTCTTCCTCTCTAGAGTAAATACATAAACCCAACCTTCTTCAATAACAAAGCCTTTACCAAACACATTTGCATTTATTTTATTACAACAAGAAATCAGATTCACGTGGATAAATCTCAGCCGTTGATATCCTTCTAACGGCTCTTATTCGGTCCTACTTCCATCGCCGTTTGTAATGAACGATGACACGTGTTAACAGTTTCAATCCTCACCGTTGGATGATTTTTCACTTGGTATTCATCCTACAGAGCAAAGCCAATGCACAATCATTCTCACCGAGTCCCCCTGAGTTACAACCGGGTCAAACTCCGTCGAAAACCACCGTCTTCGCCGTTCTCGTCACTTTCTTTTTCGTCATCGGATTGCTCTCCGTCTATATCCGCCATTGCACTCGCCCTAATCCCGAATACTCCACCAGATACTTCCGTCGTCGCAACGCCAACGACGGCTGTCCACGGCGAGGCGGACTTGACAACGCCGTCATCGAAAGCTTCCCTGTTTTTGCTTACTCATCCGTTAAAGAATCTAAGATCGGATCTAATGATTTGGAATGCGCGATTTGCCTCAACGAGTTAGAAGATCGCGAAACAGTGCGGTTGCTTCCGATTTGTAACCATTTGTTCCACATCGATTGTGTCGACGCTTGGCTTTACTCGCACGCAACTTGCCCTGTTTGCAGATCTAATCTCACGGCGAAATCGAATAAATCCAGTGAAGGAGACAACGACGGTGTTCCGATGAGAGGCGATGTCGTGATTGACATTGAAACCGTCGAGGTGGCGAAGAGCCACCACCACCCACGGTCGAGTTTTGAAATCGCCGGTAAGTTTCCGAGGTCGAATTCGACGGGTCATTCGATGGGTCGACTCGGTGACGGTGCTGAAAGGTTTACTCTACGGTTGCCGGATGATGTGAAGAGGCGAATAATGGCGGTGAAAGGACGTAGGCTGAAACGAACGAGAAGCTTCGACGTTGCTTTGACGGCGGAAGGCAGTTACGCAGTCGGATCGGGTGGGATATTGGACCGGATCAGCTGGCCGGATCGATGGGGTTTGACTTTGTTTGTTTCGAAGTCAAACTCGGGTTCCGTTAGATCACAGAAATCTAACGGCGAACCGTTGAATTGAATCGACATTATGTTTTGTGGCCTTGGCTTTGCTTTGGAGTGGTAAAAAAAGTTAAATTTCAAGTTGGTTTTGTATTATACAGAAAGGTCCAAAAGCTTGTTTAGCAGCTCGCTAAACATGTATTTTATTTTGTTCTGATTCAATCTTTGTATTTTTGTTCTGAGTCAATGTTAATATTATTAGAGTTTTATGTCAGTTTTAGCGCAACAGGCATTGATGTTTTCACAACTTTCATATTTCATAAGATGACGAAAACATGCATGCGTCGATCAGGTGAAGCTTTCCGAATTTCGTATTACAAAATCATCTGTCCTTCACGATAGTTTTGACATACGTTACCGCTGGTACTCGAGGGATTTAAGAAGAAATAAATTAATGCAATTATATACCATTAAAATGATAAAAATATGGAAAGTGGTTTAATTTGGAAAAGATTAAAAACCAAAAAAGAAAGAAGACAATCGACGACTATTTGACCCATGTTGGTACTCATATACTTTGGTTACATAAAATAAAAAATAGTGTCCTTTCTTGACCTAAACTATAAATATATATTTATATTATCTCCAATCTCAATGATGATCCAGCAAATTAAAAGAGAACAAAACTAGTCATCTATCTTTTTCTTAGATCATCATTTTATTCCGATGGGAAGGATCACAAGTTTTGCAGATCTCATAGGCAAAATCAAAGACAAAGCTTCTCAGAGCAAAGCTGCTTTTGTCTCATCAAACACTAAAGGCAAAACTCTTTCTTTCCATCTCTCTGTCCTCCGTGCTACTACTCACGATCCTTCAACTCCGCCTGGAAATCGTCACCTCGCCGTTCTACTCTCCGCCGGTACTGGCTCACGAGCCACCGCTGCTTCCGCCGTTGAAGCCATCATGGACCGTCTTCACACCACTGGAGATGCTTGCGTAGCTCTCAAATCTTTGATCATTGTCCATCACATCGTCAAACACGGTCGCTTCATCCTCCAAGATCAGCTCTCTGTTTTTCCGGCTTCCGGCGGCCGTAATTATCTGAAACTTTCCGGGTTTAGAGATGAGAAATCCCCTTTGATGTGGGAGCTTTCTTCTTGGGTCCGATGGTTAGTTTTTTATAAATAAATTATTTTTTAAAAAAGGAAGTTTGGATTTTTATATGTTTTGATTTTGTTTTAGGTACGCTTTATATCTTGAGCATCTTTTATCAACTTCAAGAATCATGGGATTTTTCATATCTTCGACATCGAACACAGTTCACAAAGACGAATACGAAGAAATGGTTTCGTCTCTTACCAACTCTGATTTGCTTCGTGAGATCGATGCGCTTGTTGGCCTACTAGAAGAAGCATGTAAAATCCCGGATCTACCCTTCTCCGGTGGCAAATCTCTCGCCGACAAGATCACCCATTTGGTCGGAGAAGACTACGTGTCTTCGATCAACGAGCTTTATACGAGGTTCAACGAGTTCAAAGAGCGGTCCAACACTTTGAGCTTCGGAGACACCGTCGAGCTTGTCTGTGCTTTGAAGCGGCTCGAGGGTTGTAAAGAGAGGTTGTCTGAAATGTGTCATGGGAATTGGAAGAGAGGTTGGATCGATGGGTTCTGGGGTTTGGTTCTTGAGGTCAAGGCTATCGTTGGTAATCTAGTAGATGATAATTATGGGCAGGTTGGGAAATCGATTGTTGAGTTTGGGAAGAGAGAAAAAAGATACGAATCGGCTCGGTTTACCGACCGGTTAATTATGGGTTACGGTGATGCTGTTCGGTTTTCTTCTGGTAGATTTCCGAATGTGGATCGGTTTAATTTACCCGGTTTCTTCTAATCAACCATTATGTTGAGTGGACGACTTTGATCTTCTTGTGAATTTTTTGTTTTGGTTTATTTGTTTCGGTCAGTTGTCTTGTGAATTTTTTAAAATCTTTATTAGCCACACACAAAAAAAAAACGAAACAAAGATGTTAATTTAATTATCTGTGGGTCTTGATGTATCAAGAATGGTTATGTTAAGATGACAAAAAAAAAAAAAGAATGGTTATGTTATACTGTCTTTATCACACACCCAAAAAAAAGAATTTGAAACATCATTTTTTTTTTGTCAAATGGAAACATCATTTAAAGAGAAAAGGAAGACATTTATATATTTTGTTTTAAAGTCAAAAAATAGATTTCGAAACTTCTCAATTTTTTTACCCACGGATTTTATTCAAGTATAATTTTTCAAGTTTGAATACAAGAAGACCCCAAAGGAAGAAAACAGCAACAAAGAGGAAGAAAGGAATGTATTAAGGAAAACACAGAGAGATCTCTCAGACAAAATCATGATAAGAGAAGAAAAAAAAAACAAGATAGAGTAATGCCCAAGGCTCATTTTTCAAGCCAAAACGGCGGCGTAAAAGGCTCCCGCAATGACGGTGCTCACAAGGAAAGCTTTGTTAGTCAATGCTGAGTCAGCTACCGGTGCGTTAGGTCCTGGAGCAGGAGCTGGTGTTGGACCTGATGGGCCTGGAGCCAAACCATGTGGTTTCGGGGGAGAAGCCATAGGGGGAGTCGTGGGCGACGTGGTCGGTGGTGAGACGGTGGGTGGAGTTGTTGGGACGGGAGTGGGTTCGTTGACTGGAACCGGTGGTGAAGCAACCGGAGTCGGTGGCTGCGCAGCTGGTGTAACAACTGGAGAAGGAGACTCTACCGGTGGGAGAAGCGTGATGGGTGCCGGAGCGGGAGCTTGAGCGAGACATGAGGTGGCAAATACACCAAGAAAGATGAGAGCTTGCAATGTCTTAAGAGCCATTTCTCTATGGTTTTTCGATTTCTTTCGTTGTTTGACGATAGAGATAGAGAACCTGAGAAAACTTCTCTCTTGTCGTCTTTGCTTGGTGGTGGAAGGCAACAAGACTCATCAATATATATATATATATATAGCTAATTATGAAGCACGTATATTTAAGTATTTGATATTGTGAACTCTTTTAAATCATGCCAAGCACATACTGTACATAGAGAGATGCAACTCTTATTTCTTTATTGGTTTAGTAATATATTGGAAACAAAGTAGTCTTTACCAAGTCTCTTGAATTTTGAAGTTTTCTTGAAGAATTGTCTACAAAAGGTCAAAAGCTTATAAATCTGATCTGTCGAATTGTCAAATGTTGTAATCTTTTTCATCGAGCCAATCTCCAATTCGATGATTTACACGAGGACTAGACCTAGTTCTAATTGGATTAAGACTTGTCGTGTTAATTAGGGAATATATAGAAAATGTCGTGTTAAAAATTGGAAACTAAACCGATTTAAGAAAATGACATTTGGTGTCACACCACAGCGATTCACTTGAGATATTTAAATCACTAGTATTACGACTATTTTGTTCTGTTTAGAGTCAAAGACCCACGCACGCGCCATCCATACTTGGCTCCCACTAAGGTTAACGACGAGGCAGACAAGCAACCTATTTCTATAATCTGTGAATGATTATGACTTTTTATATTATAAAATAAAATATTTTACAATTGTTCTTTAAAATTATGTTATTAAAGTTTGGTTGGATGAACCTTCATCCTAAACCGAAATTTATAAAGCAACCACCACCAAAAACCAAACCAAATTCTAGATAACTCATCCTAATTAAATGCATATTGCTTTAAATATGTGTTTTGATACCTCTAAGGCCATCCTTAACGGTATATACTCTTGTGTCTTAGAGTATTAAAAAAATTATAAGATAATAAAACAGTAGTAATAAATGTAGCAAGCGAGTCCTCAGCAATATGTTTTCTGGGTGAGATGTTAGTGGGATGTGGCAAGCAATGATTTGTTCCCATTAAAATATATTCCTTTTTAATATTTTTTCCATACTATTTAATATTTTAATATTTTTTTTTAATTTACAAGTAGTAATTATTTTAATATTTTTTTCTACTAAGATATATCTTTCAGTTTATCCTTTTAAAGATGCCCTAAGTGTAAGGCAAGGTCCTAAAGCATGCTCACAAATTTCTCTTCATTTTAAATTATATGAGACTTATAAGTGTTATAATATTGTTGATATATTTTTTTTTCTCTTCATGGTTTCTATATCTGTATATATTTTTTCTTTAAGAAGAATTTTTTTTAAAAGTTTTTAAAGATAAAAAATTCAGCCAATGATTTTTAGTTTTTAACTTCTATAAGTCTTTCCTAAAAACATTCACAACCACTATAAAATGACTTTTTTATTTATTTTTATATACGTCTAGTAAATAAAATAAAACTTTTTTAATAGCGAAAATAGTATAATTAATATTAAAAAATAATTTAAAAGCCTGCCCCACATCCCAAATAAAAAGACGTTTAGAAAAGGCAAAAAAAAAAAAAAAAAAACGATACGAGAATTGGGAAATCGGAGAATGGAGCAACCGACGAAAGAGACGACAGTGAAATCGGAGGTTCCAATGAATGATCAGAACCCGAAGCCACCGCATAGTGCTGATCTGAAACCATTGGATAAAGGAGCTGAAGATGCGAGTTCTGTGATCTCTTTATCTGATGAATCTACGCTACAGGTTGAAATCGAGACCAAAGGCGGCGATCATGCCCCGCCGGCTCGTACAGCTTCCGGATCGAGGAAATCGGTCCATTGGAATCCCGAATTGGTTTCTGAATCTCCGGCACCGGATCAGAAGGCCGTCTCGTCCTCCTCCGCCGCCGGATCTAATCCTTACGTCGCTCGTGCTCCAGCTGAAACTTCGGATGCCTCGTTGAAAGGTACTGTGACTTTTTGTTCTGTGCCTATGAGAGATGTGTAACCGTTTTTTAATCAAAGAAAAAAATCTCTTTGAAATTGGATCAGAAACGATGGAATCTGTGAAAGGTGTGCTTGGGAGATGGGGGAGGAAGGTTGGAGAAGCCGCAATGAAGGCCGAGAGCCTTGCCGGTAACACATGGCAACACCGTGAGTTTCCCATCTTATGTTCGTTAGCCCTGAGATTTTTTTTTAGGTTTCGATGGAATTATCTATCATGCTACATTCTAGTATCCCTTGTTGATGAGTTTGAGCAATGGAGTTTGTGAAACGCGTGATATATATCATCTTTCTCTTCTTATGTGTATGCACTGAGCAATATCTTCTGTGATTTGATGTATGGTCTATCAGTGAAAACTGCTCCCAGTTTTGCGGATGCTGCAATGGGAAGAATTGCACAGAGTACAAAGGTTCTGGCCGAAGGAGGGTATGAGAAAATCTTCCGGCAAACCTTTGAAACAGTTCCAGAGGAGCAGCTGCAAAACTCGTTTGCATGCTACTTGTCAACCTCAGCTGGTCCAGTCATGGGTGTTCTTTACATATCTACTGCTAAGCTTGCCTACTGTAGTGATAACCCTCTCTCTTATAAAAATTCTGGCCAAACTGAATGGAGCTATTATAAGGTAATCTTCTTTATATTCAGAATATTTCTAGTTATGAAAGTTTTTTTATATTTTTGTGTTCGATAACTATGTGGCATCCACCCACGGTACCTCATTATGATCCATCAAAATTAACATAGACTAGAATGCGACCTCCTAGATGATAGCATTAACTTACCATTAAGCTGAAGGAAGTTAGATTTTATGACTACTTTCTTGTGTAGACTATGACGACACTTATCATTATTATTACTGCTTATTATTACACTTATCATTATTATTACAGGTAGTAATCCCATTACATCAGCTTAAGTCGGTTAACCCTTCGACAAGCATAGTTAATCCCGCAGAAAAGTACATCCAGGTAATCTCGGTCGACGACCATGAGTTTTGGTTCATGGGTTTCTTGAACTACGAAGGAGCTGTCACATCTCTGCAAGATACATTGCAAGCCGGTGCCTTACAGTCAGTGTGAAATATATACCCTGGTGCATTCTTGATCACAATAGCCTTTTTTTTTTTTTTTGCAAACTTAAAATTATTTGATTCTCATTCTTAATCAGTTACCATGTCTTAATATACCAATATCATTCCTTTGCTTTTTTTTTTTCTTAAGATATTAGGACATGGTTGTAATAAAATAGATGATTTTGTTGTTACTCTTACTGTCCTCATTGCACTATGTGATATGCAGACATAACTCTTATTTCATTCGTGATTTAAATAGGATTTGCAGGAGGAAAATAAAATAAAATAAATCAGTCATAAATACCAGCAAATAGGCACAGGTACGTATACAGATACAGGGCCAGTCAATCTCTTTACCATTTCCATCTGAGTTCATGAGCCCTGGTTCGATTCTTCTCCTTTCCTGTTTTATCTTCAGCAGCTGCTGCAAACTTGTTGCTCTTGTCCAAGATTTTCTCTGCTTTTTTAGTCTTATCGTAGTCTACTTCCTTCTTCCTCTCTGTGATCTCTGTCTTGGTATCTCCTTCCATCTTTATACTTATGTTCACCTCCAATACTCGCTTGCTCTTTCTCATGGAAACATCGAGGGACGCTTCTCTTTCCCGTCTTTGTTCATACAGTCGGCGTAGCTTAAGAGCGAGGTTATAGATCCCATCCTTGAATTCCCCTTCCAAATTTCTTTCGATTTCCATTTCAAGCTCATCGCGGATCCTCTCTTCTTCTTTGGACAATACGAGCCTCCTCTCCTCCTAGAAAAAAAACTTGTAAACAATCAGTAGCTAACTGGCTTTTCTTTCCATTACGATGAGAAGGATACTACATTACAGGCGATTATATATAAAGTGTATAATATAAATATATATCTTACTTACGTTCTGTCGGCTATAGTCTTGGTGGTCCATGGCTTTTCAAATCTCCTCCTCTTATGTTGCCTATGTACTGTATGTTTCTTCACACCAGAACCAGATTCGCAAATGGGGTTATAAAACAAGGTCGTTTTGACATTGACATTTGTCTTTGATGGGGTCCCTCTCCGGTATTATATAGTTTGGTGGTCCAAAATAAGTTACAAGGTTTTAAGTGACAGTTAACTAAACAAAACCACTGAAGCATTTACCCGCCAAATAGCTCCCTAATTGCAAGTCCTGGAATTTAGCTGATCGAACAGAAACTCAGTGATGTCCTTATAAAATGTTGGTGAGAATAGTGCTTTACTTATAAGGCTGCTCTATGGGTTGCTTTAAAGTAGGATCTAATATTATCTCTCTCTCCCTGATTTATATTAAGAAGAAGAAGAAGATTCATCTCATCTTTACAATTTTTCTTTTTTTAACGCGAAAGACACACCAAAAGTTGCTAATTGCGATTAGAAATAAAAACACGATTGAATTCAGTGAATGATCATAGCAGCTGTTTATAACGAAGGCAAACCAAATTACTTAATAACAAGGAAGACCTTTTGTGAAGGTTTTTTCAATATATTTGGGCCGACCCAATTTATGTATTAATCATGGCCCAATAAATAAATAAACCCTAGAAGCCTTGTTTAGAGACATCAGAAGCCGAAGTGACTCTTGTCGTCCGTCCGTCCGTACGAAAATGGAGGTCTGTAGCAGCTCCTCTTCCATCATCACTCGTCTCCCTTCGACTTCGAGCATCAAACGCCATGGATATCTGGCGGGAAACGCTTTCCATAGAATCTCTTTTCCTCCCCTCCAGCGAAAAGTTGCCTCTACCGATCTCAAATCCCGTCCCCGTACGACAACTGTGAAACCCTAAGTTCCTGTTTCTTTTTGGTTCGTGCTATGTTATTGATTCACTCATTGCTCTCACGTTTCGTTATTGGACTTTTTCTAAACCCTAATTTGATACGCAATTGACTTTTATTATTTTGTTTTTCTCTTTTGAATTTGGATTTTTGTTTGGCTTATCGCTGAGGTTGTTACCATCTTGGTGTTTCCATAATTGGCTAGGCACGTTGCGTTGTAGTAGAAAGTTTCCAGGAGAAACAGTCTCTGAAGAAACATCAACTGGAGTCAATGAGTTTGGTGTGGAGGATTGTGATGGAGCAGTAGAAGACTCGACTAGTGAACCTCAAGCTGTAGACGAGCAGCAGGAAACTCAATCCCTTGAGTTCTTGAACGATATTAAGGTTATAACTAACATTATCTTTTAGATTGTTGTGATTTCCTTTTCTTGCAAGGAATGTTTTTATGTATATACCAATTGTATTCTTATCTCAGTACTATTCGCTCGACTAGATTGACAGAGTAACCATTTTCATTCCATCTATGGTAAGTGACTGATGTTGTTATTTGTCAATGTACACGTAGCTGGTGGACTCAGACAAAACATATTCAATCTTGCTCTATGGGAGTGGTGCAATAGTTGCTCTCTACTTGACTTCTGCAATCGTCACTTCACTCGAATCAATCCCTCTGGTTAGTATTACAGACAAAACTGCTATTTAAATATATATTTTTTGTACTCACCTTTGATATTTGTTTTCACAGATTCCGAAGCTAATGGAAGTGGTTGGTCTCGGATACACACTCTGGTTCACTACCCGTTACCTGCTATTTAAGGTATGCAAAATATATGCTTGCATAACCAACTGAGTTTAAAACTTGATTCATGTTGTTTTCCTTAAACCATTCACTTTATTTTGCAGAGGAACAGAGACGAACTCAAGACCAAGGTTGGTGAAATAAAAAAGCAGGTTCTTGGGTCTGATAGTGAGTGATTTGAGTGACGACTAGTTGCTATTGTTTTTCTTGGCTTGTAGAAATTTGTTGCTCACAGGTTTTTCGTTTTCCCACTCGTCTTTATGGAAACAATTAATACCTCTTTGGGTATTTTTGAGAGAAATGCTTTTTATGATTAGAATTTTAGAAATGTTCCAAATAGCATATTATGTACGTGTATGTGTTTTTTCCAATGTTATGGGATTCGACTTTTGCATCTTGCAAAGATACGTATAATTGCGCTGTCCAAGCATCAACATCTCAGGCATCAACTTAAAATTTTGAAATAGATAACAACAAAAAGACTATGACACATAAAAGTTACGGAAATATTTAGTAGTTTTGGACCTGGGCCTGGGCCTGGGCCTTTATAAGAGAGACCGATCGAAGAAGGTAAGAAGGGCGACAATCAGATGCGGGTGGGCGTACCGGTAGCAGCTGTAACCACCGTCGCCGTCGTCCTCCGCCCGGCCATAGTTGCAGCATCCGGAAAGAGGTCGATGGGTTCGAGTTCCGTTGGTTCAGGAGCTTTCACGACCATCAAAGAAACCGTATCCGTGGAGAAAGAGATCAAGAAGAGCAAGTTCATCGCCATCGCTGGTCCTATCTCGACCGAGCAATCCGCTCAGTTGTTCCTCTCTCAGGTCCGTGATCCTCGCGCTACTCACAATTGCTGGGCTTATAAGATCGGTGATCAACACTATCGATGTAGCGATGATGGTGAACCATCAGGCACAGCAGGGAAGCCGATTCAGTCTGCAATTCTGTCTTCTGGATTAGACAGAGTTATGGTTGTTGTCATTAGGTGAGAGCTTCTTGAATCTTGATAAATTTTTCTATTTTTCATTTTTTTTGTAAGAATACAAAAATCTCTTCTTTGTTCCTTCTCTCATTAGGTATTTTGGGGGAATCAAACTTGGAACTGGTGGTCTTGTTAGAGCGTATGGTGGTGTTACATCTGATTGCTTGAAAGCTGCTCCTACTTGCCTTGTCAAGTCCAAAGTAAAATGTCTTTTTGTGTGTGTGTTGTTTGTCTTCTTGATCAACTTCATCATTGACATTTCCTGTTTGTTTATTCTGCCAGGTTCAAATGGGAGTCGAGGTGACATTTGATCTTTTAGGTGTTCTGTACAATCAGGTGAGATTTTCAACTTTTTTTTTTTTTTTTTTTTTGTGATTTGAGTGTGTCAATCTATGCTCATGGATCTCTTATGTCTATATATGTGTCATAGCTGCAATCGTGTCAGGCTGAGGAAATCAAGGAAGACTATGATACTGGTAAAGATGGTACTGCCATGGTTTCTTTCAAGGTTGAATTTGACCAGGTTGAGAAATTAGAGGATGCTATCAAATCAAACTGTAGACGAGACCTTGTCTTTTACAAAAATTGAGTTAGGTGAAACATTTCCATGTAATAATCTTTACAGAATGTCGTGAAAATTGAAGCACATTTTATTTAAGCAACAGAAGGAGAGTGTCGTGTGCTCGTTATGCGCTGTTTCAAAATATTTTACTTTTTGATGATATATATAGCCTACTAGTTCAGGCTGTTGTGTTGCAGAAACAAATTAACAGAAAGGAGAAAGGAAATCACTCATTAGAAAATGCTGTATATTACAAAAGGAACTGGCTCATGGAAGCAAACAACAAAGAGGACGACGATATCAAGCAACATCAAAAGAATAAGAAACAGTACATATATGTGTATACAAACCGACACAAAGTATAGTGTGTGATACAAAGCTGTCTCAAGAGAAGGACATTAACCTGTGACAGCTAAAAGAGCTAGCTCATCACTTCTTTTACTTTGAAGGTGGTGGAGTAAAGAAAGGAATGTTGAAAGGAAAGTTAAAGGGAATGTTGCTGGGAATAGGGAAGTTGACCTGTGGAATGTTAGGGATTGTGGGCTGTACCGGGTTTGGCAATGAAGGTATCTGTGTGCTCGGCATTGGTGGCAACCCGGTGGGCTGTGGTAGAGTTGGTTGTGGCGGTGGTAGGGTTTGTTGTGCTGGAGTTGGTAGAGAAGGAAGTGGTGGCATAGTGGTTTTGGGCAGAGGTGGGACTGTTAAAGCTGGAGGTGTTGACTGGAGAAGGTGTCGATGAGCAGATAGGCCAGTGAAGAAGCTTGTGAATGCTAGTGCAGTGACTAGAAATCTTACAAAGGAGTTCGTGAGAGGAGCCATGGTGCTATTACTGCTGTATTGTGCTTTGACTAGTTCTTGTTGGTTTTAAGTGAGGAAGAGACTTGTGCTGTAAACCTCTATTTATAAAAACGATTTTCATCAAAGTCGGGTGAGAAGTAGGTGGAAAAAGTTTGAAGAGTTATTTGTTGGGTCAACTTACTAAACCAAATCTTTGTTTCCCAGAAGAAAGCTATTTACTAGAAGCAACCATGGGACTTCATCAAAAAGGGGACCAATTGGGTAAGAAAAAGATGGCTAAAATAGTCGGCTGATTCATATTTTGATATATCATTCATACCACACTATCTTTGAAGATAATTATGGTTTATTTGCAGATATCTGTATGCAATACCAAGAAAGAGTTGCACCACTTTGATTCATATAGACATTGTAAGTATACATAACACCTGGGGTTTTATACCTTTACATCTAACTTCTCTAATGGACTAGGAGAAACAGAGATGTACAAGTATATGAACACAATCTCACTGCTGCTGGGTCAACAACGATCCTTCATTGATGTTGTTCTTTTGCCTCTGATGAAATTTTACCATTCACTACAGGTTTCAACGATTTCTTGAGCTTAACCAATCCTTCATTTCCATTTACACCTTGAACAAACAAGGCACACTTGGTTCTTCCACCTACTGTCATGATCTCAGCTCTCACTGCCTTTGTTTTGGCTGCTTTCAGCGACTCTGCAACCTCTGACATTAGCCCTTCTCTGTCGCTACAACTGAATACGACTCTTGCCAAGTCTCTGTTGTTATTACAGTGACCCAATCTCAAGCTGTCTTCTAAAGATGGTGTGGTTGGTATGTCCTGAACCATCTTTTTCAATTCGTTGAAGTACCTGACAGTCTCTCCAAGCACAGATGCTTTATCCTGCTGTTTAGTTTCATTTAACATAATGGAATTTAAGAAAGTGTTAATTCTCTGACTTATATGTATTTTGTGTGATTGGATGGGGAGCTATATAACTTACTTTGACCAAGTTTGGAAGAATAGTGCGGAGAGTTGCAAATTGGCAGTTAATCCTAAGCCGTCGTCTTCTCTCTGCGTCACTATGTTTCTTCGCAGCGGCTTCTTTTGATTCGGTTTTCGGTTTTGGCTTTGTGACTGAGAAACCTCTGGAGAACAGCTTGCTGCTTGTGGCTGCACCTGCACCTGCACCTGCACCTGGGAAGAAAATATTTCTTCCTATTGTTGTTGGATACGTTGTTGGATTGGGATTGTAACACCGTGAAATCGGACGCACCCCCTGCTCTAACTGCATTAAACACACAACACAGGCAATACAACAAATGATTGGTTCAGCGACAGAGTAGGAAGAAAACATATTCGATTGATGATGAGAGAAGAAGTAACACAGAGAGGCTTACATGGTGAAGTAAAACCATTGATTGCGCGACACAGAGAGAAGGAGACGTACGTAGAAACAATAAAGGGAATGCTGATTTTGCTGTATGAACATATAGAGAAAAACTAGAAAACATGTAATAAGAAGTAATATATGGACAAGATACCAAAAGGTAATAACTCAATAAATGGGTGATTAATACGAAATTAAGCACGAGAATATATTGTAATAACTAGTCACCAAAGAGGAGATAATAATAATAATGATTTGAGATTTTCTTTCACACATGAAAATCTGAAAACTAATAAAAGAAGCAAATGACTGAATACAACAAACGACATCAAGAAAAGTGAAATTAACAACCTGAGTCTCATCAAGAGTTTAATTATTGAAGATACAAATTTTTAAGGTAAAATAATCTTTAGACGTTGTCCTTAGTTTTTCTTCTTCAATGGAATCAGTTTCACTCTCTTTCCATTAACTCTGCATAGTTTCGCTGTTCGAGCCATTGTGATAATCTCTTGGCCGTCCTCGTCATCAGACCTAACTACCACTTCATCAACGTTAGCTCCAGAACCAGCGTAGTGTTTCTTGGGGGTTAAGGAATTTGGAATCTCTGCTGATTCAGGTAAAGCCATCTTTCGTTTTCCTTGGAATTTGTGTGTAAAGAAGGAGTGATTTTAACTTTTTGTTTAAAGATAAGTTATGCAAAAAATTTAGTCTTACAAACTATATATGACCAATCAAACATGTATTTTTTGTTCATGTGTTTAGGATTAGATTCATTGAATGTTTGTATTTCTATATATCTTTCTAATTATACCGTTTGATAGTGTTGAATATAATTCTTCAAATCTTTTATTAAAAAATATATTTCTATATGTTGGGTAATTAACTATTTTTGTTGATATTTTTCCATTTAGATTTGGTTAAAGGTTATTTACTTTTTATTTTGAATACAGAAGTTAAAAAGGTAAATATATTTTGTAATGTTGAATTACCGTTTAATCCGCTCGAACGTTGTCATGACAATAATTGTTGTATGTCAATTGAGATATTTTATCTTTACATGAGTTTTTGACTTTTATTATAACGTTGTTTTGGATTTGTGAAATAATTAGGATTAGCAAACAAAACCTAAACAAGTTTGTTTATTACATGAGCAAAAACCTCTGTCTCAGGAAAAGGGTTTCGTTAAAAAGCTTCAAGATACATCAAACACTACTACAAGTTTTCTTAGAGAAAAAAAAAAACCTCTCTGCTCTCTCTCTCTGTGGAATCTATCAAACTAATGGTTAAGCTGTCTAAATGGTGACCTGTCTTCAATTACAGCATCTTCATGCTTCATTGCCAATCTTGGAGAACCAGTAGTTTCACCATTGTTGTTCTCTTTACCAAATCCATCACAACATTGTGTAACTCTCTCCAAAGTTTTCATCAGCTTCGTGTCTCCATCACACAGCTTCAACATTCCATCCTCCATTGCGCTGATAAAACTCAAAAGATTTCCCTTTTCTGATGACAAACTCGCAACTTCTTTAACTAGCTCTGTCTTTTCCGCTTCTGAGGTCTTTAGCTTTACCTGCATTTGTGTGGTTACTTCTTTCAACTCTCTCTGCTTAGTTTCCAGTTCTGCTCCTAACTTTGTTGCTTCTTGTCTGAAACAAGAAGCATTCTCACCTGATGCTTTGAGTTTCTTGCTGAGACTAAAGATTTCACCTTCAAGCTCTATGATCATCATCTTTTTTGATTCAGATTCTACCGCGGTAAGAATCTGTGTAGCAGAGAGTTTCTCCCATGCTTTGTGAAGCATGTTAACCTTGTTTTGCTCCTCCGCCAGTAGCAAAGATACAGACTTGAATGAACCCTCCCATTTATGCTTCACCTCGCGCAAGTCCTGTTCTTTCTGTTGTAAAGCACCTGCAAAAATCTCTCTCTCTTTCTGCAATTCCGTTTCAGCAATTGTATGCGCAATGAAGACATCCTCGAGCTCCCTACTAAGTGATTCTTGTTCCAACAACTCTAGCTCTCTCTGTAGATTTTCCAAAATATCGTCCTTATCCCTCATAAGGGTTTCTATCTCCGACACAGATGATCTTGTAGAGTTGATAGACTTTAGCTTATGCATCAGTTCATTCCTCTCTTGCATTATGGCTTCTCCAACTCCAACCTGTTCAATAAGAGAAGCTTCTACTCTTTTGCGCAGGTTCTGGTTTTGCTCGAGTTCAGCTTTAAGCCTTTTAGCAATAGATTTCCAGATCCACAATTGGAATTCAATCTGGTACACTTCAGAGGTTTTATCAGATAGTTCAGAATTTGCTGTTTCTAGGGCCTCAGAAACGTCAGCAAGTTTCCGTTTCGAGTCGTTTTCCACCTCTACGACTTTCTCCTGCAAGCGAAGTTGACTCTTGGTAGACTCCTCAAGCCTTCCCTTGTAATTATCAAGCTCCTGTTCCCTATTCTCTTCATTTAGATCAATGGCCTCACTTTTTCTAACCAATGAGGTAGTCTTCTCAACCTCTTCTGCCAACTTGGCATATGCGATGTCCACCTTGCTGCAGAGTTCTCTAATATTCTCCTTGGAATCACTTTCAAGCTGCGAAATCTGCTCCTCTAAAAGCACCCGAGACTTCTGTGATTCCTCAAGCATCTCCTTATACTTCTCAATTTCTTTTTCCATCACTAAATTCTTCTCTTTGACAAAACCAAAGGACTCAATCTGCCTTGTTAAAGCCACCACCTTCTCACGTTCTGAAACGAGGTCTGAGTTTGTGTTGTCCAGTGCATCACAGACTTGTAGAAGTTTCTCTTCATAATCATTTTCAGCCTCTTCTAGTTTTTCTTTCATCTGAGTTTGGAATCTAGAGGATTCCTCAACCATTTCTTTGTACCTCTCTACCTCTTTTTCCATCTGAATCTTCTGATCTTCGATAAGATCCAGCATGTCTATTCTTTTAAGTAAGCATGCGACCCTTTCCCGTTCTTCTTCAATCTCTAGATGTGCCTTGGCCAGTGCAGCATTCTTTTGATCTAGCTGCTCCATCAATAGGGAATAACTCTTTTCTTCTCTTTTCTCATCCTTGATTTGTTCATCCTTAACATTTGCAAGCCTTGACTGAGCCTCGGAGACTGTTCTACTTAGCACTAAAAACATAACCGAGATCTCTTCATATTGTAGTCTCACTTTAGCTGCAGAAGAGTGACAGTTTTCAAGTTCCAACTCGACATCTTTCAGTGCTTCCTCCTTGCTTTGCAACCGCAACTGATAATCATTTATCTCTTCTGCCATCTTATCCAGTCGGGAACTCCATTCAGCTTCTTTACTTCTTAAGTTAGCTGAACAGGTCTTATGAATGTTTTCCAAATTCCGAAACTTGTTTTTCAGCTTCGATAGTGCAGAATTTCCTGATCCCTGAATTGTAGCTTCCTGGAGTTCTTTCAATGAACCCAGCAACTCCTGGTTTTCTTGTTCCAGTTTCCCATTCTCATATTTCATCTCCTTAAGATATGTATCTTTCATGCTCAAAGATTGTCTCAGCTCTGCAACTTCCTCATCCCTTTTGCCAGCCAAATCATCAAGTTGTGTTCTTGCGTCTTTGTACTCTGCAAAAGCATCTTCGTATCTGGTTTTGAATTCCGAAACTTGGACTTCAAGACGTTTTCTTCTGGTCTCTTCTTGAGTCAGGGCAGAGTTAGACATCTGCAACTTCTTCTGAAGATCCTCTGAGATTCTAGTAAGTGAATCTAGTTTGGCCTGAAGAGAGTAGATTTCATCCAGAAGCGTTGATTTTTCTTCCTCCCACTCTTTCTTGCTAGCCTTGAACAGATTCTGAAGCTTCTCATATGCTTCCTCAAGGTGCTTAAACTGCTCCTTCTTCCACTTCAGTTTCTCTTCTACTTGAGCCTTCTCCTCTTCCATTTTAATCACCATATCATCTCTTCCTCTCATTTCTTTCATAGCTTCAACAGTTTTCTCAACTTGAATTCTTTTCTTCTCGGCTGCACCTAAAAGCCCTTTGAGCCCCTCAATCTCAGCCCTATAGACATTGTTTTCCTGCTCCAGATCAATGTTCTTCTCAGTAGCTTCATCCAAAGCAGACATCATACTCCGTTTCTCCTCTTCCAATTCCCGGTACTTATCTTCCCCGTTAGCTCTAAGCTTATCATTAGCATCATTCACACGCTTGAGAACAGAATCTTTCTCTCTCAGACACCGTTGTAAATCCTCGTTCGCTCGCTTCAACTCAGAAACATCTCTCGTTTTCTCCTCGATTTCGAAACACTGCTTCTCATTCACCAATCTCGCCTCTCGAATGTCAACTAATTGTTCCTTCTGGACCTTCTTTAGATTGTCAAGAATCTCCGTTTTGTTTCTATAGTCCATCCTGAGCTTCTCATTCGCGGCTTTCACTTCATCAAGCTCTTCATAAACCTTCTCCATTTTATAAAATACGTTCAAGGCAAGCACGATACTTGCACACAATTTTACCCTAGATACCAAAATCAACAACAATGACGCAGATTAGAAATTCAGCACCTAAAAATCTTTGATTCTACAGATCTAGAGCAAATCAAGAAATAGCCCAAAGCTAGTCAGATCCTCACAAACTAAAATCTTAGAACCAAAATCAATTTTTATCATCTCTCCAACTGCAGAAGATGAAAATATCAAAAACCCTAATTGATAGTAAGACACTCAATTCAAAACCAAGTACCTGATTCGGAAACAGTTAATCTTCAAAGCAGAGATGTCATTAAGAAATCGATCGATCTGCGAGAAAATGGGAGGAGAGAAGAGAAGAAGACACGAACTGAGACGATCCAAATTCCAAAGTAAGGAAGGAGCCGTTGGAGAAGAAAGGGGAAACTTGTTTTAAATTTTAAAATGTTGCAAACCGAGAGAGAGAGAGATCCAAGTTAATTAACGCCGTTCCGTTCAACATTATGGGCCGGCCTTTACAAATCCCCTGGCCCATTAATATTGTTTCTCATCTCATGGGCCTATTTCTATTTAAAATGGATACCACCAGTAGACTACGACGTCATCGAGAAAAATTCGTGTGCAAGTAAAAGATGAGATGATGTTTACTGCAACTTCCACGTTATGATTAAACTTGTCAAGGATCGTTACGTTTACGTGCACATGTATTTTATTCCTATGTACATACGTCAACGTTATGTATTGAGAGATTTCAGAGAATATGTCCTACAAAAACAAACAAACCTATTTTTATTTGAAAGTCTTTTGTAATCATTTTTGTTTTTTGTTTTATATAGTGTAACGTTTTATACAAAAGTTTCCAACAAATTTGACACGTGAACACATACAACACATCAATAGATACCCCCCGGACCAGTTATAAAACTAGAGATTAGTTCCCAAAACGTAATTACAAAGAAGCAGAAGCCAAATCAAATAGTTCTAGAACATTCATCAAAAGTCTTCTTATCTCTAAAATCACAGTAAGATAGATAGATTATCCTCGTAACATCCACGAGTTTAAGGCAGATGAGTACTCCACGTGTCCGTAACTAAAGCCTCTCCCATACATACACGCAAAACGATTGGATGAAATATAACACATCATCAATTTTGTACGGTTGTAGGAAGCCACTTGTCAATTAATCAACGGTAGATAAGAACTCTTCTCCTTCTTTTCTTTGTTTTTTTAAAAAATTATCTTTAAAAAAATATATCAATCAATCAAATATTATTATTGTTGTAGCTCAATAATGATTGGGAGAGACCAATAGTGAATCTGTGGCCGTTGGATCTAAACTAAATCCAAAAGATTTGAGAGATTATAAATTGCAGAAGAAGACGACCAGAGCTCTTGAGTACAAGGGACGAATTTGGTGATGATGATGGAAGGAGACGCTCGATAAATTTCTCGTTTAAAAAAAAGGGTTTCTCTGCTCTCTGATCCATTACCAACTTTTTTTCTTTTGTTGTGATTTTTGGGGTTTTAAATTTCTTCAAATTCTAGGGTGAAAGCTAAAATTTAAATTTCTTCAATTTTTTTTTTTTTTTGTCATTCTAATTCTGGGGCTTTTTTGTGGTTGTTCATTCTTTAAACTGTTTATTGATTATTTATTTGAGGTTGATTTAAAAACAAAAGGGGTTTCAATTGTCTGTCTCTGGGATCTTTCACCAGATTAATGGTGAATTTTCTAAAGAAGATAACAATCCGATTCTTGAAATGATGAAGAGACAGATCCCGAGTTGGCCATGGTGGTTATTAGGAAGTAGAAAAGAGAAAGAAACTGAAGCTCTTAAGTTTCCTCCTACAAAGATGATAACTCGAGCTAATAGTAAAGGAAGAGTTTATAAAAGAAAGGATCTTGAACTTGAGAGCTTCGGTTCGTCTGGCTCTGAATCTGTAGCTGTTGCTGGTGGTGATGGACCTGAATGGTCTGTCGGATGGACTGAGCCACATGGACCTGATTTCCAAAGTGATGATGAAGCAGATGATGGTGGTTTCTTAGTTCTGGTTCCTTGTTACAGAGCTCTTGTCGAAGGCTCTAGTAATAATAACCAGCTCTTGAGTGCTGTCAAGAATCTACCCAGCGGGTTTCCTCCTGGTATGAACTGTGATGATCACCCCCTGATTTGTGTTTATTGGTTTGGTAGTTTACCATAGCTACTCTCGTTGGATTGATAGATTGGATAATGCTTTTGTGTTTGGTGCTTGACCTTACTTGCTCTGAATATTTATTCAAAAAGATAATGAGAATGACAAAAAGTAGTATGTTTTTTTTTTTTGCGGTTTTGGTTTGGTTTAGTTGCTCTAATAGAGAGTTATCTTTTGCTATTTGATGGCCCTGTGCAATGAATGATCCATGTTTCTACATGTTTTGTTTAAATCCAAAGGTCAACTTTTCTGATTCAGTTTGATTTTCTTTCTATTGAATGTACAGATGGGAAGAATTATATGGAGCAATGGCTTTCATCTCTGCAGAACCTTTGACCAGGTCTCTTTCCTTTGTAGTTAGTTAGTGGTAGTTTTAGTTTTGTCTAATTCGTGCTGAAGAATCATTTTGGTTACTACATTAATCCTGAAAACTCAAAAAAAGAAAAAAAAAAAGGAAAAGAAAAAGAGAGAACAAAGAAAGAAAGGCACAAGTAGTTTTATATGGTTTAGATTAAGATGATGGGGTTTTGCTTACATTGATCCTGGATATGGATCAAGCCAAAAAAAAAAAAAAAAAAAAAAAAAGAGTAAGAAAAATGAAGTGTATGATTGGAAAAGCTATGGAGAAGAAGCAGCTTTAGCCTTGACCCTTGAGTGTTCATAGGAAGATTGATTACATTCAGAGAAAAGAGGGTGGATAACAAGTTACATTGATCCTGGAAAGAAAGCAATAAGGGTGGAAGAAACAGACAGTGCTTCAAGGATTCATATCAAGATGCTCAAATTGATGGTGTGAATGGGATTTATTATCCAACTGAGATGGGAAATTCATGTAAAGAGTCTTGTAAATACCAAAAAAAGAAAAGAAAAAAAAAGAGTGATGTATATACTCTTTGTCCTGTATCATAACCTCCTGAAGGCTGAGGTAGAAGTGATTGGAGATTGATTGTATTTGTATGTAAATATTAACTACCACTGATCTTTCTTTTTTTGTATATAGACAACACTCCTGCCATTGTAACTCTCTGTATTATATATTGAATTGGGAAAGCATGAAGAATTTCTCTAAATTATGATTTTTCAGATTCTTAGTAACAGGAAAGAGACATCAAGTATGGTGTTTTGGATCTATTAGTGTTATGATTTCAAGATTTCTTAAAAGAAACAGAGCACATCTACATCGATGGGTCAGGAGATTCAGGATTCTGGGGGTCCATATTTTTCGGAATTTTGGAAGTTATATCATTACGCATCCACCGTCAATTAGTAAAAAATATCATTAAGCAGCTAATGTTGAATACTTAGTCTTAAAGCAAGCTTTTCATTGCTTTAAAATTTAAATTAATCATGGTTATACTGTAATACAGTATTTTCGTACATAATGAGGGTAGTTTAGTCATATAATTGGAGGTAGAGACAAAACCGCTGATGTCGACAGGAGTGAGAAAAGAGAAGTAACGACGCTCTCTGTTTCTCACTTGAGAGCCAAAAAGCTAGCCAGAAAAAGGAAGTAAAAGAAGAAGCTGGAAAATGAACTTAACTTAAAAGTTCAGCTCAGATCACAAGCTCCTAGTCTCTCTTAAATCTTAAAGCTTTGAGTATTTTTGGAAACAATGGAGTCCGGGTCGGGTTTGGATCCGGGTGCTGGTAATAAGGGTAAAGGAAGTGGTGGTGGTAATGGCGAGAGAAAGTTCGGTGCTTTCTTGAAGAGAGTAGAACCCTTTTTGCCTAGAAAGGATTTGAATCCGAGAGACTTAAGATCTTGGGCCAAAAAAACTGGTTTTGTCTCCGATTACTCCGGTGAAACCAGCACGAGTACTCGTACCAAGTTTGGTGAAAGCTCTAATTTGTATCCGCAAAAAGGTAGAGATCAAACAGTCCCTCCTGGGTCGTCTCATAAAACCGAGATCGACCCCATTTTGGGACGAAATAGACCCGAAATCGAACACGTAACCGGATCAGCCCCCGGTTCTGAGCCCGGGTCTAGAGTAGAGGAAGAGAGGAGACTGAACCGGAATGAGCCAACGTCGGAGACGGAGTATGAAGGCGGGAAACTCAATAAGGATTTGGAAAATGGGTTTTACTATCCAGGCGGTGAGGAATCAACAGAAGATGGACAATGGCCTAAACCCTCTGTGATGAAGTTTGGTCTTAGAGACAATCCTGGATTTGGTTAGTTTTCAATCTCCGCTTCGTCAACGGTTACATTTTGTGTTACGTAGAATAAAGGAACATTATTTTCAAACACATGGTAATGAAAGAATTTATTTTTGTTGAATTTGAAATTGAAATGCAGTTCCACTTATTTATTACGGTCTACAACACTATCTGTCACTTGTTGGTTCACTTGTGTTTATTCCTCTGGTCATTGTACCAGCCATGGATGGTTCCGATGTAAGCTTCTTCTTCTTCTTCTTCCATGGATACTTAACTTGGGAAACGTCGTTGTTTTGTTCTTGATTAGTGTTTGACCTTTTATGATGATAGAAAGATACTGCCGCAGTGATTTCAACAATGCTGCTTCTTACTGGAGTTACAACTATACTTCACTCTTATTTCGGTACTCGGCTTCCGTTGGTTCAAGGAAGCTCCTTTGTTTACTTGGCCCCAGTTTTAGTTATCATTAACTCTGAGGAGTTCAGGAACCTCACTGAGCATGTATGTTTACAAATATAAATCAGAAAGGAGGGTTTTGAGTTCTTGGAACGTTACGATAATCTGGTGTTTCAATTCCGCGCAGAAATTTCGGGACACAATGAGAGAACTACAGGGAGCTATAATTGTTGGTTCATTATTCCAGTGTATATTGGGATTCAGTGGTCTCATGTCTCTTTTTCTTAGGTAACTCTAGAAACTGCTGTTTCTTGGTTTAGTTACACCTCACAGATATCACATTTTCTTCTTAAACTCTATTTTCAGATTTATTAATCCTGTCGTAGTAGCCCCAACTGTAGCTGCAGTAGGATTAGCATTCTTTGGCTATGGATTTCCGCAAGCTGGTACTTGTGTGGAGATAAGCGTTCCCTTGGTACTTTTGCTTCTCATTTTCACTTTGGTAAGAAACTGCCTCAGCTTGAATAATAGAAGCATTTTTCTATCTCTTTGATAAAGGATTTCTTTTAATCTCACTTCTTTTCAGTATCTCCGTGGAGTTTCACTCTTTGGGCATCGCTTATTCCGAATTTACGCAGTATGTAGTTTATCCTTTGTATACGTGAAGTGTCAAGTTTCAAACCTTTTTTCGAGGAATCAGGCCTTTGCTTTTGCTATTATGTTGCCAGGTGCCACTGAGTGCTCTGATCGTATGGACATATGCATTCTTTTTAACTGTTGGTGGGGCATATGACTACACAGGCTGCAACGCGGACATACCGAGCTCTAACATATTGATAGATCAGTGTAAGAAGCATGCATATACTATGAAGCATTGCAGAACAGATGCTTCAAATGCTTGGAGAACTGCTTCTTGGGTCAGAATCCCTTACCCATTTCAATGGGGATTTCCAAGTTGTCACATGAGAACTTCTATCATTATGATATTTGTGTCTTTGGTTGCATCAGTGGATTCGGTAGGTACTCTTTCCTCGTTGCCATTCCTTTTTTCAACCCCTAAAGGTATGATCTTGCTGTTAAAGTGTTGGTATTGGTGCACTTGTAGGTTGGAACATATCATTCTGCATCTATGTTAGTGAATGCTAAGCGCCCAACCCGGGGAATTGTCAGTAGGGGTGTTGCATTAGAAGGTTTTTGCAGTTTATTGGCTGGGATCTGGGGTTCAGGAACCGGATCAACCACTTTAACTGAAAATATTCATACAATCAACATCACCAAGGTGGCTAGCCGAAGAGCTTTGACGATAGGAGCTATGTTCTTAATAGTATTGTCATTTTTAGGTAAGCACCATCCAACGAATGATCCAAAGTTTAAATTCTTTGTCATATCATTTAATCCATTTTGTGAATTTCTTTGAAACTTGACAGGAAAATTAGGCGCGATTCTTGCTTCAGTACCACAGGCGTTGGCTGCTTCAGTACTATGCTTTATATGGGCACTTACAGTGGCTCTAGGTCTATCGAATCTTCGATATACACAAACAGCAAGCTTTAGGAACATAACAATAGTTGGAGTCTCACTGTTTCTTGGATTATCCATCCCTGTTTACTTCCAGCAGTACCAGCCGCTATCCAGTCTAATACTACCAAGCTATTATCTGCCCTTTGGAGCCGCGTCAAGCGGACCATTCCAAACGGGTATCGAGCAAGTAAGCCACTTTCCTTTCATTGCATTGATTATCATTTTCTTGGACAATGAATGACTGACTCTCTTCTTGCAGCTTGATTTTGCAATGAACGCAGTGCTATCTCTAAATATGGTTGTAACCTTTCTAGTGGCTTTCGTACTGGACAACACTGTACCAGGTAGTAAGGAAGAGCGAGGGGTATATGTGTGGACAAGAGCCGAGGACATGGAGATGGACCCTGAGATGCAAGCTGATTACTCATTGCCAAAAAAGTTTGCTCAGATTTTTGGTTGCAGATGTTGTTAAGTAGATGATTTAGCTCTAATTTCAGTTTCTTCGATATTTTCTTACTATATATGGAAGAAAAATGTTATCATGAAAAGAGGTTTGTGGGTGACAATCATCGTAGTGATAGTCCCTATAGTGTTGAGTTTGCGTTTCTGAACCCTATAAAGAAACTGACTAACTGACAGGATGAAAACAGAGTATACATACACAAAAATAATGAATTTTCCTCAAAGAATGAAATGTTGTTGATCCGTGTTACTGTTATAAGCTATGATAATTAAAACTTACAAGAGGTGTACATGCTAGCTTTTTTTTGGCTTGGGACCGTATCTACGCGGTTGAAGAAAAAAAGAAAGAAAAAAAGAGTCCTCTATCAGTACTTGATGACGTGGTGGCGTAACCATAGTTCATACATGATCATGTGAAATGCGTCAAATCTGACAGGAGGCGAGTTCCACTGAAAATGCTTTTGCACCTGCACAATAACAAAGCCAATCACCTGTCTTGATGAGCTCACTTTGTATACAACGTTGAAGAAAAGGGTGAGAATTTTACCTTCACCAAGTTGTTATGTAACGAGACAAACTCAGACTGAGGTATGTTCTTGAGGATCTGCTTAAGGTTATAGACATCCCGCTCTCTAAGTACAACCGCGAATTTTCGCCAACCCAGGATGTCGTTGAAAGGGAGGTCATAGTAGTCTGATAATATGACTGTCCAAAAATAAAATCGACAGAATAACAAAATGCATTATTATTTCAGTTTCTTTGAAGGTATAGCGTTCTGATGAGTGCAGAAAGAGTATAAGAACATGTACCAGGGATACATCCATAATGAATCGAGTCAGTTATGCGAGCGCTGTTGACTTGAGAACCGCCAGGGCATATGCAGAATTTAGTCCTGTAGAATCTCTTCTGATACACTAAATGCCCTGTAGCCCTGTTAATTCTGTTGTTTGATATATCAAGCTCTGTATCGTTTTCCCACACACGGGCAAGTATTACCCGTATCTTGGAATTTCGATGACCAGCCCAAAAACCAAGGGTTGTCCTGTAACATCGAAGTTTAACAAAATTAGTAACATTGAGGATGCGACTGATAAATCAAGCTACAGATTGAGATAAAGAATGACAAGAAAATGAGTTAACAATAAAACTCCACTATCAAATTAGTTTAAGAACCTTTAAAAGCCTCTCTCGCTGATCACAAGATTGGGCCATTCTAAATTATTTGTATCCCAGGGGAATTAAACAGCAAAGCTATAAACTTTAAACATTTACAGAGCTCCTAATCGAAGAGAGACGGCTAGTGATATTTATCTTCCAACAACTGAATGCAAAATGACACGAAGAAAAAACGACAAGGAGTCTAGTTTACCGATTTTCAACATCATTCCCGCCGGCAGGGAGTGCAAATGGCTGAAGAACTTGAGGCAAAGCAACATCTTTGTGAGGAATAAAACCTACATTGTAGCTCGGTGAGCACACAACCCTAATTGTATTCTTAATCAGAAGTGGAGATCCCTCGAATGCTCTAACACCAACGTCGTGACAGGTGACAAAGAAGTGATCAGCTCCCAAGGTTCTATTCCAATAAGGGTACTTAGCTATCAATCCATCAACATAATCTTGAACAATCACAGTCATGTTTTCATATGATGTTCCCTGCAACAAAACACCATCAAATCAATCATCATCAAAAACTGCCCCAAAAACTCAGAGCGAATTCCCAAATTTCATCTTTCTAAATCCTAATATCATGGAATTGCAATTATCAGTGGATCGAAGTCTGAAAAAATCTTACTTTGCCTCGCATCTTGTGACAAGAGATTGGAATGAAGAAGAGATCCGCCTCATCTGGATCTAGGGTTCGAAATCGGCTCTCTCTAATGTTCTGAAAGAAGTAACCCTCACTAGCATATTTACCGGTCACTTTCCTCGGCGTCTGATAAAACGTGTTTGGATCGCCGTCGGGATAAATATAAACCTTGAATCTCTTCTCCATCTCGGCGTAATTCAGTCGGAAAGCTTCCGGCGAGTGATAAACATCGGAATAATTTTCTTCTTCCGTCGTCGGTGCTGCGCCTTCGTCGTTGTTATCGGTATTACCTTCCTTCGCAAAGGTCTGAGGAACATGAATCGGCGTTACCACGACCGGAGACGGCGGCGAAGTGCGCAAGGAATTGAGAGAGAGGTAGAAAAGGGAAACGAAAGTGAGAACAGCGACGGTGAGGAGTGAGCCTTTGAGTGAACATAACGGCGAAGATCCGCCGCCGGAGAACTGCGACGGTTTAACGATCGTCATCGTCGGGTCGGATCTAAAGCTCTTTCAGATTGAATCAATCAATCTCTCTGCATTTAGCTCTTTTAGCTGTCTTTTGTGTGTGAGCTCACATGCTTATTTTTGTGGGTTCTTTTTTTTTTTTTTACATTAAACTATTTTTATATTATTGTTTCTTAATTCTCTTACTCATATTATTTTTGTTTATGAATCAATCAATTTGTTTTAATAGGTTTAAAAAAAATATAATTACGATAAATTTCTGATTGCAATCTGGACTAATCAATCAAATAGGTTGGGTTTTTTTTTTTTTAACTTCTTTTACATTTGTGTTTGGATATTGGCTATTTCATGGTTATTACTCTTTACCATAAGAATGTTATAAGAAAATAAACAGAAAAGTGTGTTATGGACTAGACCATTCTGTTGGTGAAACAAAATCATCTAGTATAATCATGTACGGATTCTAAATACTACAATCATACAATTATTTACATTTTCAAATTGTTTGTCACCTCATTTAGTTCATGCATCCAATACGAACGTTACAACTTTGTGTATGCATTATGTAAACAAAAAAAAAAGACGATAAAAGAAACATTCTTAAGAAAAATTATAACTTAAAAAAAAAAATTATAACTTTTTCTGTGTTAAAGGAAAATTTAATAATTAATAATTGTTTCATTAGGAAAACCTCCACTTAAATTTTTTTCATTAGGAAAACTTCCACTTTTTATATACATGTACCTCCGTATAAAAAAAGGAAATTTCAGAAACTAAATCTTTTTACGTAATCTTTGTACGAATCTAAGTCGCCATATTAGATTAATTTCTAATGTTGATCAGAAGTCAAAGTAACTCCTAGTTAGGTTTTGGTGCACCTATCTATTCCCGTTTAGTCTTGGACTTTGTTTAACAAATTAAAACCCACATACACTCGCATATATAAATATGCATACAAGCAAAGATCTTTTTCTTTAGTTTCTTACGTTAATTATTTATATCGATCTGAAGATTTTGAAAGAAAGAAAGATGGCTTCGCAGAAGAAGAAGAAGACAGCTTCCTTAGTTTTTTGTTTCCTTCTGTTGTTTCTTCTTCCAATCGCCTTTTCTAAGCCAACAAGGTCAGTTTATTTCACTGTTCTTTATATGTTAAACATGTATATACATATGTTGTTTCTCAATTCTCATACATATTTCGTTGTTTTTTTGTTTGCTAAGCATGTGATTCTCGTGTGAGTTTCGTAGATATTCTAGATTTTTACTCAGAAATTTTGATTACCAGAAAGACCCTTTGGATGCATAAAAAAGATGTATTACGTGTGTATATATATATATATATGCTCTTAGCTTGGATTTGTGTAGTAACTTGTAAGAGTCGATCTTTTTTTTTAAGGTTACAATTTCTTATATATATCATAACATTAGAAACAAATTCAAACCTCCCTCTTTGCGTTAGAGTTAACTTAAATTAATTTTTTTGTATGTACACTAAGGGTAATGCATTGACTCTAGTTTATTTATGCATAACTGTTAATTTGTTATGATTCTTCAGGAACTTGGATGGAAGAGCTCCAACAGTGCAGCAGATTAAAAACAGACATGGGACTCGAGAGGTATGGATTTAATGATGATATACAATATTTTTCTTGATCAGTAATCAAAAGATTATATATATGCTAATAATAATGTTTGGATAATATATGCTAATGTTTTGTATATAAAAAAAAAAAAAACCAACTAAACCTAGGTGATAGTGGACAATGGGATTATCAGAGTCAGTTTCTCAAGCCCTGAAGGACTTGTAACTGGGATCAAATACAAAGGGATCGATAATGTTCTCTCTCCACATCTCCGAGCTCGAGGGTGATTAATTTTTCAATAAACTAGTACTATTTAGTAATTAATTAATTTTATTATTATATAACAAAAGCTTATGTTATATATACAAGTACATAAACTTGTCCTGGTTTAATTAATTTGATTTAATGTAGGTATTGGGACATAATGTGGCAAGGAGAAAACATTCGCCAGGGCGGCTTAGATCGGTAATTAACTACAGTTTAGTTAATACTTGGTCTGTTTTGTCAGTTCAAAACTAATTAACAAAACAAAACACACGTTCACAATTATAGAGCATGTACTTATATTAGGGTTTATAAATTATTATTTTCATGGTAATTGTTATGTCTGGCTAATCCTTTTAATTTTATACACATTTATCTGGGTATTTTTTTTTTGGTTCAGAATCGAAGGAACCAAATTTAGAATCATCACTCAAACGGAAGAACAAGTGGAGATCTCGTTCTCTAGAACATGGGAGGGTGTTGGTTCTGATCATATTCCATTAAACGTAGACAAGAGGTATATCATACGTGCAAATACTTCAGGATTCTACACGTATGGAATCTTCGAGAGACTTCCCGAGTGGCCAGAACTCGAGATGGGTTTAATTCGAATCGCTTTCAAACTCAACCCAGAGAGGTATCATCTTATACCATTCCAGTGCTGTAGTGTATTATTATATATAATACAAGAAGAAAGTTTATCTAAACTGTAGCAAAATGTATTTGTTAGATTCCATTACATGGTGGTGGCGGATGATCGGCAAAGAGAAATGCCAACGGAGGATGACCGTGACATCAATCGTGGCCATGCCAAGGCTCTTGCTTATAAAGAGGCTGTACAATTGACTCATCCTCACAACTCGATGTTCAAAAACCAGGTTAACTATTCGTTATCCATATATTTGCATATTTTCTAAAGTTACATGTTAAATTGTTCTTGCACCCGAGTCTTGATTGTTAATTTGAATATGATATTTAAGGTGGATGACAAGTACCAGTACACATGTGAGATCAAAGACAACAAGGTGCACGGTTGGATCTCACCCAAGTCCAATGTCGGCTTTTGGATCATCTCACCCAGCGGCGAATACCGCTCCGGTGGACCGATCAAACAAGAGCTCACGTCTCACGTCGGTCCTACTGCTATCTCGGTAAGGAGATCCACCCAAAGCCAATCAGCAAAATGGAATATTACATTTTAAGTAAATAGTATTAATCTTTAGGTAATATATGTAGACATTTATAAGCGGGCATTATGTTGGTGCGGACATGAAGACACATTACGAAACTGGTGAATCGTGGAAAAAGGTCTTGGGTCCTATTTTTATTTACTTGAACTCTGATGAGCACTCTACCGGCAATGATCCTCGACATCTATTATGGGAAGATGCCAAACAACAGGTTGATATATAATTTATTTATTTTTATTCGTCTTTTCATAAATTAAAAGTAATTTGCAAAGAAGAGACGTTAATTGTTTTTCATGATATAAAATTTCCAGTCCGAAAAAGAAGTCAAAGCCTGGCCGTACGATTTTGTAGCATCCTCTGACTTTCCTACTCGTCAAGAAAGAGGAACCGTCACTGGTCGTCTCCTAGTCAACGACAGGTATTGATTTATTTTAGGTAATCTTTTTTGATTGATCGATCGATTAATCTTTTATGTTTTGACAAAATTATTTTTTAGATTCTTGACGTCGGGAGGATCTGCATATGTCGGTTTAGCACCACCGGGAGAAGCTGGTTCGTGGCAGACAAATACTAAGGTTTGTTATTACACTTTGGTCTATCTTCTTTGAACTTTAATGTAATTTACTGAATAATCGATTGCATGTACACTGTTGATCGCTGATTCTTTTTTCAGGGGTATCAATTTTGGACAAAGACTGACGAAACCGGTTACTTCACGATTGATAACGTTAGACCGGGAACTTACAATCTGTATGGATGGGTTCCTGGTTTTATTGGGGACTTTCGATACCAAAACCGTGTTGACGTAGCTGCAGGTTCAGAGATTAGTCTTGGTAGAGTTGTGTACGAGCCACCTAGGAACGGTCCGACGTTATGGGAGATTGGTGTACCAGATCGAACTGCCCGAGAATACTTTGTACCAGAGCCGTACAAGACTACAATGAACCCATACTTAAACCACACTGACAAGTAAAGTCTCTAAATCTTTTAATTCCTGTTCACATTGTTGCAAACCCGGTTTTGGGTCTGATAGTGTTCCGGTTTGATTGTTTCACAGGTTTAGGCAGTACGGCTTGTGGCAACGATACACAGAGTTGTATCCAAATCATGATCTCGTCTACACAATTGGAGCTAGTAACTATAGCCAGGACTGGTTCTACGCTCATGTCACAAGGTTAGAAGTTGCATTAATACGAAAAAAGTCTGAAACTTTCAGTGAATTCTTGAATAGACATTAATTTTGATTCGCTTGTTCTGCAGGAACACCGGTGATTTAACTTACGCGCCAACGACATGGCAGATAATGTTTCAGCTTCCATACGTAAACTGGGGAGGCAGCTACACATTGCAGTTAGCTTTAGCCTCGGCGTCACGGGCTAATTTACAAGTTCGGATCAATAACCAAAACTCGTGGCCGTTGTTCTCAACAGGTAATATTGGAAAAGACAATGCTATAGCAAGACACGGAATCCATGGAATCTACCGGCTTTATAGCATCAGTGTGCCTGGAAGGTTGCTAAAAACTGGAACCAACACGATTTATCTTCGACAAGCTAAAGCACAAGGACCATTTGAAGGTCTTATGTATGATTACATTCGTCTAGAAGAGCCTTCTAGAGATTAGAATCATATAGTCATTAGTCGTTAGGACTTGGTTTTTCCTTTTTCTTTTTTTTTTTAACACTATGGTTAGGACTCCTAACTTAGGAGATTATAGTTGTATAGATCAAAAGGATTTTTGAGATTTACTGACTTTATTCTATTTTTAAAATATTTTTTTAAGAAATTGATTTGAATTTTGATTGTTATGATTAGCACTACTTAACAACATTATAAGATTGATAAATGTTCAAGCTTATATGTGGTTTTCAAAAACCGGAACAAGATTGAAGCATGAACAAGAAAATGCCACCAGCAACAGAGACGTTAAGAGATTCAAATTCACCTGCCATGGGAATGCTCACAAGCTCGCATACTTTCCGTGACTGGTCTGACAAACCATTCCCTTCACTACCTAAAATCAAGCATAAAGGCTTCCCTGCTACAGACTGAGCAAACTCTTGGGAAAGTCTGGACACGGGTTTTGGTTTCTGAGTCGTAGTTGATGGATGACCAGCGAATAGTTTCATCTGGAACTCATGTTCTAGAAGCTTAAGGTGGTTCCAGTTGCCGGAAACTATAGGCAGTTGAAACGAAGCACCTCGGCTTGCTCGAAGAGCTTTGTCGTTGAACGGATCGCAGCAACCAGGAAGCAGAAATGCACCATCCTATCATAAACATTAGCCAGAGTAAGATGATTCTCTCATTAGAGATTTATCTCCAAATCAACAGCTAATGAACTGAGAAGAAAGGCTGATCATTTGTACCCAATTAAAAGCCATAGCTGATCTGATTAATGTGCCAAGGTTCCCCGGGTCCTGTATGCTGTCAAGAACAAGAACTCGGTGAGCAGAAGGGAACCATTTACTGCAGCCTCTTACGATGTCTTGATCATCTTTAAGATCAACGAAGCTGTTAGGGATTCTCATCAGGGCAATGGCTTCAACAGATTCAGTAGATTGCACTCCAGAGAGTTTCTTCATCACCAAAGAACTTACTCGAACAATTCGGATACTTAGATTCTCTAATCCTTGCGGAATCTGAGCTTCCTCGTGGAGAAGTAGGCACTCAATTTCAGTTGCGATTCCTAGCTTATTCTCTTGAAAGATGCATACTTCCCTGTGAACAATGCATTAAAGTTATCTCGTTTGAACCCATTTTCACAAGAAACAAACCAAACACAAAATAAAGTAAAAAAAGTAGACTACTTCCCTCAGTCATCTTAGTATAAATCAAGAAACTGAGAGTACAAGGTCACTAATATACATACCTAATTGGGATAGCTCCGACGACAAGAACAGAGCCATGAACGTGGCGATAAGAGGAGCTTTGGCGGAGCTTCAGACAGTGTTTGACAAAAGGGTTTGAAGTGCTGGTAATGGAATTCACATGAGACGGCAGCGAAACTCTAATCTCCGGAGACTTATCTAAACTGTTAATAAGAATATCATCTGAAGGGTTTATCCGAATTTGGGTTTTTGGGAATTGAGCTGATGAAGCTCGAAGCTTTGAAGCTGAAGGTTTGAACTCAAATAAGATACGTGGTGACACAGGTTGTGAAGCGAAAGCACATCCGCAATGCATTGCCATTTGCAACTAATCCGATTTCTCTTCTTCTCCGGTGAAGCCAAGGCGGAGAAGATGACTAAAAGGCCTTAGAGTTTCATATTTCGTACAAAAGCCCAATATATTAAAAAGAGTTAGGCCCATTAACAAGCCCATTAAGCGATCGTTTTAACGGTAAACTCTCTTCGTCATTCTCTGGTTCTACCTTCGCTTCTTCTTCATCTATGAATCTGCAAATTTGGTTCTTTCGTGTTCGTTCTGTGAATCCAACTCGTTTTAAAAATGCGGATTAATAGAGGAACCCGATACGTGATTGTTTGGTGATCACTAATTGCGACCAATTTTGTGATGCATTTGACGGAGAAATCAGTTCTTCTGGAATTGATCAGCCGATGCAGCTCCCTTCGTGTTTTCAAACAGATACAGACTCAATTGATTTCTCGTGATGTTATTCGTGATGACATAGTCATCAACAAAGTCGTCACCTTCCTGGGCAAATCCGCAGATTTTGCATCTTACAGCTGTGTAATTCTCCACAGTATCCGTTCTGTGTTGAGCTCGTTTCCATACAATACACTTTTATCGAGCTACGCAGTCTGCGATAAACCAAGAGTGACGATTCTTGTTTACAGAGCATTTGTGAGTAACGGCTTTTCACCGGACATGTTCACGTTTCCTCCAGTTTTCAAGGCATGTGGGAAGTTTTCAGGGATCGGAGAAGGGAAACAGATTCATGGAATCGTCACGAAGATGGGGTTTTCAGATGATATCTATGTGCAAAACTCGCTAGTCCATCTGTATGGAGTGTGCGGAGATTCAGGGTATGCATGTAAAGTGTTCGATCAAATGCCTGTGAGAGATGTAGTTTCATGGACTGGTATTATAACTGGTTTCACGAGGACTGGGTTGTATAAGGAAGCTTTAGATACGTTTTCAAGGATGAATGTTGAGCCTAATTTGGCTACATATGTTTGTGCGTTGGTCTCAAGTGGGCGGGTAGGGTGTTTAAGTTTAGGGCAAAGAATCCATGGATTGATTTTAAAAAGGGCATCTTTGATCAGCTTGGAGACTGGTAATGCTCTTATAGATATGTATGTGAAATGTGACCAATTGTCTGATGCGATGAGAGTTTTTGGTGAATTGCAAAAGAAAGATAAAGTTTCTTGGAATAGTATGATTAGTGGGTTGGTTCAATGTAAAAGGCCTAACGAGGCGATTGAATTGTTTTCTCGGATGCAAACGTCTTCGGGTATAAAGCCAGATGGGCATATACTTACAAGTGTTCTCTCTGCTTGTGCTAGCTCGGGAGCTGTGGATTACGGAAGATGGGTTCATGAATATGTTGTAAGCGCTGGAATTAAATGGGATACATATATTGGAACTGCTATTGTTGATATGTATGCAAAATGTGGCTGCATCGAAACATCTTTGGAGATTTTCAAGGGAATCAGAAGTAAGAATGTCTCTACTTGGAATGCTCTGTTAGGTGGTTTAGCTATCCATGGACATGGACATGAGTCCCTCCAATATTTCGAAGAAATGGTTGACCTCGGTTTTAAGCCGAACCAGGTAACTTTTCTTGCGGTGTTAAACGCTTGTTGCCACACGGGTTTAGTGGATGAAGGGAGAAAATATTTCCATAAGATGAAAACCAGAAAGTACAATCTATCTCCTAAGCTAGAGCATTATGGATGCTTAATTGATTTGCTCTGTAGAGCTGGATTAATAGATGAAGCACTAGACCTCGTTAAAGCAATGCCGGTTAAACCAGATGTGCGTATATGCGGAGCAATTCTTAGTGCCTGTAAGAGTAGAGGGACATTAATTGAGCTTCCTAAAGAGATATTGGATAGTTTCTTAGAGATGGAGTTTGAGGATAGTGGCGTTTATGTTCTTCTGTCTAACATTTTTGCTGCTAATAAAAGATGGGATGATGTTTCGAGAATTAGGAGGTTGATGAAGGTAAGAGGTATCTCGAAGGTTCCAGGATCAAGTGCTATAGAGAAGTTCATGGCATAGAATAATGATGATGAAATTATGATGTATGAATAACATGATCACCAGATACGAGAATGCCTTACAATACATACATAACAGAGTTCATGAGTTTCTCGCATGTCTCTCTGCCCAAAGCTGAATTTGTCCTCTTCTACTTCACGTTCATCTCGCTTCTTCACCTTATTGTATGTATATAATATTATAATTATAATTTTTATGCAGTTACATTGTACATGATTATTTTCACAGAAATTATCCTTTTTTTTTGGTTAAAATCACAGAAATTCTTGATTTAGCATTTTCTCAAGAATGATTAAAATTCAAAAGTTCATTTTTTTATTTGCTAGGAAATTAAGCAATTTATTATGCTAAAAATTACAAGAAAGAGAAAAGGATTAATACTAAGGTTTTTTCATCCATAGCTTCTGCATGCTAGCTACAGATATTAGAGACTAATAATGGTAAATTACAGTGATAATTAGAGCATAGCATTATTACTAGCATTATGGTACCAATTTCCCATATTGCCCTCACCATCACCATTATCTTCATGACTACCACTGGTTGCTCCTCCCATGGCGGATCTATCGAAAACCCAATCCGTCGTAGCCGTCGGCGGAGGAATCAACTCTACGTTCTGAAACATAACCGGTTTCTCGTTAACCGGGAGAGAATCTTGGTGAAACATGGAAGTGACGAGTCTCTGTTGTTGAAGCTTCTGGTGCAAATCTTGGTTAAAGGAACTCAAAGACTCGATGGAAGAAGATGACGCAAGGTTGTAGTTAGGGTCCAACGGAAACATGTAGCCGGAGAATCCACCGGAACTCATCATCATCATCGCCGTCGAAGGATGGTTTCTTACAAGCTCGCGAGACAACGATGGCGTCACGGTCGAGAACAAAGGAGGAGAAGAGATGACGTGGAGGGTGCAAGGCTTGTTCTTGTTTCGGGTTGAGCCACCGATGGGGACGTTACGTAGGGCGCCTCCACGTGTCCAGTAACGGCGACAGTTCTTGCAGTAGTGACGTGGCTGAGACAAGCTGTAGTTGTTGTAGTAGCAGAATTTGGTGTTGACTGAATCACATCTCGGACACTTCAGAACCGGCTGCGTCGCTGGAGACGACGGTTCTCTGTTATTGTTCTGACGTGGTGGCTTCGTCATCGTCTTGATCCTGCGTGGTTTGAAGCTGGAGGTGTTGCTTTGATGGGCTGACGTCATCATGATATGGGGCAAGAGAGGGGAGATGCGTTCTTGTGATTTCTATGAATCTTCATATGTATATATATGAACGCATTGACGTATATAAAGTACATATATATACAATATGTACATGCATGCTTATTGTATAGTATATATATTTAAAACTTTTTCTTAAACTGAATGTGTATATTTTATATTAATTTTTATTTGACATCATATAAAATGGTATCTGCCTAGGAATGTGTTATTCAACTAGTTTTGTTGTATATATCGCCACTAGTACGCAATTTAGGCGTTAGCATCAATCGCTAGGTGAAAAAAGCGTGACCGTCCCTGACTACTTGTGAAATAGCCAGAGATTGAATCTTCTGGCAAAGAAAAAAGTTTCTGGCTAGGTTCAGTTTCTTTTAGTATTAATTACGATTAATTAACAACATATAGATTAGATTTTTTTATTGTTATAGTAAGGGTGTAACAGTGAGCACCAAAATCAACTCATATCAGATTTGTTGCAGTGGGTTCTATAGTTGTTAAGAAATATTTAAGCTGTTCCTCTAGATGAATAATTCACCAATTATAAATGCCTAAATTGATACATCCAGTTCTAGAATATTACACCACTATATGATTTACCTATATAGTTACTAGGAAACAATTTACATATATAGTTCAATGTGGTAAACTCATTTGGTCGAGCAAAGATTGCCTTCAGAAACATGTTCCTGAGTTTTCAGTTATCAAATGGAGATAAATGATAAATTACGCATTCTTATGGTAGAAGCGAAAAATCTCTTATATTATTGTATTATGTAATATTCAGACAAGACAGGATAAGATCGACCTAGGGAAGAGAGAGTGAAGGAGAGATGAGTGGTAAAAGGTACGAGGTAAAGAAAGAGAAGCCATATCAAGGAGTGGAGTTCCTCGCATTGGGAACAAACTCGAACTTCCCTGTCTCCTCTCTTGTTGGATGCAACACATGCCCAAGTCGTACGTACGGTTCATTTATTATCCTCATTGACTTTTCACTTCTATTGCTCTTCCATCGAATATGAAGATAACTAATTCTCACACATTAGCTTTGATGATAAACTGATTTTGTTTACACTATTAACTGAGTTTACACTATTGCTCTTCTAAGAAATCTATAGAAATCTTAGTAAGGTGTGCCCTCAAAATCGTATCATATAGTATAGAAATTATAATAATCAAGTTCATTAATCGGATTAAAGCATACCATACAGTCATACAACCTTGAACCTCCTCAGGAAACAACACGAAACTTAAATATATTACGACAAACCAAACAAGCAAGAAAAAGCTTTGGGAAATTTGATTCTCAAGACTTATAAATTAGGGGTAGGCTTCAAAGTGTTGGCAACATCAATCACAAATCGGTATCTAACGTCGGCCTTCTCGAGCCGTTCCATGGCGGTGTTGACATAATCCGCAGAGATAAGCTCAATATCCGCGGTGATGTTGTGTTCTGCGGCCATATCCATCATCTCCTGAGTCTCTTTTATCCCTCCTATCATGCTTCCCACTACCATTTTCCTCTCTACACATACAAAATAGCAAAACCACCAAAACAATTTTTTTAAAAAAATTGATGTCATTCTCGCAGTTCACTAACTTAACACTACAAATTTAACGCACGGATTAGTTTGTTACTACAAATATAGATTACCAAAGATGAGAGGCAAGACCGGTAGCTCGAGTGGCTTCACCGGTGCACCAACCATAACAAGTATTCCCTTATGCTTCAGCAAACCAAGCAATGGAAGAAGTGGATGAGTCGCAGATACAGTATCAATTATACCATCCATAGTCCCCATTGCATCCTTAATCTGCTTCGGGTCACGGCTCACCAAGAAGGTATCCGCACCAAGCCGATTAATCGCCTCGTCTCTCTTACCCTCAGAAGTACTGATAACCGTAACTTTGCAACCCATAGCCTTGGCAAATTTAACTCCTACATGACCCAAACCGCCTAATCCAACCACACCAATGTGCATACCAGGTTTGTCGAGCCCGTGATACTTCATAGGGGAATAGACCGTGATCCCAGCGCAGAGGAGCGGCGCGGCAGCGTCCATTGGGAGATTGTCGGGAATACGGATGACAAAACCTTCATCGCAAACCATGTGGTCGGAGTAACCACCACATGTTATGGTGTCGTCATAATACTTAAACCCGTACGTTTGGATCAATTTCGGACAGTAGTTTTCCATGCCTTCGGTGCATCTGTCACATGACCCGCACGAGCCGACCAAGCACCCAACTCCGACTTTGTCTCCGGTTTTGAATTTAGTCACTTTGGCTCCGAATTCAGTCACCACGCCGACGATCTCATGCCTGAAAAAACAAGAGGATAAATAAACATTCTTTACTCGTTCAAAATGACCTTAAAAAAATTTCAGGATCTCTCATCCAAGAATCCTTCGAAATAAATTTGGTAATATATATATTGATATTAATTACGTACCCAGGGACAAGGGGATATTTTGACATTCCCCACTCGTTCTTGACCATATGCAAATCACTGTGACAAATTCCACAGAATAACACTTGGAATCTTACATCCTTTTCTCCTGTTTCCCTACACATATACATTAATTATTTCCACCAAAACTTTATAATTAGGTTCAATAATTACATTGAAACCAAACTGAAAGAGAGATAAAAAAAAAAACAATTTTGAAACCTTCTAGAGAAACGGAAAGGTGAGAGAATTCCCGAATTGTCATTTGCGGCCAATCCGAACGCCTCTTTCTCGAGAACCTTTCCCATACTCGAGATCAAAATTACAACAATAAGATTGAGAGAAATGGATTCGAACACAAATAAGTGTCTCTTTTGTTTTTTTTTTTTTTTTTTTTTTTTTCTTTTTAGTTTAAATTAAATGTCACTTACAGTTGCGAACTTTGAGATGATAATAAGAAGGTTTAGACAAATCCCTTAATATAGGAAATGACTGATGAGGAGGAACCGATTTGATTGGATGCAATTAGGACCATGCACTTACTTTCACGATATTAGTTTTTTTTTTTTCCACGAGAGTTCCTCACCAACTAGTTCTTTTCTTCCTTTTTTTTTTTTCTTTTCAATTATTGGAATCGAATGCAAAGAAAAATCACAAATATGTCTTTAAAAAATAAAATCAAAAAGATGATTCATATTTTCAGTATTTAGTGACTATTAACATGTTCAGACAAATATACACATACAATACGTACATATATAACTTTTCTAAACATTTCATAATTTCATATGCATATACCGCCCAAGATATATGGTTAACGTGTTGATGATGGTAAACAGATTTTTAAATTTTAACGAGTTCCAAAAAGTTGGGAATGAACATTTCAACAATATTTTCTAATTTATTATCTCAGCCCACGCCACGTAGTCATATTTGGATAGCACATTGATAATCAATAGAAGTTTTAAACACCGTCGTTTTGTTTTTGAGGCCACAAATTAACGTTGTTAATCTTTTTTTTTTCCGGCCAATTATCTGATTAGATAATGAAAGTTTTACAGCGTTTTTACAACGTTGTTAATAAATACTCACAAGTCAGTATATACTATATTTTACGGACTATATATTATTTTTTTGGTATATATATACATATATATATTTGAACATGTCTCAAACTCAACGATGTATCTGTTCACGTGTGTACTCACAAGTCCATATGTTTCTCAGTGTACGTACTCATTTCGTCCACGGAACATATTCATAATAAAACCGTCTTTACACTGCTAAGATCGGAAATCATTGAATAATTTCTTAGATTCATGCACTTGATCGATTGTTACACCCAAAAAAAAAGTAGTTTATATTTAATGCCTCACGTAATTTGACCAATATCTTGCTACTTAATTCATAGTAATCCATTTAATCAAATAAAAGTATTTCATTAAGCTTCCACAAACTCAAATCATAAAGCTAATTAAATAAAATTATTCAAGTTTATTAAATTGATACAACACATGCTGTAGTAGTAGTAGTACACACAAAGACGTGAACTTAATACACAAAACTTATTACAACAGACCAAACGAGAAAAAAATGACTTGGGGATGTTCACTTCTTAAGCTTTCTAATTAAGGAGTAGGCTTCAACGTGTTGGCAACATCAATCACAAATCGGTACTTAACGTCAGCCTTAGCGAGTCGTTCCATGGCAGTGTTGACATAATCCGCAGAGATAAGCTCAATATCCGCCGTGATGTTGTGTTTTCCGGCCATGTCCATCATCTCTTGCGTCTCCTTTATACCTCCTATCATACTTCCCACCACCATCTTCCTCCCTATTACACAACCACGTACCAAAAACATATTCCCAATGTTTAATTATCAATATAAGCTTAACTGGAATTAAAAACATATCATGTAAGATAAACAAGATGATTGGCGAATAGGCTCGTACCGAAGATGAGCGGCATGACCGGTAGCTCAAGTGGCTTCTCAGGGGCACCAACCATAACAAGTTTTCCCTTATATTTAAGCAAACCTAGCAGCGGAAGAAGCGGATGCGTTGCGGATACGGTATCAATTATACCATCCATAGTCCCCACTGCATCCTCCATCTGTTTCGGGTCACGGCTCACCAAGAAGGCATCGGCACCAAGCCGATTAATCGCCTCATCTCTCTTTCGATCCGAAGTACTAATAACCGTAACTTTATTACCCATAGCCTTAGCAAGTTTCACTCCTATATGACCCAAACCGCCTAGACCTACCACACCAATGTGCATACCCGGCTTGTCGAGGCCGTGATACTTCATTGGGGAGTATACTGTGACCCCCGCACAGAGTAGTGGAGCGGCACCATCCAAAGGGAGATTTTCAGGAATACGAATGATGTAGTCCTCAGCACACACCATGTGGTCGGAGTAACCACCATGGGTCATGGTGTTGTCGTAGTCTTTGGCTCCGGCGGTTAGGATCATCTTTGGACAGTAATTCTCTTCGCCATCGCTGCAGCTGTCACATGACAGGCACGAGCGGGACATGTAGCCAACTCCGACTTTGTCTCCAGTGTTGAATTTGGTCACTTTGGTTCCAACTTCAGTCACCACTCCCACTATCTCATGCCTGAACAGTAGTATATATTAAAGCTATTTCAATATTTAAGTAAATATATAGCATCTCTGTTTTATTGTTGGAGTAAAGAGATTTTGTGATACCCTGGGACGAGAGGATAAGTAGTAAAGCCCCATTCGTTTTTGGCCATGCTCAAATCAGTGTGGCAAATTCCACAGAACAACACTTTGAACCTAACATCCTTTTCTCCAGTCTCCCTACGTACATACGCATTGAGTTCCACCAAAAGTTAATTTCATTAGAACAAACAAATTTTAATCGGATCATTAGAGGTTAATTAATATTCGTTATAAGAGAAAAATGAAACCTTCTAGAGAAACTGAAAGGTGTGAGAACTCCGGATTCATCTTTCGCAGCCAATCCAAACGCCTCATTCTCAAGAACCTTGCCCATCTTGATAAACAATAAAAGATTTATCTTCGTGACACTAATAATTGACAAGTTTCAATAAAATGAATAGCAAAGACGTCGGATTTTATACAAAAAGAAAAGGCTTGTAGACCCGATGAGAATGAGGACAACTACTCTCATTAATATAATTTACAGGGACCATATTAACCACGTCCACGAGAATAGATGGTCCCTAATGGCTAACTCAATTTTGTTCTAGTAGCAGTGCGATGTCGTCACTCGTCAGTCACGGACAGTCATATCAGCTCACCGGTTTGATACTGATGTGTTCATAAATTGTACAGTTGATTTTTCCTGCTGAATCGAAGGTATGGTTTTTTTTTTTTTTTTTTTTTTTTGGTAACAATGTAAAGTAATCCAAAGCTATGGTTGTGATGCAAAGTAAACAAATTTTACAGTTGTTTTCGTGTAATATGGTCCCGAGGTAACAATTATTGTACCGATAGATACTACCTTCCACATCAAAATTTTAAAGATCTACGCACATGGAACTTAATCCAACCACATGAAAAAAAAAAAAAAAAAAAAAAAGGAAATTCAACCGCATATGTAAATAGTACTTGTTTTGGTGTCAAATTAGGTATAAGTCCATCCGTTGGATAATATATTCATATTTAAAACGTGTTTTGCCCTTACGTTCGGTTCATATAATTCAATATCCTCAGTACATCCCTCAATACAGCTTTTGAAATTTCTTTCAAATCATAATCACTAGAATTACATTCACTTGACCAATGACCATACTCCATTTATAAAAAGAAAGAAAACAGATTAGGATTGAAATCCAGACTAAAGTTGATTTGAATACACATATGACATCAAGTTTAGACAAGAGGATTAAGTAGCGTTGCCAAAACAATATTACGATCTAGTAGAAGCCAAAGTGTTGGCGATGTCGATGACAAATCTATATCTAACATCCCCTTTCGCGAGTCTATCCATGGCAGTGTTCACATAATCCATGGATATGATCTCAGTTTCTGCTTTTACGCCATGCTCGGCCGCAAAATCAATCATCTCTTGTGTCTCTTTCATTCCTCCTATACCACTTCCCGCTACCGATTTCCTTCCTTGCCGATTGCATAAGGGTCTCATCTCATCATACTACTCAAATAGTTTATATATGAAAAGTTGAATAAATTAACTACTATAACGGTCTCGTACCTATGATTAAGGAAAATGCAGATAAATCAAATGGCTTCTCGTTTGCACCGAGTAGAACAAGTTTACCGTTGGATTTGAGTAGTCCAATTAAAGGTAAAATCGAATGCGATGCAGAAACGGTATCAATTATGCCATCCATAGTTCCCATTGCGGCCTAATTAGTAACATAAATTTAAAACATGATTAAAAAATTTATATACATTTTATATGCATAACAATATGGTTGAATTAAGATTACCTTCATTTGGTCTTCATCAGTACTAACCAAGAACCCATCAGCTCCAAGAGTTTCAAGAGCATCCTTACATTTCCCTGGGGTGGAGCTAACCACCGTGACTCTAGTCCCAAATGCTTTTGCAAATCTCACCCCAATGTGTCCAAGACCACCTAGCCCCACGATTCCAATATGCTTATCTGGTCCGGCTAATCCGAAGTACTTCATAGGGCTGTACACCGAGATGCCTATATATATATGTTACGTCATATTAATGAAAATCTTGATAATCTAATATCATCATGTATTCATGTTTCATTTAGATTTACCTGCACAAAGCAAAGGTGCGGCCGAAGCTAGAGGCAACGTGTGTGGAATCTTGACGGCGTAACGTTCATCGACGACGATGTGGTCAGAATATCCACCGTAGTTAATCGTTCCGTCGTGGTGAACTCCGTTATAGGTCGCGACAGCTTTGGCGCAGTAGTTTTCTTGATCGTCACGACAACTCTCGCACGCGCGGCAGGAATCTACTATGCATCCAACACCAACTCTGTCTCCAAGATTGAATTTACTTACTTTGCTCCCTTTCTCACTCACTTCTCCAACAATCTCATGCCTGTAGTAAACAACCATACCACACGTTTATGTATTTCCGAACAATGAGATTAAACGTTTTTTTTTTTTTGTAAAAAGTAAGATTAAACGTTTATTTCCATTTTTTCTGCGTTGGGGACTGTTAACAAAAATGTAAATATTGCTGCACTTAATTATATACCGTTAATTTTTTAAATTTTTTTTTGGGTGACAAGAGAAATATACTTTTATTTAACTATGTAAAAATTAGGTTGTGCTGCATTTAATTAATTATATATCTTCGTAACGTTAAATTTTGATCTGTGCGTGTGGATTTATTAATAATAAAGAAATCAACTCAAAGTGATGAATGATGGTAATGGAGGTGAGTGGTCACTGGTCAGTTTTGGCAAAACTTATTTGAGTGTAGTAATTAATTTATCTGCCTAAATGTTTGTTTTCAACATATTTATATAATCAAGCCGAAAGAAAAGAGCCAAGTGTAAGTGCTCCACTATCAACAGTGAACAAACGAGAATTTGCCACATTTTAATTCCACTCAATTATAATATTAATCTCTAATAATTTAAGTAATTTACCAACCAAATCCACTATTTTAATACTTTCTGAATCATATGGTAAAATTATCATTTCACCTAATAAATATAATCACGATCGTACTTAAATCACCATACAAGCCAAATTCGGATTTCTTTTTTCTTTTAATCGAAGTTTATAATAAGCGTACGGTTAACAAAGATTTTACGAAAAAGTGAAGAAAAATAAAAAATGCGTACCCAGGAACCAAAGGGTAAATGGAGGAATGCCATTCGTTCTTGAGACAATGGAGATCACTATGACATATTCCACAATACAACACTTTCACTCTCACTTCCTCTGCTCCTGTTTCCCTGCACATTGCACATACCATACCATACCATCATCAATATGGCTAAAGTAATCAATCGGTGCATCATGCACATGTGTAAGTACACCACCATCGCAGAGACAGTACCGTTACCTTCTAGGAAAGACAAAGGGAGAGAGATGGCCTGAGGAGTTTCTTGCCGCCCATCCGAACGCCTCGACGGTCTTCTCTCTCTCTTCTGATGATGATGATAAGGATCTCTCCATCTGCTTTCACTCTTTTTTATTTCTTTGTTTTCGAACAATTAAGGGACCGGAGTATCTATCTTCTTATATAGGATTGAGAGACATCTGAAACGCTGCCGTTTCGTTTGAGAAATTTGACTTTATTTCTCTCGCACCATAACATAAAATATCATGATGATGAAAGTTGAATATTTGATATAACTTTTTTTGTCAACTATAAAATTAATAGAATTTTTTAAAATTTAATCTTATCAGATAAAGCTTCTTACACGCAACAAACTTAACCTTTTTCATCAACGTTGTTGTGTAAAACAACAAATTAATTCTTATTATAATTTTGACTTTGACAACTATATAAATTGAAAAATCCCTCCCACCATTATATATACTTATCAGACTCCGGAAGGACCTTCCAAACGAAGATAATCATACATTACACCTGAAAACGAATCAGTAGTGTTCCGACCATGAGTAAGAAATATCGTATTATTACCAACCCTAAGTAACTTCCCATTAACATCGATATTGTACAATTTGTACAGCCCATGAATCCCATGCCTCGCGATCGCGTTATCCCGGCCTATTAGCCCAGACATGAAGATAGGTTTGGAATCAGCTTCGTTGACCTGAACCATTAAATTAACAGTTGTGGCTGCAGCCAAAGCTATTCGAAGTGTGTAGTTTCCAGTTTGAGTCACTGCTTTTAAATTGAACTTAATTTGCCATGTCGTTGCTTCATATGTCCCGTTTCCAGCTTTCCTATATTTTACAAGAAATAAATATATTATTTGTATTGGCAGATTAACAACATTTATTTTGGATAATCTAAATATATATTATTAATTACCTGTTGACATGGGCATAGAACCAGTCTTTTTTATAGTCACTCAATCCAGCAATAAAAACAAGATCGTTTCGTGGATATAAAGCACTGTAACGATCCCATAGACCATATTGTCTAAATCTGTATTATTACACATAAAAATTAAATAAGACACCATTTAGTATATTAAAATAAAAGTAGTAAACAATGTTTGATGTGTTGCTTAATTATGTTAATTACCTGTCTTGAGGATTTGAGTGATTAAAAGAGAGTTTGGTGAAAAGGGCTGGGTCCGGTTCTGGGATATAGAACTCTGCGGCGGTTCGGTCCGGTTCTCCGATCTCCCACAGTGTCTGACCGTTTCTCGGTGGCTCGTACACTATAGGTCCAATGTTTATCTCCTTACCTATAGGCCAAACCAAACTATGAGTCCAATACTTGGGCCTAATAAGTATTCTTCAGCTGTGGCCCATCTTAAACTTAAATTATGATTACAACAGTGTTACCTGGTGTGATGGTAATGTCACGCTCGTATTTATAGTCACCGATAAATCCAGGAACCCATGCGTAGAGACTATACGTCCCAGGTCTCACATTAGCTATCGTGAACATCCCCGTTTTGTCTGCTCGTGTCCAAAATTGATATCCCTTTTTCCAGATGTTGATTGTAAAGGATTATTAAAAAGCGAGATTGTTGACATACATTGAGTAATATATATATAGGTTAGTTTAGTACCTTGTTTTCGGTTTGCCATGAACCAGCTTCACCAGGTAATGCTAATCCCACAAAAGCATATTCCTCGAATAAGTTTGCCTTGATTTTGTTGTACCTACAATAATTTCATAATTTCCCGCATATCATTATTTTTGAATATATATACTTGCATATAAACAAAAACTGAGAAATATATATATTTATTTACCTGTCTTTAACAAAGAGTTGACCTTTAATTGTTCCTCTTTGGTGATAAAGAGGGTAATCTACGGACTTCACGAAATCATAAGGCCAGCTTTGGACCTCGGAAACCATCTATATATACATTCAATCTGTTTAAGTATGATGATATGGAATACAAAAACGAATAAAATAATGGGTCACTGATTTGGTAATTAACGAGACCTGTCGTTTAGCGTCGGTCCAGAGAAGATTACGAGAAGATGCAGAGTTGAGATAAACAAAAACAGGACCAAACACCTTCTTCCACGGCTCCTTGCTTGTATAACTAGTGTTCATATCTTTCCCCACGTAGTGTACACTTGTAAACATCTAATTAAAGACAAAACACAAGATACTTATGAAATAAAAAATGAAACATAAATATAAATACACGACCACAAAAGTAAATTAAGAGGATGTAGTCAGTATCCTTACAGAGAGAGTGGTGGGTCCGAGATGAGAAGTAAGATCTTGTTTGACGGGTCCGCAGCCACGGAACTCGTTGCTGGGAGTAATCATCCAGAACCCAACACCTTGGTCCGACGATATCCAACCGTGTACTTTGTTGTCTTTGTCTTCCATTGAGTACATGTACTTATCGTCTACCTGCATCACATCCCCGTAAACCATTTTCTTACCCTTTGCTTTTGTATATGTTACTGATTTTACTTTGACTTTATGGCTATGATCATAAAGCTATATAAATTTTTACTGACGGGATATAACATTTTGATATACCTGCCCTTTAAGCATATGATTTTGTGGATTTTTCAAATGAACAGCTTCTTTGTAAGCCAGTTTACTAGCACGACCACTCCTGATATTTCTATCTGCTTCAAAAGGCATAATTTTCTGCCGATCATCCGATATAGCCATTACATCGAATCTGCAACATTGTTTTTTATAAAAAAATATTATTTTTCAATCGTAGCAATATTAAAATATGATATAAATAATAAAGTGCTTACTTTGTTGTGTTAAGCTTGAAGACGATTCTGGTTTGGTCCATGAGTACATCAGGCCAACCTTTCAACCTCTCCAACACAGCGTACATGTATACTCCGGACACACCCCTTCGAATAATATACCTTTAAAGGGAACCATTCTCCATTGTTGTTAATCTATATAATTTACATCTCCATGAAATGGAAAAGAAACAAAAGAGTTAGTAACTACGCTTTTTTATTTTACTTGCAAATTGACGTACCGTTTGTCTACGTTCAACGGCGCTACTGAGCCCCGTTGAGACACACTCCATGTTCTCGAAAATGAAATTTCCACATGCTCACTTGTTTGATTTACAATATCGAATTTTGTTCCTACTAACCTGTTAGACCATAACATTAATATAAAATATAAAATATATGTATAGTACGTAGCTAGGTACAATTTTGAAATATATATTTAATCAAAAAAATACGAAGAGAGATTGGAATACTCACAAATCGGTTTCCGGTTGATGTCCTAGTTCATACCATACTACGTCCCAATACCTTTATATAATTATTAATGGTGATGTTATATAAGACGAACTATATATATATATATATTTTTTTTTTCTTCTTCTATATCTTGTTTATAATACATTTCCCGCATGCTATATATTAACTAAGTATTAAGATAGATCTATATATCATACCCGCGATTTTCAATTTGGTCGTTCAAGATATTGTTAAAGCCATTGTACTTGATTCCAGTTATCAAGCCTCGTGGACATGAGAAGGTAACTTGGATTATACCGTTATCAACGACCACCTTAAACAACAACAAAACAGGCCATCATATATAACAGTATCCTTGCATCGAAACATTCTATTTCTATATACGTATAAGAGAATTCATATAACGTTTTAGTAGTATAACTAATTAAACCAAAAATTAAATTAGACATTTTGGACGACCGTACTTGGTTAGGACCAACTTTCTTGAGCGTAACCGGGGGAGATGCAAATTTTTGTCCGCGTTCATCAACTATGTTTAATTTGACTCTGTAATAATAAGAAGAACTTACAATTATGATTTTTTAAAAAATATTCAGAATGTTCACTTGAATAGTTAAATATGCATGGACTCGTTTGGATTTATCCGTTGAATAGATACGAACGCTGAAATAAATCTTTTATATATATATAACATTCTTCAGCTTGAAAATAAAAACAACAAATTATAACAGAATTGAGGCATATGACCAATTATATTTCCCCTAGATTTTTGTTTTCTTCTTTTTAAAATTCAAGTCTTACGACAATTACGAAAAAAAAAAATCTTATGACAATTAATTAAGCTTCAACATGTTTATACACAAAAAAATATGTGAAACTCTGATTCAGTGATAAGACAGAGAGGAACGCGTACCGTGATGATCGAGAATGAACACTTTGAAGAAGAAAGATCAGAACGAACAGTTTGGTCATAACCCGAACCGCCTTCATTACCGGAGCTCCGTATTCCATGATATCCTTCTCCAATTCACTAATGCCTTCGACAAATAAAACAGAAAATGAGATTATTACCCCCACAATGATATTTTAGACAAATGGCAATTAGTAGCAAGGTCATCAACCTCTTGATCAGTGAAGTTAGTCTCGTCGATCTATACTAAATCAGTATGGCTAATGCCTAAAACTCCTTACACATAAACTTTCTTGGATTCTTTTGCAGCTTAATTTGCTCTCTTCACTGAAGAAAGTTATATCTCTCTCGTAAGATATTGTTACTTAAACTTTTTGATTAACCATTGTTATTCATCAAGATGATAATCTCTGATTAACAAAATAAGAGATCACAAATCTTTTTACAACTCAGATACAAAATCTTACAAGGAGCTGCTAGCTAGGTGTGTATCTATATTTATATTTGTAGCTAAAAATAAAATCCCTGGAATATTTTTCCTTTTAATTTTGTGCAATGGATCGGGTAAGTTAAGAAACTACATATGTGCTCGGTATCTTTATTTCCATTTCTTAAGAAATTGAAACCTTCAAATAATAGGTTATTCCATTAAATAGGTTATAATTCTGAAAAAAAATAATATTACTGAGTGTTGAAGGATATGAACCTATTAAAACATATTGCTAATGATTTAAATGTTTTGATTTTAAACCATTTAAAATTGAATCTGAGAGTTTTTAATATGTTTCATCAAAGAAAAGGTACACAATTTGTTAAATAATCAAATCCAGCAAATTTGATAAATCCAACGGGTTAATAAACTATAGTATTGGCCTCGATATAACTCCTAACTCAATGGGCTTATGGGCCATAAGAAAATAAGGAACTTCTTACTTAATTGCTTATTGAATCATGGCAATAATCCAATAATGTTACATTAGTATGTGTATGTTTAACTAATTAGTCTATTCGATATCATCATTTTCAAATAAAAATTCGAAATTTGGACATCAAGAAAAAATTAGATAAATGCTGTCAAAAAAAAAAACTAGATTAATTTATTATTTTTTTAGAAAGCAAAATTAATAAAATAAGAGTCTATAAAGTAGGCAATTGCATAACAAAATCCAGAAATAAATAAAATAATTATATATATATATATATATATGTGATTTTTAAATTATTTCTTTCCATATGAGTTACATAATATAAGTTATACATATAAGAGTAATATTAATTTAAATCTAGATTTTAAGAATCAAAATATCTTAGTTTAGTGAGATTCGTATTTTACTATCTGAATATAAACTGAAAATATATTAGAGTGTTAAACAAAATATTACATCGATATCAGAAGTTACCTAATGTTTTTAGTGTTAACTATTTTATCAAATATATAAAATTTTACATGACTTTACGTTCTGAATCGATCGATCACACATATTTAAGTTTAAACAATTGTTCTAAAGGGGCATCTATCATAACGAATCATGGATAAACTGATCACTTAAACTATTTAATTTGTATATGACGATAACATTTCTGGCACTCTGAGTAAAATTAATTGCGAATTCCTTTTTGAGCTATACTCAATTATTATGCAACACACTATCGCTTATAATCATATATGCTCTCTTGGATTACTTTAATGACAATGTAAGGAATCATTATTTAAATATGAAATTTTAAGCTCTAGTGAGCTATGATGGCATTTTCAACTAGCTAGTGTTACCGTTGATCTCGACTGCATTATTAATTATAGTATTCTAAAGTTTTAATACAGTTTCCCAAATGAATTACGTTGGTTTAGCTAAGATGCGCGCAACCTCATACAGTATAGTATTCAAACCCTTAACCCAAAATCTAATACTAAAACATTATCGTCAAATTGTTAACTCTAATTAATCAGCGTTTCAAACACAGTATTATCAAGGGGTATTATCAAACACCGTAACAGTATGTGTCTCCCTCTCGATGTTCTCATATTAATGAGTCCAAAAACTACAAGAAAGCTAGATTCTTATAAACTCAATATTAGCAATTTTGTAAGCCAATACACGATAGTTCCTCTTTAACATTTGTATCTTTGATATAGTATCAAATCTTGAAATAATTGATTATTACTTACTAATATAAGAGGACTAATTAACTCATAAAAAGTAGTAATAAATTAAAAATATTGTAATGGCCAACAACTTTGGAACATTTAGTACAATTTCCACCAGTCATCAAGTTCCAAGGCTATCTTTTTAAACTCGACATATAATTGCAATTAATTACCAACTATAATATTACCTTCGGAAACCTGAAAAAGAAGGTTTAAATTAAAAAGTTTTATGTACCCAAAGATTATGTGGGATTTAGTTTTAAAAACATCAAAAGTGACAACACCTTATCCTTTTCTTGGTCTGATCGATAACCTAAATAAGGTTTATAATTATCATTCACACTACTACTCTGAGTACTCTCTCACGTTAATTTTATAACACCAACAATAAATAAAAAAAAAATAAAAAATGAAGAAGCATAGTTTATATATGTAACCAACACGTATTTACTTTTTCAAAACAATTTGTTTTGGTCTAATGTGTTAATATCATTTCCGACTATTAATAACTCATTAACAAACTAAATTAATTGGACAATAAGTTTCTTAATGATGCTGTAATATATATATACCATAAACGCGTATATGTTCAGAAGTTCAATCCAAAATATAGCATTAATCACACTTAAACAATACTGTCTGATTTTGTATGATGCACTCAAGTGGTGATAGCTGCCATAACATGCTTTGTTGGTGTAAAGTTACAAGAATCACCTGAGAAAAACTGTATTCAATAAAACAAAAGTTTCTTTATGTAGAGAAGATAATATAGAGTGTTAGGATTATAGTTCTCTGTTATCGAATGAAACCTAAATTAATTCTCTTTCGCAAACTAAACATGTTCCTAAGATTAGTTCTTATATATACGGCAATGAATTGAAATATAAAGATCCCTATTGTTAAAGAGGCGGTAACAAACCATGGAAACTGTAGAATTATTTGCGTAAACTTCAACTTAGATTGTAGAATTGTTTTGGAAAACTTAAAACTTGAAAACGTGAAACGTAAAAGAGAACCCATATAGAAGTGAAGATAATAATGATTATAATTGGTAAAACCGAAATGATTCGCTGATGATTGACACCTGGCGTGAATAGAGACTAAATCTTTTTATCTTAAGACAGACGATAATTGGGGATTTGGTCACTTGGACGCACTTTTAAGATTCTTTTTTTGATTAATAAGAAAAAGAGCAAAGTTTGAGTTTGAGTTTGAGTTTGAGATTCGAGATGTGATTGGTTCGAAGCAGTCCACAGCCCACGTGGTATCTTTTATTACCCATGTTATCTACCTAGACCCCACCTGAATCTTACAAATATCAACGGTATAAATATCAAATTTCATTAGGGTTTGAATTTCGATTAAGTTTGATTTTAAAAGAAATTTAGCTACATTTAAACCAAATTTTGGTTTTGTTTTTTGATTGGATCATAAGAACAAGTGTGTATATCTTATTATATGCTGTTGATTAGGGCCAATAGTTTTGTAGATTGGTAAACTCGGCTAGTCCACTGCGGATATCGACCTTATTACTCATGAATATATTTTTTTTTGCTAAACCTATTACTCATGAATATTATTAGCACAACATACATTATTAATGTTAATGGTTTATATCCAGTTACTAATAATATCGAGTAATCCTTTTTTTCTTCTTCTTAAAAGCCTACGAAAATCATTCTCGGCAATATATCGAGTAATTTAGGATATTAATATTTGTAAACATAGAGTTTTTTATATAAAAAAATAACTATAAAGATGAGGCGGTTTCTGCGGTGGAGCGTGCGAAGGCATCCATCAATTGGTGTTCTCACTTCTCCCACGTGTGCCTGCCACAAATGCATCTTGCATTTTATATTTTTTCACTCGATGTAAATTATATACAATAGCTTGAATGCTTTATATACATATATGCAAATATAAGCATAACTTTAACCATATCAACTACAATTCTTTGTTTTTTTCAACATTTATATTATCTGGACCTGATATAAAAACCAACTTTCTTACATAGAACAACACTGATTATATGTTTAATTCATAATCTATTTTATTTTTAAAATTACTGTGTAGTATTAAGAGTTGTTTTTATATATGAATCTGGTATCAGCTATATATATATACACGGCGTTGCTTTGATTACAAATTAAGCAAGTAACATTATTTGGTATTATATTTCTTGCCATATTTGGAAACTTACGACAAAACAATGTAGTGAATCTCCGCAACTCCAAGTTCCTGTCTGACACGTGTACTTTATATCGTTTTATATACACCAAAAAAAAGAGGACTTATTCTTTTGTAAGAAATACGTAATGCCATATGGACTATTTGTACAATGTATTTTGTTCGATCCCTTCTCTTACTTTTTTGGGTAAATGTCTTTTGTACAGATCCATTATATATGTTTAGTATATTGTTTTCGTATGACCATAATTAAGGTCCATTATACTGTAATTAAAGCTCTATTTGTATCACCTACAAAAGATAATTAATTAAGAAAAGCAGCATATAAAGCTAGAGGGTTTTGTCAGAGAAACACGGTCCTGTGATGCACCCATTCACTATTTCCACATGACATCTGAAAAAACAAACAAGACTTAAGATTTAAATTATAAATATGTACGGACATGTTAAAAAGGAAATATTATTGATAATGAAAATTTACCTAACTCACACTATACGTTTAATATTATTTCACTTCTTTTTTTATCCAAACAATTCCATTAAGTTTCCACTATCTCCCACAATAAACTATAAAAAGAAATAGTGATGAAAGTTATATATATATATATATATATATATATATATATATATACGTTTAAGCTATATCTATATATGTTCTCTTAACCTAGTACCTTTATAAGAACTTCTTTCTATTTCGTTGGTTTGATAAAATCACACACAAATACTACTTTTGGACTATAAATTTAGTACTTTACTATGTATTAAAACTACCAAAATATGTCTCATATTAAGAGGTGAGTGTGTATATATATATATATATAGTTAGTTTAATCCTCGAATAGATTGTTGACTCTTGGCTCAACCTTCCTCTCTCTCTTTCTATTTCTACCTTTCTCTTTCTTCTTATTCGTTCATCTTCGTCTTCGTTTCCCTTTTGGTCTTGGTAAGATCTAAAAACAAAACCCTAGAAAAGAGAAGAGCCAGAGGAGAATCAAATAGAGGATAAAATCGATGGGAAGAGGGAAGATTGTGATCCAAAGGATCGATGATTCAACAAGTAGACAAGTCACTTTCTCCAAACGAAGAAAGGGTCTAATCAAGAAAGCCAAAGAGCTAGCTATTCTCTGTGACGCCGAGGTCGGTCTCATCATCTTCTCTAGCACCGGAAAGCTCTATGACTTTGCAAGCTCCAGGTTCTTCTTCTCAAAACGATTAATTCTGAATTTTTTACATCTTCTTGATTTCTCGGATAGCGGAAGTGTGTCTGTACGATATATAATTTTATGCTAAGGTTTTGTTTAAAAGGCTATAGGGATATTTCAGTGAAATATTTGTAACTGTGCGATCTGTTCATTTGTAGTAGAAAAAATTTCGCATCTGGCGGTCGGTAGAACATGTTACATTTTGCCATATGTACAATAAGATGTGTATGTATAGCCGACAACCTATATTTTTTACAACAAAGAAATATTATAATTGACTAGAAGTTTAAAGGAAGAATGATTCTTTTAAAGATGGAAAAAAAGTAATTCGAGATAGTTTCTTTGCTTCATATCTGCTTGATTATTAAGTTTACACTTCGGTATTTTTTTAAAAAATACTTTCTTAACAAACATGTGTTTTGTGTCTTTGCACATGTATATATATGTATGGATATTAACTTATTGCTATAAGGCTCATTGTTTAGTTTTTCCAAATTTAGAATTAATGATTCATAAGTAGATGACACAATAGCTGAGTGCGATCTTGCTCAACCATCAGTACTGGAAAGCTAAAAATAAGTTCTTCAGATAGCACAATATTGAAAGATTGGTATGGAGAAGGAATTAATTTCTCAAAACCAATATGCTTAAACATGATTTAATCTAATTAAATAACAAATTATCTATTTATGCTCATAAACATTTACATATTTTTGAGTTAGATCCTATATATCATGACATAAGGATCATAATTAACTCTGTAAATTTAAAGCTGTATAAGTTAACTATGTATATTTAACGCATATAATTATGTATATTTAACATTGTATAACTTAACTTTGTATATTTAACGTTATATATGCAGGATTGTTATTATTACATTTCAGTCTAAAGAATATATTAATTTCTTATTTTTGAATTTTTTTGTTATAGTATGATTACATATTTATCAGTGTCAAACAAACAAATAAAGAGTTCTATAATGTGAAACATCTTTTTCTTGATAATTTCCTTCATTATTTAGTAACGAATAGTACAATACTTCTTATGTGAGGGATTTTTCAACCTTGGCGAGCATTGTTAAGTCTGCATTTTTCATCTTCTTTAACCATTATCCCCATATATATCATAGAGTTCATGAATGATGAAACTTAGCATAGTTTTGAGTTTACCATTCTTGAAACTTACACACAGCCAGGATATATATGCCTTGACACGTTATTGTTTCTTGGAATTAGTATAGTAAGTGTGCCATGTTGATGCATTACATTTATGACCGAGCCTTATTATTAGTTTCTTTGTTGTTTCTGTAATTTCTTTCTATCTCACATAACTGGATCGTTTTAAAGCTCTTGGTTAATTATCTCAAAACAATTTTTTAAAGCAATTTTTCTTGTTTATTGATAATGGAACATCTATATAGTTTCTTTAGTTCTTATAACAAGTATGTGAGTAACAAAATCATATTACTGAGTGAAAGTTTAATTATATGTTCTGTGGAATGTGTATGTGTACTTAATTATATACAAGTCTGTGTGTAAATATCTTATATCTTGCCACTACAAAGACTGAAAAGTCTATAGCACATAATTGTATGAAACTTCAAGGCTATGTGTTTTTTCTTTACGTATATCTGAAAGCTTTTTAGTGGAGGAGTCGGATTATAAACTTCATAGGAAATATCTTATATACTCTTTAGTGTGATAGATGATATGATTTGGGTGAATCATATATATACCATGAACAAGGTACTAATATAAAATCTTTTAAAATAGCATGAAGTCAATTATTGATAGATATAACAAGAGCAAGATCGAGCAACAACAATTATTGAACCCAGCATCAGAAGTCAAGGTATACATATATTGACAAATATGCAAATATATACAAATTATGCATATACATGTATTGAAATGAGATTTGATTTACTGAGTTCTAAGTTTGATAAGTTATTTGTGTTGTGTGTTATAGTTTTGGCAGCGAGAAGCTGCTGTTCTTAGGCAAGAATTGCATGCTTTGCAAGAAAATCATCGGTATTGCCTTGGACTTTTGTAACATATATATTAGATATAATCTCTGATCAACATAAATAGATGGAAAGGCAAGTACAAGGAAAGGGAAATGAAGAAACTTGTGCTTATAGATTGTGTTTGGTACGGAGCAGGCAAATGATGGGAGAACAACTAAATGGTTTAAGTGTTAACGAGCTAAACAGTCTTGAGAATCAACTTGAGATAAGTTTGCATGGAGTTCGTATGAAAAAGGTACATAAACACATATACTCTCTACCTTGTATTATATGCTCTGGAGTGTATATTGCTCAAAAGATTGACAACAGAACACAATGGAATTCAATAGAACCGATTGCTTTTTCGGATTCACAGGAACAAATGTTGACTCAAGAAATCCAAGAACTAAGCAAAAAGGTACACAATGAGATATATGCAAACACTTAATTGATATCTCTTATCTATATATATATGTAAACTCCCCAAAAGAACACAATTAATTAGTTACAAATCTGAATTACTATGGGATTTTCTTTGATTGTGTGGTGCAGAGGAATCTTATTCATCAGGAAAACCTAGATTTGTCTAGGAAAGTACAACGGATTCATCAAGAAAATGTTGAGCTCTACAAGAAGGTGACAAACATGTTCATATATATACAAAAGTCCATGTGCTTAGAATAAGAGCTTTGAAGTGATGGCCTTCAACGTTTCAGGCTTACGCGGCAAGCACAAATGGGTTTATACATCGTGAACGAGCAGCTGTCACTGTCACGGATGATGAATCATCACAGACTCAGATTCGGCTGCAACTAAGCCAACCCGAGCATTCCGATTACGAGACCCCGCCAAGAGCAAGCGAATAACATCAAGGTAAAATTTATATTAATTTGATCTTTGACGACGTTACACAAAAGCCCTCTATGCATTTTTATATTATGTAACACTCGTTTAAAGTTTTTCAGAGATTGAAGTTCGAAGATACTGTGATGTTGAAGACCAAATCCAAAGACTAGGTTTGAATAAGGGTATTGAATTTGAAGCCCAATAAAACCAAGCCACATGATAAGCAGCATGGTTCTTCTATCATCAATTAATCATGTTTTTCTTTCTTTGTGCATTTCAATTTGAAAATATATATATAAGTAAAAGCATATATAATTAAAATCCGGTGTTTAATTTGTTATACTCATCTTGAGTATTATTATTGCCTTTGTTTAGAAATCATATAGACTCGTTAATCAAAAAATATAAACAAAAGTAGTAAATATGTTTATGTTTTTAATTACCCTAATTTAGACAATTATGTGTCATACTTTCTATTTTAAACCGGTTTGGAAACTACGTATTAGGGGTGACCAAATCGGATTGTTGACCAGAAACCATAAAGGTTGAGTCTTTAATAAAGGAAACACAAATCATCATCATCGTCACCAAATCATCATCACAATTCACAAAGGTTGGTGGTGGAGAGTATCCCACTGAGACAGTGACCTGAGATAACGACAAAGAAACAACAAAATAAAAAATAAAATAAAAATTTCCATTTTTTTTTTCCGTAAAAAAGAGGGAAAAATTCGAAAATTGCTGCAGCCACCAAAAGCTCAGCCAAAAGCAGAGGCCACAATCCTATCTTCACCTCTCCTTGAGGATAAACCCAAACTTGGGGGGTTTTTTTGTTTCTTCTTTCGTCTAGGATTCAAATCATCTGTTTCTAGGGTTCCAAACCAGAGAGAGAGAGGTTTAGGAAAAATGGCTATGGCGATGGCTCTTCGGAGGCTTTCTTCTTCAATTGACAAACCCATTCGTCCTCTTGTTAGATCCACTTCTTGTTTCATGGTAATAACCCCAAAGTTTCCTCCTTTCATCGGATTGGAAATTTTCGATTTTTATTTTTTTTGGGGGCCTCTGATTTGTTGTTGTTTTGTTTGCAGTCTTCTTTGCCCAGTGAAGCTGTTGATGAGAAGGAGCGATCTCGTGTCACTGTGAGCTTTAACAAAATCCAATCTTTTTATTTGTCTCTTGGTGGTTTTATAGTTTTACTTGTAGTTGAAGCAATGGTTTTGATTGTTGAAGTTCTGTGTCTATGTTTCAAATTGCGGGTTTGAATCTTATAAACATATTTTGTCTGTATACGTTCGTTGCAGTGGCCAAAACAGCTTAACGCATCTCTAGAGGAGGTTGATCCTGAGATTGCTGACATTATTGAGCATGAGAAAGCTAGACAGTGGAAGGTTTATTATTAGTCTCTCTTTACTTACTACTCTGTATCTGAGATTTTAGATTAATCCCATCTTAAATCTTGTTCCTTGATTCGTTATTGTGAGTTGGGCTGATCTCTTTTAATGCTTATCTTATCAAGGGACTTGAACTTATTCCATCTGAGAACTTCACATCTGTGTCAGTGATGCAAGCTGTTGGGTCTGTGATGACTAACAAATACAGTGAAGGGTATCCTGGTGCGAGATACTATGGAGGAAATGAGTATGTTCAGGAATTTTCAATCTTTCATTTTGACACTGATACTTATTACAGTTTCAGATCTTAGACATGATTGCTTGACCAATCTATGTAATAACAATTGAAATCTCATGTACCTTTTGCTTTTGCAGGTACATAGACATGGCAGAAACCTTATGCCAGAAGCGCGCTCTTGAAGCTTTCCGTTTGGATCCTGAAAAGTGGGGAGGTAATTACTCATTCCAAGTATATGAGAAACAAGAAATCTGAATTGTGTAGAACTAGTTCTTATGCATTTTCCCGGTAAATGATCTGAGTTCCAATGGAATGTGATTGCTTTATTAATCCTTTGATGGCTTATTCCTGTCTTGTCGTTACAGTGAATGTGCAACCATTGTCTGGATCTCCTGCCAATTTCCATGTCTACACTGCATTGTTAAAGCCTCATGAGAGAATCATGGCACTTGATCTTCCTCATGGTGGTCATCTTTCTCATGGTTACCAGGTACCTTCAAGATAACTCTGTAAATGTGCTTGCACCTCAAAACTAATGTGCCTAAGCCTTAAACCTAAACTTCCGTTATCTTACTATGAATGTACACAACTGTTTCTGTGTTGATTTCATTTTAGAACTCTCTGACTCTGATGTATAATATTTTCTTTCCTCTTATTTCTCATCAGACTGATACCAAGAAGATATCTGCCGTGTCTATCTTCTTTGAAACAATGCCCTATCGACTGGATGAGAGCACTGGCTACATCGACTATGATCAGGTTTTTAACTCTTCTCATATAGTATAAGCCCCCCCTTCATACGGTTAAATCTTAAAATTATAAGTCTTCAATTTTTTGATATGCAGATGGAGAAAAGTGCTACTCTTTTCAGGCCAAAATTGATTGTTGCTGGTGCAAGTGCTTATGCTCGTTTGTATGATTATGCCCGCATCCGAAAGGTAATTCAGTCACATACCTAATACATGAAAAATGACAATAAATTAATGTAATTAAGATTTCTAATTCAAACTCTTTTCCCAGGTGTGTAACAAGCAAAAAGCTGTCATGCTAGCAGATATGGCACACATCAGTGGTCTGGTTGCTGCTGGTGTTATCCCTTCACCATTCGACTATGCAGATGTTGTAACAACCACAACTCACAAGTCACTTCGTGGACCTCGTGGAGCCATGATCTTTTACAGAAAGGGTGTTAAGGAAACTAACAAACAAGGAAAAGAGGTAACAAAACAAAACACCAAAATTTGAACCAAAACGTTTTATATTTATACTCTTGCATGTCATTCATTTTTTGTCTTCAAAGGTTTTGTATGATTTTGAAGACAAGATCAATCAAGCTGTCTTCCCTGGTCTTCAAGGTGGTCCACACAACCACACTATTACAGGACTAGCTGTTGCTTTGAAACAGGTACAGTGAAGCACGAAATGAAATTAACGTTGCTTAATGGATTTACAGTTGCTTTTAACCTTCAAATGATCTGACTAATGCAGGCAACTACTTCAGAGTACAAAGCATACCAAGAGCAAGTCTTGAGTAACAGTGCAAAGTTTGCTCAGGTACTAATCGTGTGAAGGGAAGAAAACACATATGGGGTAATATCTACTTTAATTATCTCTTAATATACATTATTGATTCCTGCAGACTCTGATGGAGAAAGGATATGAACTTGTTTCTGGTGGAACTGACAACCATCTGGTTCTAGTGAATCTGAAGCCCAAGGTCACTTGATCGTTTTGTAGTACCCATTTACATTATCCTCTTTTATCTTCTTAGTAAAACACCTTTTATCGATTTGTTTTGCAGGGAATTGATGGATCTAGAGTGGAGAAAGTGTTGGAAGCCGTTCACATTGCATCCAACAAAAACACTGTTCCTGGAGATGTTTCTGCTATGGTTCCTGGTGGAATCAGAATGGGTAATAATCATATTTAAGCTTTTTTCTTTTTGGTATGAAAATGGCTTCCTGATATCCTGTGCAATTTTTATTTTCAGGTACTCCTGCTCTCACTTCCAGAGGTTTTGTTGAGGAAGACTTTGCCAAAGTAGCTGAATACTTCGACAAAGCTGTGACAATAGCTCTCAAAGTCAAATCTGAAGCTCAAGGTTTTTCATTTCTCTGATCGCGATGCTATGTTTTTCATTCTTATAAACAAACCATGATTGAGCTCATTTGTTATGTTCTAAAACCAGGAACCAAACTGAAGGATTTTGTGTCAGCAATGGAATCTTCTTCAACCATTCAATCAGAGATTGCGAAGCTGCGCCATGAAGTCGAGGAATTCGCTAAGCAGTTCCCAACAATCGGTTTTGAGAAAGAAACCATGAAGTACAAGAACTAAATGTTTTATCCCACAAGTCTTTTATTGTCATTTGAATTTCCATGGAATGTATAGATGATACATGACTACATGTAAAACTCTATTTTATGCTATGCGAAAAATAATGATCCGAGTAATCTCTGTCACGTATACACATCAATACAAAGATAATCTCTGGAAGAAAAAAAGATGTAACATATTATGTGTTACACATACAAGAAAACAGTCAATTCCCAAAGAAGATTGTCTTTAGTTCACAAGTGACTTCAGATTAACCACAAAATACCAAGAAAACAAAAGAGACAAATAAAAGCTTAAATTTGGGAGAAGCTCATCCATAAGCTGTGGTCATTTCTCAATCTCATCAATCTCTCTACAGATTATGGTTCTGTAACCGGAAAACATCTCACAATTTGATCTGTTTTTTCTTTCTTTATTTCCTAGAACAAAAAAATGGTTGCATCATTCTCTTACACTGCCTGTACAAAGCTTTCTCTATTACATCCTCCTATGGTTGCTCAAATCCGACCAAGAACAACACAGAAGGTGTTCGCGGTGACAAATCCTGAACAAGACAGTACTCTCGAGGTACAAGAAACAGAGCCAATCAAAGAAGAGCAATCAACAGAGAAGATGAAGAAGCAGCCAACGCCATTGAGACCAGTAGAGAAACAGCTGAACGTGAAGAGCAAGGGTATGGGCCAGTTTGGCGGTCAGTGGCTAAGCAGTGTCACACGTCACGTTAGGATCTACGCTGCTTATATTGATCCAGAGACCTGTGAATTTGACCAGTCGCAGATGGATAAACTCACTTTGATTCTTGACCCTACTGAAGAGTTTGTGTGGGATGATGAAAGCTGTAACAAGGTCTATTCTTGTTTCCAAGAACTCGTCGACCACTACGAGGTAATGATAACGATTAATGAAAAAGAACATCTAAAAGTTAGATATTCAAGAAGACCCTATAGTTTACTTGGTGGTTTAAGTTTTGGAAGAGTCATTGATATTGAATAATATTGTTTTTGAGGATTAAGAAAGATTTAATAACGTTATTGTTTTGGACAGGGAGCACCATTAACGGAGTACACATTAAGATTGATAGGATCGGACGTAGAGCATTTCATAAGGAAGATGTTGTTTGATGGAGAAATACAATACAATATGGATGCAAGAGTTCTTAATTTCAGTATGGGGAAGCCTCGTGTTCAATTCAATACTAGCAACATTGAAGGTGGTGGAGATGGTCAGCCTCAAGAAGACGCATAGCTAAACAACTCTATAGATTTATAAATTATGTAATGACAAGTATCTAAATATATTGTATACTGGTGTTATAGTATGCTATTTAAATCTTCTCTATCACAAAGTAGTAACGTACATGTATATATTATGATATTTTAGGTTTTCATTAGTAATCCGCATTGCTCACATTAAGATTACTATGAACAATTTCATATGAAATCTACTTGCTTGTTGAACATTTAATTCTTTTTCACATAGTGGTCTAATAACTAATCTAAGACCACCTCCAATGGTAAGCACCCATGATGGGTGTTTACCAATATTTTTATAAAAAATTGTGACAACTTGTAGTTTAAAGTGCTTATGATTTGCTTAAAACCTCAATTTAATCAACAATGCTTAAGATTTTTAGATTGTTTTTGATTATATTCATTATATATAAAAATAAACAACCCATTAAGCATTCATTAAACACCTCCATTGGAGATGCTCTAAGTATCTTTGTCTCTTCGTGTTGATGTAAGGTATAAAGGTCATGTGAATATGTGATGTCAAAACACTTAAGAGTCCCTCTGCAAGAAACTCATTAAAAAAATAAAAATAAAGAAGAACTCATTTTTGTATTCGTCATTCACGTTCCTAAATTACCCTTTTTAAAAAGATTTCAAAACTGTCCAAATTTTGCTAGTTTTTGTAATTTTACCCCCAAAGTTCTAATTTGTCAATGTTAAAACTTAAAACGTTATAGCAAATTTTATTTTGCTCTTCTTATCCTCTGGCGTTTCTCGTCGTTTCGCCACCAAGACGAACACAGTTCCTTGAAAGTGAGGAAGATAAAAATGGCGAATTTACTGGAAACATCAATCTTCTTCTCCTCAGCTGATAAATTACTGTCTTTACCAACCAATAATTCTCAAACCCATCTTCTCCCTGTCTCTGCTTTCATCAATGGTGGAAGAAGGAGACACAAAAGCTCAACTAGTATCACCTTAGCTACCGACACTGTCACTTACAGTGGCACTACAAGTAAGCTCATAATCTTCAAATCTCTCACCTTTCTGTTTAATTACCAAGAAAGGCCTTTCCTTTAGATTCTAATTTGAATTATTGGTCGCCTTTAGATAAGGGAATTTTGTAGAGAAAGCTAAAACCTTGACTAAAACCTTTCCATAGACTCGGATTTTGGCCAGAAGCTTTTCTGATTGAAGATCGAAATGTTGTGTGTAGGTACTGTAGTAAAAAGCTCTGTTGAGGATCCTATGGACGTTGAGGTTGCTGAAGGCTACACTATGGCTCAGTTCTGTGACAAGATTATTGATCTTTTCTTGAATGAGAAACCTAAAGTTAAACAATGGAAGACGTATTTGGTTTTAAGAGATGAATGGAACAAGTACAGTGTGAATTTCTATAGGCGTTGCAGAATCCGAGCTGATACTGAAACTGATCCCATATTGAAGCAGAAGCTGATTTCTCTGGAAAGCAAAGTTAAGAAGGTAATTTATAGTGTTGTATCTTGTTTTTATTAGTGAACTCTGGTTTCGAGGATTAGGTTATTGTTGTTGTGTACTTGAGAGTGAGAGCATGTTGCAGATAGATGAAGAAATGGAGAAGCACAATGACCTTTTGAAGGAGATTCAAGAAAACCCAACAGACATAAATGCAATAGCTGCCAAGAGACGCAGAGACTTCACGGGAGAGTTTTTCCGCTATGTAACTTTGTTATCAGAAACTCTTGATGGCTTAGAAGACCGAGATGGTACTTAAACATTAAATCATGTTTCTTATATTAATGATTTACACAGTTTGATGACTGTTTCTTTCTTTTTGAGCAGCTGTTGCGAGGCTTGCAACTAGGTGTTTATCTGCTGTGAGTGCTTATGACAATACACTGGAGAGTGTTGAGACACTAGATGCTGCTCAAGCAAAGTTTGATGATATTTTAAACTCTCCTTCGGTGGATGCCGCTTGCGAAAAGATCAGAAGTTTAGCCAAGGCAAAGGAGCTAGATTCTTCATTGATCTTATTGATCAACAGTGCATATGCTGCTGCAAAAGAGTCTCAAACCGTTACCAACGAGGTAATTGCATGACCAAAATAGAAAGAAAAGCTTCGATCTTTACAATCTTCTCATATCAAAATTGTATTATTGAACAGGCTAAAGACATAATGTATCATTTATACAAAGCTACAAAGAGCAGTCTTAGAAGCATTACACCGAAAGAGATCAAACTTTTAAAATACTTACTCAACATAACTGACCCCGAAGAACGATTCTCTGCTCTAGCAACAGCATTCTCTCCTGGCGATGACCATGAAGCTAAGGACCCTAAAGCATTATACACGTAAGTAACATTGAAAAATCCAAACTGTAGTGTTTCATCTTTAACCACAACCATGATGCTAACTAGCTTGATGAGCACACAGGACGCCAAAGGAGCTGCATAAGTGGATAAAGATAATGCTTGATGCTTACCATCTCAACAAAGAAGAAACTGATATTAGAGAAGCTAAACAGATGAGCCAACCTATTGTGATTCAGCGGCTTTTCATCCTCAAGGACACGATCGAAGACGAGTATTTAGACAAGAAAACGGTCGTGGCAGATGAAAATCCGAAAAAGGAAGACGATACTTCTGTTGAAGAATTTTTGAACTGAAATTGTGAAAATCCATCAACAACAACACTGTTGAGAATTAGGAAGGGGGAGAGAGTAATTTTGTAGAGTTCTCAGCTATAACTGCAATTACGAGTAATATGAGGTCTATTTATGAATTAATTATTTTGGTATAAATCTCATATTTGGGGCCTGGGCATGAGGTCAATAAGCCCATTTAAGGTCCAGGTTAGTTAGTAAAGTCAACATTATACTTGTAGCCCACGAATATTTTTATTGGTTTTCCTATATTACCCCGTGACCTATGGTACTTTGCAAAAAACGAGAAGGTTATAGTCGTACTTTTCATTTAATCAACCTTTTAATATAAGGTCTTAAACCCTACGCGTTAGCAGCAGCCAAGCATTTCAGTTCGTCTCCGACCTTAAACCCTACCGATCGTAAAATCTCCACCGACTCTCACCCAATCAAATGGCCTCCGTCGCGCTTCTACGGTCCCTTCGCCGTCGTGAGCTCCAAACGGCTTCCGTATCTGCGTTTAAATCCGTATGTATTTTTCCCTTGATTTTTCATTTTTATGATTGAAGTCGCGTTTGGGTTTTCCTGTGGAAGAGTAGGGGTTTTCGGATCTGAAATCGTTAATACTTATCCAAAATAGAAGAGGGTTTGAAATTATCCAAGGGTTGAATCTGGGTTGTTATGTTGTATTCGAATCGAGTTTCAGGGGTTTCGATCTAGATTTCTTAAAGTTCCGTACTTTTTGTTTCTTTCTGATTCATCTATGAATCTATCTACTTTGTTCCTTACTGATTTGAGAATTCATTGACTGAGGCTTTTGAATGGTTCAATTATGGATTAAAGCTTTACACTTTTTGTATTCTTAACTCTGCAGATCTCCGCAAATGGAAAGACTTCCTTGTTTGGGAAATTGGGTTATTTGGCGAGACCGTTCTGGTAAGATCATCCTTTCAGCTTACGGTATTTGAACGAAATCTAAATCACTTCTTAGTGTTATCTCTCATCCTTACTTATGTGTGTTCTCTTTATGTAGCTCGAGGCCGGTGGGAAATGATGTTATCGGTATTGATTTGGGTACTACCAATTCTTGTGTAGCGGTGATGGAAGGAAAGGTAAACTCCGTAATTTTTTTCCCAACCCTGATATCTTTTTTGTTATATTGGTTTCTGGATTCTATAGGTATTGACTTGTGGATTCTATAGGTATTGACTTCTGGATTCTTAAGGTATTGACTATGATCTTTTTTTTTCAGACCCCTAGAGTTATTGAGAATGCCGAAGGAACTCGAACCACACCATCAGTGGTTGCTATTAATCAAAAAGGGGAACTTATTGTTGGAACACCCGCTAAACGTCAGGCTGTGACCAATCCAACAAACACATTTTTCAGTACCAAGCGTTTGATTGGGGTACGTTATGATGATCCTCAGACACAGAAAGAGATGAAAATGGTTCCTTTCAAGATTGTCAAGGCACCTAATGGTGATGCTTGGGTTGAAGCCAATGGACAGAAGTTTTCTCCCAGCCAGATTGGAGCTAATGTCCTCACCAAAATGAAGGAAACTGCCGAAGCTTACCTTGGGAAATCTATCACCAAAGCTGTTGTTACCGTTCCAGCTTATTTCAATGATGCTCAGCGACAAGCCACAAAGGATGCTGGGAAAATTGCTGGTCTTGATGTCCAGAGGATCATCAACGAACCTACAGCTGCTGCACTATCATATGGTATGAACAGCAAAGAAGGTGTCATTGCAGTGTTTGATCTTGGTGGTGGAACCTTTGATGTTTCTATCTTGGAAATCTCAAGTGGTGTTTTTGAGGTAGTGCCTTGTTTTCTTCTTGGTTTTGTTTTTCCGTGATTGTCTTTTTTTTTCTTGTGTATATGAACATTCTCTTTTAACAGGTTAAAGCAACAAATGGAAATACCTTTTTGGGAGGAGAAGACTTTGACAACACTTTGTTGGATTACTTGGTTGGTGAGTTCAAAAGAACAGATAATATTGACTTGACTAAGGACAAGCTTGCTCTCCAGAGGCTAAGAGAAGCTGCAGAGAAGGCCAAGATTGAGCTCTCTTCGACAACTCAGACCGAAATCAACCTGCCTTTCATTACAGCGGATGCGTCGGGAGCAAAGCATTTGAACATAACCCTAACAAGGTCAAAGTTTGAAGCCTTGGTTGGAAATTTGATTGAGAAAACAAGATGTCCATGCCAAAACTGCCTGAAGGATGCTGGAATCACAATTAAGGAAGTTGATGAGGTTCTTCTTGTTGGTGGAATGACCCGTGTTCCCAAAGTGCAAGAGATAGTTGCTGAGATCTTTGGAAAGAGTCCTTGTAAAGGTGTTAACCCGGATGAAGCAGTTGCCATGGGAGCTGCCATTCAAGGAGGTATCCTCCGTGGTGATGTGAAGGAGTTGCTTCTTTTGGATGTGACTCCTCTCTCATTGGGTATTGAAACACTTGGAGGAATCTTCACCAAGTTGATTCAACGAAACACCACTATTCCCACAAAGAAGTCTCAGGTAATAAATCTTGATAGAGTACAATTTCAGATTGTGTCTTAAAGCTATTGCTGACTGCTAATTGTGTCATTGTAATTTGGTTCTTAGGTTTTCTCCACAGCTGCTGACAACCAGATGCAAGTGGGAATTAAAGTTCTTCAGGGAGAACGTGAGATGGCGTCTGACAACAAAATGCTTGGAGAATTTGATCTTGTTGGGATCCCACCTGCACCAAGAGGAATGCCACAGATCGAAGTGACATTCGACATTGATGCAAATGGTATTGTTACTGTCTCAGCGAAAGACAAAGCAACATCTAAAGAGCAACAGATCACAATCAGATCTTCAGGTGGTCTCTCAGACGATGAGATTAACCGAATGGTCAAAGAAGCAGAGCTTAACGCACAGAAAGATCAGGAGAAGAAGCAACTTATCGACCTTAGGAACAGTGCTGATACTACAATTTACAGTGTTGAGAAGAGCTTGAGTGAATACAGAGAGAAAATTACAGATGAGATTGCCTCTGAGATTGAAACTGCAGTGTCTGATCTGAGGAGTGCTATGGCCGGTGAGGATGTTGAGGACATCAAGGCTAAGCTTGAAGCTGCGAACAAGGCAGTGTCAAAGATCGGAGAACACATGTCTAAGGGATCCGGACCATCTGATTCCTCTGGACCCTCTGGTGAGGGTTCAAGTGGAACTGATCAGCAGACGCCTGAAGCTGAATTTGAAGAGGCGAGCGGGTCGAGGAAGTGAGGTCGCTAACCGGGTTGCATTACAGAATTCAGGTTTTTTTTACCAAATAAGTTTACATGCTTATCTCCCTCACAAATTTGATTAGTTTTGTGTATTTAAAAACCTTGATTGAGAGGTACCTCTTGATATCTTTGAAACCTATTGAGAGTCTCGGATGTAGTTCTTGGTTTCTTTGATTGTTTTTTTTTCCATGAAATTTAAAGGTTATTATCTTTTTACCGGTTGACGGGACCGTCAGTTTCAGTTGAGACTTGAGGTTCCGCTTAACGTTTCTCTCTAATTAGATTAATAAGTTTTGAGACTTGAGATGAATTGTTTTGTAACCCTTAAAAAGCTTTGATAGTAGTAATGCAATTTCTAGGAAAAAGTGAGCTAAGAAGCTCAAAAGAAAAAAGACTTGGTCACGTTGTAGGCGTTGTCGTTTTTTAAGGCTCGAATTCAATTACTTGTAAAAACAAAGTAGCGAAGATGTCAGCAAATTATGGAACATGCTTTCTCTGTTCCTCCAAGAAATTTTAAAATTCGTAGTCCTCCCGGTAATGGGGTGGGGTTAATCGTAATTTCTCAAAAAGCTGATAACTACTATAAAATGATGGCTGTTGAAGTCTTCTTCTCTCCCTCAAACAAAACTCAAAGTCAGCTTCATCAAAAGAAGTTTCCCCACTGGTATACTTTGATTCTCTTATTCATACTTTTTCAAAAGCGTGTACTCTTTTCTTGCAAGATAGCAAAGATAAAGACCAAAACTTTGGGTCAATTATAGACTTTTCTATCCGTATTTTGCAGGTGAAAGAACGATTTGTAAGAGATGGAGAAAGAAAAAGAGCAAACTTTGGAGTGGATCAAAGCCCAGAAGATAGAGATAAGCGTTGACCTCTTTGCTGCAGCCAAGAAGCACCTCCACTTCCTCCGAGCTGTTGACCGGAACCGTTGGCTCTACGATGGCCCTGCACTCGAAAGAGCTATCCACAGGTTAAATCAATATCACCAATTCGTTTCTGTTCCACTTTTGTGTTCTTTGACCCGTAATAAAGAATCTTGGGCTAATCTCTTTCACAGGGTGTAGTGTAGACTCTCTTTATCCCTTAGTGTGTCAAAACTCTAAAATTTGGGGTGATTTTGTTTTACAGATACAATGCTTACTGGCTCCCCTTGCTTGCTAAATACACCGAGTCTTCTTCGATATGTGAAGGACAATTAGTCCCTCCTCTTGACTGTGAATGGGTTTGGCATTGCCACAGGCTTAATCCGGTAAATATAAATCGATATTTCATATTCGGTTTAAATTCTTTGTTGGATCGTGTACAAGCTCAAAGTGTCGTGTAATCATTTCAGGTGAGGTACAAGTCTGATTGTGAGCAATTCTATGGGAGAGTCCTTGACAATTCTGGTATTGTATCCTCCGTAAATGGAAACAACAAATCACAAACTGAAACTCTATGGAAAAGATTGTATCCTACCGAGCCTTATGACCTTGATTTGGATAAGGCAATCTCTGAGCCAGAGGATGTCCCAGTTCTTGAGAAATGCACCACTTATGATCTTGTTTCAGCTGTCAAGAGACAAAGCCCATTTTACTACCAGGTAAGAATCATGGTCAGCTTCTTGTCCCAATCCCGTTTTATTGCAAGATTTTGTAATCAATTTTTTTGTTGTGTATCTTTGTTGCAGGTTTCAAGAGCTCATGTAGACAATGATGTCTTTCTGCAAGAAGCCGTGGCTAGATACAAAGCATTTCTCTACTTGATCAAGAGAAACAGAGAAAGATCGATTAAACTTTTCTGTGTTCCTACTTACGATATTGATCTTATCTGGCATACACATCAGCTTCATGCTCTCTCTTACTACAAGGATTTGACAAAGATGATTGGTAAGGTCTTGGAGCATGATGATACAGATTCTGACCGTAGCAAAGGTAAGAAGCTTGATACTGGTTTCTCTGGAACTACTGCTCAATGGGAAGAAACATTTGGTCGAAGGTACTGGAAAGCCGGTGCTATGAATAGAGGTAATACCCCAAAGCCAGTCATAACTTCTCCTTATGTTTGGTCTGGCAAGAAATCAACTGCGAAAGAGGAAGAGTTCCAGAATGTAATCCAATATCAAGAGGTGAAAGTCACTGAGGTTATCTTGGAGATTGTTGGGATTAAGAACTTACCAGACGCTCACAAGGGAAAGGTCTTTGTTGTGTTCAGCAAAACGCAACCCGATTCTCTGTTTAACGCTGAGCGTAGGCTTACCATTTTATCTGAGTCTTGTGGGGAAAAGCAGGTTGCTTTGTTCCAGTGTGAGCCTACAGGAGAGCTAAGTTTCCAACTAATGTCTTCTAAGTCTAAAAGCTTAGGTTTCACTACTCTTTCGCTTTCAGAGTTTCTGTTTCCAGTTACTAAACTCTCTGTTGAGAAGTGGCTGGAGTTAACACCAACTAAAAGAGGAAAGACAGATCATCCGAATCCCATCTCTCTGCGAGTCGCTGTCTCGTTTACCCCGCCAACACGAAGCCCAACGGTTCTACATTTGGTTCAAGCAAGACAGTCACTGAAAGACTCTTGTTTCTTTCCAATGATTGGAAAGGTACATCTTGCTAAGAGTTTTACACACGTTGTTGATGAAACCGAAACAGAGGTGATCAGTCTCCAAATGAGGAATTCCAACGACGCAGCACCAAAAGCTGATAAAAGACAAGTGATTGGTGTGAAAGAGTGTGGTGAGACTTATGTTTTAGCAGAGTATGATGGCACTTTCTGGTCTCTGCTTGACTCAAAGTGGTCACTTAAGCAGACAGGCAATCCCGGCGTAGATGGTCCTCTGTTTGAGCTCTCGGGTACTCGAATGGTTAAATATTACTCTGGGAGAAAGCTGGAGTATGAGCCAAAACATGGCGCAAAGCTAAGAAGCGAGCAAGATTTCTTGACTGCTGTTGAATATTCAGAGCAACATCCTTATGGTAAAGCTGTAGAGTTACTTGATTTGAAGTTCGGTTCAATTGAGGTAAAGTTCGAAACTTTGAAACTTCAAATTCAATCCACAATTAGTTTTTGGTGCTATTTCTGATTCAGGTTTATATCGATATGAATGCAGGCAAACGAGAAGTGGCTGGTTTTGCCTGGAATTGTATCTTCTTTCATACTCAGTGATCTTCTTAAGAAGGAAGGCTTTAGTGCAGCCGCAAAAGACACGGTGAGAGCTAATGGAATGACAGAGGAAAGCAAGGAGATTGATGTTTTGAGTCAAGTGAAGCAAGAAGAAGAAACAATGATGAATGTGGACACGACTCGTCCAGTTATGTTAGCGATGGAGAAGATCAATGGTGGTGCCAGGTGCTTTTCAAAGGAGCTAAGCGGTACTGTTTTTGGTGGGAAAAGCGGGGACATGGTTGAAGAAGAAGGTGGCCACTGTGGTGGTTGTGGAGGTTGTGGTGGCGGATGTGGCGGTGGCGGTGGCGGTAGGTGCGGTGGAAGATGTGGTGGGATGACGGAGATGGGAGGTTGCGGTGGATCCTGCACTGGCGGTTCCACTGGTTGCGGTAATTGCGGTGGAGGATGTAGAGCAGGATCGTGTGGGCATATGATGAAGAATAATAATGCTGATGAAAATGATGAAGCTATAACCGACGTCGTTGCTACTTAATAAATACATATGGTCTTGTATAATTGATATAATAATGAAACTAATGAGAGATGCTGTTATAAACGTGCTTATTATAAGTTGTAATAAATAAAAGAGATCTTTACACGAACGAACAATACAGTTTTTTTCCTATAAGACAGAACAGAGAGACGATGTTAAAAAAGAAAAAAAAAACAGAGAGATTCCTCTGCTTCTGTACAGTTTCTCAAGTCAGATGTCAAATGTTGAAGAAGATAAGATGAGGAAGGAGGATGAGGCGTCTCCGTCGCCGTGGTTACCAGATGATGTGACTATCATCAGCTGCCTGGCTCGAGTGTCAACAGCTGATATTAGATAATCAGAATCAACAGTTTAGTAATCGTAACAACAGAAACTAAACTATACCAAGTATAAAACCGACTTAAATCAACAGCTATAATTGATTTCGGTTCGGTTCACATTGGTTTTGAGGGAAAAAAAACAAAAGTTAAGTGACACGCGATGGGTTTATAAGAATTAAGCGAGTTTGTTACACCATAAGCGATTTTGGGGGTTATAGCACACAGGAATCGTAGACACTCGCGCAACGCGCGTTTGGTGAGAGTGGGTGAGAAATAGAGCGCTCTGATTGGCTAATAATAATGAAATAGTAGTGATATAGCTCCTTGCTTCCTCCTCTATTATTATTACTTTCCTTCTTCTTCTCCCATTTGAATGACAGATTTCTCTGATAAAAAAAACTTCTGTCACCATGTGAAGGTATGAAATCTTCTGTGGAATTCTTGAACAAACAAAGGTTGTGAGATAGTACTTAGCTCTGAACTCGTGAGGATTAATACTCTAGTAGATAGAAGAAGGAACACCATAATGGGAAAGGATATTAGCCCAGCTGAGAATGAAATTAAGATTTTGTAAAGCTAGTGAGGATAGTTACATTAGGTAGGCCATAACAGTGTTTCTGAAGTGTATATGATGGTACTAACCTCTGAACTCGAGAGGATTCTTACATAATGCTGTAATAGATTGAAGAAGGAATAAAGGATAGTGAAAACACAAGAGTTGGATTCGTTTATGGAGATTCTTTGTAAGCCACTGCCTGCTGCTTTTAGAGTTAACTCCAAGTATGTATGCTTTGTTTATTTGCATTCTTGAATCAGCAGACAGTTTGAAAGGACACTGTTCTGTTATTAATACAAGGATTAGGCTGACCAGTGAATAGCTTTGAGCTCACCAGTGAGTAGCTTTACCCATTGTTGATTTATTTGTAAGCTATTCACGGGTCATTAAGAACTTTTGTTAGTTTTATTTTAATTAGATAAAAGATAGGTTATGTTTTCCGATCAAAAGCTGGCCATAACAATGTTTTTGAAGTGTATACGATAGTAATTAGCTCTGAACTCGTGAGAATTCTTATATAACACTCTTGTAGATTGAAGAAGGGACACCAGGCTGCAAAGGACAATACCATGAAGGGAACAAGTGGAGGAAACTGGGACATAAAGAACCTAAGCAGAGGCTCTAAATTATATCTTTCAGTGTTTGTATTAGGGCCTTATCTACGCACCAGTGACATGTATTTCTCACAAGGTGATGATGAGATGGATTTCTATAACTCAAGTATGTGCATAATTTCCTAATTGCACTTTTTCCAGCAATTTTACTCCCTAAGATTTTCATAGATGCTCTAGTTTTTTTTTGCAGTGCTTACTCAAAAAAAATTGTGAACATATACCATTTTGTAACTTATCTATATGTGTAAAATCATAAGAAACAGGATGCAGCAAGGGGTACCTTTCAAAAGACCAGTTCTCAACGGTATAGAGTATTTCTTCAAATTTGGTTACTCAAAAGAACAGGTACTAATCTCTGCAGTTTCTCCGAGAACCTAGTTAATCACAAGCATTAAAACTAGAGAGAAAATTGAACAAGACATTATGGTGTAAAGTGTGAACACTGAACATTTATACCTCTTATTCGTATCGAGGATAGTCGATTCTCCAAATGTCGTTGCTATGCTTGCAATACCCACTACTGCCATCTTTGATGAGTTTTGACATACATTTTCAAGCCTTTGGTTACTGCTTAAGTTGAGAACTTGAGCTTGCTCTGTTCTTCACCCTCTTCTTTACATCAATTACCTAACAATGGAAGGCAAAAACATATGCCAAACATTTAACAAGCTAAAGCATAGTGAGGAAACCAGATGTTCTGAAGAGCACATATGATGGAAAAATTCCAATTACAAAGAATCCAAGTTCTTCTTCATCTTAGCTACTACAAAAGAAATTAGATATAGAAACTAATTCATAGTCTGTATAACCAAGCATATGCTTAATATTTATTATAAAAACTACATTATGTGTTTATTATTAAAACACTGGTATGTTATGGCCTACCTAAAACAGATTTTGAGACAGCATACTATGCTCCTACCAACAAACAAAAACTATATTGCTTCTCCTTTACCACGCTAAGAATCATTAGTGTCCTCTTTCATCTAGTTTGGAAAAATAAGTGATCTTGATCATTTTCATACGGAGGCTATGCTGATCTTGATGATAAGAAAACTTTACATGTATAATGTGTAAGTCAAGTCAGATGTAAAATAGTAAATCTTAATATAATCCAGTCAAAATATCTTTAATGTGTTGCAAATTTGAAGACCATCAGAATCTGCCACACAAAGTGAAAAGATTTTGCTCAACAATATAAAAGAGAGCCACAAGCTAAAGCACTAGATAATGTCTAATTGATTACAAGACAGAATCCTCTAATGCTAGTTCAAATACCCCACAGTCAAAATGTTACAAAGATGAGCCAACTAGTATGATGCATGTCTGAAAGAAGTTAAATACACATGTACAGTCACGAGTTTTCATCATTCCCTACAAAACAAGAGCATAAAGCATAAACATATTTGGACACTGAAGAAGAAGCAGTAGAAAGAGGACGTGTACCTTTAATCACAAGCTTATGACTCCAATGACCCTTAAGCCTTGAATTCAAGTTGGGGGCTCTTCTCCTTCCACTGCTTTCAAACCCTTAAACTGTGAAACCTTCATCTCCTTCCTTGAACATTGATATCTTTGGGTCCTTCTCCGAGTGAGCAGCTTGTGCCTTCCCAACCACCATACTTTGTTAAACCACACGGAAGCTCCATGAGATTCCCACCTTTCCTCTGTAACAAACATCTCTAGAATTTTATCATTTTCCAGGAAACAAAATCTCTCAGCGGCATTCTGTCGAACACCATAGCAGCATACACTAAAAATCTTTAGAATTTGGGTACACTTGCAAACAATTTCGGTTCGGTTTACATGGTTTTGGAGTTACAATTGATTTATGCTCAGTTTAAATTATAATTAATAAGGTTTGAGGGGGAAAAAAAAAGAAAAGAAAAAGAAAAAGAAAAAATGAAGTGACACGCGATGGGTTTTTAAGAAATCAGCGAGTTTGTTTCACCAGAAGCGATTTTGGGGGTTATAAGCACACAGGAATCGTAGACACTCGCGCAACGCGCGTTTGGTGAGAGTGGGTGAGAAATAGAGCGCTCTGATTGGCTAAAATAAATGAAATAGTAGTGGTATAGCTCCTTGCTTCCTCCTCTATTATTATTACTTTCCTTCTTCTTCTCTCATTTCAGTGACTTAGTCTCTGCTAAACGACAATGTGAAGAAGGTATGAAAAAACTTCCCAAAATTCTTAAGCAAACAAAGGTAGTGAGATTGTTATCCTTCTTCTTCTTATAAACAAATATTTTCATATTTATAAAGCCCAGCTGAGAATGAAATTAAGATTTTTGTAAAGTTTGTGAGGATTCTTACATAACATTGTTGTTGAAGTGTATATGATGGTAGTTACCTCTGAACTCGTGAGGATTCTTACAAAATGCTCTTATAGATTAAAGAAGGGACACCATAATGGGAAAGGGTTTCCAAAGGACAATACCAGGAAGGGAAAATGGAGGAAACTGTGACATAAAGAACCTAAGCATAGGCTCTAAATTATATATTCCGGTGCTTGTATTAGGAGCTTATCTATGCACCAGTGACATGTATTTTTCACAAAGTGTGAGATGATTTTTATAACTCAAGTATGTGCATTAAAAAAAAAGGATGCAGCAAGGGATACCTTACACCAATGAGACCAAACGCTCTCCACGTAAATCCAATATTTAATTACATACATACAAAAGAGTCTCCATCCATCCATACATCATTACTCATTTCAAATCATTCTCTCAACTTCAGCATACCGACCGAATTTAATTTTATATATTTACTTTAATTCCTACGTATAACATATACATTCATAGAGATTTTATATGTTTAGGGTCAACACATATGGTGATTATGATGTTCACCAAATCTTTCACGAAATTTATTAATTAACTGTGAGAACTTTAAACTGAGCATGTAAACTTTTGAGTTTTCGTTAATGTTGCAAATTTGCAATTAGATTAAGCTAAAATTGTTATGCCTACAGCAATTGCTTTTTTCTCGAGGTATAAGAAATCAGAATTATCAAAGATGTGATGACTCTATATCGATAGATTCATTATGATGTCAACTCAAATATCTAATTAATAGTAGTTTTCAAGATTATATATATTATAATTTGCCAACAAAAAAAATCACATTTTAAAATACAAACTGTCCAAGTAAATTAGGGCAAACATGTCCCCCGGTGGCCTCTTTGCTTGGTTACATGTGTAGTGTTTAATTATGGCTAACCCTACAATAATAAATAAATTATGCATTGGGATATGATATGAATGTATATAATTAGTTATAGATATGTATAAAGCATTAGATCTTGCTTGATCCTAGTAGTAAGATTCACGAATTTAAAGTCTCTTTTGAAAAATTCAAAAGTTCGATGATTGTTTTGCTCAAAACTCACAAATTAATAATACTTGATGACCATTATCTGAGTTTTTTAATATCACGCGACTCAATCTTGGTCTCTACATAATGGTTCACATAATCTCATTAATAATTGAAATAAATCTAAAACCAGCTGTTAATAAATTAACTTTGGGGACAAATCACTTAATTAACTTAAGAAGATGATTGTGACTAGTTAACTCAAACTAACCAAATTGTTGTGGTCTTATTTTTTCTTTGTTAACTCAAGGCTGCTAATTTATTCTCACTAGATAGACATTTTCAATCACCACGAAATTTCTGTGATCCAATTTGATCTTATGATTCACTGATGAGCATATAAACAAGAATTTACAAAAGTAACTAAGAGCTGGTCAACGGGAAAATGACAGAAACGGAGAAATCATATTAATTATAAACTTGTTGTTTTTCTATATGACTGGGACACATGAAGTCTAAGTAATGTGAACACTAATTGATAGTGATATAGAGAAACACTCCTTTTCAGGTTTCGAATTTAGAGTAAATAGAACTATAATTAACGGAAAAATTGAGTAAAATAGTTATGAAAGAAACTGGACCAGGTAGAAGGTTTCGTCGTCGATAGGAGGAATCGTCTCCATAAACCCATATTTAGTATCTTGAACCCTTCTCATGCATGTCACGTGCTGCATGCATGGCTCGATCTCTACTTCCTAGTTCCTTCCACACAACAAAGTTGTTTTATTTATTCATATATATCTCTTTTTAACACATATATCGACGCACCAGTACTGTTAATTAGGATCGAAGTTTGTATAGATAAAATCAAGCCCGACCAAAAGAATGGATTAGGCCGATATTTTTGGCATCAAGTTATTTCAGGAACGTAAGTGGTTTAAGTGGTCCATTGTATTCAACAGCAGATAAAATTAAATTATTTTTCAAGTATGTACGGTGGGTGGGTCTTGATAAAATCCGAATGAAGTAAAAATCTAATGCACTCATCAACCACATAAGACATGATAAGATTTTAATACAACCATGTATATGTGTTAATTTTTTGGCAGCTATCTTTTGGTAGAGTTTGATCTCCATACTTGTCCAACTTAACAAATAATATATATAAGTGACCTCGACGCCTTCGACTAAACAAATACGAGTATACGACGAGTGCCAACGATTAAACACAAATGACTGAAATGAGTACACTTCTCGAGAATAACCTACGATTTGGTTTTATGTGATACGATGCGTATAGTGATTTTATTATTAAGGACTCTAATTAAGCTATTAAGGCCTACGATCGAGTTTATATAGTTAAAAAATAAATTAGGGGAAAAGTTAATATTATGAACATATGTCCGCTCTGGCCACTGATGCGGCTCGCCTAGACGCCTTAGATTTGTTAAATTTGAACTATAATATTATTGAATAAGATTGGTTTTTGTGATAATAAACTAATTGACATTATTTATGGCTGGTGTATTATTCCTTTGCGATTTATCCTTTTGTCGAAAGAGATGATTCCTATAAAATTTAACATTTTAAAACGAGATATATATAGGTTTTGTTGGAACTTGTAGCAGCTGTGATAAAATAACTCCATACGTGTCGTTATGAATTCAAAAAATTATATGTTTCCACTAATTTTAATTCAAGTTTTTGGACGGTGTTGTGCTGGTTCATTGTCTTTATATGTTGGTAAACAGACCTATTACATAAAATGTTGGTAGACTTTAAATAAAATAACGACAGCAAACTAACAAATGAAACTATTATACATTTACATAAAAATAGTTCATGTTACGTAATTTATTCTTATAAAAATCATTTTAATCACGTAAAACAGACCTATTCTCCTATCTGTACAGTTACCACTTACAAGTATCCATATAGTAATTGTTGTTAATATGCTCAAAAACATATACAAACCTATATAATAACGCGTAAAATTGTTACTTCTCCATAATAATAGTATAGTTTTCGTATATATAAATATAAATATGTTTTCGGTGCGGCACATGGAGCAGAAAGAAACAACCAAAATCTTCTGAAACATGGGGAATGTGCGAAGTTAATCGTACGCTTACAATAATTAGAATACTAAGATAAAATTTTGAGTCCTATCTAAGTCGTCTTAACCAGTAATATGTCAGTATCTTTTGTTATGTCCTAAAAATGTTTTAATTTAACAAATTTTGTTTTGGCAACAAAGGATTTAATTAGCTTTGTTAGTTTTAAAAGAGATAAAAAAAAACGTCGTCAGAGGTGCTTTTTAAACCAGTGCCGTTTGAATAAAACTTTGACGACAAAATATACAAATACACGTGAAGCATCCAAACACACACACACACATATATATGTGTGAATCAGTGCAATGCCATGTACGTTCAAAAGCTGTTATATAAAAACATGTGTTATAGGAAAATGGAAATAATAAAGTTGATATGAGAAGGCATGAAACATAAAGAGAGGAGCATAAAAGATAAAAATGGACCGACTCAGCAACAACAGAGTTAAAGCAGAGGAGTGTACACACATACTCTCAGTAATAGGCTGCTGCCTGCTGCTACGGTTTTGTGTGTGGGCGTCTCTCTGTATAAAGATCATCTTCTATCTTCTCCATTTATTATCATGTTTCCTTACATACAACTTCAACCATAACAAAAAAAATAAAATCAAAAAGCTTTTTCAATTTTATTGTATTTGTGACTGCGTTATAAAATTAATTGCATATCTACTATCTAAAACTCGTCTTTAATAATTTATCAACTAGTAGAACAAGCTACACCAATGATTCGGAGTTTGAGTTAATCAAAGACAAAAGAATAAAAAAGAATTACATTCGTAGACTCGGTACTCGGTAGTAGGGTGATCTACTTACTACTCGATTCAGTCTATAGACCAAACAAAAAAGCCTAGCAGTAACGTTTAAAACAATTTTTACAGCTTTTTATTAGATGTTTATTTTAGTATTTTTCTTCAGAAAAAGAAAAAAAAAATCTTGATAATCCCAATAATCAATCTTCTCACTATTACAACAACTTTAATTGTGAAATAAACAAAGAGAAAGGAGGCCACTTTTTTAAAAAATTAAAAATTAGAATAAATAAAACCCCACCATTTTCTCCTGCTTCTTCTATCTCTCTCTCCCCACCACTCTCTCTAGAGTCTTCATCGTTTCTACTTACATTAAACATCTCATCGTTTCCTTCTCAGAGAAAACTAACTTTTGTAAGTCACATTACAAAGAAGATGATCAACGGTTTGAAAAGAACGTTTTGGAGTTCGATACATAAAAAGAAAGATGATTCACTTGATCGGCAAAAACAATCTACTTCAAGATTCGGGTTTTTCTCTAACCCGTCTACTCCAAGGTCTGAGACCCGACCCGATTCAGCCACCTCTTCTTCTACCCTTCGTTGTCAGAGTTGGTCTGCTACTCCTTCTTCACCGTCTCTTCCCGCTAGTCCAAACCTTCAATGCACAACTTCCGGCGACGTTACTCCGACGAGAAACAGAAGCCCTCTCTCTCTTCTCAGCTTATCTTCTTCTTCTCCTACACCTTCCTCACCTAAATCTCCTGCGAGCTTCTCTCTCCTCAAATCAAAACTCTGTTTCTCCAAAGTAAGAATCGAAAACAACAAAAAGAGACTCTTTTTTTTTTCTTCTTCCAAATAACTCAAAAGTTTACATTTTTACGTTTGTGTTGTGAACAGAGTAGTGGCATTAGCAGCAAATGTGGGATTTGTTTACAGAGTGCGAAAGCAGGAAGAGGAACTGCGATTTTCACGGCGGAGTGTTCCCACACGTTTCATTTCCCCTGCGTAGCTTCACGAACCGGTGATCGGAGTTTACTCTCCGACTGCCCTGTTTGTGGTGCCTCCTGGAGAGACACCTCACTTCTCCCTCCTCTGTCTCTCTCTTCCCCTCTCCACGAACTCGACACTGCTCAGAAATCCCCGAAATCAGGATCCGAATCCGACTCCAGGATCCGGGAATCAAAGACCAACAAGTCCTTACGAGTCTACAACGACGACGAGCCTTTGGTTTCGTCTCCAATCTCTCTTACCGGTGGTTTCAACACCATACCAGAATCAGACGAGAATGAAGACGAAGAAGATTACGATAACGGAGAATTCAAAGGGTTTTACGTCAACACGCCGTCACCGTTAACGACCAAGAAACAGTTGACGGATTCCGTTACTGGACACGTGGACGTTAAGCTGTCCTCAGAAGCTGCAATTGTGGCGGTTGGGAGAGGCAGCGAGACTTACTCTGTTCTTATGAAAATCAAATCGCCGCCGTTACCGACGGCGCGTAGATCTCCGGTGGATTTAGTAACGGTTCTAGACGTCAGCGGAGGGAACATTGAGACGGTGAAGCGATCGATGAGGCTTGTGATCTCGTCTCTGCGAGAAACGGATCGTTTGTCGATGGTCTCGTTCTCGTCGAGCTCGAAGCGATTGTCGCCGTTGCGGAGGATGACGGCGAACGGAAGGAGGCTATCTAGAAGAATCGTCGACGAAATCTCCGGCTACGGCGACGGGATGAGCGTGAACGATGCGGTTAAAAAAGCGGCTAAAGTGATCGAGGATCGCCGTCAGAAAAATCTCTTCACCACCATCTTCGTGTTAACGGACCGTAAAGCCCATCAGGCCCAACCAGAATTTGTGACGTCCACGCGCTTCTCTCACCTGGAAATCCCGACGCACACTATTTGGCTCGGCGCGTGTAATCACGATCTCCATGATGACGTGTTTGCGAAACGTGTTAAGAGTCTGTTGAGTTTATCGGCTCAAGATCTCACTCTAAACCTCGGATTCGTTTCTGGGTCGGGTCAAGGAGAGGTGACTTCAGTTTATTCACTAACGGGTCGACCCGTTTGGCTTGGATCCGGGATGATTCGGTTGGGTGACATGTACGGCGACGAAGAAAGAGAAGTGTTGGTGGAACTCAAATCTCCTTCGTCTAATAGATCTCAGAGAATCATGACCGTCCGATCTCGCCACGTGGATCCTACGACTCAGGAGATCAGAAATAGTGAAGATCGTGCGCTCAAGATGCCGCGTCCCATCGCCGTTAGATCATCATCTAACTCGAACATCGCGAGGCTAAGAAACCTCCACGTCAGCACACGAGCCGTAGCCGAGTCTCGGCGGCTGACCGAAGCAAATGATCACTCGGGGGCTGAGCGAATGCTGACGTCAGCTAGAGCATTGTTGGTGCAATACGGTTTGAACTCGAACGAGGCGTGCTTACGTGGTTTGGAAGCTGAGCTGGCAGATTTGAACCGGTTGAGAGGTAGACACGTGGCGGTGAAGAGTCCGGAGCCGGTGGTTCAGAAGAGTGAGCCACTAACACCGACTTCAGCGTGGAGAGCGGCTGAGAGATTGGCCAAAGTGGCGATCATGAGGAAGCATATGAATAGAGTCAGTGACCTCCATGGATTCGAAAATGCTAGATTTTAGTTCTTTTTTTTTGTTTATGGATTTTTTAAAAAACTTTTTTTGTTTTTATTTTCTAAATTACGAAGTTTTGTAATGGTGTGATACAAAGAAATACAATGGTAAATGTTAATTTCAATTCTTTCGAGTATTATGAAAATTTGTTTTGTATGTATTGTGATAGGGTCAATTTTTTTAGAAGTGGTGGGTGCTAGCTAGGCTAGCTCTCCATTGTAGATTGGTTTAACTTAATAATTATAGTTTTTTTTGTTACGGCGGAAATGGGATTTGCTTTTGTCTCATGTTCTTTGTACATTGAATATAAAAAAACTTATGATGATTGTTTCATTTTGTCTTTTTATTGCCACTTTTTTGTGCCTCTATTGTGTTCCCCATTATAATTTCACAATTATGTTCCCCATTAACTTACTAGTCAATCGGTGAAACTGAAGGTGGAAACTTTTAGATAAGTGCTCCATAGTTTTTGGTACGTTTAATTTGGATGAGATAGGTGTGCTCTTTGATAAGAATAGGTTTCTTTCGTCATTCGACGGCCACACTTATATTTGAAGACATTGGACTAGGACCCGTGTATCACACAAATATTGAAATTATAAAATTCAGACAAATTCGTCGTACTCGATCTCATCTTCAAATAATTTTCTAATTTTTCTCTAGTTATTCCTTTAAAATTGTAAAAAAATGTTAGGATTAGTTGGCGCTATAATTTACGATCCTTTTTCTAGTCTACAAATATTAGGACTTTTCTATTTTATATATATATATATATTTTTAAATAAGATGTTAAAGACAAATTTTCTTTCATATATTTTACATAATTTTATATTATATATTTTTCGAAAATGTTAAAATTAATAATTTCTTATCATTATCTTTATATATTGTAAAAACAATATAAAACAAAGAAATTTTTTGAAGAGACAGTTTCCTATAATAGCGCTGATAAAACAAAACAAAACAGAGAGATTCCTCTGCTTCTGTATTGTTTCTCTAGTCAGATGTCCAATGTTGAAGAGCCACCGCATAAGATGAGGAAGAAGGAGGAGGCGTCTTCGTCTCTGTGGTTACCAGATGATGTGGTTATCAGCTGCATGGCTCGAGTCTCGAGACTGGATCACGCGGCTTTATCTCTTGTCTCCAAGAGTTATCGCTCTCTAGTGGCTTCGCCTGAGATCTACATGACCCGATCGCTGATGGGTCTCACTGAAACGTACGTCTACGTATGCCTAAGAACCCCTCCTCCTGACCCAAAGCTACGCTGGTTTATACTCCGCCGTAGAGAAACCCCAGACGCCTCTGATCCCTTCTCTCCCCTCTCAGCCTTTGGAAGCTTCCGCCGTGGTGGTGCTGGATGGGGGGATTTATGTAATCGGTGGAATTATAAAGGAGAATAAGCGCACTTCCGACGTCTGGCTCTTGGATTGTCGGACTCACACGTGGCGCCACGTCCATTCAATGGGAGTGCCTCGAGCTTACGCCCTTGCTGGAGTCGTAGAGGGGAAGATTTACGTGATAGGAGGCTGCGATGTGTATAACCCAAACACGTGGGGAGAGGTATTCGACCCAAAGACTTAAAGTTGGAACTATATTCTGGTGTGAATCGGATGAGTTGGACTGGGCCTGATGGGATGATGGACACAAAGGAGGTCAAGGGTTTGGGCTCTCTCAACAAGACTCTCTTGCGCTCCAGAGTGGTCCACTTTGGTGAGCTGTTGCTTGATCGGTGGGAGCAAGCGAAGATCCATCATGGTATGAACCCTCTAAGGAATAACAATTTTGGTAGATGCCGCGAGTTGGAAGATTTACTTCCCGGGGCCAGACTGATCAACCTTGGTAGGAACGTTGGACTCTTCTGGGACTTCATCGAGGGGGATCATCTTGAAATATGGTTTGCGGAGATCTCTTTGGAGAGACGCCAAGGAGGCGAGATTTGGGGCAATATCAAGTGGTCTAATGCTGTCATGACCGTTGATCCTTTCTTACATCGCTACAAAGTTTTGTATTCTGTTTCTGTCACTCTCTAAGCTTGCCTCTTCCCTCTCGTCTCCGAATTCATTTTCTGGTTCTATTAGTTTAATTGTTACATATACGTCCTGTCAAATAATCTGCACCCCTCAGTTGCTGCTTCAAAAAGATTTCTGGTTCTCACCGTTTTGTCTTTGTTTCTGTGATTGTCTGATGTAGGCTTTAATAAGGAAGCTGCAAAGCCAATCCGAAGCTTCTGATGTGATTCCAGTTACAACATACTTTGGACATATAGTGAATGGGATGAAGTGTAACAACTTTGATATAGTGTGTAGATATGTCTAAACTAATTTTGCAATGTAAAAAGAATTTCTATATTCAGAATTTTTTAACAAAGAAACAAACAGCGACACAAAAACACATTCTTATGGGATGTCCAATCATCTAAACCTTCCCTGATAATTTTTGTACACAAAAGCCATCTTTTAAAAACTTCCTGAAACAAAACAAAAAACAGAACAGAAGGTTACATTTTGACACAGACAGAATTCACCTGATTCAGAACTTGGTTCCAGTTTACCGTTCATACATTTTTCACCCGGGTATTCTCGTTTGTTTTAAAAGTGCAACTGCCTACACCTTGAGATGTCGACATCAGTCGGGCAATAAGGACACTTGAAAGACGACTTAGAGCCATTCTTTGACATTTTGTTGATCGTCTGCTTGCAAAGCACATGTCCACAAGACATCATCATTGGAGGATTCTCATCACTTGACTGTTCCTTAGATACTGGACAGACAAACACCGAATGGAACTGGAACTCCTCTGATAGTTGTGCATCGACAGGAAGCTGTTCCATGGTCTGCCAATCAAGCTTCTTGTTCGCCATCACGTTCATGTATTTCAATAGTACTGGTAACGTTTGTGTACCCGCTGCTACGGTTATATTCAACGGGCTTTCAGATGATTCACCGAGTAGGTTGCAGTACTGTCGGGTTAGCTCTTTGACTGCGTTGTTCCATAGAGCGGGAGAGAGAAACTCGGAGTAGGGTGATTTATCGAGTTTTCTGTTCCATAAAAGAGAACACATTAGCTTCTGGATTTCAGGGAGGCAGCTATCAGCAAATGTGGCGATATGCTTTCTCGCGTAGTTGATAGCTTCTTTTGAGTTTTTGCCTTGTGCTATTTCCAGGAAGTGTAGACTATGAAGCTTCATCTCGAGATCGGACCTTGCTTGCTTCAGTTTGTCTGAGTTTAAAACTGCCCAGTTAAGAGCTGGTTCAAGATCTCGTCTCTTCATAGCTTCTAATATCTGATACATTTCCACAAAAGATTGTCTGGTGGAACACTCAGATTCACCAGTTTCAGCAACAAAACAGTCTCCGATGTCGAACATCCCTTGACGGTAGAAAAAGTTGGCGATAATCTGGTTCACGATATGCGTATCGAACTCCGCATTGTTTCTATAAGCCTTTGATATGTCTGGATTCAGCTGTTTTTCAAGAACTTTGGGGTACTTGGTGAGAGCCACGTGTAGTTCTTTCTCAGCAGCTTCAAGTTGAGTGACTGGAGCAATCCCCACAAACGCTTTCTTCACATCAGAGATAATAGATCTATGATCAAGCACAGTATCTGACGGAGACTCCTTTATTATACTCAACGCCTTGTCGATTTCTTGAGACAGCATGTGAACAATCTCGTTTGTTTTGTTATAAGATAGTTTCTGCTTCGTCGCGACACGGTCAAACGCATCCTTAATGCTCTTTAGCTCCATTCTCAGATAATCAAATCACTCGAATAAGAATCGATTTTCAAACCTGAGAGACATTGGTGAGTCCTCAAAGTCAATATCTCAAAAGTCTCAGCCAAAAATAGACACTTTCTTGACATGAATGTGGGTAAGCATCAAGACTACAAAAAATCTGATCTCAAAAGTTTCTAAAGTGATTCAAATCCAACCAATACATAGAAAGATGGATCAAATCTAAGAATCCATTACTTAAAAACAGAGGATCCAAAGTTACGTTTTGTTGTCTTCTTCTTTTAAAACTCAATTGAAGGAAGATTCATACCAGAAGAATCCGAGAGCAGCCAATTAAAATTGATTCGAGAATAAACAGATCAAACAAAAGATTCCAGAAATGAAAGATCTTGATCAATTTGAAAACAAACGATTCTGAATCTATCAAAGACAAAACAAAACGAATGAAACAAAGACTATTATTACATACACAGAAAAAAAGGTAAATCGTTCGTACCTGAAATCGAAAGGTAAGAAGATGAAGTTGGTGGATCAAAGCAAAACACGAACGGAGGAACAGAAGAGGAAATACACCAGATTTCCTGATTTTTTCTTTGTCTTTTTTTGTTCTTTTTCTTTTTTCTTTCTTGTTCTTAGTTATTTTCTCATCACACTCTTTCATATTATTATCCTTACGGAGAAACCAACACGTGTTATAGTGAAACAAAGAATCGTAGCCGTTAGATTGATAGGGTGTTATACTTTAGTGTGGAGTATACTGCAGAGGATTACCAGCTCTTAGATATTTGGGTCTTCTGAACTAAGAGCCCATTATCTGTTTTAAAAGGCCCAATTTTAGTTACTGGGATCCAATGCTTCGGTTTACTCAACCGTAGGCCTGGCCAAAATAACCAATAACCGATTAACCGAACCGATTAACCGAATCAGTTCGCTTTCGGTTCGGTTTCGGTTATCTTCAAATAACCGATTGGTTATTATATGTCTCAAAATTCGGGTTCGGTTCGGTTTCGGTTACTAACCGATAACCGAAATAAACCCGAAAAAACCGAATCTATACATATGATATATGATTATATGTTTACCTTATATGTTCAATTGAATAGATGTTTGGTTACTTGGTTGCTTTGGAGGATACAATAGGACTCAACAATCTTTATTTCATGGGAATGGCAAAGCTTTGGTCCGATCAACTTTGTTTTACTTTTCTCTCACTCTTATCTCGGCTTAAACTTAGATTTTCTTTTGTTTTGTTTTTCAAACTTAGAACTATGTCCTTCTTCTCTTATCTCAACTTAGTTCGTAGTTAGACTTGGATGTCTCGTTTCTTTCCCTTTTACTCACTTGGTGTTTTAATTTAAGTTTTTTAACGTTAGCAAGATGAGTTTGAATTCACAGAAATTATCGGTTAATTCGGTTAACAACCGAACCGAACCAAAGACTAACCGAACCGAACCGAACCAAAATTTCTAAAATATCCGAATGGTTATTATATTAGTATATCCATACTAACCGAAACCGAACACAACCGAACCGAAACCGAATGGTTAACCGAATGCCCAGGCCTACTCAACCGGTAAATATTACAATAAGGTCGTACCATTTTTTTGGAATAGTATTGTTGTGTTTTTTTTTTTCTTGGGTAGAATTGAAGACACGAAATTAAAGAGAGAAAAAGCCGATGGACCAACATAAACAATTAACAAAAACGTCCAAGTCAAATAATTGCAACTTCGTGTTAAGAACTTGATTTGCATATACATCAACGGAATTGGTTTTGAATTTTCGTTTAGTTTTATAAAAATAGTGCTATTAATACATAAAAGTGTGTATTGAAAACTACACTGAAACAGTAATTTTTAATGTTTCCATCAAACCACTTTAAAATAGAAAAACTAGTACATATATATAGAAACCACAAAACTTTTCAAAGAATTAAGAAAGCAAAAATGCAACAGAAAATATAGTTAAGAACAACTATGTATTTAAAAGAAAATAATAGAAAAACTAAATAGGGAGAAAATAATGCGATTTAATTATGACATCAGTAGAAAAACTATCTATGTGAACTGTGGGATTGAGTCATTGAGATATCCGAGAAAAGAAAAAGAAGAGAAGAGTGAATCGGCCTCCCCCACAAGGAGACAAAATTAGAATCTATGTAATGGAAATGTAAACTACTTACACAATTAATAAGAGAAAGAACCAATGAACATCCAAAAGTAAAAATTTGAGAGAAGCTAGAAGATACATCGTATATAATAGTACTAACCACTCCGATGCACATGTTTAATTTAGTGTTGATCATTCCATTATGAAGATAGTAGTGGTACTATAGTGTCAAAAAGATTTAAGAAGATATTTACATGATGGAAAACAACTATTCAACTCTCTTTTTACGTATGGACTAAACTGATATTATAAATAATAATAAATGGTTGGTATTAGACTAATATGAAAAACGATCAAACTGTTTTGGCTAATAATACAAATTAATTCGCCCTTTTGGAATTTAAGGACATTGATGTGAACATCTATCGACTCACGGCCGAGACCGACAACCAAAGAAAATTTCATGGGGTTCTCTTCTCTCCCGTGAGTCTTGACTCTTGACCTCTCTCCATCGCGATAATATTTGTGCCAACGCATAGACTTTTCTATCCAATAATTTTTTTTTTTAACTCTTATTCCAAAATAAGCTAATAAATTTCAACAAAAGACTTTATTTTTGCTTAACTTTTCTCTATATTCATTTGATTTTTCAAAGCTCAGAATGCAATAGTAATAAATCAAAAGTCTGTTGGACGATAGGGTCCAGCTGACTGTAATTAGAGTTAGATGGGATTAATATATCCTAGGCACATTATAAAGTATTAATGTCCGGTTTATATAATATTGTCAAGATTTTTATTTCTTTTGGGTGTAAATGTTTAAGATTGTCAAGATTCTTTGTTGATGAAAGTATTATTTTCATACAGAAAAAATAATTGTACTTGTTTAAGAGTGAGTTAGTTGTAATAAACACGTACATGCATCTTTGTGATCAAAACGGAAAATCCCGTCAGACTTTGTGCATGATTGTACGTGGTGCTTTATGACTTGCACCTTTTTTCATTTTCATGTCAGGTTAAATTTATAATAACAAGATTTTGGTAAAAACAAGACCCGAACCGTAGATTCTTGCCTCAGCTTTTTGATTATTGTTTACGCTTTTGTTTATTATTGCTTGTCTTCATTTATCCTACGCCCATGCCATGCTTGCATGCAAATTGCAGAGTCTCTGATAAAATTATTCTTCTTCCTTCACTTTTTGGGCTCAGTAAGCTCGTGTGTGTCATCTAACTATTATTGATAAATTAAGTACAATCAAGTGATCACGAACATAACACAAATTTGGAGTTCTGAAACCACACGTGACGAAGGTTCTTGATCTTGAATTTGTTGTATGAACAACAATTAGGATCATGTTCGCGTAACGTTCTTTGTAGTATTTACCTGTGATATCTATACTTGATTATGATTTAGTATACGAATAAATTTGTGTATGATATATATCATGTTCAACTTCCTCCTTGCGTGTCCTCTCACGAATCCACTTGCTTTGAGATGCGTGCCCATCTCCTAAAATTACAACCGGAGCTAATATATATATTGTCTATCGTTTTCGATATTCCCCTAAACGATCATACGAATTTCATTATCTATTACTATTTTTATTTTTGAAATAAAGATTCTTCTACAATATCTATTTTACATACGTACTATTTTACTTTCTTTACAAAAAAAAATAAAAAAAAAATGATTACTAATTAGTAGTAAACATATACCCAGATTTCATGTAATGAGCACTGTAGCTAATCTTGAAGTTAAAGCCAACTCAAGGTTACAAACATCTTCTACAAATGTTAAAATTGTTAAGATGATCAGCAAAAAGGTTATGAATAAACTAATTTCGATCACCGTCAAAACAAGTTGATTTAAAAGACACTTTGCAAATTATTTTACCACCTGGATATGATTGAGACGCCTCCTATACAATCAAAATCGTAAAATCATTTATCATTTTACGACTCACACACATATTTGCTTTGATCAAGTTGAATTTTTTGAAAACGCAAGTTGGCTTTTGCAGATACACATTTGATTTTTATTTTATTTCGTTCTGTAATTCTTTAGGATTTTATTTCCCATCTGACCTATTTTTAGATTTTTCTATATGTTTAAACATTTTGATTTTATACTAGTTAACAAAAGTCAAATCTTATCCTTGATATCCAAAATTTGAATTTTGTAACAACTACGTAAATTTCAACTATAGCCGATCGTAGCCGAGCTATCAAAGTTTTTCAAACAAAAAATAGAAAATAACACACAAATATTTTCTTACAAAACTACAAAATTTGACAACAACAAAAAATAAAATTATCTTACATTATCGTGTGGGGACATATCATAAATGGTATAAGTCATATTTATCAGACCATCGGTTATGATCTTAATTAGAGAAAAATAAATAATTAATAAATAGGACTCTCCTCCTAGGAAGGATAGATCTTAACCATGGTTAGTATTTAACCATGGTTTAAAAAATCTAACCTTTAAAAACCCCTCTACCACTTAAGCTTCTTCTCATCACATTCGCTTCATTATTTTGTATCGTACGTCTCTTTAGATGATCTTCTCCTCCGATCATCATTAACCTCTTTCATCTTTCTCAAGTCTTCTTCTTCTCCGTGATCTCTCTCTCTTTCTCCGGTATATATTAAACGTCGTCGACGATGGTGTTTTAATACATCTACTGTGTGTGTCAGTCTATGATCTATATATAACTCTGTTTTTTCTCTTGTTGTTGTGGTAATAACAGGAAACGGTGAAAGAAGATGTCGGCCGGTAACGGAAATGCTACTAACGGTGACGGAGGGTTCAGTTTCCCGAAAGGACCGGTGATGCCGAAGATAACGACCGGAGCAGCTAAGAGAGGTAGCGGGGTATGCCATGATGATAGTGGTCCGACGGTGAATGTATCCACCATCGATGAGCTTCATTCTTTACAGAAGAAACGATCCGCTCCTACCACACCGATCAACCAAGGAGCCGCCGCTGCTTTTGCCGCCGTCGCCGAGGAGGAGCGCCAGAAGATTCAGCTTCAATCTATCAGGTTCATACATATTCCACATATATAAGATTATTTTCATACGTTATTTTATTTTTATAGAAATATTAAATATATGTTCTGTTTCTCTAAAGAACAGAACATAAATACGTTATTTTAGAAAGAAAATAAAAACGTAATTTTTATAGAAATAAGGACGATATTGCGTTTTCGTGTCCGATCATTTTCGTAGAAAAATAAGAAAAAAAAAATCAGGAGTTTTTTCTTTTCTTAGAATTGTCTTTTTGCTACTACTAAGCTTATTTTACTTTATTTTTGTTTGATTTTTGAAACTGTATAAAATATTTCTAACGTGATTGAAAAATTATCAGTTACGTTATTTATTTTCTTAGCTTAATTCAAAGAGAAAATTAATGCGCTATAGTGACTATTACCGGAAAAATAATTAACATGACACGTGGAACGAAATGACACGTGGAACGAAATGACACGTGGAAAATAATTTAATATTTGTTTTGGATGTGATGGAAACAGTGCATCGTTAGCTTCGTTAACGAGAGAGTCAGGACCAAAGGTGGTGAGAGGAGATCCGGCGGAGAAGAAGGCCGACGGTTCAACTACTCCGGCGTACGCTCACGGCCAACATCATTCTATTTTTTCTCCGGCTCTTGGTGCCGTCAGTGATAGCTCCTTGAAGTTTACCCACGTCCTCTACAACCTCTCTCCTGCAGGTAGTGATTAAGAAAACCCCTAAAATCCGAATCCGATTTTGATAAATGTTTCTACGAGGAATTGATTAGATTGTTTTTTTTTGGTTTTGTTGTTGTAGAGCTTTACGAGCAAGCTATCAAGTATGAGAAAGGTTCGTTCATCACTTCTAATGGAGCTTTGGCGACGCTTTCTGGTGCTAAGACTGGCCGAGCTCCGAGGGATAAGCGTGTCGTTAGAGATGCGACTACTGAGGATGAGCTTTGGTGGGGAAAGTGAGTATTCTGATCTCGATTTTGAATTGTCACTGATGGAGTTTTTTTTTTTTATTGTTTATTGATTTGGGGGTTTTTGATTTGGATTTAGGGGTTCGCCTAATATCGAAATGGATGAGCATACGTTCATGGTGAACAGAGAAAGAGCTGTTGATTACTTGAACTCCTTGGAAAAGGTATAAATTTGAAAATTTTAATCAATGTTATCAGTGTAGAGCTTGGATTTAAGTTGCAATATGAATTTGATGTTTTTGTTTTGGTTCTTAGGTCTTTGTTAATGATCAGTACTTGAACTGGGATCCGGAGAATAGAATCAAAGTCAGGATTGTCTCAGCTAGAGCATACCATTCACTGTTTATGCACAATATGTAAGTAAAACCATTGTTGCTTTCTACTTGGTTTTGTGTTTACGGTGAAAGAAAACAACAACTTAGCAAACAAAATTGGTTACTGCTGTGGGTGTCAGGTGTATCCGGCCAACTCAGGAGGAGCTGGAGAGCTTTGGTACTCCGGACTTCACTATATACAATGCTGGACAGTTTCCGTGTAACCGTTACACTCATTACATGACTTCGTCCACTAGCGTAGACCTTAATCTGGCTAGGAGAGAAATGGTTATACTTGGCACTCAGTATGCCGGGGAAATGAAGAAGGGTCTTTTCAGTGTGATGCATTACCTTATGCCTAAGCGTCGGATTCTCTCCCTTCATTCTGGATGCAATATGGGAAAAGATGGAGATGTTGCCCTCTTCTTTGGACTTTCAGGTATAGTAATGTCGTAAACAAACATCATGATTTGGTGATGATAGTAGGAAGATAAGTCAATTGATACAAAATAGTTACCCCTGAACTAACTTGAAAACTGTTTTCCTCTTTGTTGAAATCAGCTTGTGAATTGAGATTGATGACTTTTATTCAATTTTAGGTACCGGGAAGACAACGCTGTCTACGGATCACAACAGGTATCTTATTGGAGATGATGAGCATTGTTGGACTGAGACTGGTGTTTCGAACATTGAGGGTGGATGCTATGCTAAATGTGTTGATCTTTCAAGGGAGAAGGAGCCTGATATCTGGAACGCCATCAAGTTTGGAACAGGTAAAAAGATAATATTTAGGAATTTTCTTGAGAAAGAAGTTAAATCAGTGATATAACAATATGGATCTCATCTCGTTGCAGTTTTGGAAAATGTTGTGTTTGATGAGCACACGAGAGAAGTGGATTACAGTGATAAGTCTGTTACAGGTAAAAACAATTGTTATTTCTTTCATCACTCTTCTTCCTTACAATGAACAGAATGATTAACTTCGATTCTCCTTGGTTGCAGAGAACACACGTGCTGCGTACCCGATTGAGTTCATTCCAAATGCGAAAATACCTTGTGTTGGTCCACACCCGAAAAATGTGATACTTCTGGCTTGTGATGCCTTTGGTGTTCTCCCACCAGTGAGCAAGCTAAATCTGGCACAAACCATGTACCACTTCATCAGTGGTTACACTGCTCTGGTATGCCCGAAGAAAAGTATTTATTTATCCTTTGGATTAGTCTTCATAAACGTAGAAACCTTAATCAAAGATTTGCAACATATATAGGTTGCTGGTACAGAGGACGGCATTAAGGAGCCAACAGCAACATTCTCAGCTTGTTTTGGTGCAGCTTTCATAATGTTGCATCCCACAAAGTATGCAGCAATGCTCGCTGAGAAGATGAAGTCACAAGGTGCTACTGGTTGGCTCGTGAACACTGGTTGGTCTGGTGGCAGGTATGTCCGTTTGTATAATCTTATACATGATACAAAACTGCCTGGTTGCGTGTTTGTAGAATATAAACATGATCTGTTTACGTTTTCTTTTTGCAGCTATGGTGTTGGAAACAGAATCAAGCTGGCATACACTAGAAAGATTATTGATGCAATTCATTCCGGAAGCCTGTTGAAGGCGAACTACAAGAAAACCGAAATCTTTGGATTTGAGATCCCGACTGAGATCGAAGGGATACCTTCAGAGATCTTGGACCCCGTCAACTCCGTAAGTTTCTGCAAATCTCTATATATTTATCATAAGGGTGAGTTAGTGATTCTGATGATGTACTAAATTTGTTGATTTGGATTTTATGAAAAAATGCAGTGGTCGGATAAGAAGGCGCACAAGGAAACTTTGGTGAAGTTGGGAGGTTTGTTCAAGAAGAACTTCGAGGTTTTTGCAAACCATAAGATTGGTGTGGATGGTAAGCTGACGGAGGAGATTCTTGCTGCTGGTCCTATCTTCTAGAAAAACTACTACATGATGTTGTCGAAAAGAAAGAAAGAATCATCTATTATTATGAAGAATAAAATGAGACTTGTGTTTTTGTTGTGTATCTCTCTTGTCAAGAGAATAGAGAATATCATATGAAGTGGTCTTCGAAAAAAGAACTTCCAAAAACTGTTGTTGTGGTGGGATATGAATATGATTACCGTATATGTAATTTGATTACCCCTATTGTTATTTATTTTTTAAAGGCTTGTGTCGGCATTATATGTGATAATTTATACGGTCCATCACGGATATCAAATATTCATTATCGAGCTTACATACCTATCTTCGTCTAACCACTCACTTATCTTTAACTAAACTTAGTTCCTCTACTTAGAAAACACCAACATGCTTCTACGAATGGGCTTCAGCTAAACCATCTACAAACACTTCTTCTTCTTCTGTTGGGCCATAACAAAACTTGTAAGGCCCAAACTACTTTTATAGTCCAAAACACAAAGCCTTCTTTTATTTGTTGACCTCTCTTCTTTTCTTTTTTTCAGATTCCATAGAGGTTGCTCATCTTATTTACTGGTTCAGTTGAAGAGGTCAATGTCAACAAAGCCACCATCGAATCGAGCTCTTTCCTAAACAGAAACAATCATCAAAGTTAGGTGATGAGATTAATTACACAAGGAAGAGTTATTTGGCATTGCCATTAGTTCTAAACCAATGGATTTGGTATGATTTCCCCCTGGTTATCGACTGAACCGAGTATAACCCTTAAAACAGAGTTTAAGTTGTCAATTATACCCTTAACCCTAACTTACTGGTGTGAGTTCTGATAACATGAGCTGTTGCTTTGTTTTTGGTTGCTATGTGTGTGTATTCAAAACGTGGTTTTGTTCGTCGCATCTCATGATCGAGGAGGCTACAAAAGAACTCAAAGTTAATGGATAGTGCGCTTGAACTGCGCTAGGTTCTTCAAGGATCCGGTATAGAAAAAGCTTACAAAGGCAGATAGTGTTTTTTTTATATATCGTTGCAGTACTAGCTAACTTTATGTAGTAGACTCATCTGAGAAGTGCTCGAAGAGTTTACAAAAGGTACTTTCAGGTTATAGGTCACTATTATGTGTCTCTGATTGATTTGTCATGAGAGCTCAATCATAGGATCTTACTGAAAGTGTTGGTCTTTGTGATGAATCATAAACAACACTTTTTAGGTTTGAATTGATACAAACTTCAAAACAGAAAAGCTTACTGGTCATGGTGTATATAATTTGCATTCAAGTCAGTTTCTTTAGTCTTCTTTGTGTGCTTTGATGGATTCGCTAGCTGTTGAATGCTATGAAAAATTCTTTCTCTGTTCTACTTCTGTGGGATCAATTTTGAGGTCATCCACCGTATGAGATTTCAATCTGAAATGATTAGAAGATCTGAAAGTCTTCTTTAGGTTCATTCTTTGTTTTTTGCAAGTTAGGTTGATTATTAGGTCAAAAGAGTTAAAGATTAGGATGAAACAGTGTTATCAAATCCATAGCAAATCTACAGCGAATCCATTAATATATGGCCAAATATACCTCTAAATCCATCAACCAAACGGGAGAGAGAGAGAGAGAGAGGTATAAATAATTAAGAGGAAAAAAATGTCAAGTGTCACTAAAGGGTTTCTTACATGACATATGCCAACCAGCTTGTTATAATAAGGTTTCTCTGGTATGGTCTGTTGGATTCTATATTGCCAATTTGTTTCTATCTGTTTGTTCTCTTTCATTTCAGTTTTAGGGTTTGACTTCAAAACTAATTATGCTCTCACGTTAACCAATGATACGGATCCATGATATTATTTAAGAAATTGCTCACTTATTTAATTAGTATTTTTAGATCTTGAGAAATATGAATATTAAGATGTTAATTATAAAGTTATATCATAATCTGTACTTATCATCAATTATACGCACGTGGAGCTTTCATAAATTAAACCGAATAACATTAATTACTAGTACAACAGTAAATACAAAAAATTAATCGGGGAAAAGTACAATTAGGTGTGGTAATGCGAAAAGGATACCTTAAACAAAAACAAAAACAATGAATTTGAATCTGGTTTATGGTACTATATTCCTAGTTCACAAAATGAATTTATAAAGAGACAATCAGACAACAAAAATCCTAACAAAGAGTAAAGTATGAGGAAGCTATTAATTAATCAAGTTTATAACCAAACATTGAAAAGTAGGATGTAGTGGTGTATTAATTTGTTATACAAAACTATTTAGATATTACTATTCCATATTTATGGTTAACAAATAATATCATTTTTCATATAAGTATATAAGTTTTGTAAATCCTAACACAAATTATTCTAACTAATTTTAACAATCTTACTATTCTAGCTTCTCAATGGAACATAAGTATTTTTTTAAATAATACCCAAAATCATGTTGTACTTGGAGCTTTTGCTCGGTCCATCATGTTGTAATGCAAATACCACTAAATTTGGTTTGCAGGAGCCGAGATGCTTCTATCATGGGGCGTAGTGATCGAGGAGAAAAGATAGGAGAGATTAGCTGTAAGTGAACTGGCCCTTTTTCTATCCATCTATTAGTATTACATTATACTAATAGCCAACGTGCGTTTTGTGTTTTGCCTAGCTTAGCATTTCTATGAAGTTTCAACAATTCGATAAATATTTTAACATCATCTTGAAGTTTTCTATTTATAACCTTAGGTTTTTACTATATCCAGAACGGCACGTTTGCACAAGACACAAGGCACATGAGTCCCACCGCCCACGGAAGTGATCGGTTTATTTTTGAGTGTTCGTTATTTTTACTCTCTCTTTTTGAAAATCAAAATTTAAATCTTCCTTTTTTAGCAAAAATTAACGCTTCAGTTCAATCAATATATATGCACCTTGATACTTAATCTTCTTTTTTAGTTACACTATAATATATATATGTCCCCCTAGAATTTCTTTACTCTTTTCTTGAAAAAGCAAACCAAATGGAAATATTTAAATGCCCTAACCAATATACCATAGGAAAATACCATAAAATCTTCGGGAGATCTTTGGTTGGTGCCACACTGAGTTTGCATAACAAAAGTATATATAATTACTACTACCAAAAGTATTGGTTTATGAATTATGATACAACAAAAAATAAAAAAGAATTATGATACTAAAAAAAACAAAAAAGCATTTGGTTTATAAACTTAGTCTATATTCTTGGACCCACCGTTTCATTATGGAAAGTTTCCTTGTCCTCTTTCTCTATTTTGAAATTGTTTGAAAACAAATGATGTTGGTGTTCTCGTTTTTGTAGTTTAAACAAAAAATCAACAGCTAATATTTTACATGCATTTGTATTCATGTAGGCTATATAGTGACGACGTTCAATACATACTGTATGATATATATGATTTCAATTCGATAAATAATATAAGAAGGTTTTTTTTTTTTGATATATATATATATATATAAAGGGTATATAAGTGATGTTTCGACGAACATAAAATATATCTGTATATATGATTAGTCCATTTAGTTTTGACGTCAAACACCCAAAAAACTGGGAGAAAATGGAATATTAATTATTTGTTTGGGTCTAAAGTTTATTATATATTAGAGTTTAGATTGCTTTTCACACGTACAAATTACTCCACACTTGTGTGTGTCTATATATATATATATAGACTATATACTATATATGTACTTTCATATATGCACCCGACTATTCTCAGTTTCTCTCACACACGAATCCCAATCTATCTATCTATCTATCTATCTATCTCTCTCTCTAGAGCTCTTTCTCTCCAAGAAGAAGAAGAAGGTGAGTTCAGTTCCATAGTCTTTCTCCTTTCTTCTCCAATTAATTTTCTAGGGCTACAATATATTTCTCCTATCTTTTAGAATTCGAGAAACATATAAACTCCAAAGTTTCTTAATCTTGGGGGGTTTTATATATATGTCAACTCATGCATCTGAACAACCCTACTAACCCAGATTTACCAGTTCATACGACATTGCTTTGGTTCCAAATACATTTTCTTGTTCATAAATTATATTATTCACTTATTCATTAATGTCCCTTTCGCTTGATTTTTACCATTTTCAGATTGCATTTATCAATGAATATGTTATCCACAAGATGGTTCTCTGAGCAGGTATATACACATAAACATATATGTGTGTCGTATATTGTTAGATCTCGATAATATACTATACTGTCATCTGGTACTCTTTTTTCACTTTTGTGATGATTTATACAGGAAATAGAAGAAAATAGCATAATTCAACAATTTCACATGAACTCATTAGTGGGAGAGGTCCATGAAGCTCAATACACCCTTCCACACTCTTTCCCGACTAACTTTGATCCTTCTTATGATGATTTGGTCGAAATGAAACCATCAAAGATCCTCAAGACTACTTACATATTGCCACAATTACCACCACCCCATTCTTCTCCTCTTCCTCCAAATTCAAAGCCTCATCTCCATCACCAGCCTTCCTCAACAATCCTCTCTTTCGAAAATGCCGGTTCACATGTTATGGATCATGAGTACTCTCCCACCTATTTAAACTCAATCTTTAGCTCCAAAGTAGAGGTTGAAGTGCCACCAAACCGGAACAGTGAGCCTCGAAAAGAGACCAAGAGGGTGCAGCCTTTGCCTAGAAGCCAATCCAATGCTCAAGATCACATAATCGCTGAAAGAAAACGTAGAGAGAAGCTTACTCAAAGATTCGTAGCTCTTTCCGCTCTAGTTCCTGGCCTTAAAAAGGTACACACAACATCAACTCTCCCCTTTAACTTATATTGGGATGCACTATTTTTCTTGAGTCTATAATTTCTGTAACCTGTGTGTGTAGATGGACAAGGCTTCTGTGTTGGGAGATGCACTAAAGCATATAAAGTATCTCCAAGAAAAAGTGGGAGAGTTGGAAGAACAGAAGAAAGAAAGAAGATTGGAATCAATGGTTCTTGTGAAGAAGTCTAAGCTGATCTTGGACGATAATAATCAATCATCATCTTCTTCTTCATGTGAAGATGGCTCTGAGGGCATGGATCTGCCAGAGATCGAAGTACGATTCTCGGATAAAGATGTTCTAATCAAGATCCTTTGCGAGAAGCAAAAAGGCCATATTGCCAAGATTATGGCTGAGATTGAGAAATTTCGTTTCTCAATAACTAATTCAAGTGTATTGCCATTCGGACCAACTCTTGACATCACTATTGTAGCTAAGGTATACATATGCAAACGCATATATAAACAATGAACTTTTTCTTGAATAATCTAGAGTTAACTTCGATTATTGTTTATTTGCAGAAGGAGAGTGATTTCGACATGACACTCATGGATGTTGTCAAGAGCTTGAGGTCTGCTTTATCCAAGTTCATGTGATTGTGTTTTAAAATTTATAGTTGACTTTTCTAGGAGATCATATATAATTGAACATATCGAAGAATCATAAGTGTTTTTTTTTTTCCATGAAAATGTTCATTTATATTGTATGAGTGGAGGCTTATGCTTACGATTTAACTAGTTGGAGAATAACACGTTTCCTACTTGTTGATATCAAGACAATTAAATTTGATGGTGTTGGGTCGGAATTTGTCGCCTATATTTCACTTTCCTTTTCCACTTTTTTTTTTTCTTGTATTCCTATATGAATTTCTAAAGATGTAAAGCACTTTTATAAGTCAATGTTAATTTTACGTACCGTTTCCACTTTAGTTTTTTTAGTTATTTATTTATTTATTTATTTATAACTGTATGCCAAATTACTGAAATTTGTGTTATGATATAATATCACATAGTAAAATATTTAAATGATCCAAAAGCGAAGAAAAAAAATGATCCAAAAGCAAAAACATGATATATCAATAGAATTTCCCAAAATAATAATTATAAATTGCAAGAAGACTTTTAATAGCTTAGTGGGACGAGTGGGACGAAAAGAATAAACCAAATTGTGTAGTCTTTACTCTTTTAACTTAAACGTTTATGCTAATTCATTCGACTATTCATCAGGTAGGAAAAAAAATCTACAAATTCAAGCCAAACAAAAAAGCTTATTTTGTTATTAGTATGAAAAAATCATACATAACAAAATATGGAACAATTTGTTTTTTCTTCTTTCTTGAAGAAAATGGTTTAAGATTACTGATCATAATTGATAAATAAAGTCAAGGAATGAGACATGACGACCAAGTCTTTCCTTCCGTGTAAAGGACTATAGTAGAAGGGATAGATAATCATAGGAATAGGATACAAAAACATATTTGGACAAATCATGAATTAGGAATTGGATAACTATCCTTCTCTTTCTTTCAGTTGTCATAAAATATTATATACCTGAACTTACAAAACAAAACAAAAAACTATTATCGTTTCACATTTCACCCAAAAAAAAAAAAGATTATACAATGTAATTATATTATAAATATATGGGCATATATTAATGTATAGTATGATCCAGTTAAGATGTTGGTGAATCTAGCCAGGTAACTCGATCTAGTTACTATATCCCAAAACTTACCCCAAAATATTTTTTATTTTTTATTTTTTTTGTTGCTATAAAGTTAGTATATTAAACAAGAGAAAGAACAAGAAAAAGGCTCTGATTAACACATACTGAAGAAGATATATTGATATGTAAGCCTTTTTCAAAAAAAAAAAAAGATATTGATATGCTGAACATAAATCTACAGCCAAATCTATTGGAGGAAAAAATGTTCAGACATATAGAATATAATATTGTGTAGTTTTCTCAATTAATTTGTTTGCTAATTTCGCTAATTTGAAATTTTAACAACTAATTAATAAATATATTTTTTTAAATAGTCATTTTATATAATAGTAAATACAGTTTATACACATATATAGTGCATCACCCATTGTGAATCATATAACAGTTGCAGTAGTAGTCAAAGACCTTGGCATAGTGTTTTCTTATTAGTTTACGATTCAAAATAATGTTTACTTGTAACTATATATATATAGCCTTCATATGTTTCATGGCATTTGGGTTGCTATCGAAACCTAAATGTTTCCATTCGTAATGTGACAAGGCACCTCTTCTTAACTTGTTTCGTCATTTGTGGATAAGTCTCTCTATGCCTTTCGATATTAAAAAGCAACTATCTTGATTCAAGTTCCCATTTCATTTAAATTTATTTATATGAGAGAGAGGAAATTGTAAATATAAAAAATATAACGGGCAAATTCCTTAAGAACCGGGTTACCAAATACATATAAAAGAAGTTTGTTATATATTTATATTCAAATATTTTAAAACGTGGGATATTGTTATTTTAAATTATTATATTCTTTGTTGAGTCTGAATTATCCAATGGTAGTGCATATATATTTCTGTCAGTCTCAACAAAATTTTATTTTTAAATAACAAGTAATATATTATTATATGATCTGTCAACTGCAATGGTTTTGAGTTAGAACATGCTTTTTTTTTTTTAACAGCTGATAGCAAAATTATGACGAAAGCACTCTTGCTAATACTTTATTAAGATGTTAATTTTTTTGATAATGATAAGAAACAAGGAACGTTAATGTAGTGACGACCGTGGGAGATTTGTCCCGATTGTCATGTGATTTTTTTGGACGGCGTATCAAAGATCGCAACACACACACTAATTATAAAACAGTATTAGAATAAATTACGTTACATCAATGTTGTTCAGAGTTATTGTTTGCGTCAATGTTGACAAATATTAACTTATGAGTTTGATTGGTTGTTTAATTTTTTCTATAAAGAATGAGTTTTGATTGGTCGATCAATTCTCTAATATCTAAAGATTCTCGACGCATCTTTCCTTAGGAGATAATAGTCTTTGTAGAAGAGGTTACATATACAGTATATGCCATTATAGATGTTTACAAATCATGTAAGTTATCAAAAATCAAAAAAAAAATATTTAAATAAAACTTCCACTAAATCATCATTGCTTTTAATTAGTAGAGCTAATCCATTGCAATTAAGCTGTAGAAAAGAAACAGCTGCTTTTTTCTAACCAAAAAAAATAAAGTAAGAAGAAGAAAGAAAGAATCAGCTGCTTCATGTGACTCTTGTTGCTTTCAAATGCACAACATACTTTAATCAGGACCCAATCAGCAATCAAGAAACAAACTCTATATAATTGCATTATCATCTAATTGTCACCTATCTATATGACTATATATAATCCAAAAAGTCGACATCATCATTCATCACGACATGGCATGACGACCCAGCTATATAATACATATATGCTAAACCTTTTCCATTACTGAAATAAACAATACAATTACGTAAATACGTTGAAAATTTGGGGGAAAGTTCTATTTTTGGCATATACAAAAATGGAATTGAAAACGTGGGAATTTTCCAAATCTGGTATTCATGTGAAACCAGGGGTCACTTTGCTCTTTGCATCACTCTAATTAAGTCTTAAAGCAATATATAACATGTTTTTTCATGTGAATCCTTAATCCTATATTAACGTGCATGGTCAAAATCAGACTATTCATTATAAAAATGTGTTTTTAACACTACATTCACATTCCATATTCGAAGTAGTTTTGCCGTCCTTATCTTTTTGGGTGCTTTTTTTTTTTTTTTGTGTATCTTCAAATTACATTTTTCATATGTCAAAATTAAAAAAATAATAATAATTTGATTCTTGCTGTTCAAGATCATTTTTAAAAACTTAATGGTTAGTATTATTTTATTTATTATCTTAATTATAACCACTCGCCTCGAAGCATCCAACCCTACAAGGGACAATTAGTACAACAAATCACAGGAATTGCACGCCATGTGAGTTGCTACGTCACGTGATGTCACGTGTGCATAATCAGACCCCTTAACCCTAATCTATGCAGCTCCTAATTAATTTCTCTACGACGATAGAGCAACTTGTATATATTCTTTGTTTATGGAAAAACGATCATTGATGATACAAGTTAAGTAAATCGTGATTGATAAACTACAAATATTTATAATAAAAATCAGTATTTAGTGCTCACTGCTCATATACTTAAATTTCATACTGATAAAAAAGGAAATTTTGCTTAAAACTAATTATCCGGTTTTGGAAAGAAAAAAGGGTTGAAAGATTCAACTTGATACGCAAAACAAGCTAACAAAAGAAAGCAACTTATTTTTTCTTGAGTTTGTTAATTATTGTGCTAATCAGAGAGATTGAGAAAAATAACTTCATAAAAACAATGATCAGGAAAGAGGTGGTTGTGGCTGTGACGGCTGCAACAGTTACGGTGGTTGCTGTGACTGTGTTAATGGGTCGGTGGATTCAGACGAAGGAGCGACGGCGAAAACAGACGCAGAGGATTCTAAAGAAATTTGCTAGAGAATGTGCTACGCCGGTCTCGAAACTATGGGCGGTGGCGGATGCCTTGGTCACTGACATGACCTCCTCTCTCGCGGATGCAGTCGCCGAGACATGCGGTTCCCTCAACATGCTAGTTTCATTCGCCGGTTCTTTCCCTTCCGGGTAATTTCATATCAGAATCCTCTGTTTTGAGTACTATTAAATGACCATTAGGTAACAATATATGATTTGTAGTGATGAGAAAGGGGTACATTATGGAGTTAACGTGAGAGGCAAGGAACTTCTACTGTTACGTGGGAGTTTACGAGGTAATGAAGAGCCTATTTCTGATGTGCAAACGCATGAGATTCCTATCCCCGACGATGTTTTAAATGGTTCTCTCAAGGTATGAATATATGATTGTAGATACACGTCTTGGAGTACACGTTAGGTTTACTTGAAGTTTTTTTTTTTAAATGTGGATTCTAGGAGTTGTGCGATTTCATATCATTGGAGCTTGTTAAATTCCTTGCGATGAACCCTGGTGAAGAAACAGAGGAAGCGAAGAATCTCGGGTTTACGTTGACACGCTCTGTGGAACAGATTGGTTCAGGTTCAATATTGGCGTTACAGAGGAAAAGTTTAGTAGATGATGATGATAATAAAGTTTTGAAGGAGTTTGTGTATGGTATGAATGAATCACTAGAGAGCCATGGTCTGAATATTCGGATGAACACATCGCTGGTAAGGGGGTTTAAATATGATCTGAGATGAATATTAATTGAGACATTTTAAGTAGCTTGAGATGTTTTTGGGATCAGGTGGATAACACTATAGGAGAGTTGGCTGGAGGAAGGTACTATCACAAGGACACTGTGGCTGCAGTATCATTAGGTATGGGAACTAACGCTGCTTACATTGAGAAAGCTCAAGAGATTTCGATGTGGAAATCTGCGATACCCGAGCCAAAAGAAATCGTATGTTAAAATACTTATCGAGTTTTGATACATTGATCCAATATTATGACATAAAGCTTTCATGAAGTTATGATATCAAGTGGTTGTACATGATAAGATTGTAGGTTGTTAGCACAGAATGGGGAGATTTCAAATCTTGTCATCTTCCTATAACCGAGTTTGATGCTTCTCTTGACGCGGAAAGCTTGAATCCTGGAAACCAAGTAAGAAATCATATAGATTCGTTTTGTATCTCTGAGGATTTTTGGTTTATTTTTGGTTTTATGTTGGTTTAAAGGTGTTTGAGAAAATGGTGTCCGGAGGATACTTAGGGGAGATAGTGAGAAGAGTTTTGCTAAGAATGTCTGAAGAAACTGCTTTATTTGGAGATGCATTGCCTCCAAAACTAATGATTCCTTACATTTTATGGTATCTTTAATGTCTTCTACATTCCTTACATTTTTCCAAGTGTTCATTTTTAAGGCAAATCTTTGAACTTATTTCAGGCCGCCAGATATGGCTGCGATGCATCAAGATATATCAGAAGAACGAGAGATCGTAAATAGAAAGCTCAAAGAAGTTTTTGGGGTAAGTTTCCATAAGACTTTGCATTTTCTTTTCAAGTTAGAAATTTTGAGCATCTCTTGTGCGGTTGCATTTACATCTAAACCGCAACATATTAGTTGTTTAATCAAATACCTTATGCAATTTTTACTAAAGAAAATTAAACTAAAGTACAACCACTTTGCGTTAAAAAATCAAGCACTTCTTGAACCTTGTCTAATGAACTCTACAGATCTTGGATTCAACTCTTGCGGCGAGAGAAGTGGTTGTTGAAGTGTGCGATGTAGTCGCGGAACGAGCTGCTCGTTTGGCGGGAGCAGGAATAGTTGGGATAACAAAGAAACTAGGAAGGTTAGAAAAAAAGATGAGCATTGTGATAGTTGAAGGAGGATTATACGACCATTACCGAATCTTTAGAAACTATCTTCATAGCAGCGTTTGGGAAATGCTCGGTGACGAGTTATCAGATCATATCGTCATTGAACATTCTCACGGAGGATCTGCTGCCGGATCTCTCTTCCTTGCGGCATGCAGCGGTGACTAATAAATGATGATGATGATTCTTGTTTCATAATGTCTTAGACGGAATTTTTCTCATATGTTTTCTCTTAATAAACTTTATAATTTTTTTATATAATTTATATTTTCAATTTCTTAACACTATATATAAACTAATAGAAGTGGAAAATTTTAAATCTTCAATTTCACATATTTGGTTTAATGTATTGTGACATAGTAATTAGAGACTAAAAGACCTAACATGGACTAAAAAGCAATTGTTGTTGTCAAAAAAAAAAAAAACCCAGTGATGGGCTAAAAAGCCAACTAAAGGAAAGGCCCATTAAGTTTATATTCAAAGCGGGTCTAGTTTTTAGATTCAACAACGCCTGATTAAGTCTGAGTGACATAACCCTTTTTCACATCTCTTCCCAAATCGATAGTCTCAAGTCGCACAACACGAAGAAGAAGATCCCGGAGAATGGCTACGGCGATTGTACGTTCAGCTCTTTCCCGAGCAGCGATCCGCGCAGCTCCCAGGACATCCGTCGCTCCTAAACGAAGCTTTTCCTCTTCCGCCGGCCACGACGATGCTTGTACTTTGTCTTCTCTCTCTATTTTACCATTTCGATTCGATCTAGGTTTTCTATCTCTGTTTTGATAGAGAATTAGGTCACGATCGATTGCGTTTCTTTATAGATTCGTATGTTCTGAGCTGATTAAGATTCATATGATTTTACAGGTTTCCTTTTTTTTTTTTTTTGGATTGACATTTGTTGTTTGGGAACCAATTCGGATACCTAGCTCTTTTGACTTTGAATTGATTCTGTAGATCGATTGGTCAAATTTGAATTTGTGTTTCGTTTCCTTTACACGTTTGTTCCCCGATGATTTTACTTGTTTTCTGAGATCAATTCAGGTTTAAATAATCAATTTAAAAGAAAAATAAAAAATTTGAATTTTTGTACAGATGAGGCTGCGAAGTGGGAGAAGATAACTTATTTGGGTATTGCTAGTTGCACTGCTCTAGCCGTCTATGTTCTATCCAAGGGCCATCATCACGGTGAAGACCCTCCTGTAAGCTTCTCTTACAACAACACCTCTATTGGATTTACTACTTTTAACATGAATCTTACTCTTCCTTACCTAGTTAGATACAATGTTAACATGACCACTGGAAATGGAAACGAGTATGCAGATTATGAAATTGTTACAAAAACTACGTTTCACCTTTACTGATTTGGCTTTTATCTCATTTGTTCTGGTGTTTAATTTAAGCATACATTGATTGCCTCGCGTTGTTTCTGTCTTGCAGGCCTATCCGTATATGCACATCCGCAACAAGGAGTTTCCATGGGGTATGTGTGCATTTTCAGTTTTTTCTATCCCCTCCCTCTTTACTGTTTTGCGTTTGTGATCTGCAGCTTTGATGATGCGGTTTAGTCGTCTCATTGAATGGCTCATAAGAGATCATCAAAGAACTACTTGTTGCACTTTGTTTTTCTAATCATGTATCTGAATCCATACTTTCTATTTGTCATTCTCAGGTCCAGATGGTCTGTTTGAGGTGAAGCACAATGAAGGACACTGAAGTTCTTGCGTGTACACAATAACGTCTTCTTGGTTTATTTGAAAGGCTAAATGCTTTACCTTATTTGTTCTTAACGTTTGTCAACAATTTTTCTACTCCAGCCTCGTTTCTCGTTTCTTTTGTTGAGAATAAGAATTTAACACTTTGCTTGGTTTATATTATCCAAGACTTGTGTCCTTCAATAAAAATGGAAACTTCTTCAGAACAAAATATAAGAGTACAGTATGTATTGATTACCAACAAAAACTCAATATAACTCATTTGGGACTTTAGAGCGCTTCATATGATGAAAAGTAGAGAATATGCATAACAACTTCACTTGTCTAAACATGTATCCAATGAATCTAAACGTTTGGAAATTGGAGTAGGCAATATTTGGGGTCGGCACTTACACGCGTAAACTATTGAAACACTCCACCAGAGAACACACATCATATTCCTCTCTTTATCGTCTCTGTTTCTGAGAAGAGAAATGACTAAACCCCAGAATCTCCTGAAAACCTGATCAACCATGTCGAACGTCTTGGCAACGGAATGTTCTCCTGGTACTCAATCCCATCTCTTATATACAAAGCTTTATATCTGTATTTGTTTCATTCTTTGCTCAATTTGTTTGATCTTAGGCTCTTCACTGCAATTGCTGAACGATTTGGCGGGATGGAAACAAGTGAATTGATCTTAGGTTCTTCACTCCAGTCTCAGTGGTAATAGAAACAATTACAATTGATTTCGGTTTGGTTTAAACTGGAATTAATAAGGTTTTTAGTAAAAGTCACACGCGATGGGTATTTTAGAAAGAAGCGAGTTTGTTTCACCAGAAGCGATTTTGGGGGTTATAGCACACAGGAATCATAGACACTCGCGCAACGCGCGTTTGGTGAGAGTGGGGGAGAAATAGAGCGTTCTGATTGGCTAAAAATAATGAAATAGTAGTGGTATAGCTCCTTGCTTCCTCCTCTATTATTATTATTACTTTCCTTCTTCTTCTCTCATTTGAATGACGACTTCTCTGCTGAAAAAACTTTCGTGACAATGTGAAAACTTCTACGGAATTCTCAAACAAAGGTCGTGAGATGATTAGTAAAATCTTTTATTATGCTTCTTCTTTTTTGACAAATTTTTTCATATATAGCTGAGAATGAAATTAAGATTTTGCAAAGCTAGTGAGGATAGTTACATTAGGTAGGCCATAACAGTGTTTCTGAAGTGTATATGATGGTACTAACCTCTGAACTCGAGAGGATTCTTACATAATGCTCCAATAGATTGAAAAAGGAACAAAGGATAGTGAAAACACAAGAGTTGGATTCGTTTATGGAAATTCTTTGTAAGCCATTGCCTGCTGCTTTCAGTTATCTCCAAGTATGTATGCTTTGTTTATTTCCATTCTTGAATCAGCAGACACTTTGAAAGAACACTATTCTGTTATTAATACAAGGATTAGGCTCCAGTACACCTAGTAGAAGAACCAGACAGTTTGCTGGAAGGATTATGTCCAAGATTACTGACTGGTGGGCATATGATCCTATTCTAGTAGATGGTGATCTTCTACCATATTGGCGTCAATGGCGTGAGTCCAAAACCAACTGATGATGAAATGACCACTATAAGGAGACTTGGCAGACCACTCCCTTGTCACTTTGCTTTAGGTGAACATCTTTCACCTGCATTTAGATTAATTCTTAGTTACGCAAGATTCTTGACTTATTCTGGCTTACCTTCTATGAGACTTCCAAGTAAAAATAAAAATTTGCAGGGACTAGCTTTGGAATTTTCAAGCTTTGGGAGAAGTGTGAGGTTGCCAAGATAGCGGTGAAGAGAGAAATACAAAACATTAATACCAAGCTGATGGCTAAAGAGAGTTAAAGCTTGCTGGTTTACTTCTAATGATGATCAATGTATCAAACTGTTTACTTCTAGAACGTTATGTCAATCTCAATAAAAATGGAAACTTCTCAGAACTAGATTTAAAGAGTATGTATTGATTACTATCAAAAACTCAATACTACTGATTGGGACTTGAAGGCCCGGTCATATGATGAAAAGTATAGAATATGCATATAAAACATAACAACTTCATTTCTTTAAGAAACATCACTCAGCTGCAACTATGTTGCTGGTTAATCTGTTGCTTGATTTGGAAAGAGTTTCGAGATCAGTTCGAGCATCCTTGACCTCTTGAAGTTGATGGAGACTATCATCCACACTAGACTTTGTCTGTTCTTGATTGTTATGGATTTCCTCTGTTTCACCATTTTTGTTGTTTTCCTCTTTCGCTGACTCTGTTTTTGAAGTATCATCCTTTGTTTCTTTCTTATCAGAATCTGAATTGTCATTTCCATTACCGGATTCACTTTTGCTTTCATCATTTTTTTGTTCGTCACTCTTCTCCTGTGTGTTTGAAGAATCAGTAGATTCAACCTGTTCAATTTTCTTCTCACTGTTGGTGATTTCCTCTTCCTTAGATTCTGAAGACTTTTCTTTGGTTTCTTTGTTCTCATTCTCCTCTTGGGACAAAGTCTCTTCTTTCTCTTTTTTCTCAGTTTTTTTTATTGCACTCTCCTCTTGAGATGATGACTGTTCATTCTCCTGTTTCACAGTTTCTTTGATTACATTCTCCTCTCGAGTGGAAGACTCTTCCTTCTCTTTTTTCTCAGTTTCTTTGATTTCATTCTCTTCTTGAGAGGAAGACTCCTCCTTTTTCTCAGTTTCTTTGATTTCATTCTCTTGTTGAGATGAAGACTCTTGTTTCTCCTTTTTCTCAGGTTGTTCCTCTTTACTTTCCTCTTGAGAAGAAGACTCTTCCTTCTCCGGTTTCTCGGGTTCTTTCTCTTTACTTTCCTCTTGGGACGATGACTCTTGTTTCTCCTTCTTCTCGGATTCTTTGATTTTGCTTTCCTCGACAGATGAGTGTTCAGAAGATTCTACCTTTTCCTTCTCATCTTCTTCGTTTTTCGTTTGTTGATAACCAGTGGATTTCCCACTCGACTCATCACTCCCCGAAGATTCTGTAGTCTCAGTTGCATTGGAAGTTGACTGGGTAGTCTCATCAGGCAACTGACCATTGGAGTCAGAAAACCCCTTCTCACCTTCTGACTTCTCACCAGTCTTTGAATCAGTCTCACCCTTTGTTTCTTGTTGCTCACCATCATCACTACCAATCTCCCCATTCTCTGTTGTGTTGGAAGAAACTTGTTTAATAACAGAACCCTCCAAATCACCAATCTTTGGACCTGACTCATCTTCATGGAAACTGACACTCTCAGTAGTGTTCGACTTACTCTCTTCCTCAACTCCAACCTTTTCACTGCTCTTGTCCTCAATCGTCCCATGAACTACCTCACTCGACGCATCATCTCCCTTATAATTCTTCTCTCTAGCTTCTTCACTCTCATCAACGACCTTCTCACTTTCTCCATTGTTTGAATCCTCATTCCCCTCTTCATTCCCTGTACCTTCGGTTTCCTTGTCGCTGTTACTTCCTTGTACCGTTGTCTCCTCACCTCGTTCCTCCTCCCTCTCCACAATCTCATCAACATTCTCCTTATCAGTACCATTAAAACTCTCTTCCTCATTCTTGCTCCCTTCTTCATCATCCACTTCTTCCTTCACATTGGTCCTCTCATCAACCCTCGGGTTAAGATCTTTCCTACCAAGCTTAACAACATTGTTACCATCAACAAGAACCTTAGAACCCTCTCTAAACTCAGCTTTCTTCTCATGTGAATGCCTCATTTGATAAAGCAGCCATATTCCCACACTAAGCAACAGAGTCAACTGAATGCAATGCTTCACCTTTATACCCTTTGATCTCTGCCCTCTTCTTGGCGTTCCCCCCATTCTTGATCTTCTAACTTGGTTACTTCTAACACACAAACCTAATTCAAATATATTTTTAAAATTAACCCCAAATATCTCAGAGATCATCAATGAAACAGAAACCAAATTCACCATCGGAAGAACAAAAAACTACAAATCAGATGAACTGACTAAAGAATTCAAAATTCAAGTTCTACTGCGGAAAAATCGAGGAAAAGAGAGAAATTACCTGGGAAAGTTGAAGGAGCTAAAAAGGAAAAATACAAACTTGTGATTCAGTTTCTTAGCGATGAATTGGGAAAACAAAAGATTCAAAGAGAAGAAAAAGAGAGTGTGAACACAGAAGAGTCAAGTTCTTTGGATCTGAGGAAGAAGAAGAAGAGTTCCCGTAAACATTAAATTTTGCCACTTAAAAAAATTCGTGCATCCCTTTAATCACAATCAAATTACGCAGACCCAAATATTAAACAAAACATTAGAGAGAGAGAGAGAGAGCAAACACATCTGCAGATGACTTTCAAAACGACTTCGTTGCGAAGACTTGTTTTACTTTTCAGCTGACTTCAAAAGCGACGACGTTTCAAGTCTCTTTTTTTCTCTCGGGTGACTTCAACACGACGTCGTACATCTGACTTTTTGTTGTCCTCCATTGACTCCGAAACGCCGTCGGATCGTTCTTAGTCCCATCTTTGTGTATATTGTATGGTGGTTACATTTAGTGTCGGCCTCATTTAATACTGTACATACATAGATTAAAAACGTCTAACCCTAACCATAGAAATTTTTAGGACCAGACCGGATTGCACACTGCAAGTTTCAGCCCGCATTGACGTTTTGGGAGAGCAATGGAGCAGTCTTCGTTAAGGCTAAAATGGTCCCCATGAAAGTGCCCTAACAATGACCTAACTCCTCCCACCACACGAAGGTACACTATCGATTTGTTGTTTTAAAAATGGATTACTTGCACAAAAGTACAATGGAAACCTATAAGCTTAAAAAAAAAATCAAAGAAACATTTAATTTTGTCATTTGCTTCAACTTAATACAAGTTATTTATATGCATATGTTTTTAGTATAGCTAGCCTTGAAATGATTTCCATATCTCTTGTGTTATTATCGTAGTACGTACTCTGAGGCATGCAGGTTTTCTTGGCTTCATCTATTTATTGTAAGTTTTCGACGAATTTAAAGAGCCCATCATAGCAGTTCCAAAATTCCCATCCCTTGTAAGCTTTATGCCATGTACGTACCACGTACTTTTTATCATACATATAATTGTTGATAGACCAATCTAAAACGATCATATTGTTGGACTTGATTCATGAGTTTGATGGTATATATAGTACAAATGTCATTGTGGTGGTTATACAATAAATTCCAAGTGTCATCTATGAGTATATATGTAACATGTATAATTTATCAACCACATATGTATCCACTAGTAACGTAGACTTGATAATTCATTTGAAGTTTGGTGCATATATAGCATATAAAACATTTGAGATGTTGACCAAAAAAAAAGAAGACCTTTTGAGATGTGTTAGCTTATTGCGTGTACGTATTCATATACACAATCGAGATCTAAATTGGACCATTGGAATCTCCTTCCACTTTTTGTCCCCGTAAGTTTTGTCTTCAACTCTTTGAAAATAACTATTCTATGCATTATTCTAATATATAAGAATACATATATCAGTGTTTTTTTTGGGGATGAAAACAAAATATCAATATTTAAAGTTACATCGTGTAAAATACAGGATATTTTTACACGTACGGTGATTTATTGAAACTGTATCTAGCTTTTATGTAATGATGTGAAATGGTTGACGATTTAAACATATTTCGTTTTGAGTAATGAAATAAGAATATAGCAACCATCTCATATACATGATTATGAACACAAAGGCATGTGTCGTACGAGAACAATGAATGAGGAGGTATGGAGCAAATGGACGTCAAGTAAGATCATTGAAACAGAGAAAGCATATGTCCAAAATGCCTCCACGTGACTGTACCTTGTCAACTCTGTGCGCTTTTAACGATTTCTTTCTCCTCCAATACTTTGAAAAGAAAATATTACTTCCATAGTTCCAAGGAAGTGATGCAGCAATAGAGAAGAGATCGGAAACAGTTAAGTGTAAAACGGTAAGAAGCAGAAAACAAAAATAAAAAAGGAATCGGAATGGCCAAAGTATTTTTTTTTTCTTGCTTTGGAACTCTCATTTTCCTTCCTTGTTTGTTGTTTCTTCTTTTGAGTCTTTTCATTTTGTCACTTTGCTTTTAATGGCTTTCTTCTCGATCGTGCGACAATGTGCAATCAATCGTCTCCCTAACAAAATGCATTTTTCTCAAATTCCAAAACCCTTTTTTTTTCTTGTATAGAGAAAGAGCGTTTTGAGATCTGTCGGTCCACGTATATTAAAATATTTAAATGACACAATATAACCAAGGGATATTAGCATAATGCGTAGTATTATATAGTATATAAAAGATTCGAAGATATCATATAAAAATGTATGGGAGCGGCGTTGGCGTTCAGAAAATTAGTTCAAAGCAGTAGCATAGTAGTGGCAGTGTACCGACTTTGATTGACACTTGAGTCTCCACCAAATTCCAAATATGAATATACTTTTATATAATTTTCAACTATATTTGAAGTTGCATTATTATTGTTATGTGATATGAAATGAAAAGAAATGTGGGGGAAGAAGTATAGTCATTCAAAAGAAGAAGAACAGTGTAGAGAAGAAACAAGACTGTTTGCTTTGGCTTGATTTGTGAAATTTAGTAAACCCCACACACAAAGACACATCTTTCTCTCTTTTGTTTTGTCACTTCCTTTCATCCTTTCCATATGTTCAATCCCATCAACTCTTTGTGAATGAGAATAGGCTTTGTCCAATCTCCTATTAATTACGATAATTCCAAATGTTTCAAATTGCTTTAAGTAGAAATCGATCATTTGCTTTAAGTAGATATATATCGTATATCTTGATGATTTGATTGCTATGCCTATGCTACCATCATTTAGTAATGTTAACATTATAGGTTTTAGTTCTATATGTACAGTAATGATGTATACTAGTTTTTCAGATTTGAGTTATTAGAAAAATTTATACGGAACTGGGACGTAATAAAATATGGTATGTTCAGTATATAAAAAAGTACTATAAATCATCAAATCAAGGTAGTACAGATTAGGTTTTGATTTTTCTTGCTGTATTTGTCAGTTAAATATATATAAAAAAATATAACTAATAAATATATACGAGAACTCTACTGAAACAAGTACTAGGACACAGAAATCACCAGTGGTCACTAATTAAATTAATCATATAAGAAAAAATAAAAGTACAAAACGCAAAATCCAATGTGAATGACATAATAATAATAATCGCGAAAACGGCGTCGTTCGACGACGAAACGACAGCAAAGCGGCTGAGTTTTTTTATTTGGTTTGTCTATCGGGCTAATGGATTTATCATTGTATCGAAACGTATCTTTGTCTCTCTATCAAAACGAGCAAACATATTATAAATATTCTCACACATAACATTTACACATAAATCTCATATTTACCATGTATATATAACAGAGTAGAGATGCATACGTACGTGTGTGATGTAACTTTCATCCATAAAATTGGTATTTGTCAGAATCGTCTTAAAAAAATAGGTTTCCGTGCCTTCAATTTTTACTATGCGTGTAAATATATATATATATCTAAAAAGATTTCACCTTTTCACAATTAGTAACAAAAATTAACAAATCAGTTTTTGGATAAAGCAAATTTTGTCATTCATCTTTGTTGTTGACTAACACTATAAGAAACAACGACATTATATAATCAGTAACACAGGGTTACCGGAAAATCAGAATACACAAAATAAAAATATGATTGACCAATAAGAAAATAGAAACTAAAAATATAAATTATGTACAGAGAGATATTAGAATTTTTGAAAGTGGCAAAAAGAGAAAAATTTGTAAAAAGGAAAAATTGTCTTCAAGGGTTGTAGATAGAGTTACCACATTTGCATTTCCAGCTCATGGGTTTGTAATTAGTACTATCGTCTCCTCTTGTGTAATCAAGATGGATCATCTCAGAAGAAGAAGAAGAAGAAGTAGTAAAAGGAGAGTGAAGCTTTGTTTGAGGATTCGTAGGAACTTGAATTGCTTCACAGTGACCACAAGAACGACACCTCACTCTCTCGCACCTTGGTGGTCTCGATCCTATTAGACCTCTCATCATCATCTTCTCATCTTGATCTCCCTTCTGTTCCTAAACCAGAAAAAAAAGAAAAGACTTTTTAAAAGCCAAAAAAGAAAAAATGGGAGTAGAGCAAGAAAAGTAAAGAAACAGAGGATCTTGAAAGAAACATACCTTGGTGAATTCGACTGAGTTTGGCTCTGGTCTACCTGAAAAAAAGTAAAGAAAAAAGAACAATTAAAGATCATGATGAAGTTCATGTTAGTAAAGAAAAATGGGAAAACAATGTGACATCGACCCAATTTATACCATTTGCCATAAGACTGAAATGGGTCGAATTAAGAATCAGCAAAATCAGTAGAAAGCTTGACATGTTGTTGCGTCTGCTGCTCCACACCATTTTCAGCTTGCAGTTTAGAGTAGAAACAATTAGACTCTATCTCTCTCTGTGTCCTCTCAGAGTCTCTCTCTCTCTCTTCTCTCTTACTCACTCTTTTGCTCTGGCGTGGTTTGATGTGTAGAGGAAGAGACTTGTATGTAAGTAAAGAAGAAAAAGGAAAGTGACTACCCCTTCTCAAGGGTCTAAAATATAAAATTTCCTAAAGAATACTACACGCACGAATAAATATATATACATGTATGCACGTAAGCATAAATGAGTTGATATAAATAACACTAGTAATGTCTTTATTATTATTAGCATTATGCACTATCTACACTTATTTTTATTTTTTTTGGTATCATCACATCATCAAAGAAGATACTGAAACAGTATAAGTGTTTAAACTATTACAGAGTCGGTATTTGAATAAGAAACAAACAAAAAATGTCGGGACCTCCATAATTATGTTATATAGTAGTAGTAAATAATAACAACGGATATTTTAATTTTATTTTATAATGTTTGAAAAAACTAAATAAATGTATATACAATAACGATAGTCAGGTTTTCTATTAACGTGTATGTATGTATTGATTGGATACGTATGTGTCTTACAAGACTACAAGAGTCGAATAAAACAAGAATCAGGTGAAAAGGAAATTACGTATGTACAAAAGAGCAGGATACGTGATTAATTTTAACGCTAAAACAACAGTTTTATAAAACTATAAAAATACTTTTAATTTGATCTATATATAAGAATATTTGATTTTGTAAAGAAACAGAAAAAAAAAAAAGAAAGGAGAAAGCTTTATATAATAAATAGATTTGAGGAGTGGTATCTGCGGTTTCTTGTGGTAATAGACTGACTGGAGCAGTAGAAAGGACCCTACTGCACCTGACCGACCAATACCGTGCCTCTTTGCCTTTTCGTATTCTTCTATCCAAAAAGTTTTATTTATTTTTTTATGTAAATAATAATGTTACAGTCTATTTTACTACTATTATTATATACAGATGATGATATAGAACAACTGTGTCCAACACGTTTCACTCACTCTTCCCAATTTCTTTTTTCCAATGATTAAACCAATTATATGCTTCAACTCGCTATGTCCAGTTAACCGCTGCTAACCATTTCTTTTTCTACGTGAGTAAGTTCGATCCAGCTTTGGCTTGGTGAAATGGGTGTGATTATCAGAGGATTGATTGATTATGCGTTTAAGGAAATGAGAGTTTTATTTTTTCATAATAAATTTGACCTCTGTTTGTATTGGGCTTACGAAACATGGCCCATGATTGTTATTTATTAAGTCCAACAGAGCCAAGTTGCGAGAAAAGTCTTTCGCGGGGATATTCTCATTTTCTAAAGAGTAAAAGAAATGACCCAATAAGATTTTCTAAAGAGTAGTATAAGACCCAATCTACAAAACTATGAACTAACTCGTGTATCTTGTTACTGTGTTTTTGTCAGCAAAAGAGATGGCGAGAGTATGAATAATCTAGATGTTTTGAATGCAGACAGACTCAACGAGTTGCCTGAGGCTTGAATTCTGATTGTTATCATAGCCACTGAGTGTTTTTGTCTAAACATTAAACAATTACATAACTTAAACCAAGACAAACAAACAAACAAACAAAAAACACCAGATTGGTGTAGAGGATGTGTGTCTTTGTTCTACAACAACAAGTTACTCAGTGGGGATCAGTTGAAATTCTCAATGTTTTAGGTCATAATCAAGAACAGAGACACGATCGAAAAAGGATGATCGAGGAAAAAGGAAGAAGAGGAAGAGGTGATGGGGTGGGAGTGATGAAGGAACACGTATAGAGAGATGGTGTGAGTGTTTATTAAAGTAGAAATCGTCATCGATGGGTTTAAAAATCATCTTCTCTCTTATGTGCGTGAGTCCAAAGCGTTTGGTCTGAGTGTCGTCAAATAGTTAAAAAAAAAAGACTTAAAAAGGTATACCAAATCTACTATTAATGAATTGAAAACTAATACTGTTCTTTTTCGTTATCTTGCAAAATAGTAGTTTCATTCTGATATAGTTGTCGGTCGTGATATGTTTACCATCTTGAACAAGTACGACAAGAAAAGTGTGGTAAAAGGATGACAAAAAAATTGAGTGGGTAGCATATTAAATCAATATAATGCAAAATAAAAGTAGAATAATAATTTATAGACATACATTAATTTTCGAGTTAAAAATAGAGTTTTTCTATATGAAATTTTATGGAGTCCGTCCATATATCTCTTATCCAAAGTTCTTAATTCCATGTGGCTTTGTCCAATGTAGTGTGTCCTTCTGAATTTATTAGCTAGACTTGATTGTTTTGATAACTATCGTTTTCATGCAAAAATTTCACAGGGTGTGTCTTTTACATTGATCGGCATGCATGGTATATATAGCTTAATATACCAAATATTGCACGAAAAAGAAAATAACCACAAAAATGATACTATATATATATATATATATATATATATATATATGCTGACATGCTGTGAAAGCGAACTAGCCACTCGAAAGTTACTTATTTTGCCATAAACGAAATTGGATTGAAGTTCTTGAAACTATAGAGAGTGCAAGAAATAATACCAGATAGAATCATCTTTTCTTTTTTTTTCCTTATAATGGCACGAACTAATACTGATGAGGAAGAAATTATATAAATAAAGATGTGGATATGAACAATTCAACGAGCACGACATAGACACATCCCTACTCTATTAACGCCTCTCCACATTTAACAACTTTCATGTATTTTCAGTTTCCCACAGACTATTCATGTTCATGCATGCACAATCATTAATACTTCACACCCACTATTCAAGTAACCCAACTTAACTTTATCGTGAAACAATATATAAAACATGCAGAAACTGTCACTTTTTTTTAGAGACAAAACAAAAGATAAAAAAAAAAAAAAAAAAAACTTGAGAGACAAAACTGTTATTTCACTTGTCGATGAATCAAATTAGGGTCTGTTTGCATTTTGATGCAGAATCAGACAAATAAATTTATTTATGAAAATAAAATATTTTTTTAAAAAGGAAACAAATTTATAAGATACTAAATTATATAATCTATAAGATACGATCGTGTGACAAAAAAAAAAAATCCAAGAGAAATTTATAAAGAATCCAAAGATACGAATAGTATTGTTTTTGCGCATTAAGTGGTGCATGACGACACGTGGCCGACTGAGATCGCACCGCGCTTCTCAGTTATGCTTTTATTGGGTAAATTCATCTGCTTCAATCATTGAGAGATATTTACTAACTTTTATCCCAATAAATTCAAGTGGAATGTTTTTTTTTTCATAGTTATTGTAAGTTCTTCGTATGATAAATTGATAATAATGTGATTAGTTATTACCAAACAGTCCAAGAACTAAACTAAATTCAAAAAAAAAAAAAAAGAGAGTGAAATAACAGTGTAATTTAGGGAAGAGAACAAGACATATTCAGTGAATTTAATAGCATAATAATAACAACAATAATAGAAAAGTGGTAGGTCCAAATATATTGAGACGATCGATCAGTGATTAGCTGTACTGAAAAGCTGAGATTTAAATGAGACCTTCCCTCAATTATTGTACATTGCATTTTTGCTTGCATGCGTCTCTATATGACGACTATGTATATAAATATGACTTAATATATCTTCTAATTTCAAAACAATCTCATCATCTTTAGTTACAAAGCAACAATGGTGGTGTCACTCTTCTCCTCAAGAAATGTTATCTTTATGATAAGCCTATGCTTATTTGCAGCATTGTACCGTCCGGTTTTGAGTAGACCTGCTAAATTTGAGGATGACTTTAGGATTACTTGGTCCGATGCTCATATCACTCAAATCGATGGAGGAAGAGCCATTCAACTCAAATTGGACCCTAGCTCAGGTTATTACATATCTATGTTATTTGTATTGAAACATAATATAGATTTTCACTTTCCTTTTGCTTTTCTTAACTATTTTCTTCCAACATTGGTTTAGGATGTGGATTCGCTTCCAAGAAGCAATACTTGTTCGGCCACGTGAGCATGAAAATCAAACTTCTCCCAGGCGATTCGGCCGGAACTGTCGCTGCCTTCTATGTAATCATATACATATATAGTATAGTATATATCATGTTTGCTGCATTTCAAGAGTCTTGATTATAAATAACACAATATATATGATCAACTGCGCAGATGAATTCCGATACGGATTCTGTAAGAGACGAGCTGGATTTCGAGTTTCTAGGAAACCGAAGTGGGCAACCTTACACCGTGCAAACCAATGTATTTGCTCATGGTAAAGGAGATAGAGAGCAAAGAGTTAACCTTTGGTTCGACCCTTCTCGTGATTTCCACGAATACGCCATTTCATGGAACCACCTCCGTATTGTGTAAGTCACATCATTATTATTATGCATATATATATACAAATACAGCTACAGCCAACTCCTCCTAACTTTATCTAATTATTGAAAGGAATGTAGCATATAGTAACAAAGTAACCAATAATTATATAGTAGAAGATTCGTTTTAACTATTCTTGTCTTTTCATATTGTCACGAGAGATATGATTGGTTTAATATTGTGTCGGCCCGTGGACCATGAAATAAGAGAATGAAAGAGACAGCATATTTGTCTTGGTTGGAGGCATTCATCATTTGAACGAACATATGAAGGTCCTACATTTTTAGAATCCATTAGCCATAACTTATTAAGTAAAAATAAAATAACAAATAATCAAAGATATGCATGGTTCTCTCTCTCTCTGTTGCAATAAAATAAGCGAAGGAAATATTTATTTTGCAATCGTCCAATATGTGGGGTGTGTAGGTTCTACGTAGACAAGGTGCCCATTAGGGTTTACAAGAACAATGAGGCAAGGAAAGTACCATACCCGAGGTTCCAACCAATGGGTATATATTCAACGTTGTGGGAAGCTGATGATTGGGCGACACGCGGTGGAATGGAGAAAATCAATTGGTCCGGAGCACCATTTTATGCTTACTACAAAGATTTTGATATAGAAGGATGTCCGGTTCCGGGACCAGCGTATTGTCCTGCTAATCCCAAGAATTGGTGGGAAGGTAGTGCATACCACCAGTTGAGCCCGGCCGAAGCTCGAGGATATAGATGGGTTCGAGTGAACCATATGGTCTATGATTATTGTACTGATAAG